GCCCGCATCGACAGACACCTGACAACCTCGAGTGTAACTACCACGCTTGCACGTGCTTCACAGCCATCCTCTCCTGTCCACGAGACGCCCACGCTGCTGTTGCTGCGAGACGCGTTCCGGAGTGCTCCTGCCAATTGCCTACCGCCTTCGCGACTTGGCTGCCCTAGGCCTCCCGAAATTGTGCGACGCCGGAAGCATCGCCAACTTTCTCCACGCAGCCTTCTGCGAGCCTGTGATGGTGACTTTTGGTGCATGGCCTCGCTGAGAGGCAGCTTCACCCTTCCTCACTGCCAGCGCCGGCGCCTGCTGGTAGTTGGCGACTGGTTCGTCGCCGCAAATACCGCCTCTATACCACCTGCACCGCCCGTACCGCCCGTACCGCCCAAAGCTACAAGCCCGCGATGGCGCCCTCCAACATGTTCTCGTATCTGAGACCTGGCCACGCAAAGCGCACTGCCTCGAATCTGGCGGCGCCCGAGCCCCTGCCCTCAATCAGTCCCGCCGCCCACCCGCTGCCATCGCCGTCGCAGAGCACCGAGTACTTCACCTCCCCGCGCTTCGTCGACAATGCCAGCTACGCGTCGAGCTCGCCCATATCGCCCTACCCGCCGCAGCTGCCGCCCATCGCCCGCGTCGCCTCCAAGCTGGACAAGCCCCAGTCCGACAGCAGACCGCCAGCCATTGCAGGTCGACCGGCCACGAGCATCGATGCAGACAGCGCCCGCATGCGCCCGCCACCGCAGAGCACACACACGCAAGCACCATCCAGCCCGCATGTCAGCCTCTCTGCGCGGCCCATGACAGCCAACACGCCCGTCGACACGCGGCCAACCGAACATGGCCACTATCTCGAGACACCTTCGCAATCTCCGCCACATCTCGCACCCTCAACCATCTCGCCGAGCTACTCCACCTTCTCGAGGTCGCAGACGTCGTTGATGGCCGGCATAGGTGAGAAGCTGTCGGGCAGCTCCAAGGCTGTGTCTACACCAACACCTGCGCCAGCCAAGCCCAAGTCCAGGCTCAATCTGAGAAATCCCATGTCGCTCTTGATGAGACGGCGATCAGGCCAGACGCTGGACCCCTTGGCCGATGAATCGCTCGTCACTCACCGCTCGCCGTCCGTCGTTCCCCCAATGCCAGACAACTACGACCCGAGTATTCGTGGCCACATTGTTCACGACTTCAACGCCCCCAGGCTCAACCGGAATTTCTCATACAACAACGCATATGGTAGTGAACAGCAGCAGCAGGAGATTGGCCGTGTCAGCCCCCAAAAGATAGACCGGGAGCACACGCCCGTCTTTCACGAGCATTTCGATGACGAGACAAGCTATGAGGAGTCGCAAGCTGCCATCAGAGCCGAGCAGCTGGTCAACACAGACTTCCTCGCCAGGAACTCCGTACAATTCCCTCCGCCAGAACCCTCCATCGCACCCCCTCCTCCTCCTCCTCCTCCTCTTCTTCTAAAAGACCTGCCGCCTGTACCTCAGCAGTCCAAGTCTTCACCGCCTCCCCTCCCGCCTTTCAACGCTGCTGAGACCGTCTCAACCATACTCTCTCCGGTACAGGAAGCCGCCGATCCCTTGGACGTCTCTGCCGAAGTCACACCCCGCAAGAGGAAATCGACAAAAACACCGCCTCCTGCTCGCTCGAGAGCCACGTCCATGAATGATCCTTCGTTTCAGTCTGCAGGCCTACCTTCGCATTTCACCAGCAGAGCGTCCAGATTCAGCTTCCAGATCTCTGGCGGTAGCGATGCTGCCCAAGAGGCGATACTGGAAGAAAGACACAAGAAGAAGGAAGCAGAGAAAGCATCCAAGCAGGTTCGCATGTCAACCAACACAATCGAGGACGACTATGACGAATATGGAATGGACGACTACGATATGGACGACGGTTTCGAGGAAGAGATTCCCATGCTTGGCGAGGAGGATGATTTTGGTGGCATGGGTCTGAGTGATCAGAGCATGGATGCAGGGATCAATAACTTTGATTTCTCATCTCTGTCACTGCAGACGAACATGAACTACCCAATGAATCACTTGACGACCATGGGTCAAATCCAGACACCTGTCGATACCAACGGCAATCCCATAGGCTTTGCAATGTCTGACGAGCAGTTGCAGCATAATCACTTACTCGCCCCACTCTACCACACTCAAGGCTTGGATGCTCCTGTCGCTGAGACGCAAATACCAGAACAGAGCGAATTCCAGTCTGCACTGTCTGAGCACAATCCAAGTCTTCCAGCCACTTCCTCACATGGCGGCCTGGACACAAGCGCCAAGCAAGGCCCTGCTGACATTGATCTGGGAGACGATATGTACTTCGACGATGGCCTGATTGGAGACCAGGACGAAGATCCCGCCGAATTCGACGAAAGCGTTTTCGATGACCCCAATGGTCCACTTTACGACCGCAAAATAAAGCCACCACTAACTGAACAAGGATCAAATACCCTAGCGTCACATCAACCTGGGTTACTGAGCTCCGAGATGGGCTATGAGGCGGACGATGATACTATGACTAGGCATCTAGATGTCTCTGAGCCCTCGCTAGCTCACAAAACATCCGATGCCCATCCACATACGTTACCCGACTTCAACAACATGAATGCATATCACAGCGCACTTGCCGATGCAGCCACTCGCGCTCAAGCTGCTGGACGGTTTACTCGGAAGGCAAGTGTCGATGTTGGTCAGCCAAACTCTGAACCTGACGATGTTTCGTTTTTGAGTGATTCGCGTCCAAGTCTGGTTCCCGATGATAGCCGCTTCAGCCTAGACACCCAAAATTTCCCTCCCGAAGATGATGTTTTTGGCATGAGCTCTAGTTTCGTCGACGATTATGAGTATAGCGACTATGATTCTGCTCTCGAGGACGATCCGATGATCGCTGCTGCCAACGCTGAAGCACTTGCATTCGACGATGAAGGTTTCTACGGCCAGGAGTTTGGCTTCTATGCCTCGGCTGTTGGCGACTCACCAAATGCTTGGGGTGGCTTCTTTGGGCCATCTGGGATAGGTCGTACGGTTAGCGGGCGGAATGCTGTTAGGGAACCTAACCTGACGCCTATCACGGAGCGTAGCGAGTACAGCACACGCAACTCTTTCATCAGTTTGAATCAATTCCGTGATGGCCAGCAGCCTATACAAAGCCCTGGACTAGCACAACTTGCTCGGATGAGCCCGTACGAATGGCCGGAAGAAGAGGGCATGAGTATCGAAACGTTGATGAAACTGAGGAAGGGGGCTTTTGGGGGGAGTGCTGCAAGCCTACCTGCAAGTACAGCTAACAGCCCTCGCAACTCATCACCAATGGGTATGCAATTTGCGCCCAGAATCTCGAGTGCTGCAGGAAACCGCATGGTCGAGCACACCGACAGCGAGCGTGAAAGTGATGAATCGGCGAACATTGAGGATGGCTTCGAGGGTAATGAAGACGACGATGACGGCCTCATGGACGCTGTGAACGCTGGCCATGAAGATGAGGATGACAGCGGAGATGACAGCGGCAAAGACAGACGAGAGTCTCCTACACTCACAGCGAGCGACTATAACTCCATGTCAAGCCCGGATGGTGACCGGAACAAAAACATTCCGCCATTGCCGTCTACTGCTCAGCTCCACGCGCTGCATAGTATGCAGTCACCTTCCCATATTGCGCAACCCATGTCCCCTGACGGGCGCCCTCTCAAATCACCAGCGAACATGCCCCTTCCCATGTCGCCATTCGGCATACCGCTTGCTTCGCCATTCAGTCCTTCACAACGACCTACGGCTCCACCATCCATTGACACGTCCTTGTCGTCGCCGTCCGCCACGATGTCTAATTCGACAGGACCACGGCGACCGTCCATGGCACTCGTATCACCAATTTCCAATTCCTCGCCCATTACGCCGGGTGGCAGCGGGTGGCGAGCTGGGCATTCGAGGAAGGGAAGCGCGGCAGATAGTGTCACATATGTGCGTGACCATGATGAAGCCGGTGAGGGCCGGTGGATTCTTGAACGCAGACGTACGGCAGAAAGCGGTGAGCTCGAGCTTATCGGACGCGAGATTGTCGAGGGTGGTAGGATATAAGACGCTTGGTCAACTAGAAGACCAGTCATTCTTGACCCTTTCCATATGGGTGTTTGGGAGCATGGTCCCACGAGGACCAACGCATTGATTGGCGTTCTAGCGATTGGTTTTATACACGAACAAGACGGGCTGGACCTTGAACATGGACGAAAATAGATGTATAGATGGTGTACATAGTGTAATGATGAAGGCTTCTCCATCACAACATGTCGATTCTGTTGTGTCGTAGCATGAAAGGAAGGGTGAGGCTGATTGTCGTCGCGCCCTCGGAGCCCACGTCCGGAGCTAGTGGGCGGGATGTCAGACGGGCGCCACCATGCTTCGCCATGTCTCCCGCAACGGCATTCCAGACTTGGCACTCGTTAAAGATATGTAAGTTGCTTCCCGCGCACGAACCGCCATGCACATGGCCCCCTGTGCAAGTGTCTCCAATTAAGCGACGCGTCATCGCCAAGCCAGACATGCCGATTTCCGCGCCTGTTAACCTCATTCGTCACTCTGTGTGGAAGCGTGCAGGGAAACTGCGACCTGGCGAGAGTCAATCAAGATGGCAGGGTGCAGCATTAGGATGCCAATCTTTCTCCTTGGATTTCCGTTCTCGCGACACTGCTCGACCCTGATGCGTGCCTCACGACGCCCACCTTAAACCCTCCAACCACCCAGCATGGCCATCCGCGCCCTTAATTCGAGCCTCATCTTTGACCGGCGCGTTATCCTCGGACTCGCCGCTATTGTGATTCTGTCTTTTACATTTGCGTTCCTATATGCACCCGATTTGCGCCCCAGCGCAGATTGGATACCACCACTCACATCCAAACCCGCGCCCGTCTTCTCCGCACCGCCGAAAGACCCGTCAGACCCCAACATCATCACTCTTGACTACTTGAGGATCAAGCCCAATGTCACGGACAAGGTTCGGACGTACTGGAACATACCGTATGCGGCGAGTGCGGCAGGACAGAATCGGTTCAGAGGTCCGCAGCCTGTGAATCGCACATACGGACTGGGTAGGAACGAGGGCCCGCTGGTATGGAGTGGAGAGACTGGGCATGTGTCCACGCATACAGAAGATCGATGCGGCACAAAGGAACAGAGACGATGTTGCTGGAGAAGACGTATTGGGAATCAACACACGATATACCGAGGACTGTCTCAGCTTGAACGTATTTACGCCCATTGATGCAGAAGCTGGCGATGATTTGCCCGTACTGGGTCAACATCCCCGGCGGCGGTTTCCATCTCCCAGGGCAGGAGCAATGGAGGAGAAATGGTGGAGAAGAGTCGGCGAGAGCGCGGCGTCAATGGGAAGCTCGACAAGGGCATCGTTGTCGTGACCATGTACTACAGGAACGGGCATCTACGGTTTCCTATCCGGAGAACAGATTGCGAAAAACGGGCGACTACAACAACGCGCTGAGGGACCAGAGAGCGTCCTTGGAGTGGGTACAGAAGTACATTCGGTACTTTGGTGGCAACCCAGACCATGTGGTCACCATGGGGACAAGTGCAGGTGGAGCCTCGGTGCTGCTGCAGCTCACTGGCAATGAGGGAGACCATCATGTCGCCGTCCCTGGGACAGGAAGGAAGCCACTTTTCCATGGCGCTATTGCACAGAGCCCTGCGAGTCCTACCTTCTTCACACCCGAGCAAGCTGAGAAGTTCTACAGCGAAGTTGCCTCTGGCCTCGAATGCGACAACATCGAGTGTATACGCAAGTCAAGTCCAGGAGATCTCTACTACGAGAATTACCCCATGAACTTTCCCGACCGCAGCACACCACCGCGCTGGATGTGGGCACCCACAACGGAACCAAAGGGTACTCGAGGATGGACCGAGGGTGCTCCCGCTGCTATCATGAACGACCGTTATGCCAAAGTACCCACGATCATCGGATTCACTTCCAACGAAGGCAGCGACCAAGTCAAGAAAGACACCGACACCGAAGACGACTTTAGAACGTATCTCAAGGACCACTACCCCCTCCTTACCGACGACGACCTCACACTCCTTGTCAAGACATTCCCGAATGACCGCCACTGGCGTGACAGCGGCCGCTGGTGGGACGCCGTCGCCAAGGCACAAGGCGGCATCCGCTACATCTGTCCCACGTACCTCGCCTCCAACGCCATGTCCAAGTACAACCCGCCGTCCGTCCCCACCTACCAATACCAATGGGACGTGATGTGGGGCGAGGACATTGAGAACGGCTACGGAACCAAACACGCGGGCACAGTCGGACAGGTAATGGTGCGCCGCAAGAACGAGATCAGTGACTACTTCATCTCTTTTGTCAAGTATCTGGATCCCAACGTGGAAAGGAGTGCTGGCACGCCTGAGTGGGAGAAGCTGGATGACAGGAAGAGGAGGATGTTTTTCACGAATATCAAGGAAGGTGGTAAGAGGGGCGATGGAAAGGACATGCTGGGCAAGATGCGCATGTGGATGGAGGATGTCGATCAAGATAGGGAGAAGTCGTGTAATGTGGTCAAGGGACTGATGGGGAGGTTGCAGATGACCGGTGTTGAGGCGCTCAAGATCGATTAGTGTTGTTTTGGCATGTTGAGTGGCATTTACAGGTGTTTTGGGTGTTTTGGGTGTTTTCATGATATAATTGACCATATGTTGGAGATGTACTAGTATAGGCACTTTTGATAGCGATGCACAAAACATTACAGAACAACGTTTGAAGTGTCATCGTGACGGTGAAAGCAGGGTCTAGCTGACTCATCCTGCTAAGCGAGCTCCTCCAGCTTCCCACTTCCTCCCCTCTTACCTTCTCTTTCACACATCATCCTCCGCGCCATAACGCAATCGCTCTACCCACGCCCACCACAACCCCTACGTGTCTTGTTAGAACGTGCCAACCCAAATCCACTGCAGCTGCCCGTGACACCGTTGGCACCACCACATACTGCGTGAACTCTTCGTGCTTGCAGCCGGACTTGAAGTCGCGAGATTTCAAGTCCGGCTGCACGAAGTTCTCTTTGCTCCCAACGCTTCGCGGCGTCTTGATCCCCACGGTTCTAGTCCGTGGACTAATACAGAGTTCATATTTCGAACTTGTTTAGATAGAATGTCACATTTAACGTATCCAACTATTTCATTCTATCCTAGGGATGCTGCATCTACCCATCCATCCAGTCATCCTCAACAGGAGGAAGAGGCGGGATGCTAAAATCATCCAAGCTTCCACCGCCCCCATACGTCATCTGCGTGTGTCCGAGGACAGGACTGCTCCATTCCTCCATCCTAGCTTTCGTTGGGCTAGGAAAACTGCTGGGTATGAACAACGACGGCGGCTTACTTGGTGAGATGGCAAGCTGGGAGCTGGCGATCTTATGCGGCGTCGTATTCGCACTATATGTGCGCTGCGTCCTGGTTTTTCTGGGCGTCACTTCGTCTACTGTAGTTGCTTGGCTCATGAAATGGCCCGATGTTTGGGGCGGCGCAAGAGGGCGCGGGGGCTTAGGTGTGGCATGGTAACTGAACTTGTCGTGAGATACATGCATGCTGGATGACGCTGGTGGGCGTGAATTGACATATTGCGAGTACGAGAACCATTCGTTGTGCAACTGCTGCTCGGCCTTGCTCGAGTGTGATTGTTGAGTATCATGATGAGCGGGTGGGGAGCGGGGCACTTGTACCAGTTGCTCATCAAGATCTGTAGATTGTTGGAAAGCAGGAGAAGAAGGCTGTGGCGCACAAGATGTGCTCTTGCGCGGCGGTGTTAGGTTTATATCGTCTTCTTCTTCATCCGACGAGTCCATAATGACCATGTGCGTGGAAGAACGGGCGTCTCCGCCTTGTTGCTGTACAATTGGTGGCGAGGAGGGTACTTGTTCGTCGGCTGTAGATATACTGTCGTCGGCAAGACCTGCATCATGGGCCATGGGCATATCTACCTGCAATGTCGGGTTTTGTGTAGTGAGGTCAAGCATTTCTACATCGGTCCAGTATTCCTCTTTGATACCGGAATGCGCTGAACGATATGGTGGACGTGCGTCTTGTGATTCTTCTGCGTGGTTGCTCGCGTGGTCTCGTATTCTTTCTCCAAGCTCAGGCGACGGGTCGTGCTGTATTATGGACCGCGTGGACTCCTGTAGCCCCTCCGGCAATTCGCGGGCATACCCGTCATCATGCGCATAGGCACATGCCTCGTCAATCTGTTCCAACATTGCTTGTGTCTCGCTTCCCACATTTCTACCGTGGGCGGTGTTGTCTATATCATGGATCAGCGCTTGTGTGTGCGCACTGACACGACCACTGTTAGGGTTCTCATCCGTCTCGAGAAGTTCATCATCCTCGTCCTCATCCTCATCCTCCGAGTCCTTAATAGTACTCTTGAACTTCCTCAGAGTCGGCGGGGGTCCAGGGGTTTTGGTGGGTTCTCGGAAAGTTACTTTTCTGCGTTTGGAGGGTGTATCCATTCCTTGGACCTCGTTGGATCGCTCCTTGAGTGGTGATCGATCCTTTTTAGAAGGTGTGACCTGAGTCGATAGCGGTGAGTCGGCCGGTGACTGTGAGGATGGGATCTCCCGGATGCGACGCTTCTCGGGGGTAGAGAGTAGGCCAAACTTGAATTTCCGTGTGCTTCGTGAAGCTGTCACAGATGCCTCGACTGTTGGCGACACGCCTTGCTTCTTCCTAGATGCCCATCGGGGGCTTCGTCTTGTCCTCGTGACTGGAGCATCGATGAACTGCGTGGGTTCATAACTTCCTTCGTCTTCTTCATCTATGCGATGCTCAAATGAGTGCACAACAGTCGAAGGCACATTGAGCGATTGGTCGTTAACGTCTGCTTCGTGGTCGTTCGTGCTACCTGTCTTCGAAACACCCTCAAGCGAAGCCGGCACCTCTGTGTCCGCCCTTGTAGCGTCGTCCTCCTCCTCTTGAACCGATCCCCCTCGAGCAAGACGGGCAGCAATCGCCTCGCCATACGCCTGGCTTTCTCTCTCTTCCGCCTTTGCATCCGCGATTTCCTCCTCTAGATCAGCATCCGACAGTTCCTCTGTCGGCTTCATGCCAGGGACCATCTGTGTCAATGTCCGCTGCCTTTCGTCTTTTGCTTTCTTGCTCTGCCCACCCCAGCTTAATCGAGGGCTTCGCTTCACCGGCTTGAAATCAGGCTCTTCTGCATCGGACAAAGGTCTTCTACCATCCACTAATTGAGTCATGGTAGACTGTCTCCTCAGTCTGCGGCTCCTGTCCACCTTCCCCCTAGCCGACGCAGTTGTGGTATCGTCGTCATCCTCAGACTCGGCTTTGAGTGGCCTCGAACGGCGAGTCGAATTTGGCGCTGCTTTCCGCCTTCGCTTTGGTGATGGTACGCTGGAATGATCTCCGGCCTCATTTCCTGCTTCCAAAACATCGCTACGTCTCTTCCTCCCTCGATTTGTCGGCATCTTGCCGTGGCTCCGTTGGTCGTCCTTCTGCTCGAGTCCTGCTTGTCCATTGATCGCCACTCCACCCTCTTCTAGATCTTCACCTTCCTCTTCATCAGAGTCTTGCACAGTGTTGACTCTCGGGATCTTCATCTTGTCCGGTAAAAAACGCGTTTGCCTCTTATCCGCAACATCTTTTCCAACGCCGTCCGGTCGGCGCACTGTCTTGCGTCGATGTGGGAAGTAAACCTGCTTCGGTACTTTCTTCGCGTAGTAGACTTTAAAGTTCGCATCTTTGTTACTATTTCTTGTCTGTGGCGTCATGGTTGACGTGGTTAGGTACTTGATCGTGTTCAAGTCGCGTTGACGCGTAGAGGGGTGCCTTAGCGCGTAACTCTTCTGGGGTCGTGCGTCATTGCCACCTCGCGCCATGTTCACCACAACCCCAAACAGCGCTTGTATCTATGGAAAGTTCTTCGAGTCATGATTTCAGTAATCATGCGGCTATCGCACGATCACTATTCACAACGACGGCAATACTTGCTAGTGACGTAATCTTCCCGTTCATCAACAGGCATTCATTCTAGCTGATCACTCGACTCAGTGTACGAGACTCCAATCTACAATCTGTCATTCTGAGATTAGTTATGGTCGAATTTGCAAGGTCACGATCACAAGACTGTGAGCATGTTGAGGCTACCGAATGAGGCATCTCCGGCGACCGCGAATCCCATGCCTCAGCAGACCCTAAGCGGACCCTAACAAAAGCTTAGCAAAGCTTAATGTCGACATGACACCAAACCTTGATGCTCACCGTCTTTCCTAGATAGTGGTTAGAGTGGTATCATTAGTTCCAAGATCGCCAGCAGATCCCGAGGTGTCACTCATGACAACACAGCTAGCGTGAGCATCCGAACCATGGTTTGAAGTCAGCCCCGAAAGCGGAAATAATTTCTATCATTCGGGCACAGCACAGCTGGTGCCCACGAAAGCCTTGTTATGAGTCCGACAATAGCATATGACGCAATAGCATGGTAGCCAAGAGATTCTTGATTCGATAGTGGTGTACGACTAGAAAACCAAAACTGCGAGAGAAACGCGCAAGCTGTCGTGATAACAGCATGTGAAACAGCGAGGGGTATAAACTAAGAAAAACAAGCTTCCGTTTCCCCGAATACTTCAGCGCCATTACGTTTGCGGTGATGGCTTTGGAACGTCACCCTGCGATGAATTGTGTTCGCGCAACATGTGTATGAAAGGATGGTCAACCGCGGCACTGCTCTGCTCCGGTTTCGGCGGCACCGACGGCAGGCCGAGATCAAGAGAGTCAATCCGAAGATGATCTGTGGCTCCATCGAAAGAAGTAAGATCTGGAAGAGTACATGTGTTAGATCATGATGCAAATCATGTGCAGAAATGGTAGGGTGGGATGGGCGAGAACGATCGTGACTTATCGTCACGACCAGTCTTTTGTCAACCCACTTGGATCGAACGTGTTGCCGGCATTATTGGTGCTCGGAGAGGCAGAGAGCTGTTGGGCAGCTGCTGCGGTCGCCTGAGCCTTCGCGGCTTCGTTGGCGGCAGCCATAGCAGCTGATAAGTCGTGCTCAATCTTCGACTGTTGAGACACTGTCCCATTACCACCACCGCTACTGACCGGTCGAGGATCAGCACCTTCACGTTCTCCCACAGCTGCGGCGGCTAGATGCTGAAGCCCAGCCATGTTCGGTTGCAAGGCAGAACTAGTTTGTTCCGAAGTTTCCGGTGCTGGCGAGGCGGCTCTTTTCTGGTGCAAGAGGTCCTGGAGCGCCACGTCCCAGCCTATTCCGTCCAGACTTCGATGAATGATGTGGCCATTATTCAAAGCATCACTCATATCCTTCATGCTGGCATGAGCATCAGCCTGGGTTTCCATTCTATCGGACAACTCAGAGAGAGATGTCGCGACGAGACCTGCAAAGACGTGATGCAAAGGGGTTATCGCCCCATTCGCAAGTCGGTTCAGTAGTTCCCTAGTGATATTGAGAAGGTCACTAGACTGCGTGGTATCGGAATAGAACCGTGCTGCAACGAGCCGCAAGTACTGATAAGCAAGATAGGGGGGCGAGCTGTCGACTAAATCGGTGATAATAATAGACTCGCGGAAGCTAGTAAGTTGTCCATTGAGGTAGATAGCTTGAGGTGACGTCGCATTGACCGAAGAGAAAGCAAAGGGCGAGGCCGGATCAATATTTGGCACGTTGCCGGCCCGCTTAAGGAAAGCGATCTGGCCTACGATTTCCGCTGCACCTAATTGTCGTTAGATGCAAAGTTGAGCTTCATGTTTAAATTGACTCACGAGCAAGATGATAGCCAACATCGCCGCCCAACGCGGAATGGTCGTCGCGTGATAGACCGCCTGACTGTAATGGAAGCATGATATCTTTGCTGTGACTAGACGCGTGAAAACGGTCCAGGATGAACGCGGTCCAGAAGACGCGGCGCGCCGTCAAGTACACCTCCCGATCCTGTTCTTTGAACTTGTTCAACGTTTGCGAATCATTGAGTCCTGCATCACTGATGCAACCGGCTAGCTGGCCGAGTAGTTGAGCTATGCTGCATACAGTGGCCGGTCCGGGACGGTCTGATGCAAGCGCTAGAAGGATGAGTGTCTGGCAGTATACCAAACTGTTGTAAAATTGTCGAGAATCGTCCGCATCGTGAAGTGTGTTTTTCGCAAGATCGACTGCTTTGACACATGAATGTAAAAGTTCGTTCAGACTGAGCTCAGTCTGCGGGAGCGCCCTTGGTGCGATAGAACGAATACAGCCTTCCAGAGAAAGGAAGAATGCCTCGCGTAGCTTTGGAGGACAGTGAGTAAGACGATTAAGCGCTGATGAATCATGAGGAAGGATGGGAAGCGTAGGGTGTATGACGGTCGCATATCTGAGCCACTTAGCACGTTTCCTGGAATGAAAGTAGCTTCAAAACCTACGCCTTGAGGATATCTTCATTGGACCCCGTAACAAGACTGCCAATCAAGCTCATTTCGCCAAAAGAGGTACGACGATTGCCATTCAATTGAGGTTCTTGGGCAGTCAGCAGGGAGAGCATGTCTCGCTCGGTTGGATGGCAATTACCACGATCCTGGCCTGACCAGCTAGGCCGAGCGAACACGTCTTGAAAATCTTCGGTCATAGAATGAGTTCGCTTTCGTGTGAACTGGGGTGGACTTTGGTTATTGGCAAAGTTTTGATCGCTCATGCTTCCGAAGTCGAAATTGGTAGATGAGTTTGGAGGGTGTTGTATCTGGCTTTCGAGCGAATTAAGTCTATCCGCGAGCTCTTTGATGTACCTGCATACATGGTCAGCATGAAGTTTCTAGCGCATCGTAGACATCTAAAGTGACTGCGAGATCGTGTAGGTAAGGCAATATACCCTTTGCTCGGACCTCTCTTCATGGGTTGTCGACTAAATTGACATCGCGCTCCTGTTCTCTTACAACTGGAGCAAGATTCTGGTCCATTCTCGCTTGTCGCATCACACCGTATCTGTTCTTGTTAGCAGACTGTGCCAGCACGCTGGGAGCATTGCGCACCTTCTTCCGCCGGCACTCGTCGCAAGCGCGGGACACCTTGGATCGCTTGCGACTTGGATCGTTGGGATCGTATGCGTCGTGCTGTCCTTCCAAGCTCATGACTGCATGCGCCATCTGCTGGGGAGAATGTGTAGGGCGCGCGGGCGACTGGAAGTGCTGGTGCGCGCCCATCGAAGGAGGCATCTGTGCCAGTTGCTGGTACTGGGGCTGCTGTTGGTTTCCTGAGTGCATCATATCGCCGCCTTCCCGAAGCTGTTGCAGATTTTCTTGCAAGCGCAGCTCCGGGTCGGACATGTGCTGTTGCTGCTGCTGGGTGGGTTGCGCCTCATTGTGATTGACGTATGCGCCCGGAGCTCCGCTCATCTGCGCGTTGGGGTCGGGGTAGTTGGAAGACATGTCGGCGCGCTTCAAAGCCGTGGCAGAAGCTGAAAGACGCGTCGGCGATTCTTGCGCGAGGTTTGGGGGCGATTACGCGTGCGCGCGTGGTGAGGTGCGAAGCGATAAGATGTTGAAGCGTGATGGTGAGCAACGGCCGAGGGAGGTTTTGCGCATGCTACACTTTGCGAATTCTGTGCTAGCGCGGCACAAGGCAGGACCAGATGCAGATTCCCGAAAGAATAAGAAGCGACCAAGAAACGACATGGCGGATATACTACCATCTCAACTCGTGACATTGCTTGTGTTTGGAGTGTTGCGCGCTACGTTCTGAATGGTGACGTTGAAGTCGCTGTTCGGATTATCTGTCTGGCCGTCGCAAGTACCTTTTCGGACCATCATCAATTCCGGAGGCACTGGTGCAAAGTTACGGGGAGGCAATGTCGCAGTTTTCTACTTCACGCGTCGTTTTTCGATTCATCAACGTGCTCCTGCTAGAATGCACGTGTGCGCTGCTCCACTTGTGGTAGCGACCCTGAAGGTGTCGTTGCAGGTGTCCTCGGAACATGGCGAGTCTTCCAACCACCACTTGCTGCAACGCGACATGTGCTGTTTTACTGCATGCCGATCTGCCAATTTACATGGTGCGAGACGTGCCTGAAGTCCGGTCTCTAGTCTATACGCCGAGCATGGAGCATACGTGTCGATATATTGTGAAGAAAGGAACCGGCAAAAGTGTGAGAATTGCCTTCCGCACGGCTTCTTGGTAGCGTGAAGCTTCATGCAAATCTGTACCTCACAGACCAAACATGTTGAATGCGGAGTTTTTCGAGCTGGACAAATGCCAACCGTTGACAGTGAGCTTGACCAGCGCTCCAGAGACGTGAGACTCGAAGGCCCTCTGCAGCACAAAGGCCCCATAAGCAGTCGTCGCAGGAATCCAGAGCACATTCTTCCACAAATCTAGTATCTGACCAAGGCCGTCGCAACCCAAGCCTACTTACGATAGACAAAGACAGAGTACCTGAACCTGAGAGTATCGCCCGTGCCGTGCCGCAAATTGGTGTAGCAGACGCTACAGATGCACACAATAGCGATCCTTCCTTGGCAACGGCGCTGAGCTCTGGCGATAGTGACACAGATGTCCAGAGTCCATGCGGTTGGACGGAGCTGGAGGGCGCCCGTGGCAGACGGAGTGGTTCCGCAACGGGGCGCCGAAGCTCGAGCTTGTGTGAAGGCAAGCAGAAGCACGAGCAGAGTGTGGCTACCACCCAGCCAGGAGGCTGCAAGTCATACAGCTAGCACGGCTACGGGCCTGCGGAGTGCACACGGGACTGCTCGTCTCGTCAGTCATCGGCGCGGGCATGCGGTGAGGGATGCAGACAGCGCAACCTAAACGACGTGGGATTTGCCAGGCAGGGATCCGTGGCTGATCGCGCCTTCCCTCGAGCTAAGAAGAGCCCGTGCGCATTTGCCGATGACGCTAAAGCCCCAGCCAATCACCCGCGGGCGCGCACCGAGCGCCTGCCCTCTTAACCCGTTGCTCCCGCTCGCTCTTTCTCCATCACCACCTCACCCCCAGGATATCCTCACGTACCGTAGTTTTGGCCGTCTCTCAGGAGATCCGTTGAACGCTTTTTGGCCAGCGCCGCTCTTCGGCCGCTCGGACCCCCCCTGATACTCTCTCCACTCTCCACTCTTCACGCTGTCGTCCTCGGTCTACTTCCCGGCGTTCACGGTCACCATCTAGCATATTCCCATTGCTCAAGATACCCTCTGCCATTTGCCTTTGTTACTTTCCCATACTCTTCTTCAACACTGTATCTTTAGCCGACGGCGACCACCGTGCGTGCGACGCCGTCTATTTTATTTTCTTTGCTCGTCTAGCTGCGTGCTTCGCGACGCCAATCCGTTCGCCCGCCTCGAGCCACCTGCGACGACCGCTTTCGGCCGTAACCGTCCCGGTATGCCTGTCATCGATGGCGAAAAATGGGCTTGCTCGTCCTGCATCAAGGGTCATCGAGTGAGCGGCTGCAACCACGCTGGTATGGCACTTCACTGAGGCGGTGTCAACCATGGACTAACTTTGGCTTTGTAGATCGCGAGCTGCACCACATCAACCCCAAGGGTCGCCCCGTCAAGCAATGCGAGCACTGTCGCGGTGCGCGCAAGTCCAAGTCTCACCACGCCAAGTGCGACTGTGGCGACAAGAAAGACAAGGACAAGCTCAAAGACAAGGGCGACGCGAAGGGTGAGCTAACACATGACCTGAATGTTCACGACAGCCCTGACTCTTTTGCAGCTCACGACAGCCGCTGTCAGTGCCATTCAGGTGGGAAATGTCTCTGCGGAACCACCAAGGAGAGCCTTGATCTCAAGCTCGACACAAGCAAACAGACGCTTCACGATGCCCGTGCCAAACCCAAGCTGGCCACTGCGCACTCGGAAAGCCATTTGACTGTCTTTGCGAATGGTCATCACAAGCCATGCCATCGGAACAACAACACTGCACACGTCTCCGGCGCGCCCTACAAGATCCCGCGACCGCACACGCTGCACGGCCATTCGGCATTCGCTGCATTGACCCAGCATGGCAGCAGCTACAACAACAGCAAGCCAGAGCCGCAGGCTACGCGCTCCATGGACACACTGTCGTTGTCGAACAACGATTTCTACACAATGTTTGGCTCTGCTCAGAGCTCAGCTGAGGATGTTCCGTCCACAACCATGGCTAGTAACCTTGACGCGAATGCATTCCAGGATCAAATGTTCGCCAGTCAAAGCACTCTCTTCAACCAGGACGGCAACTCGCCCGGCAGCAACGTGAGCGACTCGTTCCCTACCCAGCAATGGCCTTGGGCTCATACCACTTTGACCCCTGTGAATGGTATGTTCAACTTTGGCAGTCTGTCCACTTCGCCCTCCCAAGATTGTCTGCCCAACTATGACAACGACTGGTCTATACCTTCGGCTGGTTTCAACCCGGTTTGGTCCGCTGGCGATCTTCCTCTCGACCCAAGCAAGTTTACGGATACGTTCACGCAGCCAATATCCCACAGCGGCGAATCAAAACAGAGTGGACCTGGTCTTACAGCTGCTTCTTCTGTTCATTCCGAGATTGGAGAGCCAAATCCGTTTGGCGATCTGGAGCTCAAGCCAACGCAGTCTACTGGGAGTGAGACTTTGTTCTGGGAGGACAGCCCCGTGTATCGTCTCAACAGCTCTACCCCTGGCAGCAACTTCATTGCCCCTGGCTCAATGCCAGCGGCCTCTCTCCCGCAAGTCCAAGGTCTTGAGTCAGACTTCACCAAAGGCTTGACTGCGACCCCAACCTCTATGCCCCCCGGCACTGGAGTGACGGATTTCACCGAGACGGCTGCAATCGCTATGCCTACTGGTCTTGAAGATAATATCTCTATTGATCCATGGCCTATAGAACAGAGCACGGGCTCCTTTGGCGGTTTGACTGGATTCGAGCTTTCTTATCCCAACAACTGGTTCTAGACGCCTGCGAGGGTGTCGAAGCTACTGTTGCTTCTTCCCCTTTGATGACGCTATGATTTACGACGCTGCTGGTGCAAGATGCGACCGACACTCGTACCAGACTTCATTACTATCTTCTCCTAGCCACCTGGCTACCATTTCGACCTCGGTCGCCTGTGTATATTCTAACCTGGCCCGAACCATTCGTTTATCTTGTGTTCGTGGCCGTACTACAAATTTGCTGTGCTCGACGATTAGTCTGAGAAGCAGATCTACGTACATATGTGTGGGTGGTGTTCTTGCACCTGGGTTGGTTATGTGGAGTACTTCCAAAACTATAGACAGTGCTTTCGGTGTTGCAATCATCGGACCAAATGACAAAAATCAGAATTTAGAATTCAGCTCATCTTCATTCACGTCCTGGCTGAGCGACAGGTACCTGAATTGTCATGGTTGCTCGCTAACGGCCAGGATGGCATTGCAGTGTCGCACCTTGGAAACGCCGAAGTGACGTCCTCCGCTGCAGGGCCTATGCGCAAGTGCAAAGCTCGATGCTGCCTCCACCAATCCGGTGAAGACCCATGCGCCGCCCTGCAGGCAGAGATTTCATCGACGCTGATTGATCAATCGTATCGCTCGGCATGCACTACGGTCATGTCCATCTATGGCTACTGCACATCTTGGAGGTAGCTGTTCGGGTTCTCCCACTTCATGTCGTTCTCATGGCTGCTTTTTGTGGCGATTGCTGCAACACTAGCATCACGGAATTGTCATACGAAATGTAAACTCAGTAGTTGGTATTTGGCGCTATGATAGCTCAGAAAATATCGTCTTCAATCCTCGTCCTTAACAGGCTATTGAATGTTCCGGTGTACCATTGTTTTACCTTCAGCACTACAGTTAGACTGCCGGAAGTAAGCCCTCTTGCGGCTAACCGTGCGTTTCGCTGAGCGCGGCAGAGGATCGAGGGGGGAGCAGCAACACGATCACGAACCACCCCACGCAGCTTGTCGTGAAGGGAGGGTGTAGAGCTCATGATGCGTCTGCCCAGCCCACAGCCTCCTTCAATGCATTTGCCGTTCGCGATGTTGTGTAGCCAGCCGACTGGATGATCTGCAGCATTGCAGTGCGGCAGCATGATACCATCTGCGTCCAGATCTCTATGCCTTGCTTTCCATGGCATCACGCACGACATCACGTACAGCGAACGACGACAATCAGTATAGCGGCGCAGTTGTGTTGCTGCGTGTGAAGCGCCAAAGTCGCGCTCCAATGGCGAAAATCACGCAGCCTGTTAGCGACTTCCTAAGTTAGCACACGGCTGCAAAATGTCATAGTACATAATGTACCTACTACGCCCAAACGGATTTGCATCACGAGCTGTGTGTGCCTTTTTCGCCCTGGTGCTCTTGGGAGGAATGCAATGGCGTCGTGAAGCGCAGGCAGTGGGAATCAAGCATGTCACTGTCGCCAGCAGGGCGCTCTCCACATCACCCTGTGTACGTTGAAGATCACAATTCAGCATATTCAGAAAGAGGAAATATACCTGAGTCACTGTACATCTGGGAAAGTCATGTATCCTGTCTGTTCGTCGGTTTGTTATTAGCTGACCGATGGTGCTTGCCCTGCCCGGAAGTGTTGCAACAATGCTTGCCTGGACCCTGGCGATTTGCTCCCCCACAACACATTGTTGCAACTGTGCCGCCGACTCGCGCGCTCCTCGTCCCCACACCTACATCTCATACGCAACCAGTCCACAGTATCTTTGCCATGACCGTCCGGAGTCCGCCTGAATCAATCGGCGTCTGACGATCCGTGCTGCTATCCTCCGCCTGCCTGCATACCATCTCGGCTCACCATGACTCGAAGCCACAGCGTTCGAAATTCAAGTCGCCAACAGGCAAAAAGTGCAACTTGAGTTGCACTCCTTTCCTTTCCTTTCCTTGCACATAGCACGACTTCTATCTCTCTTGTTACAATATTTGAACCTTCCAAAGTTGCCGCAACAAGCATGTCCACCCGACGATCAGCGCGTCACCAATCACAGTATCGTCGGAAAAATTCAAAAAGGACAGCCTGTCAGCGATCGACAACGGCGAACCCATCACACAACAAACGCGTATGCATGGAACAATTCCCAGCTAGGGTTCGGACTTGACTTGTTGGCCTTGATCTGCGGGGATGCTCTCCACTGTTTATTAGCGCTAAATGTGCCAATGGTATAATCGTAAGCCTCAAGTTGCACGGTGTACACCGCAATATGTCGGGTCTGGCTTGAAAATTATTCAATGTATCGAGCAGATACTCAGGTACCGGCTTTGTCAAATCTGTCTCACCAGAGCTGTGTGACTGTCTTGAGTGAACACGGTCTTCCAAGCAGTTCCAGCAGTTCAAACACCTACACACATCAACAAGGCATTTCGTTGCTTGGCCAGTAACACAGGGAGTAGCATAGTTGATAACGCTCCGACGGTCGGAAAAGAAGGACCTGTCTTCTATCTAAACAACATCGCACGGTCAGCACTGACAGGTGTGTACCTACCCCATTTGGCCGTCTGGTGAAGTCACTGACAAGGACCTTCACCAAATAATCATACATAACGTATACTTGTGTCTATCATTCAATGGCATATTGCCCTTCTCGGCTCCTGCAACGCGCTTCTGACATGTCACTTGAGCTTACTAGCATCTTCGCACTTTCGCACTCTGCCAACTCCGCTAGTAAACCAATCGTCTCAGAACACTTGCTTCAGTATGTTTCCACGGAGTCGCCCCGGACCATTCGAATCGTTCAGAAAGCCTCTTATGCAGACGCGCAACGTCACAGCCACCTCTGCCTCGTATGCGTCGTTCACAAATCATAACGAGCATGTCAGCCACGCCAAGGCTTACTCTCGAATCTGCCCGAGCAATGATCCGTAGTCAGACCGGTGTTCGCCTCGAGTCAGCCATGGATCGACGATTAACAGACCATCAGGACCCTGCACAATGGACCTCCACGATGACGACGTCTCTGGGGCTGCAGCCTCATTGCGGGTGAAGCCGAGACAGTCCCGCAATCTGTCTTTCAGAGACGGATTGATGTCGCGTGGGATGCAATGATGCAAGCCAAGGGCGGCACTTGTACAGTCAAATACTTGCGAAACACCTTGCGCTGTAGTTTCCTGGGGACGTTCATCCAATGGCTCAATGCATACGCGCTGGGGTTGAGGTTCTTGGCTACTACTATGTACGAGCGGAATTCAATCATTCCTATCACTGGCGTACGTCTGCAACACTGATATTAGAACAAGTCTTTTCCGAACTGCTGCAACCTGACATGTGCGAAAAGGTACCAGTACTAGCATTCTTTGTTTTTCTAGTCCTCAATGTAAAGGTATACGTGCTCTGGCCAGTTGAATCCATTGTAATTGCAGTCTGTCCTACATGAACGTCCTAGACGAGGAAAGCCATGACGACCTACTCTCGTCGACTAGCTCGACGAGCTCGGCTACGAGAGCCGTTCAGGCCGGGCTCGCATTCAGGTTCATACAAACTCACTTACGGCAGTGCAGATGAGGGTGCTAACGAAGCATGTCGAGCACGATCGTAGAGACGATATCCCCTTGATGTAGGCCTTAGATTTAAAGTATGCAGTAGGCTGGCGAATACAAAGTCGAAGTATCACTCAAGCTAAAGCAATGCGCACACATATTTTGTATTCAATCCACTTTTCTCAACGCCTAAAGCACTTAGTGTCTTCCTGTGCTCCAGCCCAGACTTCTTACCTTGAAACAAAACACCCAATACAAGTCTTGTCTCTTGGCCATCAAGACCGAAGATTGGCGAGGATAATCATAGCCATCGATGAAGCCGTTGTAGGCTCCGGCGTGACTGGAACCGTTATTCTTGTAGCCGTAAGGATCAGTTGTGGTGGTGCGGGATGGTATATGAGTGAGTAGTTTAGATGGGAGATTGAATTGAAGTTAAGCGCACTTGTCAATACACTGCCCCCAGTCGACAAAGATTAATTACTATTTCACTCAGCGCAGTTGCACAGACGTCATGCCTCCCGGCGTCAACCCTCGAAGTTGAATGTAGTCTTCGTACTTCTCCACGGCTTTTAGGTTCTCAGCAAGTTCACGCTCCATGGCCGGCTGCCTCGCTGCCTCGTTGTCCCTGACCAGCCGCTGAATGCGCTCCAGCGAGCGGATGACGGTCTTGTGACTGTCGACCTCCATGCACAAGACTTCAGGCTTCGAGCTCCTTCTCAGCTTCTGAACTGTGGATCTCCAGCCGGTTGCGTACCGCGCAAGCGCTTCCTCGCGGTCTTTGACGCCACGAGCGGCGACGTCGATTTCGTGCTGGAGTTCTTTCACTGACTGAGCAGTTTCTTCCTTGAGCTTCTCCATGATCTCCTTGCCCTGGAGGAGCTGCTCCAATATACTGCGGTGTTTGTTGCGTACTGTAATTGCTTGTCAGTGTCTTGTACTCACATGAATTACTGGAAGGTAGGCTTACTCCGAGCGTTTGTGGCTTCGGTGGCTTCCGTGTTGCTGTTACCCATGGCTAACTCCATGTTACGCGACTCTTGGACAAGCGCACACCAGGGCTCGTCTGTGCTGTGTCAGTGATGGTCGTGTTACTCAGGGCTATCAACGTACAAGGGGCGATCTCGATCACGTCCTCCATGCCCATCATTCCAGGAGCTGTGTTAGTAGCTTGAGACGTTGCGCGTCGGCGCAGAATGTCCTCGAGAGATTCGGGAGTAGACATTCTGAAAGATTAGCTGTAGCGTGGGTTGAATAGTCTCGGTTGAAGATGGAAATTATATAACAAAGAAGTCATGGCTTATATACTCCTGAGCCTGCGGGAATGGAAAGAATCTGCGGTACGCTCTTCACTTTTCTTTCGAGGGTAGGGAAAGCTTTGGCACGGGAGAGTGAACGCGATTTCGCCACTGAGCAGTGAAAGACTCGCAGATTCCCCAGCCTCATGCTGTTTGGAAGAGAGATCAGAAACGAGTGAGCTTGAAGAAGAAGAAGAAGTAGAATTTGGGGCGATGTTCGGCTTGCTTTATGCCATGGACTTGGTTGCTATACAAGTACGGCAAAGGGCACGCGTTGCTTGCTCAATCATGATACGAGATCACCGAAGCCTACGACAATTCTAGGCGGTCTGAGTATAAAACGAGTAATCACTTTTGTGGTAATTGTAATGCTGGAAGCTACGACTCGATTATTACAAAACCCATACTCGAGCGCGTCATTCTCTTCCAACACACCATGCAGCTGACCCCGATTACCAATTTGTACAAACATCCTGCTAGATTCTCACTGAGATAATGAAAGCAAAAACCTCTCCCGCTATTCAAGTAAACTGTCAACATACAAGTACTCAGATCAAACATTCAACATTGATACCGCAGAACTTCATGACTTCTGACACCCGAATGACTGCCTGCAAATAAGCTACGCATCCGAGTAGCTGCGGCCCCATGTGCTTTTTAGCGACCGTATCAATTGTGTCGTCTTCGGGACCATCGCCATCCACTCGTCGCTATAAATTAGTGGGGAAACCCTCCTCATGCCAACATCTCATACACTTAACCTTATGATGACCTCTCGTAGCTAGCTGTTCAACTCTCAGATACCTGTCGCCTTCTTCCCAGTATTCTCTGTCCTTTTTACTCCTGGTCAGTCTGTAAAATGAAATATATCTCACGCAGATGTCAGGCCATGACGATCCTTCGTACCTAGAGATTAATTCATCATTACTTTGGCACAGATGCCGACCGTTGGAGGTAGATAGGAGAGTCTGGAACATGTCTTCAATCACCGGCGTGCTCATTGAACTTTGTTCAGCGGTGGATGACAGAATAAATTTACATTACAAAGGTTTGGTATGTCGACACAAGTACCCCCCAAAAAGTGCAACCCGTGACGCCAATGCTATGATACAATTCCCTTAAGCCCAGCAGCACAAGCACCGAACCTTGCTTTATGTTTTCTTGTCCTCCTTCTTCTCGCCAGCACGGTCGTCGCTAGCAGCAGCCTTCTTCTTCTGCTCCTTCTTTGCGCGTGCCTCCTCATCGTGCGAAAGCTTCGACACGGCATCTGTTCCAGAGTTCAAAACCTCGCGCCTCTCCACTGGGCCGGGGATGTGATCTGGTAGTTCCCCACGTCCAATCAGGGTCAGAACAATGGACGCGCCGACGATGGCAGTAAGAATAAACCGATATGTCCTGTACCAGTCGGGGGTCCATCCCATCTTAGTTGCGCGAACGTCGACATAGTACAAGGCGACAAAGCCCATGAATTGTGTGATGAGGGCGGCCTCGATAGGCATTATGATAGTGCTCCAGGCGACGGCGGGCGCGATGACTCCTATCGCATATCGCTTGTAGCTCTGGTAACCACCGTATCTGAGAGGGTTAGCTCAAATCGGTACGAAAGCGGACATGTTCACATACCCAGCCCATTCAAGGCCCCAGTGAATGGCACCAAGAAAGGATAGAATTGATGCGCCGTATCCAATTTGCAATGGCTCGATAAGATGGAGCAGCTGTGTAGCGTTTTTTTCGTCCAGTATGTAACCATAACCGGCGTTGGAGTGATTGATCTCCCATGCACACAAGACGGTCGCCATGGAAGTTGCCAGGTACGGGATGGTACCCGCAAGACCCATGTAGTAGGCTTCTCTGGGTACATTCTTCAGACTGAAAGTTTCCTTGACCATGTTCTGCCATGTGTGAGATGGGAATTAATTTACGGGATGCGTGGGTCAATACATACCACGTCGTGCTTCATGCCCGCCATCATGTCAGCATCCTTGGGGGTTGGGTTCTCCACACCGACTTCACTGAACATAGCATGTGTAGAAGATGTTGCGGAAACGGTCTCGGGTGTTGGCTTAATCTCTTCTTTTGCATAGCGGCTCTCGGCTTGTTTCTGCGCATCTGTTATGCTGCGGCGCATGGCAGCCCCTTGAACGGGCTTCAGCGCAGCCTGTCGCTGGATTCCTGGCCGCTTGGATGCAAGTGATCCAAATTGAGTTGTCCATTGCAATGTGGAAGCTGTGCAGCGAAAGCCGGTAGCTACACGCGTAGCCGGCGCCCCAATGGATCGCGACACAAGGCGCGAAGCTCCGTTCCGGAACATTGTGAAGTTATTCGTATTATCTACACAGAGGAAGAAAGGTATAGAGCATGCACGGAAGTCAGGCAAGATAAAAGAGGAGAGCACAAGAGAAGATGAGGAAGAACACTTTAGATTTACAGTTCGCAGCTCAATCAAGTCTCCCCGCGCGACAACAAGCTCCAGCTCCAGTTGCACGCCAACGTGACGTCACGAAGTGATCGGCAGTATCTCGGCCAAGTACTCCGCAGAACTCCACTAGATTGTGAACGAAAGACGTACGTTATCCACAAAACAGCAATTTTGCGTGATGAAATGAAAAAAATCCAGATGAAAGAAGTCACGGACCTGCGATTGCAAAGAAACTCGTACTTTACATTCGGATATTCTCCTGGGTCATTCTAGCTGGCGCGACGACTACAGATGTGCCTGAAGTAGTTCAGCGCTCTGTCCCCATGTCACCGAACGCTTGGCTCGATGCACGTGTTTCAGAGTTTAAATCAAAATCTAAATCCTTGTTGTCCGACAAGTCCGATCATTCAAGTACTGCCATTTATCGATTACGACGGAAAGTGAACAGGGCTCTGATAGCTCGAAGATCGAGTAGCCTGCAGTTATACACATCACCGTCAGGCTTCGATTGCGGCGACAAGGCTCTTTGAAAAACTCCAAGTCATCAAATGAGCTGCTACAGTTGCGATCTAGTCGTGTTCCATCAAAATCGACAGCAACGGTTTCGAGAATCGGTGAATTGTACACGAGAACCGCTATCAATACCGACTTGTACTGCGTATACCTTCAGGCTACCATTTGAGCAAGCTGAACTTGGGCATATTTCTGTCATATTGTCCCCATCAATTGGCGGTGCGGCTGTGGAGTACAAGCTGTTTCATACCATGCAATTGTAAGTGATGCAAGGCCTCAGCGATCCCATAGCTTGGAGGTATACGAAAGATGGTCGGGGAATCGATTTGGTATGTTGGAGATTCAAGAGCGGTGGTTGAGATGGGTGTAAATTCGTTCCTGAGCGCAAGATTAGAACAACTCTGGCCCATAAGGGCAACATTTCACGCGCTGACTGCCACGCACCACATGGAATCTTGGAAACTGTACTGTAAGCTACAGGAGCCTGGATGTCTTCAGTAGCTTACGTCGTTCTCACAAAGCCAAAACCAAATAGGTCAGAGACGTTCAGGCTGCTCGAACGTTCATAGACTTGATGATTGGAAGCACCCATCGTTTGTGGCTGACCCAGCAATTGAGTCTACAGCAAACACCGCAGAAGTGCGCCCTTCACACCTTGTCGAGACGTGAGAGGCGCAGGTGTCCCGGCACAAACATGGACCCGGTAGGCTGCCACTGCGGGTTTGCTTCTTGTGAGATGGACCAGCCCATTGACGCAGAAGGCGGGCGGGCCCTGTTTAGCTTTGTTGGCTGGTGCGACCTGAAGGTATACGCAAAGCTATGGCGTGTCGAATGTCACATGGTACACATGGTGAGCGGTCGAGGATACCCAGGAACCGGCATAATTTGATGTTTCGTAGAGGTTGTCGATACATCTCGAAGGCGCATGAAGGCGCTGGCTCGTGCTGAGGGCCATGACAGCCATGGATGGCGGGGCTGGCCTCTCGCTTAGCGAGCCGTTTGCGGTCATGGTGGGGTCGACTTCCGTCATAGGCCCTGGAACAGCGGCGAAGAATTGTGAGGAAGAGTCAATTCGAGTGCGATGGACGGCACAGCTGGGAAATTTGCAGGCAATCGGTGCGAGTGGGCAGCATCAGGCGTTATTTGCCCACAGCAGCCCATCAGGCAGCTACCCGTAGTGGGTCCGCGCAGCTGCGAGGAGGCTGTAGAAGTTTCTGGTGGGCCAAAGCGCCGCGTAGAAACGCTTAGAAACTTGTCGAACAACAACCTCGTCCACCAGAATAAAAGCTCAACGCCCGCCTCTGCACTTGTTTCCCACTACACACACAAGCAACTCAACTGCAAAGCCTCACCTACACTAAGTCACACGACTTGTGAGCAACTACTACGATTTCCCTTGCTTCTTTGATACCCCACCGCACATACACACAACACCATCATGTCTAGCTCAGGCCCCGCGATCGGTATCGACCTGGGTACCACGTACTCTTGCGTCGGTATCTTCAGAGACGACCGCATTGAGATTATCGCCAATGACCAGGGTAACCGCACAACACCCTCGTTCGTTGCTTTCACCGACACCGAGCGTCTCATTGGAGACTCTGCGAAGAACCAGGTCGCCATGAACCCCTCCAACACAGTATTCGACGCAAAGCGCCTCATCGGCCGCAAGTTTGCCGATGCTGAGGTTCAGGCCGACATGAAGCACTTCCCTTTCAAGGTCATCGACAAAGGTGGCAAGCCTGTCATCCAGATCGAGTTCAAGGGCGAGGAGAAGACTTTCACACCTGAGGAGATCTCATCCATGGTCCTCACCAAGATGAGGGAAACCGCAGAGTCCTACCTCGGTGGCACCGTCAACAACGCCGTCGTCACTGTCCCTGCCTACTTCAACGACTCCCAGCGTCAGGCTACCAAGGACGCCGGTCTCATCGCCGGTCTCAACGTCCTCCGTATCATCAACGAGCCCACCGCCGCTGCCATTGCCTACGGTCTTGACAAGAAGACCCAGGGCGAGCGTAACGTTCTCATCTTCGACTTGGGTGGTGGTACCTTTGATGTCTCCCTCCTGACCATCGAGGAGGGCATCTTCGAGGTCAAGTCCACTGCCGGTGACACTCACTTGGGTGGTGAGGACTTCGACAACCGTCTCGTAAACCACTTCACCAATGAATTCAAGAGGAAACACAAGCGCGTAAGTACCCCCCTCCTGTCTACCTTCACCTGATTTTCCTTTTCATTTCATTTGGTGTTGCACCATCCTGGACCCCTTCGGACCCCTTTGGACCCCATCGCATCGCAATCGCGATGCGGCATCCTGGATGCCTTCACACCCCAGGCAGGTGCCTTCAGGTGCGTCAAACCTTCGACTTGATGCACCTTCCTGGTTACCTTCACACCTGCCTGGGGTGTCGCATACCTGCCACGCCATGAGCCATCCTGGCTACCCTCACAATGTTGGGAGGGAAGGGTCAACACCTCGATCAGACCCTTCCCTGCCAACATCGGCTGACATCCACACCCTCTGCTGCCACTTCACTGCTCCCAGCCTCAAACATCCACCAACATCCACCAACATTCGCTTCTGCTGCCGCTGCATCCTGAGAGATCAAGACATGCTGTTCGGCGCCTCTGATCTGCAGTCCTGTCTTCTTCTGATCATCTGGGCCAATATTCACACACTTCACTTTGGCAACCCTCTCTTCCGACATGTTCTCGATTCCAAGGCTCTGCTTCTTGATCTCTTCACTGGCCTGTCTCTGTCTTTCTGCCCTGGACTTTGGACGCTGCTCAACCTCGCTGGTCCACCAACTCTCCAGTGGCTTCGTGACCATCACTCCGATGCACCGCTCAACGTCTGGGGTGTCTACCTTCTCCTCCTCGAGAAAGAAGGGAGTCGCGCCATTACATACATCGGATCTGGGACAGCTGCATCAAGAGGTCTTCGAGCTCGAATTGAGGAGCATCACAGTGGCAAATGTCCAGCTACGTGGGTTCAGGACGCCATGCGGAATGGCTGGGACATCACCCATACAATTTTGCTTGCTACCTGTCCAATCCCTTCCCCAGAGGACGTCCCTGTCTACAGGCTTGTTGTTGTCGCACTCGAGTCTGCCTTGGCTGCGCTCTTCTGGACTTTTCGCCGCCTGGATCACGAGTATGGGTATACCTTCCGCACCTCTTGGACCAGAGAAGAGCTACCCTATGACGGCGCCTGCACACATAATCCCATTGGCGAACCAGTTTATGGCAATTTCCACCTCAGCAAGGATGAGCTCAAGCAGATGGCTGCTGAGACAAGAGAGCGAAATCGAATCTACCAGCTCGAATATGCTCGAGAGCTCCGCAAGAATCCTACGGAACAGTACAAGAAGACTCAGAAGGCCAACAACATCAAGCAGAGGCCTGGTACTCAAGGCTCGTCCAGCAAGCATCAGTTCGCAACAAACTGTATGAATGCAAGACCTGCAATGTCTCATGCAGAGATATGGCAACCTTGGTGCGCCATAATGCAACTCCTCGACATCGGCGAATGGGTTGAGAAGGGTGCTGATGCATGGAAATGTTGTGGCACCGATTTCAAATTCGAGTCCAACTACAACAAGCACATCACCACCAAGTCTCATCTGGCGAAGCATCCGGGAAGCAGCTGTATGAGTGTCCTGGATATCCTCACACTACTATCCTGCCTTCACTTCATCACTCCATCCTGCACCCTGGACACCTTCACAGCATTCTGGCTCCTCACCATTCATCACTCCATCCTGCACCCTGGACACCTTCACAGCATTCTGGCTCCTCATCATTCACTGCATGATCCTGCACCCTGGACACCTTCACAGCATTCTGGCTCCTCACCATTCACTGCATGATTACGCACCCTGTATATGTTCACACCACTGACTGCTTACCAGGATTTGACCTCCAACGCTCGTGCTCTCCGCCGTCTCCGAACTGCTTGCGAGCGGGCCAAGCGCACCCTGTCCTCCTCCGCGCAGACCTCCATCGAGATCGACTCCCTGTTCGAGGGTATCGACTTCTACACCTCCATCACCCGTGCCCGCTTCGAGGAGCTGTGCCAGGACCTCTTCCGCTCCACCATGGAGCCTGTTGAGCGTGTCCTCCGCGACGCTAAAATCGACAAGTCTTCCGTCCACGAGATCGTCTTGGTCGGTGGATCTACCCGTATCCCCAAGGTGCAGAAGATGGTCTCCGACTTCTTCAACGGCAAGGAAGCCTAACAAGTTCCATCAAACCCGACGAGGCCTGTTGCCTACGGTGCCGCCGTCCAAGGCCGCCATCTTGTCTGATGACACCTCCTCCAAGTCGACCTCCGAGATCCTGCTTCTCGACGTCGCGCCGCTTTCCATCGGTATCGAGACCGCTGGTGGTGTCATGACTGCTCTCATCAAGCGCAACACCACTATCCCCACCAAGAAGTCCGAGGTCTTCTCCACCTTCAGCGACAACCAGCCTGGTGTGCTTATCCAGGTCTACGAGGGCGAGCGCGCGCGCACGAAGGACAACAACCTGCTCGGAAAGTTCGAGCTTACCGGCATCCCACCTGCGCCTCGTGGTGTTCCTCAGATCGAGGTCACCTTCGATGTCGACGCCAACGGTATCATCAACGTCTCTGCTCTCGAGAAGGGCACCGGAAAGACCAACAAGATTGTCATCACCAACGACAAGGGCCGTCTCTCCAAGGAGGAGATCGAGCGCATGTTGGCTGAGGCCGAGAAGTACAAGTAAGTTCCACACTCTCCTACTCTGAAAACATTATGCTAACAATCACTCCAGGGCTGAAGACGAGGCTGAGGCTTCCCGTATCTCTGCTAAGAACGCTCTCGAGTCATACGCCTACTCGCTCCGCAACACTCTCAGCGACTCCAAGGTCGACGAGAAGCTTGACGCCGGCGACAAGGAGAAGCTCAAGGCTGAGATTGATAAGACCGTCGCGTGGTTGGACGACAACCAGACCGCCACCAAGGACGAGTACGAGTCCCAGCAGAAGGAGCTCGAGGGTGTCGCCAACCCCATCATGATGAAGTTCTACGGAGCTGGTGGTGAGGGTGGCATGCCCGGCGGTATGCCCGGTGGCGGCATGCCTGGTGGCGCCGCTCCCGGTGGTCACTCCGATGACGGTCCTACCGTCGAGGAGGTTGACTAAGCGTATCGCTCCCGGCTTGCTTTCCTTCATCTTCATATTCCAGCATAGACTTTTGTCTCGGGCGGTAGTTCCTCGGAGTTCTCGGCTATTCAAGCCTTTTTCACGGTTTCTTTGAATGCATCGGATGATTTACGATCAACATGATTCGGAGGGTGAAAAGTTTGCGGTGTTATGACACCGTGTCATCGGATCTTCCTCCTAGATAGAGAGAATTGAACAATTAATTCAAGAATACTCGCTCCTATGCTTCGTAATTTGTGTGATGTTGTGAACATTGAGAATACTCTCGGTAGTGTGATCTATGTCGGTCAATGTCCACGGTTTGTGGAAATGAGATAAGTTGAACCTGTCTATCTTGATAGCAGCATTAGCCCAATCCTGTGTCATCAAATGGCCTTGAGGGTATACAGGTTCATCACCCATGCCGGGCGGGATAGCAGAAGACTCATGCGCTGTCACCTAATGCTGGCATGGCCTTTGAGGATATCCAGGCCCTACTAATTAAGAGTGATTATGTAGTAAATGAAAATATCTCACGCGCAATCGAATGCCATGCACATGTGTTGATGAATTGTATGATATATGTACTGGCATCTTACGCTATCTAACAGCCCCATCACCACCAATCCATCACGACTCCCTCTTCCCCATGCCAAACGCGCCAACTACCCTCTCATCCTCCCCCCTTAACCTCCACACATCCTCACTACTCGGACCCTTCCTCAGCTTGTCTTCCTTCTCCCTATACCTCTCCTGCACCATGCGCTCCTTGACGTCGCGCCCACTATAGCTATTCTTAACACGCATGCAGAACCAGAAGTCGTTCCAGTGGTCGCTACACGAGCGCAGCTGGCCGTAGCGGTATATGTCGTTGAAATGGCCGCCGAGTGAGGAGCAGTAGAAGGCTGAGTCGAAGGCGGCGCGGCAGGACATTGTGCGCGGGAGGTGGGGGTCGAGTTCGTCGTTTTCGTTGGAGGGGAAGGGGGAGGGGGAGGGGGTCTGAGTGCTGGAGTTTGTGGTTGTGGAGAAGGAGGGAGGGGCGAGATGGGGGTGGGCGGCATAGAAGTCGGGGTCGTGGTCGTGGGGTGCGGTGTCGGGGTGTGTAGGTGGGCTCGATGCCGAGCTGGAAGGAGGTATTGAGTGTGGCACTGAGCCTGACAGAGCCTCGTGAGGCTGGAGTTGTGGTGCTGATTGCGATAATGTTTGCGGTTGTGATTGAGGCTGTGCTTTGGCGTCCACGCTGCCACTTGAGAAGGGCCACCAGGTCATTGTGGTGGTATGTGTGTGGTTTTGCGCAGGGCGTACGTTTGGAGCGCCGGTGATTGTGCGATGCTAGTACGTCAGGTAAGGGAGGGTCGCACACTGTGTGTGTCTGGACAGGTGCCGAGGTAGAGTTGGAAGAGCAGATGTAGTGAGATTGCAAATGCCTTCACGGTATCGAATGTCGATGTGTCTGGAGCTAGCGTACCAAAAAGTGCAACGCGATCAACCGCGGGATGAAGCTGCAAGCTTGCAGCGAATCACCGTTGAGACGGCCCGCCTGAGGGCCTGTCAAATCATAGCGTGCCAGCCAAATCGCCCAACTCTACGTCATGCACGTCTCTTGGTCGCACTTGCGTCTGCCTTGCGGTGATCGCTGCATCCCCACATCTGCTGCTTGAGCGCGCGCTGAGTCAAGAGCTAGACGTGTCTTGTACAACTGCCCGTTTTGACTTTTCTTCCCTTCTCTATCTATTCCCCTTGCGACCTTCGCACACAGGTCCTCGGTAATACTCGACGCACGTCACTATTCTCAGGACCCGGCCACAGTCCTGTATTTACATATTTACACCCCGCCTGCTGTTTACAGACCACGATACCCGATACCCCCGAAGCGCACTGTTCCTGCGCCCTCGCGACTGTCCCTTATGACTTCACCAATCCTTGCCACGTAACGAACCACCCCATAACCCCGCCGGACACACAACCTTCTTTCTCGACGCTGCGGCCCGCGTGACGGTCACCTGCCGCCACCATGCTCGAGGGACTAGTGTCGAACCTGCTTAATCGGTTCTTGGGCATGTATGTCCAGAACTTCGATCCCAAGCAACTCAATGTCGGCATCTGGTCTGGTGACGTCAAGCTACGGGACCTCGAATTGCGCCGCGAGGCCCTCGACCAGCTGCATCTGCCACTGAACGTAGTCGCAGGACATCTGGGCTCTCTCACACTCTCGATACCGTGGTCGAATCTGCGAGGGAAGCCGCTCAAGGTCAACATCGAGGATGTCTTTCTGCTTGCAGCACCGAAGGAGGACTCCACTTACGACGCCGACGAGGAAGAGCGTCGGGCACATGCTGTCAAAATGGAGAAGCTGGACAGCGCAGAATTGCTGAAGGAGCGCAATACCGAGGGAATGAGCCCTGAAGAACAGCAGAAGAACCAGAGCTTCACGGCAAGCTTGGTCACCGCCATCGTGGACAATGTCCAGATCACCGTCAAGAACATCCACATCAGATACGAAGACTCAATAGCGGATCCTGGGCACCCTTTCGCACCTCGGAGTCACCCTCGCAGACTTCAGCGCCGTCAGTACAGACGAGAACTGGAAGCCGACCTTTATCCAGGGCAACGCCTCTTCGACACACAAGCTAGCGACCCTCGGGTCTTTGGCAGTTTACTGGGACACGGACTCGAAACTTATAGGCACCGGCAAAGGCAGTGACACCAAAGATGAACAGCACATCGACAATGCCGAGTTCATCGAGAAGGTCAAAGGCATGATTGCAAGAGGCGACAACCCGGATCTGGGCGACCATCAGTTCATTTTGAAACCTATCAGTGGTCGTGCCGGCCTGGAGATGGACAAGACTGGGAAGATTGACCGGCCAAAGATGAAGGCGCGCCTGCTCTTCGATGAGCTTGGTTTCATCATCGACGAGGACCAATACCGGGACGCTCTCATGCTCGTTGACCTTTTCCACTACTTCATTCGACATCAGGAGTACAAGAAATTTCAGCCCAAGTCATCACCCAAGGAAGACCCAGCCGGATGGCTCAAGTTTGCCGGACAGGCGGTTCTTGATAAGATCCACGACAGGAATCGCAAATGGAGCTGGGCCTACTTCAAAGAACGACGAGACGATCGGTTACGGTACATCGAGCTCTTCAAGAAAAAGAAGCGCGAGGAGACACTCACAGCTGATGAAGCTAAGGACCTGGACACACTCGAGCGAAAGCTTACATATGAAGATCTTCGTTTCTGGCGCTCTTTGGCGCGAAACCAGCTGCGCAAAGAGAATGTTGGTGTCAAGAAGCCGCCACCGAAACAGACATGGAGTTCCTGGGTTTGGGGCACGAAGCAGGAAGAGCATCATGACGAAGAAACCCAAATGTCTGAGCAGCAACGTAAAGAGCTCTACGATGCCATTGCGTGGGATGAGAAACAAGCCATCACAGAGGCTGTGGATATGCCTCGAGAATATGTCAAAATGGAGGTAAACATGAGCCTCAGAACTGGAAGTTTCACATTGAAGCGCGATCCGCATGGGGCATCTAAAGAGGTTCTACGCTTGCTCTTTGACTCATTCAGCACACAATTCTTGCAGCGCACAGATTCCATGTTCGTCAAAGTTGCTCTCGAGGGCATGCGCCTTTATGATGGTACCACCGACGGCAGCCTCTTTCCTCAGATCATCACCATTAAGGATGCCCCGCCAGTTCCAGATGACAAACGTATCGAAGAGCTTGACGACGATGAAACTTCCAAGGATGATGCAAACGAAGACGAGGACGAGGAGAAAGAAGATCCGTTCTTCCAGCTCTCTTTTGAAAAGAACCCCCTAGACAACAGTGCTGACACTGCCCTGACCATGAAGCTAAAAGGCATGGAGTTTGTTTACAACCCGCGTTTCGTTGTCGAGGTGGCGAAATTCTTCAAACCTCCGGAACGTCACATGGAGTCAATCGGAGCGCTCATGGAAACTGCGGGGGCTACTGTCGAAGGAATCCGCCAGCAGACTCGTGCAGGACTCGAATTTGCCTTGACAGAACACAAAACTATCAATGCACAGCTCGATTTGCAGGCTCCCCTCATCATCATCCCTGACTCAGTCACCCGGAAATCGAGCAACTGCCTCATTCTTGATGCTGGTCATGCAAGCGTGACTAGCGAGCTAGTTGACAAGGACACATTACGCGACATACAGGCGAAGCAAAAGCAGCAGTACACCGATGAAGACTTCCGAAATCTCGAGAATCTGATGTATGACAAGTTCAACCTCAAATTACATTCGACCCAGGTGCTCATAGGACCGTCAATCGAGGAGACTCGTGCCCAACTGGAGGAGAAGTCGTCCTCGCGAAACTTCCACATCGTCGACAGAATCAACATGGACTTCAAAATCGAGATCTGTATCGTGCCAAAAGCGTCTGATCTGACCAAATTCCGCGTCTCGGGAAATCTGCCAATTCTCCATGCGTCCATATCAGATGCGAAGTACAAGAACTTAATGAAACTTATAGACGTCGCGATACCGAAATTCGATGATGATGCCCCGGCTAAGCAGGTTGTGGAGGGCGCGAAGGGCCCATCCAATTTGAAGCCGACAAGCCAAGCCAAGCCTGCTGATAAAGATCCACTTGGCAGGTCACGTTCCAAGTCATTCCAATTTGCAGCTCAAGAGCACGAACTCGTCATGGAAGAAGAGGGTGATCACGATGGTGATGGTAATGAGAAATTTGAAGACGCATCAGAAGAGAAGGATAAGGTCAAGGAAGCTCATGTGCATCAACGAAACTTCGAGTTCAAATTCACTGTAGACAAGCTCCAGGGATCTCTGTACCGGACTGATCCAGAGGGCAGAAAGGCAGATAGGCTTTTGGTGGAACTCATCGCTGAGCATTTCGATCTGGATTTCTACCAGGAGCCATTTGAGATGGGCGCGGATGTCAGCCTCCGTAGTCTTGCTGTTGAAGATCATGTGGAGGACAACCCTATTCCAGAGTTCCGGAACATCATATCATCAGAAGATGTCTCTGCAGATGAACAGAAGGATCTGTTCACCCTGAAGTTTGTCAAAGTCAACAAGGAGTCACCTGAATTCCAGACCAAGTTTGAGGGTATCGCGACCAACTTAGACGTCGCGGTCTCGACGATCAACCTAATTGTAACAAGGCGGACATTGTTGACATTGCTGGACTTCGTTCTCATAACCTTCACGAACCCAGGAGAGTCAGAGAACCAACAAGCACAAATCGCCGAGAAGCCGGACGAGCAGCAGCAGGCTGCCCCACAACCGCAGACCGAACCAGACAAGATCAGGATCCGCGCCGAACTCAAACGCATTGCGGTTGTACTCAACAACGATGGCATACGACTTGCCACACTGAGTTTGAGCTCCGGTGATGTTGCCATCTTCCTCAATGGTAAGGCGATGCGCATTGGTGGCCGCCTCGGAAATCTCTCCCTCATCGATGATGTAAATCAAGGAGTGTCTGAGGAGTCTTCGCTTCGTCAGTTGGTCACAATCGAGGGAAAGAACTTGGCAGACTTCAGCTACGAGACCTTTGATCCAGATCTGGAAAGCTACCCTGGCTACGACATGTCTGTGGCGCTGAAGACGGGTTCCATCAAGATCAACTTCCTCACTGAGCCCTTTCGGAAGATCATGGAGTTTGCTGTCAAATTTGGCAAAATGCAGGCCATTTTCAATGCAGCACGACAGGCAGCAGCCAATCAAGCCACACAAATACAACAGCGGGCATCTAAGTTCCACTATGACATTACAATCAGCACACCAATCGTGGTGTTCCCAAGAATGGTCATCTCGGACAAGCCAGATCGCGATACGCTGACAGCGAATCTGGGCGAGATTTACGCGAAGAACACGTTCGTCCCGCTAGACGACAGCGAGAATGCAGACGTCGCCAACAAGATCTCTGCCGGTATCAGGAATATTAAGCTGACATCTAATCTTCACTACAACGAGGATCGCTCAGAAGAGCTAGAGCTCATCGACAAAGTCGATGTTGACTTCAACCTTACCATGGTAGACCACAAGCCTGGTTTTGAAAGGCCTGATCTTGAGATTGAAGGCTCAATGTCCAACATTAATTTGCGACTTACACCTGAGCAGATGAAGTTTGCACTAGAGCTGTCGCGAACTATACCACAAGCTTTCGCCACCCAGTCAGATAAGGAGATTGAGGAGGACGTGCAATCCGAATTGCCTGCATCGACAACAAAGCCTGCGCGTCAACTGACGGATAAGGAAACGCCCGATACAGAACCGTCCAAGCCTGTCGCTTCATCGCAAGGTCCTGAATTGAAGACAGACGACGACAAGTGGACAAAGCTTGACTTCGTTTTCAAGGTAGGCTCCATCGCTTTAGAGCTGCTGAAGTCGAGTGATGGAGAGCCTATTGGCGATCTCGAGGCAGCAAGCTTATCCAAGTTCTCTCTCAACGACACCAACGTCAAAGTACGCATGATCAGCGATGGCTCAATGGAAGCGGAACTTGTCGTTCAATCGTTCACTATACGAGACAGCCGCACACAGGGAACGAATAAATTCAGGAAGATCATGTCGCTCATCAACAACGACGTAAAACAGCAATTCATGGCTAGTGTCTCCATCTCTGGTGGACAAGAGCGCAATTTGATAGCGCTTCTCACAATTGATAGCCCGAGGATTATCCTGGCTTTGGATTACTTGTTCGCGTTACAAGCCTTCGTGAACGCTGGTCTTGCGACTGATCAGCCCCTGGCTATCGAGGAGGAAGCTGAGCAGGACGAGATAGACAGTGATGATGAGATCATGTCTCCAGACGGCTCTCGGACATTGGAGAAGCCAAAGACTCCGGAAGAGCCTACCGAAAATGGGATGAACATTTCATTCAGAGTCAACCTTGTGGATGCACAGGTCGTTCTCATTGCAAATCCAGCATTGGCCAGCTCCGAAGCCATCGTACTAGGTACAAAGCAAGTCCTTGTGTCGAAGCAGCAAGCCATGACATTACAGGTCGATAAGGTCGGCATGTTCTTGTGTCGGATGGACCGATTCGATACGAACAGATTGCGCATCCTTGACGACTTCAGCATACAGACCGCTCTCGATATGCGCAACCAGGGTCCGAAATCATCGCTAATAAGCATCAACATCGATATCGAACCACTGGTGCTTCGCCTCTCACTTCGCGATATCTTGTTGGCTATGCAAATCGTCAACCGTGCATCTGCTATGTCAGCAGGCGATGACAAGAAGCTGCCCACAGAAGAAGCCCAAAAGCTCAAACCAGCGACACCCTCAAAGAAGCCCAAATCAAGTGTAGGTCAAGCTTCCACAACCAGACCGCGTGCGAAATCCATTGCAACAACAAAAAAATCTATCCAGCAAGGACAACATCAATCTTCCTCAGGAGCGCCATCATCCTCGGTAATCCTCAAAAGGGAAGAGATGCACGTCAACATTGAAGGCATACGAGTGGTTCTGATTGGCGATGTTCATGAAATGCCAATGCTTGACTGGCGTGTCAAGAAGTTTGGTGTCGATGTGCGAGACTGGTCTGGTGCCATGGTCGCCGACACATCACTTGATACCCTCATCAATGTATACAACTTCTCCAAGTCCGCTTGGGAGCCACTGATTGAGCCTTGGAGTGTTGGCTTCCACATGGCCAAGGACCAGAACCCAGAAAGACTCTCTGTGGATTTATACTCCCGTAAATCGATGGAGCTTACAGTAACTGCTGCTACGATTGCCTTGGGATCGAAGTCATTCGACTTCCTTGCTGGCGAAGAGGACATTTTATCGAAACCACGTAGTAGCGATGCACCATACCGTATCCGTAATCATACTGGTTTCAGTCTCGACGTTTGGGCCGAAGGCAAAGAAGTCGAAGGCTTCTCTACAAAGCTGGAAGATGGCGAAGAGCAGCCATGGCGATTTGAGGACCCCATGTCGACCAGAGAGACATTGTCTACCGATGGCGCAAGTGGCATGGTCGGTGTTCGCCTTGGAGGAAGTGGTTTCGACACTTTGTCTCGCATACCTGTACATCGTGAGGGCGAATTTCTGTACAACCTCAAGCCAAAGCAGGATCGCATTCAGCATCGCATCCTGGTCGAGGTCAAACTAGGGGCAGACAACATCAAGAGCATCACGTTCCGATCTCCTCTCCTGGTGGAGAACAACACACAAATCCCAATCGAGCTAGGGATGTTTAGCCCCGAAGACGGCCACCTTCTCAAGATCGATAAAATCGCGCCTGGCGACGCAAGACCTGCGCCGATAGGATCTGTATATATGCATTCCATCGTCATCCGTCCAGACCAAGGATTTGGTTATTCTTGGTCGAATGAGCGTCTTTTCTGGAAGGATCTGCTCAAGCGACCCACGAGGACCATCACTTGTCGGGGCGAACAAGATGATCAGGCACCACCCTTCTACTTCCAGCTGCATGCAACTTATGACAAAAAGGATCCGATGACTGGCGTTTATCCTTACATGCGCCTCCGACTTCAAGCTCCTGTCGAGATCCACAATCTCTTGCCATACGACTTCAAGTATAGGATTTACGACAGTAACACGAAGAAAGACTGGACCAATTTCCTGAGGAAGGGTGGGATCAGCCCAGTCCATGTGGTGGAGCTCTCTCACCTACTACTTGTTAGTGTCGAGATGCAGGATGGTCCTTTTAAGCCCAGCAAATTCGGCATCATCAATTCCACAGACCGTGAAAGCTTCCGCCGGGAGAAGGTGCTGGAGGTTAAGGACGACAACGGCCAGATTCTGCACCTAAATATGCATTTCTTGTAAGTTGTCCCAAACCGTAATATCTGCACCCACTAACAATAATAGTAACTTCCCTGATGCTGGTGGAGCATTCAAAGTCGCGATCTACAGCCCATACATTGTGCTCAACCGTACTGGACTTGAGCTGGACGTTCGACCACAGCAGTTCATGGGTCAGGCCAAGTCTGCAGCTGGACAGAACATTCTGTCAAACAACACCGATCAGTCGGGCAAAGCATTGCCATTCATGTTCTCATACCCGACAGACAACAAGAAGAATCGTGCTTTGATGAAAGTTGGCGAATCCAGCTGGAGCAAGCCCCAAAGTTTCGATGCGATCGGAAGCACATACACAGTAGCGCTGCCATCCACTAAATCTAGATCGGAGATGCAGCTTGGTGTGTCTGTCGCCGAGGGCGAAGGAAAGTACAACTTGACGAAGGTTGTATCGATCGCACCACGCTTCATCGTCAAGAACAAGATCAAGGAGGAGCTACTCCTCCGTGAACCCGGTCAGTCCGATTGGATGACACTCAAGGACGGCGAATTACTTCCCCTACGCTGGTTGCGACAAGGTGGATCGCCACAGTTGTCTCTCTGTTACCCAGGTGTCAACAACCAATGGTCATCGCCATTCCACATCTCGAACGTCGGCAATGTTCACGTAAAGCTTTCTAAAGCTGGACAGCGCCAAAAATTAGTCCGTGTTGACATCCTGATGGAGCAAGCGACGATATTCTGTCATATCAGCGTGGAGACAAAGCACTGGCCATTCTCTTTCAAGAACACGAGTGACCAGGAATTCTTGTACTGGCAGCAGAATCCAAACCTTGACGAAGATGAGGATGATCGTGGCTCAGGCTTCCGGCCGATAAGATACCGCCTGCCTCCTCGAAGCATTATGCCGTATGCCTGGGACTTCCCCGCGGCGAAGAACAAGGAGATCGTGATCAGCGCCAATGGTAGAGAGCGACACGTCAAGCTTGCGGAGATCGGACCTCTCATCCCATTCAAGATCCCACCTGGCCAAGAACGGGGTGGTATGAAGGTCATTGATCTCAATGTTGTTGCTGTCGGCCCAACACAGACGCTTGAAATCTCGAACTACAAGCCTTCGAAGAGTTTGTACAAGCAGAAGTCTGGTACTGCGTCTTCCTCTACGACTACCGGCTTTGAAGTTAAGGATCAAGACACAGACGTGACCTTCAAGGCGCAACTGCGACTTGCGGGTATCGGTGTCTCGCTCGTGAACAGACACCTTCGCGAACTGGTCTACATCACACTGCGTGACATTGAGATGAAGTACTCCGACTCTCCAATTTACCAAATGATCAACTTGCAGGTCAAATGGGTGCAGATTGACAATCAGCTGTACGGTGGTATCTTCCCCATCATCTTCTATCCCAGTGTCGTTCCCAAGACTGGCAAGGAGATGGAGGCACATCCCATTTTCCAGACTACTATTACCAAGGTCAAGGATGACTCGTACGGTGTACTGTACATCAAGTACTTCACGTTCCTCCTACAGCAGATGACGGTTGAGATCGACGAGGATTTCATATTCGCAGTGATCGACTTCGCCAACATTCCTGGAGCCTCTTGGTCGGAAGAAAAAGAAGGCAAGCTGTGGGACGACTCACTCGACCTTCCAGAGCCCAAGCAAGAGCAGTCCGGACAGGACGTCTACTTCGAACTACTCCATCTTCAGCCTATGCAGATCGATCTGTCATTCGTGAGAACGGAGCGCATCAACGCTGAAGACACTATGAGCACATCGAACCCCTTCATGTTTGCTGTCAACGTCCTCACCATGTCTATTGGAAATGTCAACGACGCGCCTGTTCGGTATAACTCCTTAATCCTTGAGAATGCTCGCATCTCTACAACGGCATTGATCAACAATATCAAAAACCATTACGTGCAAGAATCATTGCGACAAGTGCACGTAATTATCGGATCTGCCGACTTCCTTGGTAATCCTGTTGGTCTCTTCACGAACATCAGCTCCGGTGTTGCCGACATTTTCTACGAGCCGTACCAGGGTCTCGTCAAGTCTGACCGCCCAGAAGAGCTTGGTATTGGTATCGCAAAGGGTGCATCCAGCTTTGTCAAGAAGTCCGTTTTCGGATTTTCTGACAGCATGGCCAAGTTCACAGGCAGCATGTCCAAGGGACTGTCCGCTGCTACGCTCGACAAAGAGTTCCAAGACCAGCGTCGCAACACCCGCTCCCGCAACCGACCCAAGCATGCGCTCTACGGCATCACAGCTGGTGGTAACGCGTTTGCCAATAGTCTTGCCAGCGGTCTAGGCGGTTTGGCACGACACCCAATTCAAGGTGCTGAGAAGGAAGGCGCGCTCGGTTTCGTCAAGGGTGTCGGTAAGGGTCTTCTCGGTGTTCCCACCAAAGCTGCGATTGGTGCCTTTGATCTCGCATCCAATATGGCCGAAGGTGTCCGCAACACAACAACCGTCTTTGATCAAGAAGGTCTCGATCGCGTGCGCCTGACGCGCTTCATTGGTACCGACGGCATTGTACGCACCTACTCGCAGCGCGAAGCCCTCGGCCAATTCTGGCTCAAGACGCTGGACAATGGCAAGTACTTCAACGAAGACTACATTGCCCACCTCGAGCTGCAAAACAAAGAGATGCTTGTCATGCTCACCTATAACGGCGTCATGATGGTGCGCGCAAAGAAGCTTACGACAGAATGGGAAGTTTTGCTCAAGGATGTGCAGACGATTAGCAAAGAGAGGACAGGTCTGGGTATTGCGCTCAAGGGAGGCAACCAAGGACCTTTCATCCCCGTTGGAGACGAGGGTAGCAGAAATTGGTTTTACAGGCAGATTGCCGTGGCGGTAAATGCGTATAATGACAAGTGGAATGCGAAGGGGTAGGCACACTGAGAAAGAGAGAAAAGCTTTGGTTGCGGCATAGCGTGGTCTTCAGTTTGGTTGGTTTCACACGATACACGACTTATTCAATAATGTACATGTCTTTTCATTCTCTTTGGATTCGTCCGCTTATTGGAGTAATGAGTTTTTGTCAATACTGTTGATTTTGAACGAAAAGCTATGCTGCATGTCTATACTCTTGGAACTTCTCGTTGAAAAATAAGTGCACATGCTTTGCGTCTCCAAGCATGTATTGGAGAAATCCGTTCTCGTATCCCATGGTGTAGAATGCGGTCATGTGACAAGCCGCCACATGGCCAATCGCAACCGTGGCACCTCCGCAGCTAGCTCCGCAACTTGCCCACCTGTTCCGTCATCATCGCTCTTTCCATCGTGTGCAACTGCGATGCATACTTACAACCCTCAATCCCCTTCACGATGATATCTTCAGGCTTCACAAATGCCCCTGTGAGCCAGTTCCTGGTGTTCTCGACCGTCATTGGCGCCCTCTTCGCTACCATCACCGACACGAGATACTATATCCACATCGCCGTAGTGCCGCACATTTGGACGTATGGACAGTTTTGGCGGTTCTTGACATGGCAGGTGAGTCCGCGTTGGCAGTTTTCAGCTGGAAGTCGAAGCGATGGTGTCTTGATGGTCTCATGTGAAAGTGCATTCAAGCGAAAGCTAACACATACACAGGCATGCTTCACAAACTCAACTGAAGTCCTATTCGGCGTGATCACATTCTACCAACTACGTGTTATCGAGCGACTATGGGGTAGCAGGAAGTTTGCCGTAAGCCCACGATTCATCCCTTGACTTCCTATAGATCGTGCTGACCACCATCTCAGTCCTTCCTCCTAGCCACACTCCCCTACACAACTCTCCTCCCTCCCCTGATCCTCACCTTCGCTATCCGCCCGCTCACATTCGGACGCATAAACTATCTCCCGGCTGGCCCGACTTCGATCCTCTTCGCTCTCCTAGCAAACTACTACGCCGCGATACCGTATACATATCGCTACAAGATCTCGGCCTTTGCACCGCCCGAGCCCTCGTCGAGCGCTCAGACTGCGACTGGCATATGGTCTCGCAGCTTGACGCTTACGTCAAAATCGCTGTCATATCTTCCGCCGCTTCAGCTGGCTCTGAGCCAGTTCCCGGGATCCTTCCTTGCTGCAGCAGTAGGCTGGGCAGTTGGCACGGCATATAGACGCGATCTACTTCCTGGCGCATCTGGCTGGAGAATACCAGGGTGGATGGTTGGTGAGGAGAAGAAGAAGGGGTTCGAAGGCCTCAGGGCTAGGCTCGATGCTGAGAGGGAGAGAGAAGGCGGTGCAGGGGCTGCAACGGGGATATTAGCTGGCGAGACTGGGCAGGGTACGGCGAGGCAGAGAAGAACATTGGGTGATATGGTCGCGGAGCAGTTTCGAGGGAGAAATTAGTGACTCAAGATATTATTACTTTCAATACACATTTTCAGCTCAGTCCAATCGCAACGTGGATGTGTTTGGTCTGCGTATAGTGTGTGAGAGGGCCAACTTCAGGAGCTGCATAACTATCTAGCAAAATTGACAGGCATGAGTTCATTAAACAGTCGTCGTATTGTGGCGTCAGCGCATCAGCTCTCACCATGAGCATGCACGACTACTAGCTCAATACTTCACACCCAATATCCCCACCTTGAGCGGCGAATCCGAGTCTCTACTCGACGGGAACCTCCCCTCCTCTTCCTCAGCATAAAACTCACTCTTCATCTCTATATCAATCTGACTCGGCGTCAGCGGCGCCCTCACACCCGACCTATTCGCCCTCGCCACCTCAATCTTCACATGCCCTTCTTCATCACCTTTCATATTCACAACCAAACTACCGTTACCCTCGTCTGGATCACTTAGCAGCCAAACATGCTTCAGCGACCTCCGATCTTGCTTCTCCATGATATCGTCCGCCGCTTGCGCAATCTCTGCGCCACCACGCGATGCTGCGATGATAAGATCGCGTGGGTCCAGGTAGTTGAAGCGCCCCAGGTCTGCCCAGCCATACGTGCGCGTCGCTTCCCCTAAGACAGCGAAGATGATGATCAGATTGAGAGTGAAGACGGCGTAGATGTAGCCAGGCTGGCCGAACTGCAAAGCGTAGACCATTGTTCGAGCCGGTTGTTGCGTGAACAGTCGTCCGACCATGAGCTGTGCCGAAGCGTATGAGATGAATATGTCGTCTATCATGGCGGTGATGGAATTCGTGAGGCCGGCTATGGTCGCTTCTTCCTCGGTGAAAGGGTCGCGGGACATTGAAGCACGAGACATTTTGTAGGCTGCGATGCTGGAGTTGAATGCTTCGCCGAGTAGGGAGACGTATAGGTTCGTCATATCATTAGACATTAATTCAAACTGGCGTACTGCGGTCCGGGTAATGTTGCGCTGGGGATTGAAGTCCTGCAAGGGCTCCACTGCTTTGACGGTGATGTTCAGACTGCCGATATCTACGGTGACGTTGAACAACATTGGTTCGAAGCCGAACTCGCATTGAGTGTTGTTCAAGAAACCATAGGCTTCGCCAGCTGCGATGGAGAGGAAGCGACGGGGCGATCGTTCACTGAAAGCCACGCCGATCGCGACAATGGCTTTGCCGTCATGGCCAATGTAGTTGGAGTATTCCTCGCCGTCAACACTATCCGGCAGATTTCCAGACGCAGCGTAGATCCATTCGTTTACTGGTCCAGATAGAACGAAGTTCGAGGTAGTGTTGTATGTACATGTAACATTGGTGAGGTAGCCTTCTTCTTGAAACGTGTAGCCGGCGACTTGGCTGTTGGAAGATATTCCTTGATCCATGAGACCGACAGAGGCACCGACACCAAAAGAACGACCACTGTAGCTATACCCGGTGTTGTCAAGCTTTCGATGAACGTGGGGCCCCTTGCCCATTGAAGATGCCGAGGCGGCTGATCCCATAAGTTGTCCACTTTGCTGTTGGCCTACTGAATACGTAAAGAGACCCCTTCGTGTGCGCAACGAGGGACCAGCTGAACCGATCATCATTGGATATTCGATGATCTTTGAAACATCCTCGTAGCTAGGCACAAGCAACATGCCATTACCCGTCGTTCTCGATACTGAAGGAGTTATGGAACCAGCCCACAACGCCGCCGGTACTAGACACAGAAGAACCATCGCCACCACTGGAAAGAAGAATCGAAGAGGGAGGTCCCAATTGACACGAGGAGTGCTAATGTCCACCCAGGTTCTCAACACGTCCAAGGAGACACTGACTTTCTGGATCCTTAGTCGAAGAGCGTAATTGATGAGCTTGCATATGACAGCCACATGGAGAAGACCCAAGAAAGCCGAAAAGAGCTGGACGAATAGTGCAACAGAACCAGGGAACCTGTTGGCCAAGGTAAAGATGTCGCCAGTTGCGCGCCATTCCCGAAGCTCGGAGAGCAAGAGCAAAGTCGACAAAGTAGTAGTGATCGCCAGTCCGTAGAAAGTGTTGTACCTATGCCAGTGTGAATACCGCATCGTCCTCCCATCCCGCCCCGTCGGCCTCCGCTCATTAGGAGGAAAAGTAAATTGGCGAACCATTAAAGAAAGAGGGGACCGCCCAGCGGTCAACGAATGTAAAGCATATGAGTGGTACAGGAAACGAGCGACAAAGAAGCAAGCAAAGACGATGAACCGATCCCATAGACGAGGGTAGAACTACTGTAGCATGCCATACGGCTGAGGCCCACTTGAGATCCCTCGGGATGTGGGCCTTACGCGGTACAAGTTTTTTGTCAATCTGGTGTATCAGATCTGTCACTGGATCATGCCTCAGCTCCATCGCTTGGAAACCCGATCGTGGTCCAGGCGTGATGGGGCTCTGCCGCACACGGCAGCCTCAAGCGGATGGGCAACGAACGAATAGAGTCAATATCAGATGTCGTGATGCCTGAGCGGAGCCATAATGGCGAATATATGTTCTAGTCTTGCGACGACGCCAGGGCATGCCTACGCAATGTGGTTCGAAGGCAATCATGCAGAGAGGCCGGAACCGTACAGTGCGTCAAATCGCATAGTGTAGCGAATGCCGAATCGTCTGTATTGCATATGCGCTTCCTGAATCTCCTCACTTCGACGCTGCGTGCTTTGATCGAAGGCGGAAGTCGGCAATGTCTTACAAAGGGAGCCAAGCTGCCAACAAGAAGCCGACACTTTTGCCAGGCCGTTCATGTCTGGTTTAGAGGATGCAGTGCTCAGGTCAAGAGTGTAGACATGCGAAGCTGGTCCACTTGAGTATATAAGTGCCAGTATGTAAATGCAGAAGAGAGCGACTACCTATCGCATGACGCTGATCTATCAGGATGCGTCGCAGATTAAAGATCTTCAGCATGCGCTGGTGGTCCCCATGAAAGCTTCAAAGGACATAGAGGCTGCTGATTTCTGAGCGGAAGGCGTACTGCACGTTTGACTCATCGTCCAAGTGACATGGAGTTGGTAGGATGTCGTGTACATTTGACAGCGGACGGGATAAAAAGCTCTTGCTCGACGGAGGGACCCACTCGACGCGGTCCCACCAATCGCTTACACGAAGCCCCACCAACCTTGTCCCGACACCTCACACCCAAGGCGTTCATCTGAAACGCTATGTGCATGCAACTCCAACCATACCCATCATCGAAACGTCTGATCTACGAATCCGCCGTCTCCTTCTAACTCCTGGATTTGTGCCTGAACATCCTCATCTTGGTGCATCGGGTGAGATGTGTACGCCGGTCCTCACCGGTTGCGCCGGCCTAGTCCTCGCTCGACGAATTGTTGTACGGAACATCTTCACGTTTGAGTGGATATTACTTCTATCGGCCCACTGCTGACCACGGGGCTGATTCGAACGTGCGAGTGCACCAGTGGATGTGGTGTGCGACCGGCACTGAGTCTGGTGCGCCTTAGTGTGGCTGCGCTTTCGGCCGGTAAAAGATGCGTGTACGAGGCAGAGTAACGAGAGTGTCATCCTGCAAAGGCGGGGTTACAGCACTTCACCCTTGAATTGTGTCGATTGGCCAGGCAGACAGTGCTACTACGACGGCAAGCAACCAGGGTGCAACAGGTAGCAGCTCATCCTATAGCCTGAAGCTATACACAGGGCCTTGCCATCGCAACTGCAGTATATTGATGACCAATGTGCTTAATGTTTAGTGCAAGATCATGCAGCGAGAGGATATGCCTAGTACCGCCACTCTATTCTCCAGTGCATGCACAATGCGAACACGACCGCGATAGTTTTTCCGCATGGAACTATTGAAGGGTATTCAATACTTTTCGCGTTCTTCATGTTGATTACACGCGAGGCGGGACGGAATGGAAGCTAGTCTCAAACGTCCCAGCCTTGCAGAATCGATGGTTCACGATAGCTGTTTGGTCTAGCGTCCGCTGCCTGTCCGGCGTGGAAATTGCAAGGGATATGAACGGTACTTCTGTCACGGATATTGCCAAGTAAGACAGGATAAAGTGGATTCGAACTTGTTCATTATTCGCGTGTCTCGCGAAAGAGAGCTATTGTAGCTAACTAATATGGATATTGCGGCGCGCCGGCCGTAAGCTGTTGAAATGCTGGCTGCCGATCATTATGCTCCAACGCCATGCAATGTTTTGTAAATGCCCGACAATATAACACCGAGTCATGAAGCTAAGAGTTGTCCATCCAGGGACCTGCTCGTGCTAAACCATGTCGCGCTCGTCATGAACGGATACAAAGAGATTCGTGAGTCTGTAAGACGATATGGAAATAAACAAATGCATTAATAGGATGTTTGGCGACCTGCGTAGTTGCCAGTCTGGCCGAACATCCTGTTGAAGAAACCTCCCGTTGTCTTCGTCTTCTTAGCTGGCTTGTCGTCATACAGTGGGAGCGAGTGCTGGAGGTGGATCTTGGACTGTGATACAGGGCCGTGGATATGTACAAGAGTGGGGCCTTGGTCGGCGTCGTAGCGCTGCACAAAGGCCTCTGTGGGTTCTTCGGTGAAGCTCATGGGTGAGTCGGATGAAGTGGAGACAGAAGAGCTTCGGGTGGGTGGCGAGAGAGATGGTGTTCGTGATGCGGCGCGAGATGATGTTTGGAAGCGTTGTCGCTGAGAGTGAGCAGCGTATGCGGAGTAAGGTGCGGGAGCGTGGTAAAGGTTTTCTGCGGTGAGCTGCTGGGTATTGCTGGCGTGCGAATTTCCTTCTCCTTGCTCAGCGAAGTCTGGCCTTCTCAGCCTGGCGTGATTGCCATAACACGAAATGGGTGGCCAGGAAGGGCTCAAGGTGGTAGTGGAGGTCCTCGGGGTTGATGCGGAGATCCCAGTCGAGGAGGAAGAGCAATTGCTTTTCCATCAGGTTAACCTCGGTGATTGAGAAACCGAATCCCTCGTAGCCACGGACTGCGGTGTACCGAGCCCAGTGCTTGTTCTTTGGTGAGGAGTCGTTCAGGTTCTTAGCAGCAAGAATCAGAGCAGCAAGGAAGATGCGGTGTGTGGTGCACTTCATGCCCTTTGCAACTGGGGGCAGACGAGACCGTAACCGGGCGAGGTAGACCAACGATGTCATGAGAGTAGGTACTTGGACGTGCGATCGCTCAACCAGGGATGTAATAAACTCTTCGACGGAAGGGAGAGGTGCTTCCCTAGTCTGAGAAGCATGCTGAGGGGGTGATGCTGGTGGTGTGGGTGGCAGGTTCTTGTTGAGTGATGGTTCGCAGCGGATGACCTGGCTGGCTTTTTGTGCGAGGTATGAGATCATGTCCTGGGAGACAGGCATCTGGATGAAGTGGTCCAATGCTGCGCTGTTCTCGACAGCAAGATTTGTTGAGTAAGGCATGATGGGTGATGATGTGCTGATGTTATGGATGGAGAGTTATGACTTCTTAAGAAGTCAAAGAACGATAGTATTCGAGGACTGAAACCTGTAAGGCAGATGGTCCGTCTGTTTTCGTGGTGTAAGCGAGATGTTCGAAGCGGGCTGAGTGGTGGCTTGGGTGCTGAAGAACCCAACAAGGTTGAACGTAAGGCCGCAAGAGATTAGGTAGCAAGAAAAGTCCTGACCGGCAAGACGAAGTAGTGATGGGCAAAGAAGAAGTTTTTTTTTCTCGAAGGGAGAGTGTGGATGGCGCTGCCAGTTTGGGAAGGCAAAAGTGACTGGGTGGAATGATAGGCAGTGCCGGACTGGGTTTGTGCCTGCACCGCTGGGGCGTCAGGGAGAAGAAGGGAGAGATGGAAGTAGAGACTTGCACTGACCAGAAAGTAAGTATCGACGGCAGAAAGCGCGATACTTATTATCCCGAACCCTCGAGCGGCAGCAATTCGCAATGCCAAACTTGAGAGGATCCAACACTACTGGTGGGGCACGGCGGCTGTAGGGGAGAGCCAATGGTTCGCGGTGTAGGGGCGGCGACAGGTCCCTAGCGCGCCACAAAAGGGAGAGCGGGCGGCTGTTTGGCTGTTTGGGACTCGTCGAAGATTGCCAGAGGTAAGGTGCAGAACCCCAGAATAGTCTGTTTCAAGTCGGGAGCCAGTCGCTTGTGGCCTAAATCTGTGAGGAACCCTGAGAGCCAATAATCCTGCAGGTCGTTTGCGTTTCGAGGACGGGCTCGATGTTTGAGGGCTGCACGGTCTCGTCGAGTATTGACCGAGCCGATGGGTGGGATGGTCGAGGTCGTCGCAACGGCCAGCTATGACTTGGTGTCGCTGCACGCAACTGCGACTACGGGTAGCAATATGTATTCGCACGACCCGAGTGACTGGAGTATAGTTTACACGGTCTGCTGGTCTAGACAGGTCACGTTGGGTCTCTGTGTGAGGCGGTGAGGTCGCAAGAGTGGATCTAAGACGGTATGGCGGATGAATAGCATGCGACCACGCAGTAGCAGCATGCCAGTTCCATATATTTGAGCAAGCTACCGTGGCTACCAGTGAACAGCTGTCATGCTGGCAAAGTCCGACAGAATGCACTTCTGGTGACGAAGCACCCAGCCTCTTTTCCCAGCCGGCCGAGGATGTTGCGGACGCGAGGGCATACGAGGCGGTGGGCGCACGCCGGATCCGGCAAGTCGCCCATTTTTCTTGCCTCCTTAGAACGTGTGTTGCACTGCGTCGACGTCGAGCGTAGCATTCTGTAGAAGACTTTTGGCCGTGGTTGTGTGGCTCAGAGCTTGGCAGACAGACTCTCGGCTGTTGCTTCGTACGAGTGCCACCATCCAGTTCATCCGTCTGCATGCCACCCAACCTGCAGGCAGATGGGCTCGACACGGTGCCGAATGAATCTACCAGATCGACAACGGTCTGACATCGCGAGTGCATCGTCGGACAGCCCCCTCGGCCAGATGCTGGGGCACGCTCGGCAGCTCCACCACAGTGAACGATCGCCAGTCATGCGCAAGGGCTGCTGATGAGGTAAGCCACCATGATTGGCCACTACCACCGCCAAACAAGTCAGTCCGTTTCAACACTTGTTTCCCACGGACTTCATGACCAGTCACTTACGGTCACCGCATGAATGACGAAGAAGACCCGTGAAGCCACCATCAGCTGCTCGAAATTGCTGCCCACCCACCAGCATAAACAATATGCTGGCCAAACTCAAATTCATGCAACAGTGCTTGCCAATCCATGTTCGAGATCTTCCTCAGCACTCGCTGCACCGCCTCAGTCGGCTCCACCAATCATGGTCTCAGCCTCCTCAATGCCATATCCAGAAGGTCGCGCTCATGTAAGACATCTGCAGCCTTAGTGGCTAGACTGTCAGAATCCAAGAAGGCCTTAATCAACTTCTCTCGGTGTTGCCGCTACCACCTGCCTCTGTTCGCTCGACACCCGATTGGCGGTCTTTGCGCATCGGCATGGGTCTTTTGTGGTTCACTCCTGGTCCTGTCATCCGAATAATGCAGATGAACGCCTGCTCGAGAGAATTGGGGCCAAGATCTAATCTAAGTGGGCGCTGAATGCGGCTCTGCTGTACTCGCCTTCTCCCCGCGCGGCTCGCACGGTTCCCGGCCCATGAAAATAGTAGCCGCCCAAAGTAGCGCTCGTGTCACCGCCAAATATGGATATCCGGGATCGCCTGTAACCGTTGACATACCCAGGTCCACGGGTACTTGCGCAATTAAGGTCTGCAGCCTCTTGAGTGCGCTGTCTTGTAGATGTAAGGCTTGAGTGTTGCGCTGTGAGATCGGACGCAGGCGCTTCGCTGTTTCATCGTGTCAGCGTCCGACCACAACAAGCGATGTGTTGGCCCTCGAACAACAAGGCCAACGATTTTCTTGCTCTTCAGCTTGGGTTCTTCCTGACCATAGGCTGCCTCATTGTCGATATAAACTTTACTTCACCGTGCTCTTTGGCTGCAGCCCAGCAAGGCAAAGAGCAACCAAGACCCGACTGCGAACACGGGCCACCCTACACTAGAAAAAATACCAACACAACCTTGCTATCTTCTTAGTTTGACAGGTGCTCATCCTGGTTCTAGGTGTCGGTGATTGACGTCATCGCTCACGAGGCAATAGAGGCGCAGTCACAATTGCCTGCTGACTGCGCGATGGTATTGCGAACAGCAAAGCCACCTGAGTGGCTACGCAAAGCTGAATATTTGACGTGGCGACCGAGGCATCTCTCGCCCTTCAAAAAATTGCCTCGCATCGAAGTGGTGGGCAAGATGGATGCTTTTAAGGCTGTGCATCTGGGCGTATTATCGCAGCCTCCGAGAAGACGTCGATTTCCAAATCGGATGCCTGGTGCTTTCAGTGTTGTGTCAGGCTCCGGAAGATCTGGATGAACCGCTTCTCCCTGCACTTGGACTTTGGAAGTCGGATAATAGGCTCTTCTGAACAGTTTACTTCAGCGTCCTGCATTCAGCTTCCTCTTTCTTGTGATCTCACGTCTCATGTTTCGTTCGAGTTCATTGAAGAGAACGAGCCGCACGCGGAGCGCCAATGCCTAAACAATTTTGCAAGGTAACATGAGCTGGCCAACAAATCCCAAATTATTCGCTTCTATTAACAACACTTGAGACAGGACATTGGGCGAATCAACGTGACATCAGTGAATTAGCAAATGTATTTTGCCCAAATTACAAGAAAACAGCGATGCGTTTGGCGTTCAGACAATTCATTATCCTTTTTAGATCCCGTCTCTTGTTTGAAAATCAACAAGCTGCGTACTAAGCTTTTTTACCGCAGTATGTCCTCTACCAGAATAGTCATGATTGCCAAAGACATGTGTGATTGTAGCCGGGCAACTTTGCGTTTACGTCTAGGATGCGTGGTTAGAAGGCTACTCTTGCAGTTTTGAATATTTACTTGTAGCGAAGACTGATACTTACACAAATGATTTGACAAGGACGGCACCTGGTGCCATAATAATTTGCGTCTGCTTTTTTCATACTTTCAGGTCTGTTGGAGAATGTTTAGCGTATTATCGTCTAGCCTGGGTTGATTCAAAGACGTATTGGGGCGTGATAAGTTGCTACAATGGCCGTGAATATATACCCTCTGCTGATCTGCACTATTGCGCGAGCGCAGGCATGAACTATTGCGCTACTTATGCAGTGAATCTTCTGGTAGCTCTGTTATCTTCAATCTTCATCGGTCTTGTTATCGATGAAAACTTTGATGATCCTTCGTTTAGAGTAGTAGTTTTATGCAGAATTTCAGACCGCCTAGAATCGTACACTTAACCCAACTATCAGGCATCGTCAGACGCAATAGGAAAACGCACTGCTTGCTAGAGCTTGAATTTTAACCATGAGTCGCGCATAAAACTCATATTGACCAAATGCTCGAATATAGGACACGACGAGGTAGGCTGGATACCTTCAATACTTTTACAATGACTGACCGAAATGTGATAGGATCTTAAGTCTATACAACCAGACACAATGTACGTACACATCAAGCACATAATTTTCGTGATGATGTGTGAAGCGTTTCCATGGTGCTGATCGGTCGGCCCCCATCTGTCATGCGGGCTCGCGGGAGCTGAGCTCCCACATAACAGAATGATGTTCTTTGAGCACGTCCCACTTTTATTAGCCGCCCGCTTTTATGCACCAGTTCTGCATTTCGCCTTTTGCAAACAATAGTCTGTCGCAATGCCCTCTTGAGCTCCACGCTTGCCCCAGAAAATAGCTTATGGATATATATTATGTTTTAACTTCCAACACTCCGCCTTCGGGCATTTGGTCAATTTGAAACGATACAGAGAAGATTAGCATGGCCCCTGCACTAAGGATGACACGCTCAATCAAAGAGAAGCTACCATTTTTTTGGCTCTTGATTTTCGCTCGTCTCCTACGAGGTCCTTCCTATCTCGCTAAAGTTCGCGAGTTCGACTCATGGTAGTGCCACGTTTTGGCGTTCTTTTTGCCCGAGGACCCTTTCCTTTTGCCCCGCCGAACTTCAAAGCCACAACCAACGCGCTCACGCAAAAGCAGAGTGAAAAAACGGTAGCTTCTCTTTGATCAAGCATGTCATCCTTAGGGTAGGGCCCACCAGGCCCCGGCAAAATTACTGTCCGCATTCACCGAACGAGAAGAGTGAAGAGGTAGCCTGAATATATTCAAAACGTTTTGCAAAACCGGACAAGATATTTTATGCCACTGAATATATTCAGGTGTCTCTGTAAACTTGTTAGTGCGCTCCTAGAGACTATTAGATCACTTTGCACGTGTGTAGAGCGGACACGAGTTTTGCCGCTGCCTGTTGGGCCCATGCTAATCTTCTCTGTATCGTCGGCGCCGCTGCGCTGCGCGGCGCGCGGACAGTAGCAGCTGGCTCATTGACGTTCGCTAGCTCCCACTGGCGGCGGTAATGCACTGACAATATACTCTCATGACACTATTATACGCCTTATCGCGAATTTCCCTGGTGTTCGGACTAAAAGAAGGTTGTGAAGGTCTGTGTAGGATGAAGGAGTCTGTACACCTTCCACCCACTCATGCTCAGCATCACGACGCCGACTCCGACTTCAGAAGATTGGTGCGTGCTGTCTACATCTTCACAAATAGATATGCTAGCGTTTGTTACATTGCCGACGGAAGTTTGCCAAGTGTTGCTCGCACAGCTCTCCATACCACATGTGCTTTTGCACGAATGAGTACCATCTGAGATACCTTCGCTGATGAACAAACTCCAATTGTCGGGAAGAGACAGTTGTATGATCAATTTTTTGCTACTAGTCTATATCCTACCTTTACAGAAACGAAATATAGAGCACGACTCGTGTCAAGCCAGTCCGTGTATGAGCGACAGGCATGTTGATCTCCAAGAGTTCGTTTTTTAATCCCTATCTCATTACACGCGGTGAAAAATTAGCGTATAGCTTCAGGAAACACTTTCAAGGTTAAGCATTTGGTATACTGGAATGTATATATTGACTGTATATGTCTACTGATTTGTGTGTTGAAGAATTCTTTCCGTGACAAGTACGCACATTGTAGAGACAATTTAAGGCTCTGGGAAGTAGCTGAACGCATGATGTACCTGTTGACCGTATCCTAGATTACCTCAAGCCTCAGAGTTCAGCCGGAAAAGAAGCGAAGCATACGCAGTGTAGTGCTCATCCGCATCTCCACATGGCCCAACCCTGTGCGCATCTCCAAACATCTAAGGCAACGCTCACTTGTACTGCTTGCACAGTTCCAGGCTGTCTTGCGCCACCTCTTCCATGATCCGCTTGGCCTCTGCGACCAGCTGGTGAAGCTCAGTTCGGAACTTCTTGCCCAGTGGTGAGTCGTTCTCCTTCCTCTTCTTCATGTACTCGAATGCGTTGTGTACCTGCTTGAGGACATTGTCGACATTGGTCCGGAGAGTCTCGCTCACTTCGTCCATGACCTTCGAGGCATCCTCCTCAACCCAGCCGGATAGAAATGAGTAGGGACCTTCGGGACCAGGGATCGCTTCCTTGAGGTAGGCGCAGCGAGACTCGAACATGGTTTTGGCTGACATGACTTGTCAGCATGTGTAAACAAGAGGAGGGGCAGGCATGCTACCTGGCGCAGTTTTGGGCGTCTTGAAGGCTTTCGAGTAGAAGCTTTTCATCGCCTCGGGGAAGTAATCGTCGGGCCTGAGCTTGTAGGCGTTCAGGTGGATTTTGCTATCCAATGTAAGCTTGAGTGCATGCCACTAAAGAGCCACGAGAACGCACATAAGCCGATTGTTCAGGTCTTTGGCTGCAACGTCGACAAGACGAGTAAACTCAAGCTCATACCGTTTGAGGTTGTCCGAAAAGCAGGTCTTGTAGGCATCACAAGCCAGAGCCGTGGGGTCATCTGCGAAACTTTCAGTACAACGAGACAATGCAGTGAACTTGAATCTTACTCTTTAGGACATGGTTGAGGTCTCGTAGCGCTTCCTTTATGGTTTGAGCTGCCTCTGCCTTGAAATTTTCCACGGACTTGTCAAGCAGACTTCGGAAGGCTTGGTCGATAATAGGCCGTACCGAAGACATCAATTCCTCGTTCCAGTTCATAAACAGATTCTTTTTCTTCTGCACGTATACACCTAGTGATTGTCAGTAGTCTTTTCAGAGCTTGCGTTAGTGTTTAAATTGTTTGATACCTTTCTTGTTCATGACGGCTCGGTGTGTCGCAGCGTTCTTCAGAATGTTAGCGTGAAGTTGCGGAGAATCAATGCCACACGACATACCAAATTTTCCCATTTGTTGAGACATCTGATGGCATGCTTGTCAAATCGAGTCTGCACAGTATGATCGGCGAGCTCATCCTCAATAGCCTTAATGTCCGTCGTCTTGAAAGCAGTGGCCAATGCGTCGATCTTAGTTGATATGTTCTGGGGGCGTTAGCGCACTGAGGTGCTTCAGGAAGCTATGACTTACTCCGCGAGAGTCGCTAACAACTGCTGTCAAATGCTTGACCCTGGCCATGGTGGTTGTACTACAGGACATCTGGATCACGCTCAACAATGTCTGCATGGAGACTTTGATGAAATGGTCTAGGCTAGCGGTTCTTCCTCTGGATGGCAGAGAATAGATGTGCGAGCACAATGCTGGTATCTGAGTTTCATCGATAGACATAGTTGGCACGGTTTCTGAGCTGTCTTTGTCGTATCCGCGCAGGTGTCGCATGAACATCCGATTGGATACACAGAACACGGGTACGTTGGCTTCATCGCCTGTATCTGCACGGTAGTTTTGGGTGATGACTCGAGCGACCTGCTTGCTGCGACATGCGATGCGTACTTCCTTGCGCCTAGACGAATTAGCCCCATGCAGCTTTCTCAGAGGGCGTGGACTTACTCTTTCTCAAGAGCGATCTTCCGCGAGAGCAGTTTCTTCCTCTGGGCTCTCAAGACTTTCTTCGTTTTCTTATTGTTGTTGATTCTGTAGCGCTCCATGTCATTCCCAATGACTTTGAGCTTCGTCTCGACGTTCGTAATCTTCGAAGTTATGAGGGCCAGCTGTTCTTCGGCAGTAGTGTCCATGACTAGCGTTGAACCGCCCTCGTCGTTGAGGTCCTGTGATTTGAGTTAGAACAGAAGATTATAATACATCAACTTTGAACTTACATCAGAACGTGTAGCAACCAAGATGACGCTTCCACTGCGTCTTCGTCGGAATGCATCCATGTACTGCTGGCGGAAGCCGACGTTGTCTTGCAGACGGTCAATCTTGCCGACAACAACGGTCATGTCGCACTGTTGTAAGTAGCGAGACGCGTTGTCAATCCGGAAATAGTTAACGTCAGAGCCGCCAGGGACATCTGCGATGATAACATTCTGCTTCAAGATGGGCGAGCTGAGGGTTACGCTGCAAGCAAGTCAACAAAAAAACGCTTTTTTGATAACAGACATGGAGGTACTTACCGTACTATCTGTACCAATGGCCAGGGTGTGAATCTCAACGGTCGATCTCGGAAGCTGGCATTCTGGCACTCCCGTGTGAAGGGATGGTACATTTCAGTGAGTTCTTCAGGGGTTGAAGAAGTGAAGTGTACAGAAGTCTCGCCATCCTCGATGAACATCCGGTGTATTTCCGTCGTCCAGGTCATCAATTGCTTGACAACTTTTCGATCGTTCACAGATGCAGCGGTGCTCATGAAGTTCTCCACGCTATCGAATCCGAGGCGATCTGCGAAGAGTTGATTGAGACAGTCTCGAGCAGTGGCCATCTGGCTCAGCTCTTCGTCGTCCACGTCATCAGGGTTCTGGGATTGCTTCTGTTTCACAGTGAACCATTGTTTGAAAAGATCGGTGACCAGCTTTCGGCACATTTCCAGGCAATAGAACTGTACTTCAGCGGCGAAAGGAGCGGTTTGAGTGGAAGGACTTTGACGGAACTCGGTGATGACGCAAGTGCAAGCTCCGCCTCCATCACTCTGGGGTTGAGATTAGCTAGCGCTTGAGAGTCTGGTAGGTCTTCATACCTCGATAGTCAGGTTGAGAACGCCGAGAATGGCATTCAGCAATGCCGATTTACCAGCACCAGTCTCACCTGCAACAGCCAACTTGACAGCGTCCCGATAAGGAATCTTGGTGCTTCTCATGATTTCGTTCCAGAGGTACGTTACCTCGTCATCGTTGTACCCGTTGCTTTTGGTCACCTTGATAAAGTCTGTAAAGACTTGCAGAGTATGAAGGGCGATGTTTTCGGTCAGGCTGAACCCCGGGTGATAAATTGGCAGCTTCGGACGATCCAGTGAGTTTGGATCAAATGGCTGAACCTCGTCGCCACCGTCTTCGCTATCTGCATCATCGCCCTCATCACTCGAGTCGGTGTCCATTTCTGAAGCTGCAGTAATGTTAGTGAGTGCTTGTGAAAGGACCGTATGAAATACCTTTGCGCTTCATGCCCGCACCTGCAGAAGCTGAGCCCTTTTCGATGGGTTGGCCTTGATACTTGGGATCCCATCCCGCCATCTGAGCTCTGGCCACATCCTCGATGTCTTTGAGCTTCTGCACAAAATGCGGAGTCAATTCCTCCTCAGCTGTGTCGACCTTCTCAATCGTGATCACGGGCGAGGGCAGTATTGGCATTTGGTCGACAACTGCCACTAGGACTGGTGATGGCGGCGTCGGCATTCGTTCCTGGACAGGAGTGCCAGGTATGGGTATGACCTCTGGCTCCTTCTCGATAGTCTCCATGGCGGTAACATGCTGCACTATTGTTTTCGGTAGCTCAGGCTCGAATAACGGACTGGCTTCTCTGTCAGGCGTTGGCGTGGATTGCTGGAGATCCTCCATGATGGTCGCTGATATCAGCGTGAGGAAGAAGGTTGTAAGAATGATGGTGGCTTGAGATAATCTGGGAGTTACTTATGCCACTTTGAAAGCGAGCTAGGACCTCCTTCAAGGTAAGTTTGGGCGCCCTCGCGGGCCAACGCCATGCAGCTGCTTCATGTAAGAGAAGATCGACTGTTGTGGCCATGGTGCCACGAGCACCACGTGAGTGGTGAGCCTTTTCAATGGGCACCTCAGAAGTATGAGTTCTCTGAGGCACAGTCGAGGTCTTAGCGAGGAGTGTTGTGTGGTTAAAACAATAGTAAAGCGTACTGAGCTGCTCCCGAAGTATGCAATCGCGCCGGAGTGTTCACCGCGATATGGGCCGATACCGCACAGCCAGATGCGCCTCAAACGCCCGCAAAGTTCCCGCGTTTGCCAAATCTCACCTTCTAGCGGCGTCAAGCAGGAAGCAGGGTCGAGGTCACCGTGACTTTACCGGACCCTGAGAGCGCCTAACAGAAGAAAAAAGACGCTGATAGCTGGGGCGACCAGGGGAAAGAACCAATAGGGCCTGTATGCGGCAATCGAATTACGAAATGTCATTAAATATTCTTTTGCTCGACCAAAGTGCCTAACATGCACTGAAGAGGTACTGCAGGTTATCGAGTGCGAAGGGAAAGCGAACAGCGTCTTCCGGTTGAACACATAGGCTGAAGCTATACGCGGTAACGCCAGATTTGCAATGCGAGAAAAACGCGCTATGTATAGCTTTGGACTATTGGGTTGGCTGCCGACGGTATACTCGGTCGCTTCCATCATGGTTGACAAAATCACGCTCTCTTGCATATACTTGACCTTAAAACACCATTGCGCCTCCGTCCACAATGATGTCAGTCCCATTGATATACCTCCCAGCATTGCTCACCAATGTGATCAATGGTCCTGTCAACTCCCATGGATGTCCCATTCGACCTGTTGGGTTCCGTCCATTCCATGTATCGCGTGCCTTCTTGAGACCCTCGCCTTCATTCAAAATCGTATCCATGTACCCCGGGCTTAGGCAATTTACTCGAATGCCGTAGCTACTCCACTCCGCCGCTAGACTCTTTGCAAGCGACAATAGCGCCGTCTTGGAGGAATTGTACGCGCACTGCGGCTGTGGGTAATTTGTGTGGTGCGCAGATATCGAGGCCGTGAAGACGATACTGCCGCTTGTACCTTGGGTGCGCAGTTGACGTGCCACAGCTTGGGCGCATAGAAATGAGCCAGTGAGGTTGATATCGTGGGTGCGGCGCCATTCGTCGGCGGGCATTTCGATGGCGTGTGTGCAGCCGACCACGCCGGCGAAGCAGCACAGCATATCGATACTACCGAGGACTTTGACGCTACTTTCGATAGCGGAAGCGATTTGCTTCTCATCACGCACATCGACGGCTTCGGTGATGATGCGGCGATCGGGGAATTGGGAGTGAAGAAGCTTGACACTCTCAAAAGCTTGGTCTGGGTTCATGTCCCATAGGGCGAGGCCTGATGCGCCATGTTCGAGGAGTGCCTTTGCAGCTTCGAGAGCAAGAGTACCTGCTCCACCAGTGACTGTATACTCATGTCAGTAACTAGCTTGAAGGACTTTTTACTATGGAAGGGCAAATTGTGTACCCTGAGATGGCGCTCACGTACTGATCGCATTGCCTTTGACCTGGAATCTATACGTCACCCTCTGGGCTGCAGTTAGACTGTCTGGCGGAGGCTGAGGTGCAGTCAATGGATTCTCTGCTGTCGACAAAGTCATTTCTGGAAGCTGTCTGTTGACGAGCGACGAGCGGTCCTCTGCATTTTCCGGCATGATGTATATTCTGGTACGGTCACGATGGCTGTGAGGGTATCAGAAGACGGAAAGCGAACCCAAATATGTGTGTGTATCTCTGCTAACATCGGGCGAGAGACGTCCGTAGACTAGAGCTAGGATGTAGTTTTGGAGCTCCGGTATGACGTCGGACCAGCTGCCGTGCCCCACTTCATTCACCCCACGTTTTCTGGAGAAGGTTTGCCGAGTACGCTTCGGAGGAGAACCTGGCGAAGTAGCAAGATAGGTGTACACCTTTATAATGTGAGCGGGAATCATCTGAGGCTTTGGAGTTGTTTGGGAAAAGTTGAACTCCTTAAACGTCCGTCTCTTCGTATGCAGTCTACACCATGGGCCATTATGATTGTTGTCTGCCCTGTCAAACAGGCGTACAAGTGCGATAGCAGTGACAAATAAGGCCCTGCTCGTATTCCTACATACTTGGTCGCATCGATACCCAGCATTTTGGCTTGTAGAATCTCCGGAATATGGTCAGATGTCACTAAGGCTCAAACAGGCTAGACTGACGTCTCGACTTTCGACGAGATGTCCCCAGCCTCCTCTCCAAAACATCCATCTAGTCTATCATATACTGGGTCTTCCCCGCCACACAAATCATTACCTCGGGTGCAATTGCAGTTTGTCCATCTCGTGACCCGAAAATGTACGGAGCACCGTGGCTTCCAGATGCACTGCGAGACGAGACTGATCCTTGCTTTCGTAGCTGACGACGGCATGCAGTTAGAAGTGACGACTATGTCTAGTCGTCCCGAAGCCACGTTTTTGCATGGAAGGAAGTCGATGATGAACTGAGGCGAAGAAACCCGCCGGGCCTTGCAAACCACGCCTAAACGGCTAAATGAGCCCGACTACCTTTGCGGATGGCAAACTTCAAGCATCACGTAATGCAAAGTCAGCCAGAAATCCATAAAGGATTGCCAAGTTCGGTTGTTGTAGACGAGAAGATGTAGATCAACACGCTTTCTGCTGTAGACGCTGTTTGCAAAATCTGCAACTGTCGAAAGAGCTTACAGCACACAGCGCTTCGCGGCCATGGTTCCTAGCGCAATGTTCATGCGGAGCATTCTGCCTGTGCCCCTGCCTAGAATTAGATCTACTCTTCATATCCGGGGAACTAGAAGGCTTGTTTTGAATAGCCTACCGTGGAGAATCGCTACATAAGGTTAGTCACGCGGCTGTTCAATTTCGGGGCACGACGCCATCCGGGTTGCCGGTGACAAGGCCCAAGTATAAAGGCACCGCCATGAAGGACGAGGTCCCACAGCTGCAGATCTTGTGCCTTCTCCAGGTCATTTCTCCAAGATGACGGTCCTTGCCACCTTGGTTGCCGTGACGGCTGGCCTCGCTACCCTGTCAACATCCTCCCCAATTGAGGCACGAGCACCAGTAACAGTGTCCAATGCGAAGTCATCTTTGACATTGCTTTACCAAAACAACCTGAATGTCACGGATGACAAGAACCACATCGGTGCCATCATTCTTGATCCTGTTCCCCAGGCCAGTGCTGCCGCTGCGTGCGCCATAGTTAATGAGAAGCTTCTCTCCAAAGTCGCACTTCAACAACACCAAGACGACTTCAACGATGCTCTGTCTTACCAAGACTATGCTAAGTACGACGACTCTGAGGAAGGATACTATATCGATGGTGGTGTGGTGTCCGTAGGAAATCGCGTCAGCTATTCTTCCACCTCTGGTAGCCATAAGAGCCTTCCAGTTCTATGCACCCAGTCCGCCAACAATGGATCGTCGCAAGCTGGTCCAGTGAACGGCAGCCAGATCACCGTCGCAGCAGGCGATAACACTTTTGTCGGATACCGCAACCAGAAGTCGTTCCGCTTCTTGGGCATCCCATACGCCGACACTCCCCAGCGTTTCAAGTACACCTCGACATACTCAAAAAAAGGTCAAACCCTCCAGGCAACTGCCTATGGCTCGGATTGCGCGCAGGGTGGTTCCGGAAGTGAGGACTGTCTGTTCCTGAACATCCAGACCCCATACATCCCCAAAGCAGGATCCAAGAAGGAGCTTCGACCAGTTCTCTTTTGGATTCACGGGGGCGGATTTACTGGAGGAACAGGCAAGGACCCGCTGTTTGATGGAGGCAATCTTGCAAGTAAGGAGGATTTGGTAGTTGTCACTATCAACTACCGCCTCTCCACTCTTGGGTTTCTCGCAATCCCTGGCACAGATATCAAAGGCAACTTTGGAATTGCCGACCAAGTCCTTGCACTTGATTGGGTCATTGCCAACATCGCGGCCTTTGGTGGTGACCCGAAAAGAATCACAATCGCGGGTGGTTCAGCTGGCGCTGGATCCGTCCGCGTGCATCTCGGTTCGCCTCAAGCCATTGGCAAATTCCAAGGAGCAATTGCTATGTCTAACTTGGGAGGAGGCGTCACTCTTGGGTTAGATGGCGACTATGGAACAACATACTCGACATACTACACAATTGATCAGTCGTACAAGGTTGCAGGCCAGCAAATCTTTGCATCTGCAGGCTGTAACAGCACCGACCTGGCCACTCAGATTGATTGTCTAAAGCAGGTCCCGGCTTCGCAAATCGTTGGATATAACACCGTCGCTCGCTACGTAGTCCAGGACGGCAAGTACGTCGACACGCCGCAGCTCGTCCTCACGGCGCGCAATGCCAGCACTGCGCACATTCCGGTCATCTTTGGAGTCACTCGCGATGACGGATCTTCCTTCTCCACATACCCCAAGGCCCCCGTTTCCAACCACTCTCAAGGTCTGCAAGAAGCGCTCGGCATCAATGCTACCTCGGCACAACGTGTCATCGACTCTGGGCTGTTCCCTCTTATCAACACCGGCAATCTCACTCTCGATTCATTTAATGTTTCCGCGCGAATTGCAACCGACAAGACGTTCCGCTGCATCGACCAAGCCACCGTAGTAGCAGGTACAACCTCGAAAGCCTTCCAAAAGGCATACTTCTACCAGTTCGAGCGCACAATTGATGGCTACGACCCAAACAACCTCGGACAACCCAAGAACGACAACCCCGAGAACCCGTACTTCCGCTTCCACGGCGCCGAGACACCCTGGATCATGGGCACACTGAGGCGCATCCGCGAACCCCAAGATCTTTGGTCCGTACAGTTGACCACGAGCTACTTTGCCTCTTTCATTAGAAGCTATGACCCGAACCCGAATCTGCGATACCTTGATCAGAGAGGCTACGATAAGGTGATTGAGGGTGTTACCAGATACGGTCAGTGGGAGCAGGTCAGTGGTGGTAAGAAGACTGGGGACGAGCTACGACTGCTCGACTGGCCAAGTACGAGCGCATCTTTCACGGATGTGGAGCAGTGTGCGTGGCTTGGCTATCCGCTCGATTACTATCTCAAGGGCGGTATCTAGAAGCACATAGGTAGTTCTAGGTGCGCCTATATATGCTAGTAAAGATAATGTCATCATACTAATGTTGTATATCGACACTCTTTTGATGAAAAGCTTGCGCTGGGGCCCAAATATTCCTTCTGCAAAGGTCATTCCTAATGCACATCAGGCGCCGGTAATATTTGTGCGCGCCTTTTTCTAACGAGAAGAGGTCAAGAGGTAGTCTGAATGTATTCAAAGACCTCTAAAGACTTAAGCAGAGCATCTTATACCTGCGTATACATCCAAGCTCCTCTCTAAACTTATAAGAAGTACACCTTTGAATACCACCAGCTAAAATTGAAGGTGCAGAGCGGGCACGAATTCTGCCGCTGCCTGGAGTGCATATCTTGTAAAACTGCGAACATAAGTAGTACGACATCACACAGCAGATGTGTAGACTCAATGTGAGTTACTGAATTTTCGTGTTCATTTGATTGCAAGAAGACGCTAAGGAAATGGTAGACTAACATAGATTGGCGGGCGTCATTGTACAGAAGTATGCACCAGGTACGCGAGGCAAGGATATATAGGCAAATAATCCCCAACCCGAGGTCTGGAGCAGCGCTCTTCTCTTCACCTCGCTTGTGTCAGTGCCGATTCTCAACGCCCAGGATGTATCTCACAACGCCCGTCATCGCCTTCTTCGCGACTTTAGCACACAGTGCGACAGTGATACCACCTAGCCCATGGAACTACACATACCCATGGCCAGTCCAATACCACAACATCACATCGCAGCGCTTAGACCTCTCAATGGCCTACATGGACGTCGCACCCACAAACACCACATCCAAAAAGAACAATACCATCGTGCTACTCCATGGTAAGAACTTCTGCGGCGCAACCTGGGAAGATAGTGCCCGTCGCCTCTCCGCCCGCGGCTACCGCGTCATCATCCCCGACCAAATCGGCTTCTGCAAATCCTCAAAACCACCTGCATATCAATTCTCGCTGCAGCAACTGGCATACAACACTCAATCCCTTCTCCAATCCCTGGGTATTGTCAGGACAAGGATCCTGGGCCACTCCATGGGCGGCATGCTCGGCACGCGCTTCGCACTGATGTACCCCAACACCACCAGCCACATGATCCTCACCAACCCGCTCGGTCTCGAGGATTGGAAAGCGTTGGGTGTGCCATATCGCACGATTGATTCTCTGTGGCAAGACGAGCAAGCAACGACGTACGCTTCCATTCGCAAGTATCAGCAAGCTACTTACTATGTCAACACCTGGAAGCCTGAATACGACGTGTGGGTCAACATGTCTCTCTCGCTCTACCAACTCGCCGGCGAAAACATCACGTACACATATAACCAAGCGCAGGTGACCGAAGCCGTGTTGCTGCAGCCCGTGGTGTACGAGTTTCCACAAGTAAAAGCGCGAACGCTGCTCATGATCGGCACGAAAGACAACACGGCTATTGGGAAAGCGTGGAGTCCGCCAGACGTGCAGAAAATACTGGGTAATTACTCGGTGCTGGGAAGGAAGACGGCAGACGCGATTCCCGGTGCGGCACTGGCGGAGTTTGAGGATTTGGGGCATTCGCCGCAGATACAGGATAGTGAGAGGTATCATCAGGTGCTGTTTGGGTGGTTGGATAAATCGGATTGGTAGGGAATATGGGGTTATCTAGTAATATGTGAACGCCGTGCACCATGCAACTCCAAAAAATAACGCGTCGCTATGCTAAGAGAAGCGCTTCAAAAGGTCAGTCGCACTGCCTTTCATGCCACAGTATCAGACTCTTCGTGCGAGAGCAGTCTAGTAATCTCAGATGGCCTGTGATGATCGGCCCTCCGGAAAAACGATCTCCCAATGCTGTTGTTTCTCCAATCCTCAACTCTTCGGGCGTATTGGAAGGCCCAGTGCCATACAAGGCCCGTGATGAAGCCTATAGCATCGTTCCTAAACGTCAGTAATGCTGCCACAGTGACTAGCATTACCATCCATCGCTCCCTCCTATCTCGCTCATCCAATGTTTTCAATCGCTTGCCGTCCCAAGACTGATCTCCGCTCAGAATTCGTAGATCGCGCGCATCCGTATTCACACTCTCGCCGACCTTGGCGAGCTCGACTCCGGCAGCGATGACGAGGACACCGAGAAGGGATCTGGGAATGCCAGAGAGAACACCAACAATGGCATCGGAGTTCCAGAAAGCGATGATACCGAAAAGAAGTTTGAGTGAGCCGAGGAAGATGATGCTGAAGCCACTACGTGCGCCAAAGCGGTATTGACCAGCAAGACCGCCTGAGCCATGACATACTGGCATTGCGCCGAACCAACAGGCAATCAGATTGATGATTGCGACTGAGACTCCCAGTTCGGTCACTGTTGGAGCAGCAGGGTAGGGAGGAGATGGAAAGAGATCAGACGCGAGTGCCGATGCTGCTATCACCGAGTTCAGAAGTGTAAGAGGCAGCTGGCCTAGACTCGCAGTTGTTGTTGCTTTCAGGAAATCATTTGCGGACGGGTGAAGAATGGGTATCGAATAAGGATGCATGTTCGCGGAGTCGTTCGCGGGTCCAACAATCGAGAGAAGTACGCCTACACCAAACACAATCAAGGCGTACGGCAGTCTCGGGTATGCGTATGTAAAGAGCAGCATGGCGACGGCCGCTACCACCCAAATCAAGTTGTCGCCCCACCAAGGCCCCGTCCAGGTCAAAGGTATAAGCATTTTCGAACCAGCGCTCAGACACAGCGATAAACCTGCTCCGACCTGAATGCCTTTCACCACTGGGATCGGTGTCACGCGATTCGCCCAGTTGATCAGGCCTGTAATGCTGAACAGTCCAACCAGGCCTGCGACTACAATACCAGCAGCTGCATTCTCTTCGAGCGTGAACTTGCGTGCTATGGCAACCGCCGCGATGGCCTTCATAGGCTGTACAGGCAGAGGGATGCCGAACGAGGCTCCAGTAAGGATATTCGCTGCGCCAGTAAACAGTAGCGTGGACGGCAGAGAGATCGAATTCGTAATAACCAACGCCGTCATAAGTGGAAGTAGCGTTCCCAGATCCCCCAGCGAGCCTGAAAGTTCGGCTAGTGGTTGTGCTTTGATAGTGTCGATATTATGCAGCTGTATGCGCCGCAGCCGCGGGATCGGATTTGACAGAAACCACATCGTTTCTCCGGAACGCCACGAGACGTTCGACAGTTGAGTAGGAAAAGAATAAAGAGGAGAGAAGGGAGAGGTGTTCTAGGAAATAGGTACCATGATAGGCATCGACAAAGCGCCCCAAGGATGAGCGGTGTCAAAAGGTGGGTTGTAAAGGCGCACGGGACCCGGGACGATCGATGACTGACAGCTCGATAAGCTTCGCAGCCACGCGAACGACGTCACGAGGGAGTTTTCCGAAACACTTGCACACGTATGGTCAGACCGACAGCTTGAGCAAACTGCTAAAGGGACAGTAGTGCGCAGCAGTTGGTTGAACTATGAGGGGTGCTGTTTAGCGCTGCAATCAACGAGCAGCAGGTGGAGGCGCTGACGTTCTGACGTTGCGCGTTGGGGCAGGCTGCGATCGACAGTAAGAACCAATCCCACCTGATAGAGAAGGTCCGTGGATTAAGGTGCAGCAAAGGGGCACCGAAGGGCAACTGCGTTCGATGGTTTGATTGCAAACCTGCCGGAAGAGGAAGTTTCGGGTAATAGTGGCCCAACCCAAGACCATAAGCATCGTCTTGACAATCTTACAGACCCTGTGACATAATTAGAACGAGTCATTCTTTGCTGCTTGCACCAGGTGCTGCAATTATTTGTGCGCGCTGTTTCAATGTATTGGAGAACGCCCATTATCTTATAAGCAGCCTGAATAGATTCGATGGATTATTAGCATATGGCAAAGAGCTAAAAAAGCCTTGAAGTTATACGGCCCTCCCTATACACCAGCTGCCTCTGCTACTCATCTCATACCCAAGCCGGATCGAGCCCAGCATGTCTCCATGTCTTCGAGAAGAGTGACGAAGTTGTCATCCTCCAGATTGCGGAAGATGAACTCATTCAACGCCGCTCGGCGACTTTCTTCAGATTGCATGGCATAAGCCGCGAGACTATCATCGGACTCGGTCTCATGCATACCAATCTTCTGGACCTCTGTGTCGACTGGATGCCGCGTGTCAGAAGCCGGCGGGGTTGACAGCGGGCTCTGAGACTCTGTGCGACGCCTGTTTTGGGCCACGCTGCCTAAGCTGCTTAATGGTCGAGTTGATGGCATGATAGACGACGACGAAGCCCTCTTGTAGGACAACGGCGAAAAGTTAGAACTCGAGCTCGATACTCGGTTTTGTTGGTCCTCATATATAGGTACTGGCTGAGCGCTCGGAGGAGTGTTGTGATCTTGGTTCGGGGTACGAGGTGGTCGTTCCATCCAGGAAGGCTGCTGTTGAATACTGTCCACAATGGTAGGTCTCGGAAGCGGCGGCAGCTCTATTTCCTGGGTGGCAGCACGGGCAGAGGCAGGTCGTAGACTAGTGACCCTAGCTGGTAGGGGAGGTGGGCCCATCATGGTCGAGGGTCGGCTCGAAGGGTGAGAACCATCGCTTCCCGCTGATCGTGGAAAGGGCAATTCACGTCGAGGCGGTAAGACTGCTTCAGCAGGATCAGGGCGACCAAAGAGCATGCCAGTCCCCGGGCGATCGTTGGACGTGTTGTGCTCAGCATCAGCACCTGTTGATGGGCGATCGCGCGAAGAATACATCGCACTTGATTGGTCGAGGGCACTCGAAGTTAGTGATGCTGGCCTTGCAAAGTACTCTGGAGGCTGGAGAGGTCCCGAGAACGACATGCTTGTGTTAAGAGCATTACCAGCATGACCGGTATAAGCAGATGATGGCCGATTGTGAGCAGCTTCTTGCAAATGCGATTCAATCGATGTAGGTGCAGTGAGCGCAGTGTACGGTCGATTGGAGATGTCAGTTAGCCTAGACGGAGGACAAGAAAGCACTGCAGTCTGCTCTACGGGTCCATGGGGAGGCTTGGATGGAGTGGATGCGGCGGAAGACTTTTTGTTTGATGATGAGCGCGACTGGCCTGCATTGGTCGTATCCATGTGCAGGCCAAGTTGAAGGAGGTGCTTGTAGGCCGTGTCATAGTCGCTGTCGTGCTTGAATTTGAGCTGAAGTCTGCGTATCTGTACAGTCGTGAGCGCCGATATCGATGTCTGAGAATGTTGCCAACCTTCTTGTCAGGCAAATGCCAGCTAAGTGCCAGGAGAGGACATCGGACAAGCGCCGAAATTGGCAGCTTGTCACGCTTGACCTCCGCACCGTGCTCTCGCAACGTTCTTTCTAAATCGTTACCTTGATTGACGAGACGCTCAATCTCGATCAAGTGCTGAAGAGGGACTGTGTTAGCTACATATTGAAAGCTCCGGTCCCTGGCTCCGGTGCTACAAGGATGGACCGGCTGAGGCTCTTACTCTGACATGTGTGCCTTGCACGACCTTGAGCAGCTGGGCTGAGCTTCCGTGACCATAGTTGTCAAAGACCACAACAAGATCCTGCGTCTGGTGAGTCCAGCTAAATTTGGTCTCACTCGGCTCCGCATCTCGGGCTTCAGATATCTTTGCCAGAGGCAGCGTAATCATTTTGGTTAGCAAGTGGTGGTGTTAGTGCGTACGATCAATAGCTCCACTCGAGCTGAGGGACGATGGACGATGAACGATGGCTCTCACGGCGCTCACGGTGGTCGTGAGACTGAGTGGAGGTGAGGTGGAAGAGAGATGGTCCGCCAGACTTGGGAGGGAAGTCGCGACCGGAGAGCTCACGTGACGATGCGCTCGGACCCACATCGGCGCGCGAAGTTAGGACCGGGAGCGTTGCATTCTGGTGTTCATCCATCATCGCGACCGAAGCGCGCCGCGCATTCACGAAAAAGACAATCGCCCATTGCGCCAGGCACCCCACCCGTTCCGTGCATGTCTCGCGCCAAACATCGCACAAGCCTCGGGTAAACGCGACATAGCAAACATGGCACCAAACAAACCATGGGATTCCGCCGAACACGCCCAAGAACACGAGGAACTTCTGGAGACATTGGAGAAGTACCACGAGAAGCGCGGGTAAGTTGTGCATCGGCGTGCCTTGTCCGAGTGCGCATGCTGACGCAAAGGCAGCACTGTCCTGGAGCGCGAACCCAGGGTCGGCAACAAGAACATCGACCTCTTGCGCCTGTGGAAGCGCGTCAACGAAGAGGGCGGATACGACAAGGTCTCCGACACCAAGAACAACAAGCTCGCCTGGAGAAGGATCGCGGCTGAATTCCTGCCCAACGGCCCCAGTCTCACCACACAAGCATTCCTGATCAAGTCAATCTACTACCGGAATCTGGCGTATGTGTTGCGCAACACTGTTGAGTTGCAGCGTGTACTGATCCTGCTGCAGGGCATACGAGATATCCACAGTCCACAATCGCGAACCGCCGCCCAAAGAGATCCTCGAGGACGTGTCTGCAAAGGGCGGCGACCTGCTCAACCGGACCGTCGAGAACTTCTTCCCACAGGGCAGTCGCGAAGCAGAGCGCCTGCGCAACGGCGAGGAAGACTCCGAGGACGAGGACGAAGAAGGCGACGTCAAGAGGACGCCAAGAGACGACAAGATGGACGTCGACGAGCCCGGTAGCCTTGGGCGCTCAACGAGATGTACGCCATACAATGTGCTGTCTGCTATCAGCCATCACCCTTGCTAACACGATGCCCTAGCACTTCGTCATGCGCCTCCCCAGCGCGTGCTCTTCCAGCCCGAAGTCTCGACCCGCCAGACGCGCCAATCCGCCGGCCACAGCTCACCTCAGGTCAACGGCTATGGTACCAGCGCAGCGGCCACAACCATTGCGAATTATGAGCCGCGCTCGGCACTCCCGGCCACGATGAAGCAGGTCGTGACCCCCTCGAACCAGCTCGACAGTTACGTGCAATCGCGCAAGAAGTACATTCTCAACAGACGGAACAGGCCCGTACCACCCAAGGGCATGATGCTGCCCGGCACAGGCTTTCCTGGTCCCAACATCTACATCCGCGCCCTGCACGCACTGCGGTCGAAGCAGCCAGAGGAGGAGGCCTATGCGCTTCACCACCTGGTCAAGATCTCCCACGAGCGAGGCGACAAGTACCGCTTTGACCAGTTCCCTGGGCTTGCTGAAGCGCTCATCGGGAAGGTCATCGACGTTGGCTCATTGTTCTACGATGTGGCATGGGACATTTCGTACTCCGAAGACGAGTTCGACAAGCCCGAGGTCCTCAATGGCCTTTCTGGCACCAGCGACCTGCTGAAGCGTATTCAGTCACTCCAGACGCTCGATGTGCATGATGAGCTGCTCCCGGAAGAGACGGCGAAGGCTCTGAACATGATCAATGAGGCGGCCTTGATCCTCCGCAACATGGTGATGCTCAAAGAGAACGCCCTGTTTGCTTCCATGATTCCCTCAATACGGGATATGCTGGTCATCATTCTTACTCTGCCAAAGCACCCAACGATTGTCGAGCTGCAACACTATGCGCTTGAAATCTCAGAACAACTGACCAAATACTGGGAGCTGGGCGCACAAGATCCTCTGTATCGCTCGTTGCTGGCACAAGTGAACTCTGACGACCGCGGCAGAATCATAACGTCATTGCGCGCATTGGCGCGCATAGCCATGAACCTCGACTCCACGAATAAGCTCTCGGACGTTCCAGTGAAGACCTTGCAGTCAATTTGCGACTGGCTGTTAGTGGAGGATGAAGACCTGCGCATAGCTTGCCTGGACTTCTTGTATCTTTTCACCGGCTTCTCGGATAACGTAGAAACTCTAGCTCATGAGGTCGATATTGAGAGCGTGGTCAACCAGCTCGTTCGCATGCTTCAGTACGGTGCAATTGCCTACGAGGAGCGCCGGAGCGCATCAAAGCCGTCCAAGTCTGTGCCGTCGTCAGATAGTGCGCCAAAGCTATCTTCAGCCATTATCGAGCATCTGGTATCACTGGAGGAGCCAGAACGCAGTTCGCAGTGGCTCAAGACATGCTTCGAGGAAGACCTAACTGGCGAGATCACCCAAATACAGCTGTGGTCGGCTTACAATGCAGCCTTTTCCGAGGCTGTCAGCAGTAACACTGCGACACATCGGGCTCTCATGCCCGCGAAAGACTTCATCACCAACGTTTCTACAACATTCACTGGCGCATCTGCTCAAGTGCTGACAGTCGGCGGCCAGCCGAAGTACACCATCAGAGGCATTCGACCACGATCAGTGCCTGTAGACCCGCATACGAAGAAGCCATACATGCGCTGCTGCTGGCACCCTCCCTCGCTCCTGAATGGCCTCGCAGACACGAAGCACTCCACCCCGAAAATCGAATGCGGCGAATTTGCCTCAGGCGCAAGAGCGATGTGGGAGCACGTTGTTAGTGCCCATCTCAAGGTTCCACGTGACCAGGAAACCGGTCAGTGGCTGCTCGAACCAAAGCCAGACATCGATATGGAGAGCGACAACATCATGACAGCTGCGGAGCCGCCAAAGTACTCTTGCCATTGGGGAGGCTGCACGCGCTTTCAGCCTGACGGCACCGAATCCGCGTTCGAAGCTGGCCAGCATATCAAGACGCATTTGCCAGATACAAGCATAAAGCAAGCCATACACGCAAAGCACAATCGCACCCCATCGGAATCGCGACCACTGACTAGCTCGGCCCAAGTCAGACACGATAATTTCCAGCCACAGTTCGGCCAGCCCGTCGGTTTGAGTAGCCTGGGCCTAGGTGGACGTCACAATGGCTCTGAGAGGAATCCAGATCGGGGCAGGAGTGAGCGACAACAGCCTCCACATCAACCAGCGCCCAACTTCCGATACTACAATACCGCCACTGACGAAGCCAACGACGCCGCCGGTTTACCCCTGTCGTCCGTCCTTGTCCTTCGAAATCTAGCCCGTCAACTCAACAAAATCCCACCTCCATCATCTGTTATCGAGATCGACCCACAATCACCAAACCACAAGCGCACCTTCAGCGAAAGCAGCCCAGACCAACGAAGAACCGCCGGCGGCAAGAAGCCCCGACTCAGTGATGCGGCGCACGAGCAAGCCAGGGCGAACGAAGAGCGGGAAGAGGAAGAAGCTAAGAGCACCGGATGGGTTCCCCGGGTCTTCGCTCCCGTGAAGGAGCAACTAGCGTTCGTAGCCAGCCACAATCTCACTCTCAGGAACTACATGGGCGGATTGTTGAAGGCGATCGCCGAGGGCGGTGGCTAGGTGCCATGCTCCACTCAAAAGCTGTAGAAGAAGGGCGTTTGGGATTTTCTCTTTCGACGGCGATATTTCTATGGAGCATGTTACTGGGTCGGATTGGTTGTAAGATGTGAAAGGCTTCATGCATGCGAAAAAGATACCTAGACTTTAGCTTAGTGCTGCCTTTTATTGAGGGTTTCGAGGTATTTGAATATTTTTTTAAAAGTCTGACATGGACCGTTATTAAGTGAACGATGCTGATGCCGTTGCTCAGCTCCATCGCTCTGACCCTGGAAGATGTTCAGGATATGCTCTTATTTCCTTGGCAGCGTGACAGTGATCACACCTCCAGACTGCGACAAGGCGGCATGACGTGACACCAAGCACAATGGAATCAAGTGAAAGACTTTTGGATGTGTCACCTGTGAGAAGAATAGGCAGCAATGAAGCTGCACCCCAGGACTCACTACTTCCAGCTTGGGGGGTGGGTCGCTCCAAGGTCTGAGACGCTGCGTTCTCTTTTTGAATTTCTTTTTGGCCAGATGTTGAACTGTGGTGAGATGGGCACTTGCAGTCGATTGATTCCAACATCTAGTATGATTCTATCTGGATAATAAGTAGGGCGGACGCGAGAGGCAGCGTATCTCCTATGTCCCAGAGCGAAACAAGTATCTTTTATGCTCAGGATACCTATCGCCTAGTTCCCTCCTCACCTCAGCAAGACAATTTTCCTTGCGATACTTGCTCATATCAGGCCAGCCATGTTTGCGATAAATGGATCGCAAAGACGCCATGAAATCTTCTGGAATAGGAATCTCGAGCTGCTCTGGTTCAGTCTAGACGTCGATAACGTCATGTGCGTTCATGAGGATGAAGTTCAGTTGGCGATATTGGTTCTTGAGCATCTCGAAAAAGTAGCGGACGGGCCAGCATGGACCCCATTGGATTTCGTCTTCTTCTGAACCCTCTTCATCGTCGTCGCTGTCTTCGTTTTCGCTTTCAACATCACCAGCATTGCCATCGTCGTCTTCTTCTTTGCCACTGGCTCCGTCTCCCTCTTCATCCCCAGCCTCAGTCGCTGCAAGCGCATCGCCCTCGAGCGGATACATGAAATACCCATCCTTCGGCACCGCAGTCTCCCTGACTCGTGCTGGGCAATTCATGTAATAGGCGACTCCACACTTCGTGTCCAGCAAGATAACGTCTGGGTCTTCGTTGCCCATGAAATACCCGCCATGAACGAGGCCAACACAGTGTGGCGGAATCCTGCCGTCGAATTCTTCCTCCATGCCTTCGGATGAGACGAGAAGGTTATCCGGATGCTCGTCTCCAGCTTGTAGTCTGTTCAGGCAGTACGGTCAGTCAACGAACCTAACACCAGGTAGGCATTTGGGATGATTTGAGTATGATTGATTAGATTGAAGCTAGAATAAAAAAATCGTCTGGAGGACTCGACGCTGGAAATTAAGCTTTGTGCATGTTTTAATTAAATGTGTAGTTTTTCATCTTCTGAACTGTCCAAGTACCCATTCCTTTCTCCCCATCCAAAACATCAACACGGCGACTACAAGTCCCTTACTACCAATATCAATCTTAGCTTTTGGAGAAGCACTATCCGTGACCGATGCAGAAGTCGACGCGGAAGCCGGCACAGAAACCTCAGACTTGACTTCCTCCTTCGCATCCTTTCCCGACTCAGCTTTTCCTTCACCCTCACAGTCCGCAAAAGCCTCCGTCGCATCAAGCCAGACCTCACCGCTGGGAACATCCATCTTCGCACTCTCCCACGTATCGGGACATTCCTCCTTCAAATCCGCAAACGCAGAGCTATGCGCTGCCCACCAGGATGAAGCGACGCTGGTATACGAGCGGAACTCTGCTACATCCGAGCTAGGCACGGCCGTCGAGAGTGCGCACCAGCTTTCCTTCGCGACCGAAGGACACGCAATCGATGGCTTATCTTCGCACTCTTCATAGATTTTTTGTCGGAATGCTCGTAGTAAGTGTTGAGAAGCTGGCCAGTTGGCATGGGTGGCTTCAGATAGTCGGAGACGTTCTTGGTTGCGCATTGCCATGAATCGGCCGTTGTCGCTGGTGTGTAGATTGTGATTGAAGTCGCCGGTCTGGCCGTGGATGCAGTTGTAGTCGTTCCGCTGGATGCTTGTATGGGAGTAATGGATTGAGCTACGACTGCGGTAGTAAAAGTGAAATGGAAGATCTGAATACGCATCTTGAAGGCCCAGTATACGCAGGCTGCGGTGAAAAGTTGAGAGGAGTGAAGGACGTCGGATAGAGTTGTAGTGACGATGCACTATTCTCAGGTCCCAGCGTCGTCCATTTACCAGACACTTGGTACCAGCATCGCATGATACCACATCTGAGCAAAGGCGGTCAAGTACCGGTAGTCGAGCCCAGAAGAAGCGCGATTTTCAACTCGATTGTTCCGAAAGGAGACTTCGTCCGCGGCTAACGCGCCAAGGAGGCACAGTAACGTGTGCATCAGAGTGCAAGTGAGTCGTGCTCTATGCCACGAGACGAAAACCCGGCGTCTAATGCAATTTTGACGTCGGACCATATCTTGTGCGTCCGATGGCTCATCTACTCACAAAATCTGTTTCTCGTTCGGCGGGTACCAAACTCGTGTTGGCGCTGTATCGTGATGCCACATACGTTGTGGGTTCGGTGCCTGCCTGTGGTGGAGGACTTTTTGTGCTCTGCGATGAGCAGATTGTGCTGGTGCCAGGCTCTGTACATATGCTGTATCAGATTCGCAACCCAGCTCTGTGGCTGCTGCGACTCCGAGCAAGAAGCCTCTGGCCAGCCGAACTGTATTCTTGATGTCATTCACTGCATCATGTCGCTTCAACTCACACCATCCGCCCATTGAAAAGACTCGCATCACTATCCTTCGCCCTGCTATTCTCACCCCCATAGACCGCATGCGCCGGCCTCGTAATCGCCGTACTCCCACTCCCCCAACTCTCATGACTCGGCTTGCGCGCCTGTTCAGAACCAACCGTCGTCTCATGCTGGACATGTATTTTCGGCACCGACGTCCTCTTCTCCTTGTTGAACGGGAAGAGAAACTTTCCTTTCGGCGGCGAAGCCTGTGACGATGAAATACTAGTATGCACCGGCCGTTGAAACGGATCCTCCAGCGCCACGCACTCGATGAATTCGTCGCCGCGGACGTCAGAATGTGAGCGTTTGCGGCTGACGCTTCCTCTATGCGGGGAGCGGCCGATGGAGGAGCGGTGCACGCCGTTGCCCGCGGAGCTGAATTTGCGCGCGACGATGTCGTCGAGCACAGATTTGAAGTCGTCGAGGAAGATGGTGTCGGAGGCGCATTTGAAAACGAGGGCGAAGCGCCAGTACGGGTTTATGCCGCTGCTGGCGGTGAGTTTGGCGGCGCTGACGACGACGTCGGTGAGGAGGAAGGCGATGGAGAGGAGCATGCAGAGCAACATGATGCCGAAGCGCGTGTTGATGCGCATCAGGGCCCAGAGTTTGAAGCCATAGGTCTTCTTGATGGAGTTGACGAGCTTCCATGTTGTGAAGATCCACCAGGGGTCGCGGAGGAGTGCTTCCCATGGACGGGTGCGAATGTTTGCGTCGGAGCCTAGGTTGTTGAAGTATGCGAAGTTCGACCAGGCTTCGGCGATCCAGAAGGGCTGGACGCAGATGAGCGAGATGATGAAGAAGCGAGACCCCCATCGAGGGAGGAACGGCCTGATCTTCAACCAGGATACAACGTTGTGAAGGACGTATGATATGAAGAGAAGAGTTGCGGTTGCCGAAAGATACCATCCATACGCTGGGTCCCTTACAAAGATGAACGTTCCGTGTCCGATAGCGAGAACAAGCTGTGCGTTGTTAGTGTATGAAGGTGATTGTAGATCTGCTTCATGTACTTCAAGAAGAATGAGCTTATGAAGCCATATGCCCGGTCGATAGTTGCAAAACACTATCAAGATCAGAATGACGAGGCTCCCAACATTATAGCCTTGCGCCCAAGCTTCCAGAAACCCTCCTTCCGTACTCAAACTGGCTCTCGTAGGCGGCGAAGTCCGTGTCGTTGCAGGTTCCGGTAAGCGCTTCTCAAGAATGAGTCTAGTCATGTCGTTGAAGGGAGCCATGGCTCCATACTCTGACGTGCGTGGCGTCAAAATCGAGTTGTGATGTTTTCAGTAGTGTGTCTGTACTGTTTTCGCAATTTCAAGACACTCGCGTGCATGTACCACAACAGTGTCGCGGACCCAACATGAACGTCGAAACGGAGTGCAATATCCTGGGGTATCCAGGGCTTACATATCTCGCCCGCTGCAACAGCCACAACACGGAGGACATCCCTACCTAGCTTTAGACGGCGAACCAAGCCCCCCGCGGAAAGGCGGTCGGTCGGGGCAAAGCGAGGCTGTCATACGGAAATGCTGACCGCAGTGAAGATCGCATTTGCCCTATCGCCTAGCTACCAACAAGACCGCTAGACCACATACAAGTGCTGCGGGAAGTCGGAATGCTTACACTCATTTGATAAGAGCCGCCACGCTGTTGTCCACTGTATCGATCATGTGCGCCACGTCGACTGCGCAAACGAGCAAATGGCATCCAGCGCATGCGGCGTTGACAGTTGGTGATCGACGGCGTGGCGTGGGCTAGTGACGAGAAGACGGCTTGCCTGAGGAACGTTGGCTACACACCGGAAGACGCCCCTCTCCGGCAACGCAGAGTAACGGGCCTTTGATTGTTTCGCCGTCGCGTATTGCGGTGGCAGCGGTGAGATGTCGCTGGTCAGCACTTGGCGACCCCCGGTGAAAGGCTGGGGAAGCAGGACAAAGACGCCCTGCCGAGATATGATGTAAGCCGTGACTGCGCAAAGGCGCACCCGATGGGACGGTTACATCTTGTTGCACTTCGAGGGACGGACTGCGGAGGACGTTCAGGCGATCAAAACGTCGGGGTTCCCCACATTCGAAAGCTGGGGCGCGCTATGCCGCTTGCGGACCGTCCAACAGGACCTCCGATGCGGAAGAGGCATAGCGATTTAGAGGGCAGTTTCAGACCTCATGAGAAGGTTGCTGATGTTGCCTGGTGTGTTTCTGGAGCCCAGTGTGAGAAAGGTTGCCCTCAATTTAGTCCTTCTGGTGACATTCACCGATCACTGCAACTCGGTGTCACGTTCGATGTTCGACTCCGTATAAGCATTCACACTAGTGTATTATTGTCTTGCAAACGGACGGCAAATAGACTCATGGTCGAAAAGTCAAACTGCAGCGCCAATCAAGTTCAACGCAATCATGCCCAAAACATCTGCTCAGCCTTCACTCTTTGATACCAAACCGCCCAGTATCGTAACCGTCTCACATGGTGTGCAATACAACATGAAATTGGACATGGATAGTGCATTTTCTACTGATCTTGCAACACCTTCTTCGCCCCCTCACTAATCCTCTTAATCTCCGTGTGCCCCTTCTTCACCACCTCCTCCATCCTCTTCTTCGCCTTCTGCAAATCATCCGGGAGCACATCGCGATTCACCTCGAACTTCCTCAGCCGCTTGTTGTGATCCTGGCGCGCGACCTGAATCATCTTATCCGCCTTCTCCGCCGCCTTGACCGCCGCGTCGACTGCCGCCTGGCGCGACTCGCCTGTCGGCGGGGGCAGCGGGACTTGGATTGTCAGCGGGTTGGAAGCGTCGGGCGCGAGGGGCGTGAGGGAGTGAGGGGAGGAGGCGATGGCGGTGGTTATGGGCTTGATGTGCTGGGGGATAGTCAGTAACTGCCTTCAGATAGGGAAGAGGATTGGCGTACGTCTTCCTCCCCACAAACAACATTAATCATGCGTCCCCTGGGTACAACCTGCGCGATATCGCCCAGCTTCACCGTCTCCTTGCCATGTCCCGCCGTGCCCAGCTGGACTTTCAGGCTCTCGACGACTTCGGGATTGAGCTTGCCGCCGCCACGTAGTTGGCTCAGCTCATGTGTGAGTTTCTCAATCGCTTTGAGGATCTGCGCTTCGAGGTTGGAGACGTCGTAGGCTTCGTCGGTGGCTGTGGGTTGGCCGGGGTTGGTGACGGGCGGGGAGGAGTCGGTTTGCGCGTGGGATTTGTTGGCTTTGCCGGCTTTCTTGTGGAGGGTGGAGCTTATGGAGAAGCATCGCGTGGCGTGGGAGAGGCATTGCGGTGGTGGGGTGCGGCGGAGTGTGCTGGAGAAGTGGTGTGAGCAGAGCTTCCAGTCTCACAAAGAACACTTGTAGCCTACATATTGCAATACGAGGACCCAATTGGTCTTGAAGAGGCAAAAAGAGAGCTTCTCGAGGTCAATCGCACGGCTGCACGTGGAATTGCTACTGCGGACATGATTTCTGATGTTGCTCGAGCTTGGTACTGGCAGCTCCGACATTTAGAGCTTCACGCGCACAGGCCAATGTGGAGCACCACATCAGACGTCATTCGGTGCTATTCTGGACTCTTCTTGACAATGCCTTCTCACAGCCCAGAACCCTTGATCTACAATTTACAACAGCAAGGCGGTCTTCTGTAAGAACATCTCGTCGACCGGACAGGCGCAGCGACTTATTGCGTTGTTGTACTTTTAGCACAACAGCCCAACTCCAACCTGACCTTACTTTTATTGCTCACATATACTCTATCCATCCCATCGTCCCTCCTACCGCCATATCGAGCCATCTCTCACTCTACTAACACATACCCAAAGAACTCCCCACTCTCCACATTCCAACAATCCTTTCCCAACTCTCTCCCCCCCTCCTCCACCGCTCTCAAATACCCCTCGAAGCTACAATATGTCCTCATCGTCTCGTCCTTCATCGCAACAACGCACCACTCCAGCCCCTCCCACACATCCATACCCCCCGCAAAATCTTGCACGGCGCGCCTGACACTAATCTTAACCTCCTCGCTCACCTTGCTGTCCAAAATCTCGCGCACCTTTTGTTTAACCCGCGCGACAGTGTCTGGCGTGATGAGGAACGTGGTATCCACATCTTCCTGCCCGATAACTATGCTCCGCCCCATCGTTGGCCAGTCGGTCGTGTCGCCAGACACTTGGTATGCGATTGTGGACATGTCTGCGGGAATGTCGATGTGCAGGTCTGAGAAGTAGTCCTCGTCGTCGCGCAGCCAGCGTATGTCTTCGCACTTCCACAATGGGGCTTCGTTGATGATGCCGCCAAAAGCCGCGTCGTTCCCGTTTGAGAGAAGCAGGTAGGACTTGTAGTCTGCGGGGAGGGACGTGTTGAGACGTTTCTCGGTGGCTGAGATGGAAGACTCGGGGGCTGGGGGGTGGAGGATTGTGGAAGGAATGGGCTGGTCCATTTCTTCGTGCAATTCGATGGAGTCTGGGTGCGTGCGGGTATTTGTGCTGATAGCTTCGAGAATCTCCTTGATTGGTCGTGTGGGAGGTGGCTGTTTTCCCTTGTCCATGCGTTCAGTCACAGCAGCCTCGAGCTGCGATGCAAAGCAGTCGATTTTCGATTTGTTCAGCCTCAGCAACCTCAGGAGTGCTCCATTCTTGAGTAACTGCCATGCTCGTCGTGATTGCATCAGAGCTTCTATCTGACCATGTCCATTCAAGTCTTTCGCAATCATACTCAAGATATATTCTTCGCTGGGCATGTCATCATCATCATCATCCTGCTCGCCCATCTCTCGTAGCTTGATCCTCAATTCCAGAGCACTCACCAGCGCCGTCGAAGGGTTCACTCGATTCGCGTCATTCCCTTCTTCCCTCTGATATCCCTCCTCACCACGCACCGCTCCAATCAATTTCCGCATACTGTTTCTTACCTCCTCCGCCGAGCGTTCAACATTCACATCATGCGGACTCGGCGGCACCTTCTCCCCGCACAAATACGGCAGCTCAGGATACCACCAACAAGATGCGTAACTCCGGTACTGTTCATCTACATACTTCTCAACATCTGCGTCTATGATGGGACTGTCGTCGACCTCTAATCTGCGCCTCTTCCCCGTCTCCTCACCGATCTTCTCTTTCGCGGTGCGTGCTCTACCCTCTTCCATATCCCTTCTCACGCGCTTCAACTCGCCCTCGGGCCATTGCCCAATCACGTCCCAGAGGATGTAAAGAGGCCGGAGTCGAGCTCGATAAGGGTGGTACCAATCGTATACATTGAGCTTGCCGACGAGGCGTAACGCCGTGTCGGTGTAGCCTAGGATAGCGAGTTGAGTTGCGAAGACTACGGTTCGGTCGTAGAGAGTTTCGTTGTCGCACTGTAGAACATCGTCGCGGTTGAATAGCGACTTGTCTGATGCGGAGGTGGAACGGGTGACAATTTGGCCGTTTTCAGCTGGCATCTCTGTGCGAAGAATTGGGATGATAGGATGTAGGTAACTGCATTGAATTTAAAAGGAGGACTCAACATGATAAGCCGTACTGTTGCCTTGTCGTAGCGTGGTATGGTGCTGAGCGTCGTGCTATGACGTCATTGCTCTTGAAGTCCTTCATAGTAACATTCGAAGCACTCGAGATCAATCGGGAGTAGTTTAGAATCATGGCGAATTGCTCTTTAATCGTATTCTGTTGCGCAGCCTATGGTATATCATGTTCTATTCCACCTATTTTTGGTACTTCTTATGCGAATCAATGACCTTCTGAACCTCTCCTTCCGAGCCCATGAAGATGCCCGATCGGTCGTGAATGTGCTCGGGAACAACCTCCAACATGCGCTCCATCTTGCTGTTGACAGCCAGGCCGCCAGCTACACACAAATTAGCATGCCATTCTAACACTCGGATTCCTAACCCTTGGATGATCGGGAGACTTACCATTCTCAAAAACCATAGCCATGGGCGCACACTCGTACAGGATACGCAGCTTACCCTTGGGACTCTTCTTATCCGCCGGATACGCAAAGATGCCTCCATATAGTAATGTGCGGTACGCGTCCGCCACCATGGACCCAATATAACGTGCCGAGTATGGTTTCCCACCCTCTCCAGGATTCTTCAAGCTCTCGCACCAATCCTTGACCGGATCCGTCCAATACATGCTGTTCCCCTCATTGACACTGTAAATTGCCCTCGACTTGGGCACGCGCATGTCCGGATGCGTGAGAATGAACTCGCCAAACGCATTATCAAGCGTGAACCCATTCACACTGCCGCCCTTCATCGTGATAACCAACTGCGCACTAGCGCCATACATGGTGAATCCAGACGCCACCATCTCCGTGCCCGGCTTGAGCATCTCTTCCTTGGTGCCCTGCGCGCCCTCGGGCAGCTTGTAGATGGCGAAGATGGTGCCAACAGACACACCGGCATCGAGGTTCGAACTGCCGTCGATGGGATCGCACGCGACGGCGTAGCGCGCGCCGGGGAATTCGTCGAAGAGGATGCATTCTTCTTGTTCTTCCGAGACGAGCAGGCGCACGCGGCCCGAGGAGCGCATGGCGCTGATGAAGAGCTCGTCGCCGATTACGTCGAGTTTCTTTTGGTCGTCGCCTGTGGTGTTGGAGGTGCCTTGGAGACCGGTGAGCTGGGAGCGGGGTCAGTTGGGGGTTTGAAAGGACTTGGGGGGCGGGAGGGGGTACGTTGATGAGGGTTGCTCGTCGAATGTAGTAGGCAATGCTCTTGAATGCGAATTGGAGGGCGTGGCAGAGTAATCTGTTCGTCATCAGTCACTTCTTTCTTGCAGTCCCTCTGATCTAAGCGTACGTGAAGTCTCCCGTGGCTTCCTTGTGCTTCGTCTGCTCTTCGGTCAAGAACCGCGTGAGCGTGATGATGTCTGTGTTGACCGCCTCTCCTTGCCTCTCGCCATTGCCGTTATTCGCCATGATGTCTGCTTGCTTCTCGAACTGCTGGTCTGCGTTGTCAAGTAAGAAGAAGCGGGATGCGTCAATGTAGAAGGTCGACAGACACAAAGGCACATGCACAGATTTACTATGAAGTCAGTCTGGGTCCCAAAGGTGGGTAGTATCGGAGCACCGGGACCCTATTGCTCCAACCTTCCCCTCGGCAATGGCCATCGTCACGAGCTGCACCCAAACAAACCACACACGCATACCCTACCCTACTTCGACCAACTACCGCCATTTCCTCGGCACAAATACGCGCAGCCTAGCAGTCTAGACCAGGTCCTACACGCTTGAATTATCCCGGAAGCTTCGTCAGGCGCTCAGCGACGCGCTTTGTTGCGGGAAACGCGATGATGCAAGTTGCGGATAAGAATTGTGGAGGGGTTTTGCGGGGCTGCGAGCGTACTGATGTTGGCCCGACATCTTCCGGCCCGCGGATTTACGTAGCATCACGCTTGGAACGCCAAACATCATGTTGCTCTCAACTTCTCTCTGAAGTACAGGAAATGATGATTGTACTGTTACTGGCACAATGGCTTTAGTAATTAGAGTTAGCGTTGCAGCATGTCTTCAAAACTTCATGTCTCTGCGGCACTTTCAAGTCGAAAAGCTGTCTCCTGCCTGCTCGTACCGGAGCTACATATCGCGCATCGTGATACTCCGGAAATGTCAAAGACGGCGCCGATGCTTGCAGCGATCCAGGAGAAACATCGACAGTTCGGGCTGAATGTCACCGAGCCATACACGCCCAATCTTCAGGGATAAACAGCTCACGTATACATAGGATGAACGAGAAAAGAGTATTTCTATACTACAGACGCTATACATACACTCCTGGCCATGCAAATGTACAGCAAAAGATTCCTATCCAGTGTGTTCCCTTGTGTCCCGACCGCGAAGAATGATGAAGGGCAAGACAAGACAAGACAAGACAAGACATGCAAATAATGGAACACGGGAATCTCGTAATATTTCAGACGCAGCTTCAACAACTCAAGTCTACTCGCCCTTCAACTTGTCCTGCTTGACGGAAAACGCCATCTCGAGCAGGTCCTTTTCTTCTTTCTTGTGCGAGTTCTTGAGACCGGTGGCGACGGATGCGCTGGGGTTGCGTCCGGCGTACATGACGTGCCTCCTGTTGTGGTGCTCGGTCTGGTTCAAGAGAGTCTCGATTCTGGGCTGGGTGAAGCTCCACGCACCGGCGTTGAGAGGCTCTTCTTGACACCAGATGATGTTCTGCGCGTTGGGGTATGAGTCGAGATTCTCCTTGAGTTGCTGCCATGGGAAGGGGTTGAGTTGCTCAATGCGGGTGATGGCGACGTCCTTCAGTCCGCGAGTCTCGCGCTCCTTGACAAGTGCTGCGTAGACTTGACCTGTGCAGAGAATGACACGGTTGATCTCCTCGTGCGAACCGATCTCGCCGCTCGAATGGGCAGGGTCCTCAATGATCCACTGGAAGTGAGATTCACCGGTGAACTCCTCAATGTTGGACCGGGCCAGAGGGTGTCGCAAGAGTGACTTGGAGAAGAAGAGGATAAGAGGCTTGCGGAATTGACGGTTCATCTGGCGACGCAGCAAGTGGAAGTAGTTGGATGGCTTGGTGCAGTACGCGATCTGGATGTTGCAGTCCTGGTGCTGGCGATCAAGCTTGTCAGGGGATGGGAAGACGCGGGGGTCTTCATTGACAAGTTGCAAGTAGCGCTCCATGCGTGCTGACGAGTGCTCGGGTCCTTGACCGTCGTAACCGTGCGGTAAGCTCATAACGAGTCCAGAGCGCTGGAGCCACTTGACTTCACCTGAAGCGACGAATTGATCGATGATGACTTGAGCAGTGTTTGCAAAGTCACCAAACTGGGCCTCCCACATAACAAGAGCGTTGGGTGATGACAGAGAGTATCCGTACTCGAAACCGAGCCTACATGGTTGTTAGCTATACTCCTAGTAGATGCAAATTGATAAACGTACACTCCGTATTCACTCAACGACGAGTTTGAGATGACAAACGTCGCCTGGTCCTCGCTGACATTTTGCAAGGGCGTGTATGTCTTCTCGGTTTCTTGGTCGTGAAGAACAGCATGACGCTGGGAGAAGGTTCCACGCTCCACGTCCTGTCCAGACACACGGACGTGATGGCCCTCCTGGCAGAGAGTACCGAATGCCAATGCCTCGGCGGTTGCCATGTCGATGTTCTTGCCTTCGGTGACAGTCTTAGTACGTCCGGCCAAAATACGCTTAAGGTTGCGGTGAACTGTGAAGTCTTCTGGCGCACTTCCAATCTTTTCAGCAATGTGCTCTAGTTTTGATGCCTCAACTGCGGTGGGAAGATGGGGAAGGACCTCAGTTGCGAGCTCCTTGGGCGACTTGAAACCATTCCATGCAGATGTGAGCCACTCCTTGGCGGTCGGTTGGTAGTCCTTGCTGCGGTTGAAACTCTCATCAAGCATACCCCAGACCCATGCCTTGTGCTCATCAATGTCCTCCTTGGTGAAAGTCTTCTCTTCTAGCAGCTTGTTGGTGTAGATGTCCAAGGTTGGCTTTTGCTCCGCAATCTTCTTGTACATGAGTGGCTGAGTGAAGAAAGGTTGGTCAGTCTCGTTGTGGCCAGACTTTCGGTAGCAAACCATATCGATAACCACATCCTTCTTGAATTCGGCGCGGAAGTCAGCTGCAAGCTGGCAAACAAAGTTGAGAGCCTCAACGTCGTCACCGTTCACGTGGAACACAGGGGCATCAATGGCCTTGGCAATATCCGAGCAGTATGGTGTGGAACGAGAGAAACGGGGGTCCGTAGTGAAACCGATTTGGTTGTTCACGATGATGTGGATGGTTCCTCCGGTGTGGTAGCTGGGGAGAGAATGGAAGCCCATGGTTTCGTAGACGATACCCTGACCAGCAAAGGCTGCGTCACCGTGGAGAAGAATTCCCATGGCGCTGCGGGCCTCCTTCTCATCGTTGTTGTAGTGAAGAATGGCGCGGGTCTTTCCTAGGACGACCGGGTCCTCGGCTTCGAGATGGGAAGGGTTGGCGACCAAAGAGAGCTGCACGCGCTTGCCAGAGGGCGTAGGGCGCTCGAAGTTCATGCCGAGATGGTATTTGACGTCACCGGAGCCCTCGTCGTTGGGCTCGGCAGTTCCGGCAAACTCGCTGAAGATGGACTCGTTGGGCTTTCGGACGACGTTGGAGAGCACGTTGAGACGACCACGATGCGGCATACCAATCACAATGTCCTTGACGCCATAGTCGACGCTGCGGTCGATGAGTGCCTTCATTCCAGGAATCAGAGATTCTCCGCCCTCGAGACCGAAACGCTTGTCGTTGGGGTACTTGGTCGCCAAGAAAGCCTCAAAGTTGGTGCCCCAGATCAGACGGTCGAGGATGCGGCGCTTCTCGTCAACAGAGTATTTGAAAGGCTGAGGAATTTCCAAGCGCTCACGCAGCCAGTCGCACTGTTGGCGGTCGGGGATGTGGATGTACTCGACACCGTACGAGCCGCAGTAGAGGCGCTCGCAGGCTGCGATGATGTCCCTGAGGGGCATCTTCTTGCGCTGCTCGGTCTTGAAGCGAGGCAGGATACCCGGTCCCAGCTCAATCTCCTGGTCGAGGTCCTTTTCGGTGAAGTTGTAGTGGGAGAGCTCAAGCTCGCGCGGCTTGCTGTATCCGAACTGCTGTGCCTCGATGCGGATGCCCAGCGGGTCGATGCGGGCCTTGTGGTGTCCGCGGGCCTGGTATGCGCGCACGAGCAGCTGCACCTTCAGATGGTTCATGATGTCGGAGCCCTCGGCAGAGGACATACCCATGCCGGGCTTGAAGTCGGGCCCGATGCCGCCATGGGGCGCAATGAGCGTGGGCGGCGGCTGGAAGGCCTGGGAGACGGGCATGTCGCCCGACTCCATGTTGCGGAAGTAGACCTGCCACGAGACGTGCACGCTCTCGGGGTCGCGCTTCCACAGCATGTACATCTCGTCGACATAGTTGGCCGTGTTGCCCTGCAGGAACGAGTCGTTGGCGTCCTATGCGGTCATTGTTAGCTCTGGCACCGAAAACTTCGAACCCCGGGTTCTGGGGCCACGCACAACGCCCTTGTTGGTGTCCTCGGCCGCAATGGCATAAGTCCGTCGCTGCGAGAGCGCAAGCGGGCGGCGACATGTCTGGATGGCTGTCCGCGATGGCGAGGCGGACAGCGTCGGGAGGCTGGCTCGCGGCGAGCTCTGGAGCTTCCGGGCGCACTGGCGCAGAGTGTTGCGCAGCATTATGTGAAGCTGTTAGGAGGAAGCCGAGGAGAGGATGGCGGTCATCCAAGCGGATGGTGTTGAACAGCAGAAGCTTCTGGGCGAGCAGTCTGCAGCAGATGAATCTGAAGAGGACAAGCACTCGAGCATGCTGCGAAGGCCACGCCCACTGTTTCGGCTAGCGTCGCCGCGACTACGGGGAGCTTTTGGCGAGAGGCACTCTGACTCGACAAATGCCTCACATGTCATAGTTGGGTATCTCAGTGCGACGGTGCTTGCTCGCTTTGTTTGCATGTCTATATCGTCTGCACTTGGGTTACGTCTCTCGTAAGCTGTGAGTGCACACCTAGGGATACCGTGCCCAACTGACGGTGGCAGCCTTCACCAGCCACCAGACCAAGACCAAGTTGCGTGAAGACTGCTCGCCAATAGTAGCGCAGCCCTTATGTAACAAGACGCAAGGCCTCAAGACGGCTGCTGTGACGTCGCGGCCAAAAGATGGGACGGAAAACGTATCCGTTGCGTCAGAAATACATGCCCGGTCTTGGCTCTGCTTGCGCAGCGACGTCAAAAGCGCGTCCGCCGTCCGGAAACACTTGAAGCGTGATTGGATGCATATCCGTGCAGACTAGAAGCACTCGCGGGCTTCTATCGAGAAGTTTTGATGCTACTCCTCAGTCACGTGCTCACGTTCTGTGGGGAACCCGTAAGTAGACTAGCGCCGAGCACGCTTAGCTGCATGACGCTCGTGATTTGAGGCTCCCGCAGCTGTAAACGGCGACACCTGCCCTCCTCCTCCAGCATGTCCAGCGCTGCCGCCCAGTACAAAAAGCAGGATGGCACAGTCTCCGTATCTGCAGACGGCAAGACCGTGTCCTGGAAGTCTGCGAATGGCGCGGCTGCTCCTCTATCGATAACTATAGCAGACATTGGGAGTATGTCGTCTGTGTCAAAGGAATGCGCATCCTACTGACACATTGAGACCTGCAGCAGACGCCCGCCACCTCGGCAAAAGCTTCGATCAAAATCGTCGTTCCAGACTCTGCGCCGCAGCCGGGCAACTTCACCCTCACCTTCACATCTCCCGCCGCACGCGATGACCAGCAAACCATCACTGGCCTCCTGCGCAAGTGGATCGAGGCTTCCAAGGCGCAACCAGCCTCCACTCCGGCCCCGAACCCTAGCGATGGAGATGGCGCGCCAGGGTCAATGGCAATGGCGCAGACTGTCACGGCCGCGGCAAAAGGCAGCGACGAGTCCTACGACGATGCTCAGCTGTTGACAAACCTGGAGCTGCAGATGTCGCTACTAAACACAAATCCAGGTTTGCGCCAAAGGTTCGATCGGGCGCTGGCAGAAAAGCCCGACTCCGTATCACTGATACAGTTTACCAACCAGTTTTGGTCCACCCGCGTGCATATGCTTCGTTCACACGCAATCGAGCGATCGCAGGAGAGCGGCACTTACAACGTCATTTCTGTCATCAAGACCGTACCCGTGAACGGTGAACAGAAACTCAGCATAACTCAGGAGCAAATAGCCCTCGTGTTCAGACAACATCCAATCGTGCAGAAAGCCTTCAACGAAAACGTTCCCCCTCTGACTGCAGAGGGTTTTTTCGAGAGGTTCTATCACAGTCGCCTGATGAAGAAGCTAAAGGGCGAGCGAATACGGGAGCAAGACGTACTTGACCCTAAGCTGGACAAGTACCTGCACTACGACGAGGCGGCGGATGAGTCTTTGAACCTGATGGACTCAATACCGCTATTCATCAACATTGAAGGAAACGAGCAGAATCACAGCAAGAAGCAGGGCAATCGACCGGACTTCACCATGAACCCTTCTTCTCATGATAAAGCACCGATACTACGGATTCTGAATCGTATGAGTGAAAAGCTGTTGAAGGATGTCCCGAATTCCGATGCCGATCGCCACGCTCCCGTGGGAGTAGACGAGGAAACATACAAGGAACTACAGCTACGCGATCTGCAACGTGCAGACGAGGACAACAGAGTGGTGCTTCAAGTGCAGGATCAGGGGCGACTTTTTGCTTCGGGACAAAGCATGCAGTCCTCGACTAGTGCCGCTACATATTCCCAGCGTACCCCTGCCCAGGCTCTTTCGATCTTACGACAAGATTTTGGGGTGATCAGCGCCAACCGAAGCAAAGCGATCGGAGTTGACCTCGAAACAACGCTCGGCATCAATGATGACAGCAGCAGTGACGAAGAAAACGCCCCGTCGAAAAAGCGAAAGATTGGCAGCAAATCTTCAAGAAAAGCAGCCACATCGCAAATGGTTACAGCTATCCGGAAACGACACCTGCATGACGATGACTACTATTCCTCCAAAACAATCCCGATCGGTGAGCAAGCTAAGAAGCTGTCCATCTCCGAGTCGATGCTCAACAACTTGAACATGATACATAACACGACTGTTGAGTTCCTGCATTATTTCTGGGCTGTCTTCCACTCCGGCAATCCCGACCGCGCCAACGAAGTCGCAAAACTCATAGAGACACTCGATAGGTCCTTAGATCGAGTCAAGGCCGTTTCGGATGCTGCAGAAGCAGAACGAGCGACCCAGGTTGAGCGCTACAAACGGGAGGTCGAAAATTACAACCAGCGATCCGGGAAGAAGAAGAAATTTGATCCAGAACACGTCAGGGGTGGAGCGAAGGCCGTCGACCAGATTGTGGAACCCTTGCTTCGCGCAATCAATGCTGCGAGGAGTCAGTATCAGACTGCGCTGCAAGAGCAATTGCGGCAGACCGGCGCGGCGAATGCGGCATGATTGAAACACTTTCCTACTGTCCGCATAGCGACGGCGTTTGCAACTGGGGTCTGCGTAGGTCAGCATATTATTGCCGCAATTGTGGCAGGCCATCAAATAAACTGTGTCAATGGCTTGCCAAATCATACGATACTCCAAGAGTGAAGCATCTTGGTTGTTTATACTGACGAACCCGGCATTGCATCCTTCTCTTTCTTACTCCAATGTGCAGGTTGATCTACCCCTAGTGTCGAAATTCAGCGCCACCAACGTCGTAGTGGACCCTGTATTTGGCATCCTTCGACTAACTCGGCTGATTTTGACCTCATTGTCAGATACGCATTGACTTTAAAAGTATAGCGACTCATAAGAGTTAATGCAAGTTACTCGTACATCACGATCACGATCTCCACGTGAGCGCCGCCGCTCGTCGGCAGTAACTGTCTAACCTCTGTACCTTATGCGCATGCGGGCGCAGCCTAGTGAGTTTGATTTTAGTGATGGGAACGTAAACTGTGCTTCAGAACCCTCCGCTTCGGTCAGCTAAATCCCACAGGAGTGTGGAGCAGTTCGTTTTCCAGAGCACTCACGCCCGTTGAATCTCTGCTACGCAAATCGAAGTGACACTTCGCCACAACGCTGTTTTCATACGCCAAAACTAGTATCATGATCACTATTATAGTCTCTTACACTCTAGCTACTTCGAAGAAATTGTAATTGTTGCGTTGTGGTGCTGCGGCCTTTGGAATGTGAGCTAAGTTTGGAGCAGAGTGCCTTGTAGAACATGCATCGGGGGGTTACCGGCAACCTACATATTTCCGCCATTCACGACCTCAGCGAAATCTGCAAAGATCGACGAGCTGTGACGAAGATTTTCTGGCTCGTCTAATGGCATAAAGAGGCTGCCAAGGAGATCCTCTACACGTTTGGACATAGGTGCGAAGGATGACACCATAATCGTATCATTTCAATAAAGGTCTATCGACGAGGCGCGTAGGACGGGAAGCCTTGAGTCTTGAACCTGTAATCTTGGTGTTCACGTAGAGTTGACGTTAGCTTCCGTCACTAGTCTAGAGCATCCGTACCTGCTCAAATATACAGCGATGTTCCTTCCAGCTTCTTGCACTCGCCCCGCTTTTCGGATTTGAGTCCGCGGGCCTGCGCGATTGCTCTTTCCCCTCTCCACTTGAACACGAAGCTCTCAGATAGAGATCCACCAAGTTTTCCTCATCACTTCTAGCACATCAGATAAACGTTGGTGCCGGGGAACATGGCATTCGGTGAAGAGCTATCTATATGGTTCCCAAATAGGAAAGATCAGCCAAACGAAACGAGCGACGACCAAATGTCCACAATTCAATTTCAGACCTTACATATACTGGAAGGAAAATTAAATGTTCCGCGGTGAATGAAAAAGCTGGAGTCCACAAAGATGTTTCGATCCGGGGAAGCGATTGCTTGAGAAGGTTGGCGTCTCCATGCCGATGCTTCGTTCGGTTAGCGGTCTCGAGGTATCGTCGACATCTACAAGAAGATACCATCACAGGCCCGCTATACTGACGATAGGAACTAAATTTCGTCCAGACCAATCTCGCTCATGCTGGTATATCAGGGAGAGTTTTCGTCCCTAGCTGGATCCCAGTACCTTCCACCAGTACCACTCGCAGTACCACCAATCGGAAGACCGCTAGTTTGGCGGCCTGTTGTGTCCTGGTCAGCGCGCTATTCATGTGGGATGATACAGAAAGTAATAACTTTTTGGACACACTTACCACCATGCCCGCGATTTACTGCCACCGCTGTCCTTTGGCGAGGCTCTCGATTGTCCCTGTTCGGCAACTTTAGCACCTTCGAAATTTCTTGCGGGCCAATGTACGCACCGATAACGAAAAGAATGCCAGAGGTACCATCTGGCCACCCAGTTCTCTTCGTTCACGGTTGTCTGGTATCTGCCGAGTGTGTAAAAGTACTTTGTGATAGGTGGAGCGTTATTGACGACCTAAACGGTGGCATACAAAGTCAGTATGAGTCTCGCATACACGGTAGGTATGGTTCATACGAACCGTAAGGATCTCTCGATGCTTTGCAGTTTCCGATATTTCGTCCCACTTGTACGGCATCTGAATGTATTTGTTGACCCTCGACTGATCGGTCAAGTTCCGCGGATTGCTACTTAAGCTGTCTCTCGCGACCTGGGCCTCTTGCTACACGTATCCGTTACATTAGCAAATCGACTCTCCGATATCATGAACCGCACTTACGAGAAGGAGTTTATGTGCCTGTTCGTTCAACCCGAGCCGAGCGAACAGCACCTGCTTGTCGGCGCTTTGAGCGAGGGGTTGTGAACTCATCTTCAATGATTTATTCACAACAAGAACTACAAATTGACGAATATGACAGTGCAAACAAAACCGAAATGACGCTTAGCGATGCGGAAATATTGTCGTCGTATCTCGATGCTTTAATAGTCTGAGGTGGATGGTCGAGAATGGAGGAAGGGTACGTGAAGTCATTCGTCATGTGACTGGCTTTTGTTATCTTGAGCTACCATCAACACAGACACCAGGCGTGTACGCCACATAATTGAAGAGGCGGGGCGAGGTGAGACTCCACCTCTGTGCTCGACCCATGAGCACTTGCTCGGACCGATGCGCGTTTCCACCAGAGGAACCTTGTCATGCAGCTGGCAACGCCCACCAGATCTTCTGCGTGGGATCTCCAAGACCTTTCCAGTCGCCGATGTCTGACACTCAAGGGTTGGGTCACGTTGACCCTCGCATTACTGCTGTTGCAGTAACGGCATGTAGCTATCTCAAACATCAGCAATCTGATTTGTCGGAAGAGAAGCCACTTCCCGTATAGCGGCTGCACAACGACTCAATTACCACTTTGAATCTTACAGGGTTGCGCCTTAAGGTTTCCCTGTTGTACATCCCAGCGAATGAATGAGCATGAGCGTCCATTGGCGCACATTGGGCCGCGAGATGAGAGAATGTACAAACTATTATCCCAGACACCTGGATGTCGGATATAAGCGCACTCGATGGGGATGGCATGACGACCGGCAACCAAAAGACTAGGTGTTGGGTATTGGTATTGGTCTGCTTTCAGCATACACGCTATTCATGCGGCTTACCAGTGGATATTAGCGACCAACGACACGGCATATGCGGCGTTCGTTTATGATCTCGGGTCAAGCTGGAATAAGCTGCTGATGAGGGCTACGCCTTCTAAGCTCCTACAGAGCACACCATGCTCCAGAGGCTACACAAGCGGTGTGTGCTTTTACGAAATCCGGGCTGCTGAAAATTATGGACGGTGATCAGTACCTTCTCAGCATGGAGCATTGAAAATCCGGTATCGCAGAACGAGTTCAACAACAACATTCCTCGGCGATCGTTAGAGTATTCATTGGAGCATCATGTCACAGATGGAGCACAACATCGGAAGAGGATTCGATCGGCGTCTGGTCCTGGTCGAGTTTCAAACGCTAAGACATCCATGTCCACTCTTTGATTATACATCGGAGTCAAGAATCTTTCCATGTATTAAGCGAGGTATGTACGTATACTTTCCAAATTCAGGCCGACTACAACTGCCACATGCATGGCCCTGCGCTGTCGTGGCTGGCGCATGAGCACGCCGCGCGAGGCGAAGCGTGAGCATTTACCGGAGATTCGCTTTCTGAAAGTGCGGAGGGCCACGAGGGAACATCTCCCCATTCTTTTGCGGTGTCCACCAGCAGCTTTGCTTTTGCCGCGACATCACTGGCGGGCTTGCCTCGCTGAGAAATTTGACAGTGACCCAACGTCCCGGGCCCTTACAGGTACTTCTGCAAGTGCTGGATTGCAGAGAAAAGCGCCGTCACGGAGACTCCGGCTCAGTATTGATCCAATACACGCGCAACCAGGCATCGGATCGGACTCGTGACACAGGACCCACAACTTTCAGCCGCCCAGTAGACAACCCAAACGCCTAAGAGCTGCACCTGTGCCAGACTTGCTATGTAGTGACGATTACTGCACGTTCAGAAACCGTGGTCTAGGGCAGAGGACGAAGTCCCAATTCTCCAAGTGGTCACGGTATACAAACTAGGCGACCTGTCGCATTGCATACCATTGTCCGCTGAAGCTGCGTTCGAGACAATCGATATCTGCATGATTCGACGAGCTGGATACTGGATTCGTCGAATGCACCACGTACAGTAACAAGGGCATCGACAAGTGCGAGCTGTGCACGCACAACCAAGCACCGCATCTTGACAGACAAGCATGGGACTCGACAGGCGCTACATATCCCATAATGCCTTACCATCATTTGTGGTGCGATGCAGTTCTTTACCAAGGTTCGCTCGGCTCTTTAGCCCGGAGAATGCGGGTCGGATTCTCTTCGGTTTTAATATCCGATGGCTAGAAGCCGAATACTACCACGACTGGAATGCATACCTTGTACACATCAGGCTCTCGCACATACCATTGGGAAGAACCTCACAGTACAGCTCATGCGCGTACCTCGCTCCAGATACGGTAATTATTTGCGCTTCTTCCTAACAGGTCGGCTCCTGATCAGCATATACTTCAAGGAAGACTTTTCAGGAACGCGGCCTATAGAGAAGGGAACAATGGATTCGAAAAGGGCAATTTGCAATGCCAATTTTCTAGTGTCGGCGATGTATACAGGCTGCCGCATTTCGGGCCCGAGATGCTACCATATGTGGGGATGATGGGCACCGTGTCACCACATGCCTGTTGCCTAGCTGTAACAAATCCGTAAGTGTCACATTTACCAACCCGAATAGTGGTACTACTTTACATTTGCAGGTTGCATGGACCTCATGTCGCTCTCTTGCACGCGCGGCTGTTCCGGGCAATGAGGAGCGAAACACTGGGATGATGACGAACTAGCGACTCGAGGGTAGTCTTTACTATCCACCTGCTTCACTCCATTGGCAATTCTGGTGCCACTTCATCTGACATGGGCCTCCACAGTTCTCGCACGGGCAATCCTCCGCTTACATGCCACCTGCCAATCGTATGATTCCGCCATCGCAGAGTTGATGTGGCTACTTTGAAGAGACCCGCGCACACTTGCCTCCTGGGGTAAGTGCTCGAACTTCAAGCCTCGCGAGAGTGACGAATACGTGGGTCGCTCTTGCCAGATTCTGGATATGGAGGTCCTTACTTCGGGAAAGAGTGGTTGACTCCTGACGGCGAAGTTGTGGCTGCCTCTCGCAAGAGGGAAGTAGACAGGCTCTTTCCATTTAACCGCAAGCTCGAACTCTATCTTCTTGCGTGTTGGAGGGTCATCGTGGCCTTGCACATAAAACGTCAGATTAGATTTGCTGGACCGCGATCCCGATGGCGCTACCGCACGCAGCCCGTTATGACTGCAGCGACGGTTATAGTTTCTCCTCCAACCCCAGAACACGGTCCCACATACCAGCCCGTGCAGACTGGAACCCTGCGAGTGCATTAGCAACGCCATCACAGTCGCAAAACGTCCCTCAAGAAACGTTTGCCTTCTACAACGCCATTCTGAATACGGACGCTTCCCCCGGCGGCGGCACGAATGAGCCTTTACGATACGACGATAGTTCTACACGCAACACAGATGTCATTGGGGCGCAGGAAGGTGAAGGTCAGCAATGTGGAGTCCGTGCCATTCCCTACCATCTTGATGTGCGCTTCGCAAACCGCTCCAATGGGGCGCCTTTGTCTACTATCATCGAACAAGGCTCCTACTCTACGCTCAACTCTGGCGGATCTCTACTCGGCGCCAGCCACTTACCGTCCAGCAGTTCAGCTGGAATGCCCTCTCCTGGTGGCGCCGCGTACCGAGACTCTCGAATTCTGGATGGGAGTAATGTCGATCGAAGTCCAGAGAACACGCCACAGAAGTATACAATGGCCCATGCGTCGGGCGCGTATCGAATACTATCGGACAACGACCAGCATCACCGAATCATAGATACAACTACACCAATTACAACTGCACAAGAACTGCCGCAGTCTCCAAAAATGCAGATTAGCGAACCCGATACCCGATACAGCGATGTGAGACCCAGGGACGTTCTCCGCGGACTGTTGCAAAATGTACGAGCGGCCTCGCGAACCCAGTCAAGGTCTTCCTCGTTGACGCATACGCCCGTTGTCGGCAAGCGGGACAGCCGACCCGAAACGAATGATAGTAGCCCGCTCTGTCAAGTGCCAGGCGACTACCACGGACCGAAGCAAGCGGCATGTCTAACAGGCGGCCATACGTCAAATGCAATGCAAAGCTTGTTTTCGACCACGCCCCATGCGCCCATTCTAAGTTCTCGACCCACAAATCGTAAGACATCCTTGACAAGTCACTCAGTTGCGGCTGGAGAACCCACCTGTCAGCCTTCGAAGCAGCTTTCTCTGCCACCATTCAAGCATATTCATACTCCTGAGCCCATTCCTCGAACTTTGGTGACGCCGGGTGTATGGCCTTCGCGTGATAGAGCCTCTTCTGTCCGCCTTGTGCCACCAGAACCACGCGATGTGGCGTGTGTCACGGCTTCTGTGGGAGCCTCAACGTTTTCAGAGCGATGTAACGACATTAATTCGACTCTAGACACGTTCTATGGCGTTTCTGTACTCTCAGAAAGTGCCTCTTCGCTACACAAGCATGAGTGTGCAAAGCAACCTAGCCAGAACACAAGTTTCTGCAGCACTTTATCTACGTCCTACTCGGGAACAGTGTTGGGTGTGGACCTTGACCTTCAATTCAAGACGCCTGGATCAGTGCGACACTCTAGCTCGCCAATGCCTGTATAGTTTACACCGCAAACGGCAGAGCTTGAACGCCAGGCATCGTTTTCCGGGTCTCTGGACTCCATTTATGCAACTCCCATGAATCATACGCGTCGCTCCATCACATCCTCTGCATTGACATCTTTGTTGCCTATAGCTGCGGCGTCGGGCGTCGTACGAGCGAATTTTGATACTCCCAAGATATCATTCTATTCGCCATCTGGTAATCTCATCCAGGCAGAAGGAAGTTCGTCTCCCGAGTTGAGCAAGTCAATTACTAGCTCGCCAACAAGGCCAGCTCTGTACTACAATGAATCAAAAAGACTGTACGCCCACAAGACCTTGTCAGCGACCGCATGCTCACCGCCAGCAAGACCTACCCTTGTACCACTGACTACCCTCCCAGCGATCACTGCACCAGTTCCGTCGCATCTGATTCACCATCACAACTACCGGCATACAGAACAATCCCGCATCGACTCCTGTGAGTCTGTCATCAAGCTTGCCCCTCCCGTGAAAGGCTGCGGCGGAGTTGTCCGACCGCGGAGCTCACCACCACATGCCGGGATCACACATCCGCCCCACAAAACAACGACATCCAAGTCTCAACACAGATGTAAGAGTACGCAATCACTTATCCACGACCTCAGAAGCGATGCTAGCTTCTACAAATCCCGGTACATTGCTCTAGCCTGCAGCCCGGTCCCGAGGCGAAAAGACAACAGGAGAACGCTGCACAAGCGACCTGTCACCAAGGGACCTGCATCTGCACAGCGCCCCAAGCTCGAATCAACACGTGCGGCTGCTACCGAACAAAAACGCCGGGCGGCACCGCGCCAGAAGTGTGTTCTGGGTCCCCGCGCTGGCCATGTGCTGCGTGTTTGCTTCTGTCAGCCCTACGATGGCGCGGGCACGTCTAGCATGTTCGCCGGGCACAAAAAGAAAGAAGATCTACATGTCGAGCTCGAGGGCGGGGCCAGGCCTGTCAATCACCAGACTGAGCGCAGATCCAAGGCTTGCAGACCACATGGTTCGATCAGAGCACGTCAAGGTGCGAGTGCGGGAGCTGGGGTATGAAGTGTCGGTGAAGAATGGCGATCTGTTCCAGGTCTGGCTTATGGGTTTTGGATAGAAGGGCCAAGCGCGCTTGACATGGTTTTGCCGTATTACTTTTTCTTGTTTGGGAGGCGAGGGTTTGTTGTGCTTGCATTGCATTACTTGGAACTAGCATGTATATCAGAGAGCATTACGATTCGCGGGTAGCATAATTTATAGCGTCAACTGAGCCCAAGAGCGTGGTAAGTTTACCGGCATTGTATATCACTTGACGTCAAGATGAAAATCGCGGTGATTGATCGTGCAGCGTTTTGTGCGTTAGCTTAACGTGTATGTAGTCAAAGAACACACTCTACACACTAGCCTCGCACATACCAACAGTGGAGAACAACCCATCGTACCATGCCGACAGCCCATATCCGACGACACAAGCAAATAGCCCCACTGTCCACTATCGCCAAACATCCGCGTTTCCCGACCCAAAAAACATGCTATTCCTTCAATTCTCCGATGCGCTCGATCAAACCTCGATCCAAGAAGCTCGGCGCTACTTGCAGGATCGGCCGATCGTCAACCTCAATTTTTGTGCGCGCGCTCGCACGCACGAGAGCCCTGGGGGTTTTTTTGTGTGAGATAACCCGGGGGAGTGGAACCGAGGTGGACGGAACGTGCGAAAAGCTGCAAGCAGATGAAGCGCCCGGATTGGGACGAGGGTGCATGAGAAAATCCGCGCGCGGTACCGTGGTAGACGCCGAAACGAGGGGGACCTTTTTTGTTTTGTTTTTGCTTTGTACTGTAGGAGGGAGGGAGGGAGGGAGGGAGTTTTCCCCATAGCGGACAGAACTAAAGCCGCTCAGGTGGTTCCTTTGCCCAGAGATCCTTCCAGAACTGGCGAAAGCCGTATTGTTTCGTAGTGCGCTCATCTCTGATCCTGACAGGCGCGCCAACCATGTTGCCAAACAGGGACTTGTCGGCCATAGCTTGGCCGAAACCCTGTGTTTTTTTGGGAGGAGCGCGCGCTCGATCGAGGATTGCTTGTGGGAGCTGCGGGGCGACGTCGGCAAAGCAGGCGTTGAGTTCGCGCTGGAGATTGAAGTAGGGCCGCTTGGCAAGCTCGGGGGCCTGCAGGTTGTAGGAGCGCGCTTTGGAGTTGAGGTCGGCGATGGCGAGGGTGTGGTAGCCTGATTCGATGCGTTCCCAGTCCGGGTCGCGGAAGGGGAAGGGTGCGGGTGGCACAGAGGGGGTGGGGACGGTGATAGAGACTTGCAGTGTTTGGGTGGATGGAGCCTCTGTGTCGGGTGCTAGAACTGGCTCCGTGGAAGATTCAGATGAGTTGTCGAGGGTTACTTTCTGGGCGACGATCTCTTCGGTGACCACCGGAGCGGTTTCTGATGAGCCCTCCAGTGGTGATGTAACCTTGAGCTCGCCGGACAGTGAGATTTGAGACAATTGGCCATCCTTTCCGACCGTGGTAAGCACCTCTTGCTTCCGTTTGGGGGGGTTGGAGATGAGCTCCGCTTTGGCATATGCCTCCGCTCTGCGTATTTGGTCTGCCAACGACCCCCCTTTGCTGGCAATCATGCGAGAAGCGTGCCTCTTCCATTCCACACGCAACCGACTGCGGAACTTGCTCGCGGCTGACGTGAGCTCCTGCTGCTTTTCAATCCAGGGCGGCACGAGCTCTTGCTTCTGAATGATCTTGTTCATGAAGTACTCCGTCGTGTCGATGAACGGACTGTTTGCATTGTGGTCGCGCTCGACGTTCATCCCCTTGCCACGGGGTATGTTCTTGAACTGGCCCCGGGCAATCGCGTCCTCAATCCTCTTGTTCGCCAGAGAGGCAAGACCGTTTAGATCTCCAGGTACAATGACACGCGCATTCGGATCGAAGCGATCCTTGAGCTCCTGGAGCTGTTTCTCTCGGTCTTCGGCGTCCAATTCCTCGTCCGTCTTTACACTGACGTATATGCCACTCCTGTCGCGTGCATTTGCCAGTCGGACACCACGCTGCTCCTTTGTTGCGCCTATGTCCAGTATCTATAGCCTTCGGGCATCTGCACACCTGGTGGTCTTGGAGGTCTTCCTAATCGCATCGGCTTGTGAGCGTCGTTCAGCATTCGCAGACTAGCATCATGGATCGACTCGGTGCCAGTCCATGCTTGGGTAGTGGCAAGGTCGCGTGTATGGCGGGAGGCGGATGCGGCGGAGGTCTGCTTCAGAAGACCTCAGATTTGCCGCAGCGATGCGTTGTTCCAGCTGTGCCTTCAAATCTGCGCTGAATCCAGCTTCTTCCACAGCTTTGATTGCACCATGTCCCCCGCTCTCTAGGGCCTCTTCGCTCATCTCTCGCATCCTCCTCGTGAATGCGCCCTCCTCCTTTTCTTCTCCTCCGTCTTTGTCCACCTGACTTGCTGGGGCTTTCCCATGTTGTCCATCCTCCGCTTCTTTAGCCTGAGCTGCCGCGTTTGCGTATCGCCTCGTGGGTCCAACAGCAGTCGTCCGCAGGCGAATCGGACGACGATTTGCACGCAAGCAACGTGCGCATGTGTATGGTCTTATCGCGGCGGATGGGGTCATACAGACAGCTTACTCGGCGATGGCTATATTCCGTACAACCACCACAGGTGCAATTGAGGTAAGAAAAGGAAAAGAATGTTCACGTCATCACGTCTGGTGGCCAACTTTCGCAAGGCTGACATCCATTAGCGCATGTTGTCTTATCAACAATCTAATCTCCGAGGCTTAACACCGCCTCTATCAACACTGCCATCCAAACTTCCTCATCGCATTCCAAACAAAGACCCCCACGTCAGCAAGTCCGAAATATCATTGTCAGCAAGAAGTTTAAAATACTTTCCCGATCGACACGCATTGCCAATTCGATTACAGCGCCCTGTACGACTTCAAACCGACCCATGTTGGGCGACATATTGGTACCACCCGTGGCGTCTTCAGCTGGCCGCCATGCTGTGTGACACCTCTCACCTGCATTGATCGACCGGCCCGTATCCTCGTGCATGCGTGCACTATCGGAAGCGCGGACCCGGGTCGAGTAGAGACATTCCGCGGAGTGAGAAGTGGATTTCCACATCGGCGACCAGGGCCCAACATGTAACCGCTGCGCCGTGGGGGACTATTCGTGTTACAGAGGAAGCTATTGGATAGGTTTGAGAGACTGTCGGGAACTTGTCGCTTCACTTTGCCAGCCTGTTGCTGATACGCCTGACATCAGATTGTGCTCATGATATCCTGTGGCCTTGTGTCCACATGGTCAATGGAGTTTCCCATGTGTCTTTGCGTGCAGTATGAGACGCATTCTTTCACAAAGCCGTCGACACGAGCAAGTTGAACTCTTAGTGAAGGCTGAGTTTACATTGGAAAGAACGCCTTCAAATAAATCTGCCATGTTCAACCATGGTAGCAGTATGGAGAAGATGTCAGACTACACGATAACTTGGGCGAGGATAAGAAGATGTGATGGGGCGGCGACTGTGTGTTGACTATTCAAGAATGAGAGCAACGTTTGAATGCGCTTTACAAGTGTATGTTCTTCAACTTGGGCATATAATCCAACGCGAGTGACCGTGCTGTTGCACGTCAATGCTCCCCTAATATCAAACACTCACGATCATCGACCAAGCAAGTGTGAATGTATCAAGATCTATTGGTAGTATGAGCTATGCCATAAGATCTTACTGCTTCTTCCTCCACATCCGTGAGCTATCCAGTCTGACCAGATCTGCGCGCTATCATATCGACACTAAACATGTCCCACATCCACCATATTTCTACCATCATTACCAGACGCAAGCCGGGCCATGTGCAAGCCCGCTGTGAGGTATTGAGAATTTGCAAGGGCTACTGCGAAACAACCGATACCATGTTGTTGCAGACGTGGCCGTCTATGATACTATAAACAAGTGAAAGAAGGCATAGAAAGAGAAGCCCAACTCTCGAGAATGAGATTGAGCGAGCAACCGACGGTCCAATGAAGGGATCGGTCGCCGAGGGAAAGAGGATGGTGAGGCCAGCCTTTGCTAATCGTGAAAACTTTTGAAAGTGGGAATTCGTGAAGCCGTCCGCCTGTCGTAGAGAAAACCGTAAAACGTAAAACCGTGCGCCATTCGCCATCGTGAGCTTATCGAACCATCGTGAGAGGCTGCCGTTCAAGAGTGACACGAATTGAGTCCTACTCGTTGGCAACTGCAAAGAGTTTAAGCCTTCTCTTCTTTGGACTCCTCCTTCGGAGCTTCCTTCTCACCATCGCCCTCCTTGTTCTTGACATACTCGTCGTAGACGCTCATGGCCTCGTCGACCTTGGCGCGAAGAGCAGACTCGTCGGCGGTGCTGTTGATGTTAGTACTTAGAAACGTGTGAGGAGTTGAAGATACTTACAGGTTGATCAACTCGCTGTTGTCCATCTCGAGGAGCATACCGGTGATCTTACCGGCGAGCTCGGGCTGCATCTCGTGGATCTTGGGGTAGAGTGCCTCACCGAGCATCTGCTTCTGCTGACCGGGGGCGGCAGCGCTGAGAACGCTCATGTCGACACCGGGACCGCCGGGACGGCCGCCCTGAGGAAAGCCGGGCATAGGGGGCTGACCGCGACCTCCAGGAGCACCACGACCGCCTTGAGGGAAGCCGCCCTGACCACCGCGAATACCTGGGCCACCAGCTATCTGAGCTTGAGGCATGCCAGGCATACCAGGCATGGGACCACCACGTCCACCACGTCCACCCATGGCCTGCTGTGCGGCCTGAGCGAGCTGCATGTACTGCTGGTTCATGTAAGGACCAGGAGGGAAGGCACCTGGAGCCATGCCGGGAGGCATGTACATGGGGGGCATCTGCTGAGCGTTGGGTCCACCACGACCACCCTGCTGGCCGGGCATACCGCCAGGGAATCCAGCGCCACGGCCACCCTGAGCACCGGGCATACCGGCGGGGAAGGGCATCTGGCCACGAGCACCAGGAGGGTACATCATGGGCTGCTGGCCGGGGGCGATGAACATCTGAGGGATGCCACCGAACTGCTGCTGCTGCTGTTGCTGCATGCGGAGCTGGTTGCGGGCCTGGATGGTGGCCTCGAGCTGGTTCTTGCGGACATCCTTGCGCTGAGCCAGGGCGACGTAGAGAGGCTTGCCCTCAATCATCTTCTGGTTCATCTCGGTGACGGCCTTGGTGGCCTCATCGGGGTTGCTGAAGCAGACGAATCCGAAACCCTTGCTCTTACCAAGGATCTTCTTCTCGCCCTTGATGGTGACCTTGTCGCCTGCCTTGGTGTCCTCACCGTTCTGCTCGCTGGAAGAGCCCTCCTTGGCCTCCTCGTCCTCCTTCTTCTCGTCCTCCTTCTTCTCTTCCTTGACCTCCTTCTCCTCCTCGTCCTTCTTCTCCTCGTCGCGCAGACTCGGGGCGGTCAGCAGGCATTGCATCGCGCATGACCTTGGCTGAGGTGATGGTACCGAAGGGAGTGAACATGTCACGGAGCTTCTCGTCGTCAACGTCGTCGTTGAGGTTCTTGATGTACAGGTTGACGCCCTGGTACTTGGACTGCTTCTCGAGACGGGCGGCCTCGTACTGCTTGCGAAGCTCCTCCTCACGCTCATGCTTCTTCTGGGCGCGGCCAACGTAGAGCTTCTGGCCCTTGAACTCGATGTCGTTGAGGTGGTCGACGGCAACGGCGGCGGCCTCGTGGCGGATGTAGTTAACGAATCCAAATCCACGACTCTTGCCCTGGTCGTCGCGGGCGATGGAAGCAGAGGTGATATCACCGTGCTTCTCGAAGAGCTCACGGAAGTCCTCATCAGTCACATCAAGGTCGATGTTCTTGACGTAGATGTTGGTGAAGTTGGCCTTCATCTCCTCGAACTTGCTCATACGCTCCTTCTTGGGGATGTGGTGGCCGACGAAGACCTTCTTCTCGTTCAGCAACATGCCGTTGACGTGCTTGATAGCGTTGTTGGCGGCCTCGGCGGTCTCGTAGTGCACGAACCCGTAGCCCTTGGAGTTGCCGAGCTCGTCCTGAGCGACCTTGCAGCTCAGGATGTTACCGAAAGCAGCAAAGGTGTCGTGGAGAGCCTTGTTGTCAATGGCGTGGTCCAGGTTCTTGATGAAGACGTTGCCCTGGCCAGTCTTGCGCAGAGCGGGGTCGCGCTGCGACCACATGATGCGGCATGGCTTGCCCTTAATGACGGTGTAGTTGAGCTCCTCGAGAGCCTTCTCGCCGTCCTCAGAGCTGTTGTAGTTAACATAGGCGTAGCCGAGCGAGCGACGGGTGACGGCGTCACGGCAGACACGGATCGAAGCGACTTGGCCGATGGAAGAGAACAGCTCGAACAGCATGGCCTCAGTGACGGAGGGGTCGAGCTCGCCAACGTAGAGCGACGCCGAGTTCTGGTGCGCCTGCTGGGCGGCGGTGGTTGGGGTAGGGGCATCGCCGCTGGCGGCAGGGACGTTGGTGTTGATCTGAGCGCCATTGGCGTCAGCACCGTCCTGGACGGGCGAGGTCGAGTTGGCGACTTCAGACATGTTGTGTATCTGTGCGGCACGCGGTGTTAGTACGGCGAAGCAGAAATTTTGGCCCGCAGGTGCGCAGGGTTGGGTTGACATGTGGAAGTGGGCTCGCTTCATGAAAAAAAAGTTTGGGCACTCACCTTGCACTTCTAAAAAGCTGCGAAAGACTGTGTGCGGGGTAATACAGGCGACGTGAAATTCCCAGAGAATGGACGGGCGAGCGCGCGGATTTCTCAGACGCGCAAAGTGGGGGGGAAGTCGCAGGACTGTCGTGGTAGCAAGCGACAGTAGGTGACGATGGGGTCGGTTGGCGGAGGTAGTCCTGCGGGCTTTTCTGAATGGGTTTTCTGGATTTTTTTGTTTCTTTTTCTGTTATGAACGGTCCGCTGGGGAACCGGGGGCTTTGGAGAGCGTTGAGTGTGCGGGTGGTTGAGCTATTGGAGAGGAGGACCAGAGGCACTCGTTATGTATGTGGGAGAAATTCTGGCAGGCTCGGTCTGTGCGGCAGCCGCTAGCCCGTTTTAGCCAGCGCGACGATGGCGGTGAATGAAAGAGCTCCGCAGCATGGCTCTAATGCGGGCAATTGTTTTGCAATGCTTGCGCAGTGACGTGGTTATAGAAGAAGGCGATGCTCGTCACACAGCTGTTTCAGGGCTATTGCGGCAGCGACGAGCACCGTTACTTCGTATTGTGGTGTTGGACCCTGGACATATACGCGAAGGCAGGAGCCCTAAGCATCTGGCGGGGTAACGTGATGCACTCACCAACGGCCTCATGCGGACATGCGATAGCGCAGTAGCGAACAACTTGCTATCATAAAGCTCTTTGTCCGAATATGGAGCGTTCGAAAACTCACCAATACATCACGCGATAGACTGCAGGCAGGATGTTCGTCAAAGACAGCGTTTGACCACCCTCAAGCGCGCCAACACGACACTCCACGTTGATTTCGGAATAACAAACATCTGTTCAAGCGCTTCCAAAGAGAGGCTAATTGGGTATCGGTACGTTACGAAATGCGGAGTCTGCCAAACATGCCAAATCCTAAATCCTTCCAGTGCGCCATCCTATTCCCTCAGACTATCGTCCCAACCACCTTGTTCGGTCAGGAAGTCTTCCACTCGGCTTTTGCACTCTTCCAAGCCCTGGCCAAGCGCTTCGTTCCATTGGCTCTCTACCAGGCCGACTTTCTCCTTCAAGTCGTCCGTGAGTCGTCGCTCCTCGTCTGCCCTGATCGCTCGAGTTTCCTGGTCAACACCCGCCAGGTCTTCGCCTTCGAGCAGCCTTTGAGTCTCAAGCAGACGGGAACCTGCAGTCATGACTGCTGTCTTGACCTCGTGCAGCAGGCAGAGCAGGTTGATCTGTGATTCGATGAACTGGTAGGCAGAGCGACCAGCATGCGCAAGCAGACTGTAGAGGTACTGCAAGGGATAGTCATGGTAGGCCGGAGTCTCCTCATATTCTTGTTGGGGTACCAGGACTTCAAATTTATGCAGCCGTAACGGCACCTGCTGTACGATTGCGAGTAGCCCGGGCGCAATGTCCCAGAAGGCCGATAATTGGGCCTCGACGCCTCGAGTCACATTCTGCTCGATAATCGCCAAAATGTCCTCATACCTCTTCAGAATGTCCTTCTCGAAAGTCACTTTGCGGTCTTGTGCGTCGCGCTGGAAGAAGTCTGTGGCTTCCTTGACTTTCTGGTCGTTCTTCGCCTGGACGTACGGCAAGACAATGATGTCTCGATATAGATCGTTGCGTTCGTTCTCCAGTTCGAACATCTCCTTATGCAATAGCTCGCGGGCCTCAAATAGCCATTTCAGCAACGTCAATATTTCCAGGAGCTCTGGCTTTTCGTCTCCCTCTTCTTGTGTCTGGTTCGGATTCGTATCTTGCGCATCGCTACACAGGCGACCTTTGAGGTGTTCTATCGATGCTGACACTTTGGTAATCCGCTCACAGAACATTGCATGCAGTGAGTTAGCGACCTCGGCCTGGAATGTATCGAAGATCCACTGGACGACGTCCTGAGCGCGCTGATGTTCACGAGTGTCGAAGTCGGCTTCTGCTTTCGCTGCGTCTGCGAAGCTCATAACACCCGTGCGTACGTTGTCTTGGATATTGTAGCGTAATTCCGCCCTTCTCTCGGATAGAGATGTGCTTTCCTGCTCCTTGCGAGCTTCGATCTTAGCTGCAAAAGTGCTTTTGGTGTTTTTGACATCTTCGAGATCTGAGATGGTACGTAAGCCGCTTCGAATCGATGCGAGGTCCGGATGACTATTGTTCACTGCTGGGTGGTGTCGTGGGTAAGATGGCGGGAGAGTGACCAGTCGAGATACATCCAGCTTCCGGGGATCTGGTTTCGCTGGAGTAGTAGGCTGATGGAACCCGTGCAACTTTTCAGGCTGCGTATATGGGAAGTCTTCGTGTAAGCCCACTTTCTCAGGTGGATATTCAGTTGTCGAGTAGGTTGGGCGGCTGCTGGATTCCGCCCGATGCTGTGGCGTAGATTGATCATCACCTGTCCATTGTAGGTTCTCCTTCTGCAGACTCATGTACTTGGACTCCCTCTTGCTCCTCTCTAGTCTTCTATCGCCTCCAACAGAGGAGCCGCCATCACTTTCCCACCAGCGACTAGCGGATCGACCTCTGGATCCTTCCTCGTCCGGAATGGTGCTCATTGCCATGCTGGGTATGGGTGACAGGGAAGGGTGGTAGTTATTACTCCACGAAGTATCGCGCGCCTTCTGACTGCTTGCGCTGGCTGGCGAAGCAGGTTCTGTGTGTGGTGTAAAGTTCCCCACGGATGATGCAGGACTGGCAGCCGTTGTAGGCATCGATGCCGAGGGACGAGTGTCTGGAGATCCTCCAGCCACAGAAGCTTGGGATCTTCTACCACTCAAAATGGACGGGGTGATCTGCGCGTTGGGTGTTGCCGATCTTCGTCCTGTGTTTCCATAAGAGCGCCAAAGATCTCGCGTCAAATCCATGATGTCTCCCGCCATTGCGTCGAACGCACTCGAGTAACGATCACGACGCAGCCTTGACTCACGCACGATGAACTCCGCAAAGAGCTCAAGTCTCTCTTGATCCGTCTCAGCCGCCGACTCTTTCTCGACGAATTGTCGGTGACGCTCCACCGATGCTTGCGCAAAAGCATCGCGAGTTGCGGGTCGTGGCGTACTCAGATGAGAGTCGTCGGGTCCTGGTGTCGTTTGAATCGAGAGCTGCGAAGCAGAGCGGTTGGCTACATCTGATTCAATGGTCAGGTTACTGGCCACATTTTCCCCGCCATAGTTGTGTATTGGAGGGGTAGGCAGAGCCTTAGAAGGGAAGGATGTGACAGCTTTCTGGGAATGTAGATGATCGAGATGTTCCGTACCTGGCGAGAAAGGCGGCGTCGGAGCGGACATGGACGCAGCACCTTGAGGCACATTCATTCTAGGTGTCGAGTTTGCGGAGCTAGGATCATCGTAGAGATTCCCACTTCGTGGTGATCGAATGACCCCACCACTTCGTGGGGTGCCCTTGGTTATAGCACCACGTCGAGTGAGCCCCGTTTCTAGATCTAGATTAGCAGGCTTCGTGGATGAAGCCTCCAGCTCCTGAGCCCAGGGGTTATTGCTAGGCTCGACACGCTCACGAGCAGCACGACTCTCGCTTCTTCGTTCACGAATGCCTAGGGCGCTGCTTTCGCGTCTGGATGGAGTCCGGTACAGTGTGCCGCCTGATCTCGATGTGGTCACTGTAGGTCCTGATGATATTGAGAGAGTTCCGGCTTCCGATGGTGGCGCGCTTTGCTCGTGTGGTCGAACTGCCTCCGGGCTGGTATCGATGTGAAGATTTCGAGCTGCTGGAGATCTCGTCCTCTCTCTTGAAGGTTCGTCTTGCCAACCCTGTGGTGTCGGTGGGATTGTCGCCAAAGGAGTCTGACCTGGCCTTCTTGTTGGTGGAGCAGATGGCCGTGACGGTTCGCGATTCAACTCTACACCAGATGCCGGGCTTAGTGCACTTGCGCCGGGGCCAACACTTTGTGATCTCGAGCTGCTAGGTGGAGGGCCTGGAGGAGGTGGCGGTAATGGCATGCTTCGACCCCAATTGCCCTGCGCAATGCTCGGCGACTCTTCAATGGGTGTCCTGATCTCAGTACCATGGCCTAATATTCCTGCCGAAGCTGCTCTCCGGGCTGCAGGAGCTCGTAGGGGTGAGTGGGTTTCGGGACTGTATCGATGTTCTGCGAGCGCGCTGTTTAGGTAACTGTTGTACTTTTAGTCCGCAACCAAAGCTATCTGACAGAGAGATCATACTGTGAACCAGCGCGTTGGGAAAGCAGTCCAGGCGATGCTGGCGCGCGCTGTATAGCATCCGACGTGTTGATCTGCAACGATTCAATGGCACTTGGGCCTGGACTTAATTCATTGTTCCGATTCCTGAAGGAAGACAGGCTGAACTTTGAAGCCAGTTTATCACGCGACGCTGATCGCCCAGGTCCATTCCGTGCTGGCGGAGGAGGAAATTGTTGATTCGATGTTATGCTCGTCGCGCTTGACGGTATGACTATGGACCCGGGGCGACTGGCGAAGCCAGATACTGGTCTTGAAGAGGAAGGCGTACTGGTCGGTGGTGGGGGTGGAGGGGGATGAGGAAAGCCATGGCTTTGCATTTGTGGCGACGAGTTCATGGTCTGAGACATGTTCTGAGGTGGGTGAGCCGGCGAGTACGGTGGTGGCGGAGATGGCATGGCCGCTACGAATGTTTAGTTATACCCCACAGCAGCAAGACGAAATTTTGAGAGAAGGACATATCTTGGATTGTTTCCACTATATCTTGAAGCGCTACGTAACGACTCAGAGTTGAGGAAAGGTCGCGAATTACCTTCCATGCCTGTCATGTCATGTGTACGGGCAGCCGCCTGCACAGCAGTATGGGGAGCATACTGCCCACTCACAGGCACATTGCGAGTCCATTGCTGCGGGTTATACGGAACTGAGGTGTTCCTCATTGCCATCGGAGAGGCAGTGGCCGAAGGGGAAGGTGCATATGTCGACGGGGAGGACGCGACGAAGGGCGAGTACGGAACACTTAAGTTCACGGCACTATGCGATTGTTGCTGCGGTGCAAGGGAGGTCGTGAGTCGTGGAGGCTGCAATGCGAGCCTGCGTAAGGGCGAGGTCTGCCCCGGCGATATGGTATAGGAATGCGCGCTCGGTGGGGGGCCGGGGAGAGGAGATCGACCGTCGCGAGCATAGTCTTCTTGAGACATCCTCGAGTTTTGCGGACGCCGCAGCAACTCGAACGGCCGGCTGGGACGAATTGCACGTCAAAGATGTCTGGAGTGAAGCCACTAGGATGCGCAGAGGGCCCCAACGGCGCGACTACGATGCATCCTTGTCGTCCCGTGCACCACCGAGGGCACGAAAGTGGTGACGGGCACGCATCCTGCTGCTCATGTTATTCGCCGGCCGTGTTGATCATCGCATGAGACTTGAAAACAAGCATCGCGAAAGGCCAGTCTCCAGGCCTCTTCAGGTCAGGTCTGCGTTGGTACGACGAATGACAGCGTCGAGGTCCTTGACACCACATGCACATACCCCTGCTAAGTTCGAAGGGTCGGCGCTTAATTAGATCTGAGGAGAACAATTCGGAAACTTCACTATCAATGCCGGGCTATAATACACCTTATTTTCAATCGTTTTCGCTTGCTTCATTTCCGAAGACAGCGTGCTGCTTCGATTTTGTTCTTCTCCAACACAATGCTTCTCGTCGTGCTGTTTAGCTATGCTTGGCAGTACAAAGTAGCGTGGTTTCTAAAATTAGCCGCACTGAGCAGCCACGACGTAGGAGCATATTCAAGCCAAAGTGCTCCCACTCCACCATGCAGTCCAATACCGGAAGTCTCAGACCCCGCACAAGTCCCATTCGAGGTTTTTCCAGAGTGCCTGAATGTCCATCACCAGTCGCTATTTCGAGGCATCGCATGGTTCTTCTTTCGCTTCTTGCCGTTGCCTGTCTCCCAGTCCGTCGTGTAACAGCCGGCAGCGAACCGCTGATGTACATACAAGCTCTCACAAAGCACAACAGCCGGGATCGTTTCGGGCAATAACCGTCCGTGCAACGACCTTGCATTCCGCAATCCTAGAGCATCATGAGTCGTCGAATATCTGTGTGCGTCTTGCTGCATCGCTATTTCTAGCTCATAGAAATGATAGCGATGCAGCTTTCGGCCCTTACTGTCTCATATCTCGAATGCTTTGTCGTCTTTGGACCCCCACACAGATCACTTTTCAGCCTCAGGATTGAACTCCGTCCTAAAACATGCTGCTATTTCGATACCTCGGTGGCGAAAGTCCTGCCACCAACGACTTACGGCCATCAGCGCCCTAAAACATCGGCCAAAAGTCTTACACCTAAACATCGCAACATTTCTTCTCCATGTGCTATCGAAGCTCCCCCTTTCCCTCCAGGGCCAGACCCCAATCACACCTCCGTGGCCCCACACTCACACTTACATCCATCCCCCCGCATCCCACTCAACCTCGTCCAAAGCTTATGCACGAACGTGAGAACGGCAATGACGACCAAAATCTTAGTATATATCGCAGCAAGCTCATCTCGCGAGAGCTCGTACTCGTCACGTTCCTCTAGCGAGACTTCAGATGCGTTGCTCGACCCGTTTTGCTCTTCCGGAAGCTCAGATGCTTGCGAGATCTCGGATTCGTCATTATCCTCCTTCTCCTTCTCACTGCCAGTGCTTGAACCAGTCGAACATGAGAACATGTGAATCTCCCGGAGTAACCTAGCGAATTCGCTTTCCTCTGGTATCGAAGCCAGCAGCGATGAATTCTCCCCCTCAACATCATACTCATCCTCTTCCTTGTCCTTGCGCTCATCCTTTTCTTCGTTGTCAGCCTCATCTTTATCCGACACGTGTCTTGCAAGGCTAAACCCATCCTCTTTCTCCTCCATCGGCGAGGCTGGTGGTGTCAAAAGCCCATACTCAATCTCCCCAGCCACCAGCTTCCCCTCCTCCCCCTCCTTCCCTAGAGTTTGAAAGCCCCCATCCCCCCGCCGTCTATCTCCTCGGTCCAAGCTTCCCGCTCGAGCGCGGCGTGATGCAGTAGACACGCCATGTTAGCGCGCGTGAAAGTTGAGGTTATGTGTGTGTGCATTTAGTCGAGTGCACTCAACAGAGAAAATGATGAAAGCGTAGGAGCGACGCAGCTGCCTATTTTCTCCAGTTCCATCACGTCGTGGATGGATATTTCACTGCATTTCTTCATGCATACTAGCACGATAGGCCGAATTCACTGCCTACCCCACGACAAGGCAAAGTAGGCCTAGAAAGCCGTAGCAAACCCTAATCAAAGCAATTCAGAAGTATTGCGAATAAAACAAAGTCCACGATCAGATCTGGTGATGACGTGGATAGTTAGTGAACGAGAAGATTAGCGGAACACGTAGGACATGTAGCATCAAGGGTATCGGCTCACCTGACAGCACATGTATCCTACTCCAGCAATATCCTAGGCAGACAGCCCTCGTTCGAGTGCGCACCTTTTGCAGGCGTATTCAGGCTATGGCGTTTGGCTCGCGGTGCGGCATCTAACAAATCTTTAATGTCCCATGGGAAATTGTATGGATGCCATCAGGCACCGCCGAAGATCGGTTCATTTCATCTCCACCACCGCTTTGTTCGTATCATCTCCTTCGATACTGGAGAACGAGTGTATGGTGTGTGAGTGCAGACAAGATGCTAGAACGCTCATGCACGCCTTCGGATGCAGCGATACTCCGCTTGTTCACGATCTCGCGCACCATCCATGTTCGAGTTAGGCCGTCTAACTTCAAAGTCTTTTGAGCTCTTCGCAACGTACTCTTTAGCTACTGAGTGTGTACAGGCTTGTATGTGAGATGGCAGTTGGGATCTGATAAGGAGGTTGAATGAGGAAAGGATGAATATCAAGTATCGCCTGCACATGGTGACGCGGGAAGATCTGACGTGAGGAAAAGGAGAGGATCATGTCGTGGCGAACCCAATGAGGCAAGAATATTAAAATATTTGTGAAAGAAAGATATCGTGATTCTAACTTTTTGAAGTCCTGACAAAGGCCAGTATATGAGAAGCCCCTTCTTCGCCTACCCTTTCCTCCTCACTCATCTCCTTTTCCCTCCTTACCATCCTTCCCCTCAACCTTCACCCTCTCCACCATACTCTCCCTCAACTTCTTCACACACCCCTTCTTCCTCCCCGTCATGCGCCACCACTCCGCCAGCCCCGGCCACCCCTCCTCACTCCATCCATCCCAAGCTCCCACTATCTCCTCCAACACGGGCCAAACCTGACAATCCGCCGCGCTAAACCTGCTGCCCGCGATATACGGCCCGCCACAGCGCATGACCTCGTCCTCCAGCTGCGCCAGCAGATTTTCAAACTCCGCAAGATACCCAGGCGCGCGGCGATTATTCCACGCCTTGAGCAAGCCCGCAGCGAGCAGCATGATGGGGTACGCGTTGGCGGTAATCAAGCGACTCGCCTCGGAGGTGTCGAACGGCTGGTATTTATCCAGGTACATGAGGATGCAGCTGCTCATGCGCATTTCGGTGTGCATGGCGTCCAAGTCTCTGTACACGACTTGGCGATCGCGCTCGAATTCTGGGTCTAGCGTGGGCGCGTCGATGAGCGTGTATGCGATCTTGGCTTCCCAGAGGAAGAGCCGGGCTTGTGCGGTTTCGATGGCGTTGTTGGAGGCGAAGAGGATGGGGAGGTCGGGCGGAGCGGCCTGCAGGTGGAGGACGTCGAAGCCGGGGCCGTAGACGGTAGGCCAGTCGAAAGATGTGCTTTGGTTTTCGGTGCCGAAGGCGTGGATGAGGGCGGAGGATTCTTGCTCGATCGTTGTTAATAACGTCGGCGGCGTCACGCTGTTCTTTGGCGGTTGCGCCTTGGCCCCAGATTGTGTGGGAGCGCGCGTCGAGGAAGGTGCCGATGTGGCGGAAGGTGAGGGAGATGCGGATGCCGTTGTACGCGAGTTCGGTGGGACTGCGCTCGGCGGGTATGCGCTTGTCAGGCTGGATGGAGTGGAGGAATTGGGCGTTTGTGGCAGGGCCTAGAGTAAACAGGGAGTTATGGGGAAGAGGGACGCGTTGGGTTATTCGTTCAGTGTCTTCCTTGCTTTCTTCTCCCACTTCACCGTTGGCAGTCTTTGAGGGCCTCTTCATCCTCAGTCGCATTGTCCGTTGCGCACCGAACGATACATTGACGATAGATGATTCGCGCACGATGTCAAGAGTCTTGTCGGAGTGCTCGGAGATGTAGTCGGTTCCATCGCGGTACATTTGAATCAGGACGTGGTTGAGTGGGTGTCCAACAGCCTTTTCTGCCCTCTTCCTAATGACATCAACTTTCGGACTGAAGTGTAGCAAAGGTAGAGACTGGTCTGACGGATGACGGTATACCGGCATTGACCCGTCAGACCGAAAGAGGCCTTGAGCGCATACGAGACGTGGAACTGCACCTGTCTGATGATGCATAGTCTGCCAACAAACCTCGTTGTAGAGCTGGGTGAAGATGACGTCGCAGAGTGGTCTGGTGGGATCTGAAGGATGTTTGAGATCGGCTGGGAAGAAGTCGTGCGTGATGGAGGAATCGCCTTCGCCGATCTTATCGCCTGGACCGAGCATGGGCAGATTTGCGAGAGACTGGAGCTTAGGCGTCTTGCCTTTCGGGGCGGCCATCGTGGTTGGCGTGACAGAAGCGGGAATTGCCTTATTCGGAGTTGGCGGTTCACTTGTCCCCTGCGCTTCTGCTTCAGCCGTTCCTTTCGGTGTCGACTCTACAATCTTTGAGGGCGTCGGAGGTACTTCTGCGATTGTTGCAGCTACAGACGTACGTCGTGATTCTCCCTTTGTGGAGTAAGATGACCTGTTCTTTGCCTCGGATGTAGAGTCGGGCTTGTGCGTCCTCGAAAGTGACTGACGCATACGATCTGACCAACTGTCGCGATCCTTCTCCTTCTCTTTCGTCTCCGTCCTGCCCGACAGTGCTGGTTGTGACGCGACGCTCTTGAGTGGCTGTGGCTTCGTCATCTTCTCACGTAGATTGAGTACACTCTCTGCTCTCGATAGTAACGACCCACGTCTGGGCTCAGGTTCAGACCGTAGTGGTTCCTTGACGGCTTCAGGAACTGGTGGTGTGATTGCGACTGGCGGAGCCGCTTCCGCTGTACCATGGTTCGCAGCAGCACTAGCCTCGCCATTCACCTGTGCACCCTCGACAGCCTCTTGCGGACCATCGTCGTCTGTCTTCTTCTTTTTCTTCTTCTTGGTACCCTTTGATCGCATGCGGATCTTTTTGGTCACGAGTTTTGTTTCTTCTTTCTGGCCGTTTTCAGCACCTGTGATAACTGCACCACGAACCAAGTTGTCCGTGAACTCCCTGTCTGTTGGCTCGGCAGTCTCTGCAGTGGCAGGCGGGCTGTTTAGTGCTTTTCTGGATTCGGCAATAGAGACGAGCGATAGCTTGCGTTGCCCTCCTGACAGGATCTTTGTGGGTGATCTGATACTTTGTGGACGTGATGACGGCCGCCCTTCAGTATCCTTTAAAGACATCCTCTCTAGTGCCGCCTGGATGTGCTTCTCGTTATCATTGGACTCTTTCCTTGAGGCACTGGGCGGTGACGGCTTCTTGTCCGTAACAACAGGAAGCTCTTTCGTGAGAATCTCCGTGCTGTTAACGAGATACGCATCGAAAAACTCGTCCATGCGCTTCAAGGCCAGCTCATGTCGTGATGACTTACGATAGCCAAGACAGTCCTCGATGACGTTGATCTTGACTCCATGCCTTGCTGCATCAATGACAGTTGCGAGTACAGACACATTTGTAATACACCCGCAGATGTAGAGTTCGGTGACAAGCTTCGCTCTCAGCGTCATCAGTAGCGATGTGCCCTGAAACGCCGAGTAGTTCGATGTCTTGATGACCATATCTGCAGGCAGCTCAAATTGCATCGCAATCATATCTGCAAACTGCGCGCCATGGGTATCTGGCACACAGGCTGGGGTCTTGGTCTCGCTCTTGAGGAGGAATAGCTCCTCATCCTGCTCAGCGGTGGCCCGTGCCACTTCTCGTGGCAAGGTCTTGCGGCGTGCTGAGACGCGTTTAAGTAGATCGAGAGCGCGTTGTTTGTGTTTTGAAGGCTTCACCTTTTCTGATGGCAGCTCTTTGAGAACGTCTTCCTCGGCTCCTTCTGTGCTGCTCTCGTCTCCATCAATTAGGCCACCCACCACGAGCGCATCTCCCTCGCCGGTGTTGGGGTCATTGGCGATCCTGTCTCCTTCGTACAAAGTCTGGACCCAGATGACGTTCCCATTGAGCTCGCGGAACTTTGGGATAAGCGTCTGGATGCGGTCCAGGTAGCCGTTCTTGTTGCTGACTGGCAACCGTCCATCAGGCTGAATGAAGTCGTTTTGCATGCCAATGACAAGTAACGCTTGGTGGGTCTGAAAGTGAGGCTGATTCTGGGACACCAAGTCCATCAGGGACGACATTTGAGGGTTCATCTTTGCGGTACGTGGTGCTCGATGGGATGAAGGATGGAATGTTAGCTTCTGCTCAGGCTACCGGGTGGCGACGATCCAGAGTTGTCGCATGGGATGTGATGAGTTACGAGGGCCTCGAGAAGCGTGCATACCAGGTGTGAGATGAATGGATTGAAATGCTGTCGCTACATTGTTGATCCGTCGTGATCTGATGTAGTCTAGGCGGCCAAGGATATTTCAACGACCCAAAAGGGCAAAGATGACAGCCGATTGCGCATTGGTCACAACTGCAGGGCTGTCTGCATCCATAAGATTGCGCTCTGATGCGGGTGTTGCGCAGGTTTGGGCTTCGAAAAGCATCTTCGTTGTGGTTCGTCCGGGATCCCCGCTTTTAGCGGCGACAGCGCGCAATCTCCACGGTGGGTGGGAACTACAATATACTAGCTAGCTATGCTACGCCGCTCCTCTACATGGGCCTCTTCATCCGACCTCCTGTGACATTTGACTCCGACCCTCTCGGCCAAACCCGTCCGAAGCTCCAAGGCCGATCGACAACTCTTCAAGTGTTGTGTGTCCCGAGTAAAAGGTGTTTTCGGGCCTGCTCACCGCCAGACGCTTGCACATGGTTGTGGTAGATAGTGAGCACATGATGGAGCATCGCCTTCACCGGCTCCAGGGCGCTGGGAATCATGTACTCGTCACTTGTTACTGAAGAAGGATGTAATCTTCTGGCTGCCGTCGCCCTTGGACGTCTTTGCTGCACTACCGTTACTTGTGGCGCTTCTCGTACCTTGCTTCTTTGCCGACGTTTTCGTTGGCGAGACGCTGGCCTTGTTCGCGGGAGATGCCGTTTTGCGCATCTTCTCGGGTGGTTCGACGGCTGCTGTGTTACCGTCATCTTCGGCTTCATTGCGCTCACGTTTGATGCCTTTTGGGGTTGCTGGAACAGGCAATGGCGCGTTATCTTCGGTTCCTTCCACGCGGTCCGTCGTCGCACGGGTTTCGTCGACGTCGTGTTCTATCTTTACAGTGCCGTCCCGCATCGTCGAGTTGGCGAGGTCATGGTCAGCCTTCTCAGCAGTCCGCTTGTCGGCCTTGGATTTGGCGGCCTTTTGTTGGTTACCGAAGAAGTTGGCAATATTGTTCTTGTTCTCTGCAGAGTCAATGGGCACGAGGAAGGTGGGCGAGTTGTTCCCGACTTTGCCGACATCCTTGCTCACCGCGTAGCACTCGAGCTCGCCATGGTATGGCTTGAGCAGCGACTGCAAGTCTTCGGACCATTCTGTGCGCGCGGGATCAAGCCACGTCCGGACGGCGTCGGAGCCGTTGTCGAGGATGACGGGCATGCGGTCGTGCAGAAAGTTGAGTTGTTTGTTCGAGTCGGTGGTGATGATGGAGTACGTATAGAGCTTCTCGCTAGAGTCTAGTGGGCTGTCAGTTGGTCCACTGCAGGTGCACCAGTGCGCCAGGCAGGGAAAACGTGGTACGCGAGTCGAAACCGGGAATTGCTCGCTCTGGATATGCCATGTCGCCATGTCGCCATGTCGCCATGTCACAATGTCACGATGCCACATTGCCATCTGGAGTGCAGCGTCGTAGTCACTCACCCTCAAACTGGACCATGTCCCAAAGGCCCGCGAGGCACATGAGCTGGCCGTCCTTGCGCTTGGTGAAGTGCGGCAGCTTCTGGTTGCCCTTCTTCAGCCACTCGTAGAAGCCCTGCGCAACGATGATGCAGCGCTTCTTCTTCTTCATCGTGGTCCACATGCCGCGGTCTTCGATGAGCGAGTCGTCGCGGCAGTTGATCGTCTTCATCTTGCTGCCGTAGTCCGGGTTGCGTTTGGTCCAGAACGGGACGAGTCCCCTGGGGGGCCATTAGTAAGAAGCACAGGGCGGGTGACGGTTACTTGATCATCAGACATACCATTGCATCGCCTGGAGCTTGTACTTGGTGTCTGTCGCACCTTCCGTCTTGACCTCTGCGCCTTCCTCTTCCTTGTCGCCGTGCTGGCCGCCGTGCTGACCGCCATGTTCGGGACCGTCTGCTCGGTACACGAGGCCGTGGTAGCCTGGGGCGAAGTTGTAGCTCTGGCGGACCTCGTCGTCCTCGGGCGCGTCCTCTACTGGCATCTGCGCCTGCAGCAGCTGCTGGCGGACCTCGGACGGCCGCTGCGCCAATTAGCACGTGCTCTCGGAACTGTGACTGCACACGCTCACCAAGGCCAGGGCATATCGGCCACACATGTTGGCGTGCTCAGAACATCGTCGTGGTGTCGAAGCACAGCTCGTGGTGGCGCGTCCATGATTGGCTACGTCATGCAGCGAGCTTCAGCCGCGACGGCGGGCACTAAGAAATGTTCCCGCCGTCATGCATCGCTCCACCAAACTGGACCTGCCATTCCTCACCACCTCTCTCGCCTTTGTCCGGCACGTGATGTTCAGTAGATCCGTTCCTCGAGCTGCGACCCGGCTCACCGCATTCGCACCATGTGAAGCGCACACGGCGCAAAAGTTCGCAAAGCTCCCCACACAGCGATGCCACAATGTCCAGCAGCAATTGGGACGCCGGTACCGCTCCACATTCCGTGCGCAGTTTGGAGAGCAGTATAGGAAGAGCCCTGTATTGTTTCCCTTTGCAGTTACAGTGTAAGGTCCTGATCTATGCGCAATTGGCACGAGCTGATCCAATACAGTATCGTTGTAGTGTCTGCTATGGGGTTTCTCTATGTCCCATGGTACTATAAGAATGTCATCATAAAGCCCTACCACAACTTCCCCGAACCCGTCGCAAAGAAGCTCCGCAAAGCCCTCTTCTACAGCCGCGGGAAGTGGCTCGACATCCGCGAAGCCAACAAGCACTTCCGCCAAGCGCTGGCGCTGGCCGACGAGATGGGCATGGACCCCTTCAGCGACGAGATCATGGGCGTCAAATACGTCATCGCCGCGCTGTTCGAGGACGCGGGCTACTACAGTCTGGCGGTCGATGTGCTGGAAATCATGCGCAATGATTGTCAGAGATGGGTGGATGAGTTTTCGGATAAGCACTGGCACAACGGGAACCGGAGCAGGGTCATGAAGAACATGGTGCAGATCAATGTCAAGCTGGCGCAGCTCTACGATATAAGGTATGTGAATGAGCCGGAGAATGGCGAGAAACGGCTGGTTGAGGCGGTTGAAATGGCCCTGCGCGAGCAGCAAAGAAGAGAAAAGGAAGGCCTGAAGACAGGCGAAGGCCCATGGCTTACCGACGACGAGATGGGCGGGACGCTGGAGGGTATGCCATCACACACACTCTTGACAAACTCATGCTGACACCTCTAGCCCTCGGAACCCACTACGAGCAATTCGACTCGCACTACCTCGCGACCCCCCTCTTCGTCAAAGCCCTCGAACTAGCGCCCCCTAAATCCTGCCACAGCGTCGTCCTCATGAACAACATCTCTACCTGCCTCGCCCAGCAATCCCCCTCCTCCTCGTCCGACGCCATAACCATGTCCACCGCACCCTCTGACTTCCCTGTCACCAACACCGCGCCACGAACACTCCTCATTGAACAAGCGCGCCAGTGGGCGACGAAAGCCTTAGAACAGGCATCGACGATCAAGGGCGCGGAGAGGACTGAAGAGTGCGATGTGGGCTGCGCCGTTGCGACGCATAACCTGGGCGAGTTCTTTGAGATGGAGGGGAAGATCAAGGAGGCGAGGGGGAAGTACGAGGAGGCCGCGAAGTTAGCCAAGAGCGTGGGCTTTGCCGAGGGAGTGACGGCGGCGAAGGCCGGCTTAGTGAGGTTGAGGGACATGGAGAAGAACGCTGTCTGAAGTGGAAGATATACATGGAAAATGTAGATGCATGATCGACGCGCGCAAACACCTCGATATGCTTGCACGTGCTGGCGGATATATACGCCCTTTGAATCTCCCACTCCATACCTCACCCATAATATTCCACTTCTGCGTCTTTACTCAAAAACGTGGGCAGAGTTCGGCATGTGCGCTTCTTTTCTGCCCCTTCAAACAGAGATCGTTAAACGGGCATGTGCTCTTCCCTTTCTCTTTTCCCAAAGCATATGCCGCCTTATGCATGTCTCCGTCTCGCCTCACAAACCAAACTACTCACCGCTCGATGTCCGTCGCGCGTTCCTTTGCGCCAAAACATCCGTAAAGCCCTTCTACCTCTCAGTCTCTTCGCTATCATGGAGGCGCATTTTTTCTTCGAAACGCGGTACGTGGGATCTGCTATGGAGCCCTCCTCTCCGCGTCTCCAAAAATACCTAGGATACCGAGACATGTGTCACGCCTCTCTCTTTCTCAAAAAACGAAATATCTCTGGGCATGACGCTGCATCAATTCAAAAAGGCTATGGCAGCATACGCTATGTTCGTCGCGCGTTCTGTTGCGCTATATAAATCCCTTCTTTCTGTTCCTATAGTTCTTCGCAATCATCGCGACACTTCCTCTTCTGCCAAAAATGGCGACAGTAGCTGTACATGGAGTCTTTGTCTCCCGCTTCTCCAAAAGAAAACGATCCAGAGATGATGTCCTCGCCTCTCTCTTCTTCCTAGAACACGACAAGCACGCCACATGGTCGCTGCTTTAGCACAAACAGCAATGTAACAACTGCATAAGTTTCTCGAGCGCGACTTTATGTTGAGAGATGTATGTAAATCCTTTGCACTTTCTCGCTTCTCTTCTTTACACCACACATTTCCTTCCTTCTTCCAAAGATTGCAACAAAAGCTCCACATGGAGTCTTTCTTTCCGCCTCTCCAAGTCCAAAAACGAGATACAACGAGATCATGTTCTCCTCCTCCTCCTCCTCCTCCTCCTCTTCTTCTTCTTCTTCTTCTTCTGAACATAACAGCACTTTCAGCTATGTCTCTGCCTCTTCTTAAAAACACGAACCTCCTCAACCTCATGTCGACGGGTGAGTTTGAGTGTCGAAAAACTGGCATACGCGCACCGTTATGTGTGTTTATGAGATTTTACGCTTTCTAGCATATAGACATGGACGAGCTGCACATGCGGGGATTGGGCGCAAAGCTGAAGGAGACCGATCGTCGCAGAAGATTCATCCAGAGTTTGATATCCTCCTCCGTGCTTGTGTCTCGGGGTATATAAGCCCTCGATTCTCCGGGCTCTAATTCTTTCCTTATCAACCAGCACTCTCTGCTTTCTTCTAAAAAAGCTATCACGGCATACATATGAAGTCATCCGCTGTTTCTCTCCAAAAAACGCAAGGTGATGATATGTGCTCGCCTCTCCAGCTGCTTACGCTCTACGTTCTGCCTTCTTCCAAAACTCGATAGGCATGACCATGTGGAGTGTTCCCTTGCGCCTCCCCAACATACATCTGGTTGGCGCTATATAATTTGCTCTCTCTGTTCTCAAAAACATGAGCCTTTGGGGCGTGTTCTATGCGCCGACTCGACTCACAAAGACAATATATTTTTTCTCGATGAGCTCGACGGACGTTGTGTTGCGCAAATTACCTATATAGATTCTTTGAACTCTCCCTGCACTCATGCCTTAAATAAACTCTAATTCCCGCCTTCTGCCAAAAGAGAAGGGGATGAGATACATGGCGTGTCTCCCTCTGCTTCCACGAAACTCCGCGTAAAGGACAAAATGTGCTCGCCTCTTCTCTTCTCAAGATACAACAGCATCGATTGCACGTTCTCGCGTTCGAAAATGGCAACAACACTAGCTAAAGAGATCTCCGCGCGTGCTATTGCGCTCGAAGATATATAAATGCCTCCCACGCATTCTATTCCCGATTCCATCTCTATCGTCACGAAGAATGCTCCTACTCAAAAATCAGATCACACGAATTAGCGTGAGGGCTTTTTCCCTTCTGCACCCCCAAACTTGCCATTGAACCTTGCATGTGCCTGGCTCGGCTTTTCCTCAAAATACGATATTCTGCGGCACGTTCTTTCCGTCCATTCAAAAAAATAGTCCTCGAAGTGCTACATGCTTGTGGCGCGATCTGTTGCCTCAAGCATTAGCACAAATACCTTCTCACCAACGCGACGACACTTTTTCGCCCAATCTGCGCATTTTTTATTTTGCTGCACATGTGTTTGCCCACGCTTTCTTTACGCAAAACCCTTTATAAATACTTCTGCTCTTTCATAAAAAAATCAAAAAATCATGAAGCGCAAGCACATGAGCTGTTTTTTTGACTATTGAAAGATAACCGTGTTCCTCGTATGTATTCCTGCTTCAAACGTGGAATGCAGTCGATTGTGTCTCTGATCCGCCTCTGAAATCTTAGCTTTGTTACCACATGAGACTGGCACGGAATTGATGCGTTAGACAGCCTACATAGACCTTCCCACTCCTCTGTCATCATGAAAGCTTCATTTCCTCACCAAAACACTATAATTATGGCACCTATGAGCACTTATCTCCTGCCTCTGAAAACGCAGAGTTAATATCGCTCTGTCTTTTGCTCAAAACTGACGAGAACTGGGCATATGTTTTTGTCGACTCAAAAGCTGATTTGGCGGATTTACATGTGTTTGTTGTGGGATTTGACGTGCTAGAATGTCTAAATAAACCTTTACGCCCTTTTTGCTCTTATCTTCATAATCAAGATATCATCTCTAACTCTACAACATGGTCATCGCGCCCACATGAACACTATTCTTCTACTCCTCAAGAGTTTGATGCACCTCTGCAATGTCTTCCCGCAAAGCGCCCCAGTCCAAAGCAAAAACACAGCCTTCACCTTCCAACGGATCTGTCGCCTGCTATGAACTATAAAAATATCTGCGTCAACCTTATGCACTTCTTCTCGTTCATTCTCTGTCAAATGACCACCTTGTCCCTTTCAAAAGGCCTACAGGCTCTGGGTCCATGAGCGCTTTCTTCTCCTCTCGAAAATCAGTCACAGGTGTGGGCCCTGGTTGGTGTTGAGGTTTCAATGGTCTAGCAAACAGCTACATGATTCTGGGTCGAATCCAGAACAATTGCAAAAGGATCTCATGAGATGCTGGCGCATGCCGTCGTGATAGAGCATCGACATACGCCTTTCCTCTCCAATATGAAGATACGTACTATACCTGCATGAGAAATTTTCTTCTGCTCCTTGAAAATGCAGAGATGCGCGCGCATGTCTTTCTGCTCCAACTTCTATTAAAGTCGATACATGTCTCTGCGTCCACTCGAAAATGAAAAGTTCTACAAAATTATGCCTGCAGGGTATCTGGAGCTCGAAATCAACTTTCCATAGGTTACGTATGTACCTGAGGAGGTCTGAAGTGTTATCATTGCCGGCATAAGACATACGCAGAAAAATTCCGCCTATGTTCAACGTGCACCGAAACATCAAACAGAGTTCTCTATGTGATACCCATCGGTGAATATACTTCTACTCGAATTTTAGTTCTATTCACAATGCGCTCTTCATTCTCCAAAAGCAATGTTCGCAGCTGTTGTGCGCATCCTCTTTCCTGCTCCTCGAAAACCAACTCTGACCGATGTATGTGTCTTTGCTCGAAAGACCTGAATATCTATTTGAGCTCCTAATCTCACCCAACCTCTCTCCTTGTTACATACTACTCTCTTCTTTATACTTCAAAATCGATAAAATGAAGACTAGACATACAATGTGCTATGTCTCTCTGCCTTGAATTAAAAGTTCTCATGATGTGTGGAATGTCAAAATCCCGAAATTGATGGTTTCGATATGCCGGGAAGTGTGATATGCACCTCTCCCTATGCTTGCTAGTCCGACTGTCTACAAAATCCACACGTATGCTGTGTGTTCTCTCTTCTAAAGCACTGATGGCGATACAATGTGGGCGCATGTTCTCCTTCTTCAAAAGCCCGCCTGGTGATGCATCATGTCTCCATTTTACGTCGAGAGTATCGATGTCATATGTGGCCAGCTAAAGTCTGAAAATGAGCAGGTTACAAAAGATGTGCTGACGGGGGTCATGTACAAGTTCTCATGCTTGCCGGCTTCGAGAATTGCGCTGCCTATTTTCGATGGTGCTCGCCCGTGCGAGTCTATTGTGGATGATGTCCTCATCTTGCCTTTCCTTCCTTCTCATCAATCAAACGTTTGTCGTTTGTCTTTGAAAAAGGCAAAACTGAAGCTCATGAGAATCTTGCCTCCTGCTTCTCAACAACTTCGATTGCCCTGGCCTGTGTGTTCTACAAACTCGACTTGCCGCTGGTATGATTTCTGCGCCTTAAAAGAGTCAGTGTCCGATTTAATGTTTATGAATTTATTCAGTGCGCTGAAAACATCTTTCTACGATTTCTATAAACTATGCTGAAATTGGCAAACCCATAGAGCTTCTCCTACTCAGTAGCCTAATTCAAAAAGGTCCAATGTCGCCGCTCATGAAGCGCGTGCCGTGGACGCGTCACACAGCACACAATCATATACCCGACTTCCTTGAGCACAATCTTTGCACCAACATGTTGCACAGCCAGTCATCTCTTTGGCATGGTACCGATCAGTTAGGCCCCCCAGCCACATGTGCACACTGGCCCATTGTTTCATACACTGAAGTCTAACCTTCCAGTACAGGCTTCCCCGCTCTGGTTGCGTACGAATCGTCGTGTTGGGATACAGTTCATACCATGAGAACTACCCTGTGAGATGGCGGTTCTGGTGTAGTTCGCTCTAGCTGGCACGTGCCTGGCTAGGGGCTGCCTAGTGCTGGGCAGCCCCTAGCTCCTTCCCCAGACTCAACACGGGTGTACCCTTCTAACTTCACTTCGCATGCTGATAAACTATCTTAAAAGAGTTCATCTAGCCTCAGCATACACAGCCACTGTCCCGACCAAGCATAGGCACTAACGGTACGGCTAGATGCCGGCAGGGGCGCAATGTGAGCAATGACGGCCCCACAGGGCACCTGACCTTGGCCAACTAGATATCTAAGTCATAGTCGAAACAATCTTAATCTATTGGTCTAGGCATAGAGCGCATGTCTAACGCTCGAGAGGAGTCGTATAAAGTCTTCCGACGCCTTTGGAGTATAAGATAGTCTCCTAGTACTCCTCTTCTAGCCGACAACTTCTACATCACTCCGGCATTCTCAAAACCAACCATTTCCCTACGCAAGTGTCTCTTGCTATCAAATGTTCGTAAGATGCAGTCCAAGCTTGACAACGATAAGAAAAAGCTCGTATTTGGTGATGTAACGATGTTGATGCATTGACCACTGCAATCGGTGCAACGGCAAATGAAAGCTTCTTCGCATACTAATACGAACACAGTTTCCACTATTCGAAATGAAGTTTCCAGTCGTCCTAGTACTGGCAGCACTTGCCAATGTCATCCAAGCATTCCCAGTCGTAGAAAGTCGATCTCCCTCCCTCGAGGTAAGTCAGCTCTCGCGACAACGGTCTGCAATACGTGTCTAACTACATCATAGGCTCGCGGCGGCATCAAATGCAACCCTCCCGGCGAGCATAGGTGTGCGGCCATCGTCTGGGTTACTATTCAGTCCAACGGACTGGATCTTGGAACCGGTACTTCCCGCGGCGTTCAGGTCGTCGGTGGCAATTGCGATAACATCATTGCAAGTGGGAAGTTGATCAGAGGGGACGGAGGCTCGAAAGGTAGAGGCTGGAGCGCTGATTTCACCACGACTTACGGCCCGCACCTATATATCGGTATAACGAATCTTGGTATCAGGACCATTTCTGGAGTCAGGTTCCAGTACAATGGGAAGAGCTATGAGCAGAAACACTGCAAAGGATTTCAGGACCATGATAGCTGGCGCATTATGGATGTTCCTGGACTGGTTGGCTCACGCGCTATAGACGCTATGCAGTGCAACTTTGACTGTTAGGTGGCAAGTGGTAATGGCCTTCTGTCTCGGACTGTTTGGGCCTACCCGTCTCACCAAACTGATCGAATCAGTGGAGCGGTTGAGTGATATTTAGGTACATAAATTAGCTTGAATACACATCACGTCACCTCGCAAAATGCTTTCCTTTTGGTATGCACGCCGCAAGTCGGCTTCGAAAGTCTACAACGTTATGTGTACACTGTGGTAATGAACGAAATACCCATGCGTTTCGAATTCCTATGGACGTGGACCTTCGATTCCCGGAGTGTGTATAATTAACGGCAATGGATTCTCTAAGCTTTGTTTCTCACTCTCGAGTGCACAAAATCAGTGCGATGGCACAAAAGCAGCTAAAACTTGCAGTGCGAGAGTAATGTGAGAGCAGTTATGAATTTACTTCGCATCCCTCGAACCTCTGTCTCATCTTTTCACCGGGATTCTATCTAAGCGAAAAGGTCTGCTCGGGCAATATCAGTGCAGCCTACTCTGCCAAACTCGCTCTTCTCTGCGAAAATTCATATACTTGCACCTTATGACTCTGCCCGAACTTCAGCCCCGAGATACTCTACGAATGTGACTGGCAGCACGATTAATGCAGCCATTCACGAAAAACTCGATAAGCTGTTCGATGTCCTTTCCAAAAAGATCTCCTACTGTCTCATGTGCTCCCTACTACATCTGTATCCTCACTTATCTTTCCAATCGCCTCAAAATGTATAAATTCTACTTCTCATTTTGTATGGCTTCCTCTAAACCATGGCCCGAGCGCATGGTCCTCAGAGTTGTACTCGGCAATGGTATGTCTTTGTGTCTTTATGCTCCTACTTGCCAAACATGGATGATCAAGATCCCATGTGCTCCGATCTCTACCCGTCGCTTATGCTCGTGAGCGCCTGCATGTGCATATAAATCCTACATTTGTATTTTGCACACCTGCACCTTCTCCTACACCACAACTTGAGTCTGAGTTCTCCAAAAGCAAGTCGAGCGACTTTTGACGTTCTTTCCTTCCTGTCCCAAATCTCTGAACAAACATCCTCATGTCTGTCGCCGCGGTCAGATGCCGAGTATTCGGACTAAAAAATAGTTCGCCAATATGTATGTCTTCGCTCCACTTGCACGCCTCAAAGATCAAACAGTACATTGAGAAATGAATGCCAAAATCACAGAGACAGAATTTTGTCTAGAATGGACTCGAATGAAACATCAGCAATTACTGCACATGGACTTCGAACTGGTGTACGTGCCTGCTGGCGCCAAGCAGCCGTATACACCAATGGGTATATAAATGCTCATCTTCGCTGCTTCTCTTCTTATCAGACAAATTACCTGTTCTTCTCTCAAACCAAAGGCACAAAATGAGGTACCTATGTCTGTCTCTCTTTGTTCCTCTTCTAGCAAAACGAGCGGAAACGAATCCGATGTCTTGTTCCAACCCTGATACCAAGTCGCACATACGATGAATGCAAGGAAATGTCCAACCATGACTCAGCTGTCCGCTGCGAGCTCTAAACAAATCCAGCGCATCTCTATGTCCCAGCTTAAAACGATGCACGGAGTTCCTGATGATGTTTCGCGCTCTTCGCGGTCGCTATGAAGTCAAAAATACCTTTCAAAATGTTGAATCCTTCGGTCTTTTGCTCCATTCCTTAGAAAACAATACAGCTACCAAATAAGCTGGAAACCCGGCCATGTGCCCCTTTACTGCGAAGTCAGGATTATCGTTAAGCCATGTTCTTCTTCTCTTCTTGTTAAGGAATACCACAAGATGTAAACTCGATAATAGTCGTGACTAGCAGATCGCATGACGAGCGGCTACTGGTTCACGAGAAACGGAAATGTATGAGGAGAAGATTCATGGGTTTGTGGATCAAGTCCACAAAAGCAATTCCGCCGACTCGATATGAACGTCTGCATAAATAGAAGACAGCAGATCTTTGCTACATGAGATCTGGATTCGAATTCGAATACATTGTACTAGTGGGTATATGTCGTCGAAAAGATCATCGTCAGTTATCAACATCAAGAATGTATGCTGGAGTAATCGCAAAGGGTAGCAAGAGACGAGAAATGTAATGAAGGATTTGATATATTTCCGTCATGTAGTCATGAGTCGTGGCACATAATCCCTACGTGAATGTTTGCAATGATCCTGATTATCGTCATCATCACCACTCCTACTCCTTCAACGCCTGTCCCTGACTCTTCTCCCCCGCCTCATCAGCCGGCTCCAACCCCGCTTTCGACGGCCCACAGAGCTGCACTCCATCCTTGCTAAATCGGCTGCCATGTACAGGACAGTCCCAGCTCTTCTCCGCCGTGTTCCAGCACACCACGCCCTTCAAATGTGGACACAGCGCACTGAACTTGTGAATCTGGCCGCCCTCATCCTTGTACACTGCCAGCGGCCTGCTAGTCTTTGTGTTCAGCACGCCGCCTTCACCAGGGACGAGGTCTTCAATGTCCGTGATATCGGACTGGAGGAAGCGCTTGTACTGCGAGTTGATCTGGAGGTCGTGCGAAACCATGCTGGGGAGGGAATTGACGATGGAGATGACGCGCTTGGGGTCGTAGATGGCAGTCCAGGGATTGGTTTCGCCGGTGATTTCATCCGCGATGAGTTTGCCGGCGATGACGCCGTGGGTGAGGCCATTGCCGGAGTCGCCAGTGACAATGTAGGTGTGCTTCATGCCTTGGTTCAGGCCGATGAAGGCCATGAAGTCGACAGGCTCGTTGACTTGGCCGCTCCACTTGTAATCGATGGAACTGACTTGTGGGAAGCGAGCGCGCGTCCACTCCTCGAGCTCTGCGAAGGGAGCGAGGGTATCTGACTGGCCGACTTTGTGGTCACCGCCACCGACAACGAGGTAGTCGTCCTTGTCGTCGCATTCAGTGAGACGAACATACTTGTACACCTCGGCAGAGTCGTAGAAAAGACAGTCTTCGATCGAGCCCTTGGGTACGCGAGCGGCGATGCAGTATGTGCGGTAGTACTCCTCCTGTGCAATGACGGAGAGCTTCTGCAGAGGGATGCAAGTCGCCTCGACAGCATCGGCGCACTTGATGGTGTGGCCGTCCAGCGTCTTGACGTAGACATCCTTGTGACCCATGCCCAAGATCTCGACACCCTTCTCGGTAACGTCCATGCATCGTGTGTGGGTGTAGCAGGAGAAGTTCGGTTGCTGCTTGAGGAAATCGAGGAGGCCGACGAGGTATTTCGTAGGGTGGAACGTCGCTTGGCCCTGGAAGATCACGGCGTCGCTCTGATCGACGCTGCCCTCCCAGCCCTTGAGTTTGAAACCCTCCTCGTATTCAGCATGAAGACCAAGCTCCTTTGCCTTCATGCCCTCTTCAATCAGCGTCTTGATATCGTCTGCATGCTCTTTGCTGCCCTTGGGGTACTGCGAGAAGTCGTAGCCTGGAAGCTGACGGTACTCGCATTCGATGCCGTGCTGCTTCGAGAGTTCACCGACGCGATTAAGCGCCCAAACATGAGACTCAGCTGCAAGTTTCGCGGCCTTGTCGCCGTGCTTCTTTGCAATCTCTGGGTATCCGTCGTCCAGATCGCTCGCCAAATGACCGCTCGTGCGCCCGGTCTCACCAGATATCACTTCGCGGCTCTCGATCAATACGACGTTCAACCCACGCGTGACGAGCTCGTAGGCGGTCGAGATACCCGAGATACCGGCACCGACAATGCATACATCTGTTTCCAGGTCCCGGTCAAGCTTGGAGAACCGGGGGATGTCTTTGTAGGGCAATTTGTGGATCCAGACGGGATCAGTCTCTCCGCTGGTGAACATTGCGTGTTGCGGGTCTTTCATAGTTACGGAAGCCATGGTGGCTCGCTGTTGTACGGTGGGGAATTTTGTCAAAGGCTGTGACCGAGGTGTAAAGATTGATCTAGCTGCTATTCGGTTGGTAATTACTGGTGCAACGCGTCGAAGTGAGGTGAAAGTAGAAAAACGAGGGAGCAAGAGCAACATGCTTCAAAAAGCCAGGAAGGGATGCCGAACGAGCAACTGCACGTGTATGTGTACATAACCATCGAACTGCCAAATCCATACATATTCGTGACGACTCGATGTAATGTAGCGTCTATGATTGGCTATAGCACCGTCGTGGGCGTCAATTGAGTGCTCGTGTTACTATTGCGTTTGCTTGTCTGACACGTTCCCTACGCGATCATGACGTGCGTCGCGAAATGAGCTGCTGCTCCGTGGAACATCACGACCTTGAACGAGACATAGTAGACGGGGCGCTGTGTGATGAAGATGAAATACATGGTATTGCGCGCCTAATGTCAACGCATGTAAGTGATGTCTTAATAAGTCGAAAGAAAGTCGGCGCGTTCCACAACGCGCCAACATCTCGTGATCACGTGGCTACCCCGCCACTCCTCTCATCGTATCATGACTTCTTCAACAGCCCTTCGGCAACATCTCTCAGAACAAACTTTTTGATCTTCCCGCTACCTGTCAGCGGCACATCAGCGCTGCAGTCTTCACCGAGCCAGAATACGTGCATGGGTGCTTTATGTCTGCCCAGCACTTGTCTTACCCAGCTCTTGACTTCGTCGAGATCCGGCTTCTCAGCACCTTCTTTGCGTAGTAAGAAAGCAGCCGGAACTTCTACGTAACGGGGATGCGATACGCCTACGACGATGGCCCGCGCTATTGAAGCGTGCTCGACGAGACGTTCTTCAATCTCGAGGGGATAGATGTTCTCGCCGCCTATGCTAATTAGTACATACGTAGTGTACAGAGATGGGTGGGACATACCTCGAATAATAATGTCCTTGAAGCGACCGGTGATAGTGCAGTACCCGTCAACATCAAGAACAGCTTCGTCACCTGTATGCAACCATACCTCGCCCTGCTCATCACGCACGAGCAGCTCGGCAGTCTTCTCAGGGTTCTCCCAGTAGCCGCGACATACTTGATAGCCCGAGATGCATAGTTCGCCTCGCACGCCGATAGGCACGATGTGATCTTGATTATCCACAATCTTGACGCGCGCATGTGGCAGCACGGTACCAACAGTCGTTAGTCTTGCATGTAGAGAGTCAGTAGTATGCGCGTTAAACACCGTCGGCGAAGCTTCAGTCAACCCGTAGCTCGATGTGAACTCGAGCATGCCGAGTTCCTCTACCATGCGCTCCATCAACCAGCGTGGAACGGGACTGCCTGCGACGATGCCCGTCCGTAGCTGTGACTTCCAGCCTGCGGGCTTCTTCACATTTATGACAGACTCCATCATGGCGGGAACACCGTGTAGTGCTGTACATCGTTCATCGTTGATTGCATGCATCGTTGCGACAGGGTCGAAGGACTCGGCGGGGAATACGATCTTACCGCCATGGCTCAGTGTGGCGAGGACGCCGAGAGTGAGACCAAAGCAGTGGAAGAGGGGAGGCGGACAGCAAAGAGTGTCTTTAGGTGTGAGTTTCATGCGGTCACCAATGAAGCGAGAGTTGTTGACAAGGTTGCTGTAACGTAGGTCAGTGAATGCTGCCCTGTGCGAGTCTGCTGAGCAAACTTACTGATGTGTCAACATCGCAGCCTTTGGATTGCCAGTGCTCCCACTTGTGAATTGCAAATTCACGACATCGTGCGGACTTACAACGCCATCGAATATGTCGAGGATATTATCCGGTACGCCTTGTGCCTCTTGCATGAACTCGTCGTATCCAATGAATCCATTTGTACCGCGTATCAAACATACAGTCTTCAGGTCTGGCAAGACAGTGTATAAGTTTTCATCGTGTAGCCGGTCGAGAAGTGGGCCGTTGTCGAAGCGTGCTATTGTTGGTGTGGTGAACAGGACTCGGCATTCTATACATTGTTAATGCATGACCTTTGCATGTGAAGTCGGACTTACTTGTGTGCTTCAATGCGTACTCCATCTCTGTTGCCGTATATGTGTTGTTGAGCGTCACGCATATCGCCCCTACTCTAGCGCAAGCGAAGAAAAGGGCAATATATCTTTCGCAGTTCCCGCTCATTATTCCAACCCTATCTCTTGGTCGAACTCCATATTTCAGCAATGATCGCGCGAGCAAGTTTGATTCGGTCCACAGCTTTTGGTACGTCCATCGTGCACCCGTCCATGGTATTATGACCGCTTCATTATTTGGATATAACTCGACTTGTTGGTAAAGCAGTTGTGATAGAGTTGACTGTGATAGAGGGGGGTCCAGAGGTCCAGAGACGAGTGATAGATTCGGATATGGCGGAAGGATATATGGGTCGATCTGAAGCAAAGTTTGGTTCAGTCGCCGCAGAGCCTCGAACCGTGATCGATCATTGATCTGCGCCATTGTGGTTGCTCCTTCTCACTCTCACGAGTACCAGTGTCGGATTTTATACCCCCAAACAGGAGATGGACAGCTCAACGTCTAGCCTGAGTGGAAGATAACTGCGAGGATGAAGTGAAGTGGTAGTTAAGGTAGCGAGTAGAAACAATCAGTAGGAACAGCGAACCTACACTGTACAACAGTATCCAAAGATAGTCGAACAATTGACTATAGAACGCAGCGACCTTCGCCATAGGGTTTGACAAGCACGATGACGGGGTCTCGCTGATGCCTCGGATCTAAATTCTTCTGTGGAAAATTTGAGCTACCGTCCATCATGCCGTTCCTTGTTGCGAAAGTCGACGAGGTGAGTCCGTTTCTGTGGATCTTTCGCCCCGAGAACATTTTCACAACCGTCGTGTCCCGAGCTCACAGGAAAGTGCCCGGTAGCCCGTTTCGGTGTATCTTTTGCCATGAGCGTGGGTATGACAACCTCGGCTTAAAGCCGGAGCCCGAGCACATCATCAGAAGAAAAGCTATGAATTGCTCCATGCGGGCATTGCGCCGACGTCGTCATGCTTTAGCGAAGGCTTAAGGGTTCCGACAAGTCCGTGAACAGGATTGTCCAGAGTGGCGCCAAGTTGGGCAGTGATCGTCTCATTCCAGGTGGTCCACCCATAGTAGTGTATACGCGGCAGACATGTTGTTACATCGATCGTTCAATCTGATAAGATTCGATGAGGTAAGTGCGATATCGGTTGCCCGCTTCTTGTTTACAATTTCCCCGTGCATCAGATTTTTTTACTTGATGAAACAGTGCGCGGGAGAGGCTTATTGTGGAGGCGCGAAGGATCCGGCTTGGTGCCGTCAGGGGAAGTCCGCACATCATTAATACGGGGTCATCTGATAAAATTTTGATCTGATAAAATTTTCAATGCGTTTGCAAGGCCTGACTCTCGCGTGCAGGATAGCCTGGAATTGGAAGGTCCGACTCTTAGGGTGATGTGCTTCGAAACTTCGATCCGTATAGCATGCTAAATTCTGCAAGTGCGGCTTGCCCCCACTCTGGAGGCGGGTACAGTACTTCCTCTGGCCCGCAGCGCGTGCCGTAGACGCACTTGATCAACAGTAGTCGAGCGCGTCGAGCGTAATTATCCCGGAGGTATTGTCACAAGATCAGATAATGAAAACCCTGCAAGTGACGGATCAGATATCGCTAAAGACCATGCCGTTTTAACCCGCAACCGTGGGCCTGTGGAGCATGGCTTGCTGCATGCCGCGCCGCTAGCGTACCGTAAAGGCCCTGTGACGGAAACCAGGTAATATGCTATGCGTCCGTCATCTGCCGACACGCGGGAACAGATGGAAATGATTTCCGGTGGTATGCTTGTGGTGCGAATGGATAGTATGGTGTCGGATCTGATATACAGGTGCTTCGAATGACTAGTGCAATCTATCTAGTACTGCAGGTGCGCATATGGTATACGCTACAATCGCGCAAACGCATCTAGACTTGGTCGGACTTTCTTCTCGCCATCCCAAACAAATGGACTCAGGGCGAAGAACTTCTCTCTGTTCACCATCTGAAGTGCACTGCGTTTGTGTGGAAAGTCCATTAGCTTCTCAATATAGAAGCCGTGTGCAAAGTCGTACGCAAACACTGCGTCGCCTGTGATTGACGGTTCGCCAACAAGCCTCCAGGTGCGTGGCTCATCGAGAAAGCAGTAATGGGCCAAACTAGACCACCATGCTGAGACACGATGGGGACCTCTGAATTGGACGTCGCCGACAAGAGAGTGTCTCCCACGATCGTAAGGGGATGACCTGTAGAATGCGCCCATGCTTGACTCCTACAATTGGGGTTAGCAGACGTTGCGCTAGATGTATGAGGAACAAAAGGAACCATACCATTGCCCAATAGACTTCGAAGTACGCAAACAGAATATTGTCGAATGCCGCGAACATGGTCAACAAGTGGGGGTCCTCATGCATCTTTCGGAGATATTCGCGGTGCTCCTCCAAGGTCCCGGTTTCCTTCCAGGCGGCAGCGACACGTGGGTCATTCTGCCAAGTGTGGAATAGATCGAGATGTGCCGGATTGGTGTAGTCAACAGCGACCATCGTGAAATGTTCCTTGAGGTGTGGTATCCACCTGCTGTAGATGATCGATCCCGGTTCTGGTTTTGGTTCCCGTACAGGATGCATAGTATGCCGTTGCAGGGCCGGGAATTGGGTATTCGGCGCGATCTGGAACGGAAAAGGAGGGTATTCCTTTGTGATTGGCTTGCCGGCTGCATCGAGACGGGGTGCCCATACAGGACGAGGTCCGAATGGAGACCCTGCTCCCTGCCAGAAAGCACCCCTTAGAAGCAAATGGCCGTCGTGAGGAGCCGATGCCGCAGAAGCTTTTGGATGAGGGTGGAACAGTCCCGTGGCATACAGCTCGTGCGCCAACAAGTCTGAGTCTGTGCCGGAGAAGAGGATCCGTACTTGCTCAAAAAGAGGGTGTAGCGAGATCAGTGCATAGGCAATAAGCCACACCTTTGCCACAGATGGGCGTTCCGTAGACCAAGATATTGTCACGTGGGGCGATCTCCTTGCGCGTGCCCACGAGCTGTTGTCTCCGGTCTGTGGAACTACATCGTCTGCCAAATAGGCTACCTCGGTGAAGGTTAATGCCTCATCGTGCAGAGGCGTGGGAGGAGGGACCCCTTGGCGAGTTGAGAATGCCTTAGATGGCAGAATCTGGAGCCTAGTCGGCTGTTCTTTGGAAACAGATTTCCTAACCTCATAGGAAGTAAGGTATGGATGTGGCAGCTTTATGACCAAAGTATCTGCTTCCGCCTCCTCTTGGTATGCCATGTTGTTGAAGTGAATGAGCTTGGAGTGTTGGAATTAAGAGCTGGGAGCTAACGAGCCGCAGTTTTGTGTAGGGGCAGACACGAGAAGCTTCGAATTGTTCAAGTAGACTTCGTACTGTCCGGGAAGTGTCAACCGAGGTTGCAAGGAACCACTAGCTTACGTTGCACGTAATGCTGCGTTAGAGTGGGTTTGGCCGCTGTCTATTCACCGGCTCGAAGTGGCGGTTGCAGGGGTGCTGCTTGGCAAAAGATCCATGTGGAGTGGACTGGCCGCGGATCGCACCAAGTGGGTGCTAGTGATGGTGATTGCAGCACACACCATTCCACCAGTGCATCGGTCGACGAAGTGAAACCGGTCGACATCGGTGACATCTTTGTTGTTTGGCCTCCGTCTGGCACGGCATATTATTGGAGGTCAATGCGCTGGGCGGACTATCCGCAATCTATGCACGAGCTTCTGTGATCGTACCATTTTTGCGGTGAACAGAAACAATTTTGCAACGTCTCGGACATTCATACTGCTCACCTTTCGTCTGCCATTTTGATCGCGATCAGCCAATTCAGCAACGATCATGTCCTCGATGGCACACTCCGCCAAGCCGCTGGAGCCCGTCTCCAGTTCTGTCGCATCGGCTGCGACCGCACTCTACGACCTCGTGTGCATTGGATTCGGCCCAGCTCAGCTGGCCACTGCCATCGCCAATCGTGAAACGAAACCTCCCTCTAGTGTGCTATTCCTCGAGCGGAAACCCTCATTCTCGTGGCACTCTGGAAAGCACGGCGCAAGAACACGACTGGAGGGCCCATTCATATACGACCTCGCGACTCTCCGGAATCCCAGGTCAGCTTTTAGCTATGCCAACTACCTCCTTGCCCGGAATCGACTTATTGAGTTCGCCAATTCAGACCGGCTGAATCCATTGCGGATTGAGTTCGAAGATTACCTGAAATGGTGCGCTGAGCATTTCAAGGACCAAGTCAGGTACAGCAGCGAAGTCGTAAAGGTAGTTCCAATCTTGAGCGGCGACGTTGTGAGCGCATGGCAGGTTGCTGTTCGGGACGAGAATGGCGCCGTGTCCTTCTTCAGAGCAAAGAGCATTCTTGCACCGTCCCCAGCAAGCAGTAACAGATCTAGAATGCCACCACCGGTACCGGTCGACTTCCTGGCAGGAGAGCGGATCATTTCCATGGATGACTACCAGTCTAGACGGAACGAATTGCGAGGAACTGCTGAACCACGACTCAATGTTGCCGTTATGGGCGCTGGACAACGAACTGCGGAGATAGTGGACGACTTGTTGTCCTGCCCTCGGTTAGGCAATATCACATTAGTGACTGAGGACGAGTCGCTTGTACCGCTTCAGGCACTTGCCGAGCAGGAACCGGCACGACCACAGCTCTGCTCAATCTGGGCGAAGCCTTCCGGCAACCAGAAAGCATCCATTCCCGAGGCGTCTGAACTTGTTCAGACGATCTACATGCGCGCGTACGAGAAGCAGGTCGCCAGTCGAGGTCAATACACCCTGCGTGTGGTCGTTGGCAAGGAGGCTGCTGAACGTTGTTCGTTGGCACACTTCATCATTCGGGATACTAGAGACGATGCATCTCTGAGCACAGGTCTGCTTCAGAGCCTCGATAAGCTTGCGCTAGGCTGCCGGCCCAAGGGCGACAGCTTGGAGGAGGTGCAGTTCAAGCGCGACGCTGTTGACGCAGGCTGCCGTGTCTTTTTGATGTCAGCAAATACAGAAGGTGGGCGCTCTTTGGCTAAGGACATCGCTGTGATGGCAGGCCATGTTGTGAAGCTGGTGTCGCAGAAGGTTGAGACGAGACGAGATGATGTCATAGCTCAAGCGCGGATGTAACTGAGGGTTCCCAAACCCAGAGCACAAGTCAGAAGCAACAGCCTAGATAATCCTCAATAATTCCATGTCATATTCCCTCGCATCTTTGACCCATCGATAATTTCCAAGTATTTGGTCCATCATTAGTTTTATGCAAGTCACAACTAATAATTTTGGTGCACTGGGGGATAGTATCCTGGTTGGTGCTAGCGCACTGAAAAATCTGATAAGATGAGGCGTCCGTGCATCGGCCAGCCATCGCACCACCAAGCATCCACTTCGGCAGACACTATACCCTTTGACGCATCATGCCAGCAACTTGCATGCGACTACTATGTCGATCCTGGCCTCGCGGCTTGGAAGCACGGCTCCCTGTCCACGGGTTGGCTTCCACGTCGGTGTCGCCAAAGGGTGTCGTCGACTTCGTACCTCCAACCCGTTGTGCATCTGCGTTTTTGCGTTTTTGAGCATCCTGATGCTATTTACCCGTCCTATATCGAACACTACACGGTCAATGTGTCGCTGAAAACCGTCACTACTACTTGTCTGCTGGACCTCTGACCTCAACTGAGCCCTCCGCTCCCTGTTTCACTTCGCTCTTGTTTGCCCAATGCCCATGAAGTGGCCCTCAAAGGGCTCTATCAAGCCATTCTTTGGCTTTCTGCATCTCCTTTTCTACGCAGACCCGACATGGCTTGACAAGCTGCTCATTGGCGTGGGCGCCATAGCAGCTATTGCAGCTGGTGTACCATTCCCGCTCATCGGTATCGTTTTCGGCCAGCTGGTCGATGAGATCAATACCGCGACATGCAACAACCGTTCTGGTGCTTCTAACACTGGAGAAGAGGCTTCCATCACTCCTAAGCTGCTCCTACTTGTATACATCGCCATTGCTACCTTATTCTGCATGTACATCCACTTGGTCTGCTGGAGTTTGTCTTCACAAAGGTTGGCCAAGCGAGTCCGGGACCGGTATTTGAAGAATCTACTCCGTCAAGACGTAGCCTTCTTCGACACACTCCAGGCTGGTGAGGTGTCGTCGCGTCTCAACGGCGATATCCAAGCAATAGAGAGCGGCACGAATGAAAAGGTTGGCGTCACGCTCACCTGTATCTCATTCTGCGTCACTGCCTACATCGTCGGATTTATCAAAGACGCCGAACTTGCTGGTATACTGGTCTGCCTCATCCCCGCATTCCTCCTCATGGCAACAGTCGGAGGCCATTTCGTTTCCAAATACACCTCGAAGCTATCAACCTGCTTCGGATCGGCTAGCGCTATTGCTTCCGAAGCGCTCTCCAATGTCGGTCTGGTGCACGCTTTGGGAGCCAACGCACGCTTAGAGGAGCAGTTTAGAGATCATTTGGAGGGAGCTCGAACCCAGGGTATCAAGAAAGCCACAGCCGCAGCCATACAGGCTGGATTGCTCATATTCATCGCGTTCTCTGCAAGTGCCTTAGGTTACTGGCAAGGTAGCGGCAAAGTCGCCGACGCGGTCGAGGGAAAAGGCAATGCGACAATTGGCCAAATCTACACAGTCACGTTCATCTTGTTAGACGGTAAGTTAAACACTACTTTGCCGGAGTCTGATTTCCCTCATCATCTCACTCATGGTTCATTTGTGCTCACATCACTACGGAAATTCTCACTGATATCGAAAAGGTGCTGTCGTATTAAGCCAAGTCGCGCCCATGCTGCCGTTGTTTGGTGGTGCGTTGGCTGCTTTCGAGCGGCTGCGGAAAGACATCGAAACACAACCAACTATTGATAGCAGCTCTGCGACTCGGCAGCAATTGCTAAAAGTGGAAGGGGGTGTTGAGCTCCGCGATGTCGCCTTCACATATCCGTCGAGACCTGATCACCCTGTACTAAACAATGTATCGCTAACCTGCGAGGCTGGACGTCTAACCGCAATCGTGGGCTTGTCTGGAAGTGGTAAATCCACTATCGCCAGTTTGATCACCCGATTGTATGATCCAACAAAAGGCGAAATCCTGCTCGATGGCAAGAATGTCAAGGATGTAAACGTTACATCTCTCCGAGGTCATATCAGCCTAGTTCAGCAGGAACCGTCCCTCCTGGACCGTTCAATTTTGGAGAACATCGCCCTCGGTCTTGTTAACTCGCCAGCTCACGCACATTTGAGCGGCGTGATGCTAAGTAACACCTTGGCGGACCTGACCTCAGCGATCAGAGGCGGCAAGACATTCGGGTAAGTGCCTTTCCACTTGAGTGACCTTTTACTGACATGTTTCCAGTAAGTCAAAGCTCTTGGTGATTAATGACAACCACATACCCTTGATCAATAATTGCATTTTGATCCGTTCAAGATGTACAAGCACTATGGACAAGCATGTCCCGCTAACTTGTGTCCAGCCGAGAGCCTGGAAACAGCGACTTCAGAAACGGCAGAGATCGTCCGCTTAGTGCAGGAGGCGGCTGAGCTGGCTGATGTTGCTTCTTTTATTGATAGACTAGAGTACGGATATGCGACTTTGGTAGGGACAAGCGGGAGCTTGGTTAGTGGCGGTCAGAAACAACGTATCGCGCTCGCACGGGCACTTGTCCGGGACCCTCGTATCCTGATATTGGACGAAGCCACTGCAGCCCTGGATTCAGCCAGCGAACAGCGCATCCAAGCCGCGATAGATCGAGCTTCAGAAGGCCGAACAGTGATCTCGATCGCCCACCGTTTGTCGACTATTCGGCACGCTTCCAAGATAGTGGTCATGAGGAAGGGCGATATTATCGAGCAGGGTACACACGACGATCTCATTAGTCTCGATGGATCCTACGCAGACATGATCAAGCTCCAAACTGTCAAAACAACAGATGACACGGCGTCTAATACATCCAGGACGAGTGCCGACACGAACAGTATCAGTGACGAGAAGCAACAAATGGGTTCGGGTGAAGCGGATACTACTGTAAGCAAAGTCATCGACCCATCTGCTTCACATTCAGGAGGCGCCATCGTGTCTGGATCAGTTTTCAAGACCATGGCTCCTTTGGTCCGGCCCTACTCATTGCTCCTCGCTCTAGCCTTCTTTGCTGCTCTTATTGTAGGCGGACAGTACTCTGCGTCCGGTGCTCTCTTCGGAAATATTATGGGCACCATGTCGCCCTGTAACTCGCCTGAGTACATTCGCTCGCGAGGAGAACTACTCGCAGCGCTGTTTTTCATGGTTGCATGTATCGAATTCTTTGGCAATTTTGGCAGTTGGGCCTTCTTCGGATTAGTCTCAGAGCGCCTTATCTACAAAGTCCGAAATATCTCGCTACACGCGCTGTTGCAGCAGCCATTACAATGGCACGAGTCCGAGGGGAGGAGCCCTTCCATGCTACTGGAATATATTACGAAGGACGGAAATTCGCTGGCAGGGTTCAGTGGTTCTATTATTGGTATGTACTTCAGTTCTTCCCTGTATTATCATGTTCTCACGACATGTATGCTTCGATGTTGGAGATGGGGCTGACGGAGATTCTCACAGGCACACTATTCTCGGTCGTTGTCAACCTAGTTGCCGCCATTGTGCTATCACACATTTTAGCATGGAGAATAGCAGTCGTGTGCCTCGTGATAGTGCCATTTCTACTGGGAGCTGGTTATATGCAGCTGCGAGCCATAGGACAATTTGCTATTAAGCACGCGGGCGCCTTCTCATCTTCAATCGGTGTCACAATAGAGGCTGTAAACAATATCCGGACCGTGCACGCTTTATCCATCGAAGATGAGATCCTCCAAACTTACCGTCGGTCCCTTGAAGGTCCTCATAAGGAGATGGTTAAGCAAAGTTTGAAGACGAACGTTTGGCTAGCGATAGCCAACTCATGCGGTACCTTCTTTTACGCTTTCGCTTACTGGTGGGGCTCAAAGAATATCATTGAAGGAAGATTCAGCCAAACGTCCTTCTTCATTATTCTGATTGCGCTGTTGGTCTCAGCACAACTCTGGGGCCAATTTTTCACTCTAGCGCCGGAAATATCAAAGGCCAAGGGCGCTATATCACGTATCTGCGGCCTAGTCGACCTAGGAAGACGATCCGACAAAGCATCTGGGATATCTTCGCCGCGCTACGACGATGGCGAAAAGCAAGTCGACATCGAATCTTCTGCAAACACGGCGCTGTATCAACCTGCACAAGGTGGTGCCAGAGTCGTATTTCGAGATGTCGAGTTTTCATACCCAGCGCGGCCTGGGATCCCCGTGCTTTCATCACTGTCGCTCTCAATTCAACCCGGCCAGTTCTGCGCGTTGGTTGGCCCGTCCGGTGCGGGCAAAAGTACAGTGCTGGCCTTGTTAGAAAGGTTCTATACGCCAACATTTGGCAGCATCTCAATTAATGGGTTTGACATTGGGCGCCATACAGATGTCTCGTTCAGGGATGACATTGCGTATGTACCACAGGACAACGTGTTGTTCCAAGGCACCATCAAATTTAACCTGTCGCTTGGCGCTCGACCAGACCACATTCCTTCGGACGAAGAGATCCAAGAAGCTTGTAAGTTGGCAAACATACACGAGGCTATCATGGAATTGCCGGAAGGCTACGACACACAATGCGGTGCCAATGGCTCTCAATTGTCTGGCGGACAAAGACAACGCTTGTCTATCGCTCGCGCACTTGTACGCAAGCCGAAATTACTGCTACTAGATGAAAGCACTAGTGCTTTGGATGCCGAGAGTGAGAAAGCCCTAGAACTGGGATTGGAGCGGGCAGTCAAAGACCATGGTGTCACCGTCATTGCCATTGCTCATCGTCTCAGGACGATTGCGCGCGCTGACATAATCTTCCTGGTCGAAGGAGGCCGAGTGATTGATCAAGGAAGACATGAAGAACTTGTCCAGCGCAGCGAGAGCTACCGTGTTAACGCCTTGCACCAGATGCTGGGATGAAATCAAACGAAAGGGTTCGATTCAAAATGATAGCAACTACACCAATTCTACGGCTTTCGGTAATCTCTGCTTCCTTTCGGTACCCATACAAAAAGTGACAACCCATGCTCTTGGCCACCATTTACACTCTGTCCTGCATTCGGCACTTCTCCTGACTTCGGCTGTCTCACCCGCTGGCAACCCAATTTCTCGTATAACCTAACTCCTTCTTCAGAGCTCTCGATGTAGATGGGAAGCTCTACCTGCTGTGCAACGCCGATGCCAAACTCCATCAGCAGTTTGCCGATGCCTTTACGCTGGTAGTCGGGATGAACAGCGATAGCGTGACAGTATATGTACTTTTGATCAAGCCACAACTTCTCCCTTGCGTTCCAAAGCGGAGAAATTAGTGCTTCGGCGCGCTCGCGCTCTTCGCCGCTCAACCATGAGATTTTTCCTCTCCTCCACTTACTTGTTGTGAGGTAAATTTCCCACAAAGCCATACCAACGATTTCTCCAGTCTCGCTATCGACACATTTCAGCGTGTACTGTGTGGAGTCTGTCGGCCAGTATTGCGTCGTGTGACCAGTGTGCGCTTTTCTTCAATTCCATCAGCTTGACATGGCAATCAAACGAGTTTCCGTGAGACTACCTGAATTCGGACTCCGGATTCGTCATATCAGACGCCGTAGCCGATGGGAACAATGCTTTTGAGACAGCATTGTCTTTGAAAGCTGCGAAATACACGTCGTACACAGCACTGATGTCCGGTACCAGGGCCGGAAGCACTACGAAGCCCATGTCGTATCGAAACTGGTCGGAGTTTGGATTTTACCGGAGAAATCGAGGAGCTGATGGCGTGACAGGCTGAGTACGATGTTGGGCGCACAGGTACCCTCGAGCTCTACTTGCCATTGCACATGGAGACTCTAACTTGTCGTGTTACACTGCAGAGATATCACTGTGGGTCGACGACGAACCGCAACCAAGCCCGAGTTCAGCCGCGTCAGTCACCATCTCGGAGAGTGTGCCGTCAAATGGCGCACTAACTCTGCATGAAGCTTGGTATTCCTCTGCCGTCAAACAATCCTTCAGCACACGACCATGTCGGGGTTTCAAAGAGGGCATCGGCGGCATGTTGCGCCACGGACATCACTAAAGGTAGTCTGGTGCTAGCTGATGCCTTAGCCGTGGGACTGTGCTGTGCCTCCTGTTCGCATGGGGGAGAAATTGAGTTATCAGATCCGCTCTAAGCGAGAATTCCCGCTGGACCTTCGAAGTGTCCGACGCTTGCTCATTCTTTTGGGTTACAGCCCGCACCCTGTCCATGCCTCATTTTCTGTTGACTATGGGCCACGATCGACGAAGGAACCCTCGACTAAGCGCTAATGTCAGTGGACTCTGCCACATGCTCGGCAGATGACTTGCGTGCAGTCGACGTTGATACCATTGCATCGGGCCATTTAACAATTAAGGCAACTCGTTGATTTCTGATGTAGCGTGCAAGGGTAATGCGTATTACGTACCGGTCGGTAGAGCGATCCAGGGTCTGCGCACTTTTCCGGCTCTCCGAGAATCGGCCGTTGCTTGATCAGATAAAAAACGAACAAGCGATCTGCAGCCCACCGATGTCACACTGCGTCCGCCTTGCCACGATGAGGAAGCTACTCCGCCCACCGACCACGCGCCTCTTTAGCAGATCATCCTTTCCATTTATCAGATGGATCCACGCTTTTTTTAAATACAGCTAACCCCACCTAATGCGTTACATCCTTCGGCCGCTCAGCCCTTTACGTGAGTCGATGAACAATAAATGATCAGACATGTCACTTAAACCCTGCATTCAAGGCGTTGGCACCATGACGTGGGCGGCTAGTATCAGCATGGAAGGGCGTCGCCGAGAGGTATTGGTGGGAGAGTTGTCGGAAATACATCCTGGCTCGATGTACGGAAAGAATTGGTTTCCATGCGAGATGGATGCCTTGTGGAGACCATGAAGAGCAAGCGCACTCGTGATGCTTGGCTCACACTATGAGAAGGCCACGGAGTAGGACTGGCCGGAACTAAACAATTCTCCCATACCTCTACACTCTTTCATCTCTCCCAGGGTTTGGCGGAAATATATTGTGTAGTACAGGCGACAACATGCATCTTCCGAGTGGCGATAAGACCCTCCACCTTGGTGGCGTTTCTGGAATGTCCGATATGGGCATACACAGCAACGGCATATCCAAGCCGCAGCAAAACGGTTCACACACCAATGGCTCCAACGGCACGAACGGTCACAGCTCACAGGTTAATGAACTGCAAATACCGCGTCCTAGAGGAGAGGAGCTGTCCGGGACACTGGACACTATTCTCACGGCTTGGACCATCTTGATCCATCGTTACCAGCGTGATGCGTTCCAGCAATTCACGTGGGGCATCAAAGCTGGTGAGAAGGACGGAAAAGCCCAATGCATACAAACAGCAGACTTCGACCTGCCAAGCCAAAAAACAGCAGACAGCTTGAAAGCAAAACTTGGTTCTACACGAACAGCTGATCTTGCGCTTGCTCAGGGTTCAACACTCTTTTTGAATGATGGCACTAGTAGTGAAGTACGTACATATAAGACGTTCAAACCAGAATATGACTAATGCCAAGCAGTGGACTTTCGAAGTATCGCTCGATATCTCCGAGAGTTCGATACACGCAGCCACTCGATGGCTGCCACCAACCATGTCACAATACCAAGCTGTGTCTCAGCTTCAATCTTTTGGTCATATTCTTGAGACGCTTCTCAATGAGCCGAATCACGACATCTCGGATCTTGTGTCCATCTCTCAAAGGGAGCTCGAAGAGATATGGAAGTGGAACTACCCCGAGCCCGAGGAGCGGAAGGTATGCCATCACGATATGATCTCCGAGAAAGCTGCACAGTTCCCAGACAAAATCGCGATTGATGCCTGGGATGGTACCTTGACTTACAAACAACTTGAAGACTATTCAACAAGCTTGGCGCAGAATCTTCGACTAATAAACGACTCTGCAGACCAGGTCATCCCAGTGCTCTTCGAGAAGTCGCGATGGACGGCAGTAGCTGTGCTTGCAGTCTTGAAAGCAGGCGCATGCTTTGCTCTGCTCGATCCTGCGCAGCCAGAAGGACGTTTACGATCGATCACTCAGCAGCTCAACCCCTCACTGCTCATCTGCGCAAAGTCGCAAGCCTCACTTGCTGCGCAGATTTCTCCCTCTTCTACCATCATACCAATCTCTGAGTCCAAATTCGACAAGGTGTATTCTCCCACTGCAGAGCAACAGCCAAAGACTAGTCTACCAAAAGTGTCTCCATCGGCAAACATGTACATTCAGTTTACAAGCGGCAGCACTGGATTGCCGAAGGGATGCCTTGTTTCTCACAGTCAGTACACCACTGGTGCCATACCTCGTGGGTGGCACGTCGGCTACCGAGAGCACTCACGAGTCTTCGATTTTGCTAGCTACGCTTTTGACGTCAGCATCGACACCATGTTTTGCACGCTAGCGATTGGAGCGACGCTATGCACGCCCTCTGAGGAGCGTCGTATGAACGATCTCAGCGGCGTCATGCGTGATCTACGAGTTACACTCGCTGGCATGACCCCATCCGTGGCCCGAACTCTAGACACGGACGTCTTGGACAAGCTCGAGTCCCTTGGATTAGGTGGTGAAGGTCTCACTCCTAACGATGCAATATCTTTTGGTCGCCGGACACGCGTTGTGAATGCCTACGGACCTTCAGAGTGTACAGTTGGGGCCACTGTCAATCCCAATGTCAACACCAAACCTTACATCACTATGGGAAGAGGCGCAGGATGTGCATTGTGGCTGACTGAGCCAAACAACCACAACAAGCTTGTACCCATTGGTGCAGTTGGTGAACTACTCATCGAAGGACCGATTGTCGGCAATGGATACTTGAGCAACCCAGAAAAGACAAAGGAGGTTTTCATCGAAGCCCCAGAGTTCCTCATTCAGGGGAGCAGAAGCTTTCCGGGGCGACATGGACGCGTTTACAGAACTGGCGATCTTTGTCGTTTTGATCCCGACGGTGATGGCGAAGTTATGTTCGTTGGTCGAGGGGATCAGCAAGTCAAGCTTCGCGGCCAACGCATAGAATTGGCGGAGATTGAGCACAATATGCAGAAGCACCTCCCATCAGAGTGCCAGCTTGCGGTAGAGGTAATCAAGCCAGGTGGAATCGGTGAAGCAACTCTCGTCGCTTTCCTGGTAGAAGACATGAAGAATGGTATGCGACATCTGGAAGGCACCGTCTTTGGTAATTTTTCAGAAAAGTTCCACGCTACACTGCAGAAGATGACGAAACAACTCTTCAAGGACCTGCCGGGATACATGGTGCCTATCGCCTACATTCCACTCTGGAAAATGCCACTCCTCATATCATACAAGACAGACAGGAAGCGACTTCGAGAGATTGGAAGCTCTATCACGCGCCAAGATCTCAGGCGTTTCAATTCCACAGTAGCTGAGAAGAAGGAGCTCGCTACTGAAACGGAAATCAAGCTCGCAGCAGTGTGGGCAAAGCTGCTCGGAGGAGATACCGACTTTAGTGCGAACGACAACTTCTTTAGTATGGGCGGCGACTCTTTGCGCGCTATGCGTCTTGTCGCCAATGCCCGGAAAGAGGGCATGGTGCTGTCCGTGCCGGACGTCCTGCTCAACCCAACATTGTCGGCCATGGCAGCCAAGGCGACGCTACTTTCAGAGGAAGAGGCGAACGAAGTGGCGCCGTTCTCCCTCATCGGGGAAGATTGGGACGCTGAGCAGGCTCGAACAGAGAGCGCGCAGCTTTGCAACGTGGATGTCTCAATGGTTGAAGACGTGTACCCTTGCACACCACTTCAAGAAGGACTCATGGCGCTGTCTTTTAAGTTTTCCGATGCCTACATCGCTCAGCGTGTGGCAACACTTCCTCGTGAAGAAGCACGGCAGCTGAAGAAAGCTTTCGAGACAGCTGTTAAGGGTACGCCAATTTGGCGAACGCGCATCGTCAATGTCCCTGGCCGTGGTCTCTTCCAAGTTGTGCTCAAAGACTGGAACGCTTTCCGCGAACATGGTTCAGACTTAGCTACTTATCTCAAGAACGAGAGGCTAGAGGCTATGGATCTCGGTAAAGCACTCTTCCGCTATGGGCTGGTCGAAGAAGAAGGAGCCGATACTGCACATGTCGTTATTACATCACATCACGCAATCTACGATGGATGGTCCATGCCGCTGGTGCTTGAGAGGACCGAGCGTGCATTGAAAGGTCTCGATACGATCCGCCCTGCGTCATTCCGACACTTCATCAAGTACCTCCTCAAGCACAATCCCAGTATCTCGAGAGATTGGTGGAAGCAGCATATGGAGGGTGTAAGCCCACATCAATTTCCTCCGCTCCCGCACAAAGGATACATCACACAAGCCAACGCACTGCTCGACCAAGACATCGCTGCTCCAACCTCAGCACATTCGAGACACACACTTGCCACAATCATTCGCGGGGCATGGTCGCTTCTTTCCTCACTCTACATGGGTCACTCAGATATAGTCTTTGGAGAGACACTCACAGGCCGATCCGCGCCAATTCATGGTGTTGAGCAGATTGAAGGGCCAATGATCACGACTATTCCAGTACGTGTCCGTGTTGGTCTTGATCAGTCCGTTAATGACTATCTGCAAATGATCCATACGCTCTCCGTGCAACAAATCCCGCATGAGCATCTCGGGCTCCAGAACATTCGCCGAGTGAGCAAGGATGCCCGCGCAGCATGTGACCTCCGCACTGGATTCGTCCTTCAGCCCAAGGTCGTGGACGATTGGAGTAGCAATGCCTACGAAAACTCACTCCTGGCAAGGTTCATGCCCGCGAACGAAGGCGAAGCGGCGCGAGAAGCGCTCAAGTTCAACACCTACGGCATCATGCTTATCTGTACCTTGGACAAGAATGGTTTCAATGCCATGACAAGTTTCGACACGAATTGCATTAGTATTCCTGCTATGCAGCGAGTGCTTGACTTGTTTGATCGCATCGTCACTGCTTTCTTGAGTAGTCCAGAAGCCAAGCTTGCCGACCTGGCGGTTCTTACTCCTGAAGAAGAGGAAGATGCTAGACAAATGAGGCCCGCGGATATCATGACCGATAGTGGCGTGGCTATGGCACCAGTTGAGAGTGCTTCAGTAGACGCACCCACATATCGTGCACAGCACTCTCTGCCAACGAAGAGAAGTTGAGATCGCTACTTGCCAGGATCCTAAGCATGCCTGAGACAGAAATCAGTCCCAGCGACAGCTTCTTCGAGCTTGGAGGAGACTCGATCGGAGCTATGAGGCTCGTGTCGGATGCCCGAGCTCAAGGCTTCAGCATCTCGGTCGCACAAGTCTTCCAAAGCAAATCGCTCGCTGACCTTGCCAAGTTCTTCGGCAACGATAAAGAAGAAAAGCTTATTGATATGCTCAGCCGCACTTTTAGGCATGCCCAGGTCTGAGATCAAGGCCAACGACAGCTTCTTCGAATTAGGTGGCGACTCTATTGGTGCGATGCGACTAGTTTCGGATGCTCGGTCACAAGGCCTGGAGATTACTGTTGCGCAGGTGTTCCGAAGCAAGTCGCTGGCTGAGCTTGCTGCATCTGCGCAACAAGCGCAGTCTTCACAATCTCAAGTGCTTGACACACCATACCTTGCTCTTGGTAAAGAAGCGTCCTTGTACAGTGCTGACCGCATCTGCTCGTACCTCGAGAACCCAGAGTGGGATATCGTGAACATTTACCCACTCCGGCCGCTTCAACAGCTTGCAGTCGAGGGTACCGTTGCTCTTCCGCGCTACTCACTGCGGTATGAACTGATCAAGTTCACCACGCCCATCGACGAGCAAAGACTTCACGACGCTTGCCAAGAGCTTGTGGCCCGCAACGAAGTATTGCGCACAGTCTTTGTGCTGGACGGAAGCAAGAACCTTGGTGTCGTACTTTCGTCTCTCCAGGTGCCCTATAGTCAAGTCACGGTGCCCGATGGCATAGACATCAACTCCTTCGCACAAGGCTACGTGCACAGCGACATTTTAGCGCCCAAGCCCCACGGAACTTCCTTCGTCGGATTCACTTTGTTCGTGTCGCCCAGCACAGGTGCTTCGACACTTGCATTCCGTATCTCGCACGCACAGTACGACGAGATGTGCTTGCCGACGCTCTTTGATCAGCTTTCGGCACTGTACTGCGGCAGCGAAGTGCCAGTCATGGACCCTTACACTAAGCACGTGAACCACGTCGTGCTGAACAACATCCCTGTCAGTATTCCATACTGGCAAGAGCTACTCGACGGCTCCAAGATGTCTGTCATGAAGCCAGACATTCCGCTCGTGCAGCGCAAGATGACCGACACCTACATGGAGTTCGACATCTCCTCGCGCCCGAAAGGCATCACCATTGGCTCGCTGCCCACTGCCGCCTGGGCACTTGTACTCGCGCGCCGCCTCGCTACCAAGGACGTCGTCTTCGGCGAAGTCGTCAACGGGCGCAGTCTCGGTCTCCCCAACGCCGACCGTATCTACGGCCCAACATGGCAATATGTCCCCTTCCGCGTTCCCTTCAAGTCTACCTGGACATACCTCGATCTGCTCAAGTTTGTGCAGCTTCAGCACGTGGAGTCTTCTTCATATGAGGGTATGGGCTTTGCCGAGATTGTGGAGAACTGCACGAACTGGGACCCCAAGGAGACTACGTGGTTCGACACAGTTGTGCATCAAGCCCCAGCTTGGGTCGAAGAACTTCCCTTTGGCGATGACGTGGATGGCAACAAGGTCGAAGCGAAGTTCGAGACGATGTACCCACACCCAGAGCCGCTCAGGGAGTGGAAGTGCCAGGCTTTCGTGCGGGACGGAGGTAAGAAGCTGGGAATTGAGATTGTGACGTTTGAGGAGTGGATTGGGGTTGGAAAGGAAGTATTGAAAGAGGTTGGAGAAGCGCTGAGCATGTTGATGAATGGCAATGCTGGAAACAGGATTTTCGAGGAAGAGGTGGCCGAAGCGCCAAAGCGGACCCTGGAGGATTTTGAGGGTGTGATGTGATGAATTTTCGGTTGTTTATAGAAGGTAGGTTCGGCGTTTAGTGTGTGGCGTAGTTGCGTTCGTGTACATAATGACTTCCTATTTGTTACTGTTTTGGTTCTCATTAGTTTATTTACCATCACACGTGTCACCCTTCGTTGCTTGTTGTCCTTTCAGGTACGAGAAATGACATTATGCTGGCATTTCTCGGGTTATCCAATCGCGCTCGTTCTGCTATTTGTACTTCTACTACTTTGAGTTGTACTCTGGTGAACGCACTTGCTAGATGCAGGTTACGCATCATATTCATTAGCGCGGTTCATAGATTGGCTCGTCACGTCGTCCTTGCCGTTTAATGGTGCCTGTTCCGTTACGCCAATGAACATGACATCAAACGAGGTGGTACGAAGGTAGGCAGACTCCGCCGGGAGAGTGTGACCGAATATATCGTGTGGAGACGCGCATTCCTGCCCAGCTTTTAAGCAATCTTCTGTGTGCGCGACAAGAACAGCATATATTTTATGATTCCTTCAGAATTTCTCCTCACGATCGCAGACATCTCTACTCAGCATTTTTCGGTCTCACGTCTCCGAATATCCCCGTTCGCACTATGATCATGAAGATCTATCTCGCACTCGTCGCATGCGGTTCAATCGTCGCAGCGATCCCAGCACCGCAGAACTACGGCAACGGACACGAAGCTATGAGCTGGAGCTCTCCTTTGGTCGACGCGGGCGCGAGTTGCCAACCCGGATACGACTACTGCTACGGACAGATTATTGGAGATTTGAGTATGTGTACATCTTCACATTCCCACAACATACTAAAGTGTGTTCAGGGATCGATCCACAAATCATACTTCGTCAGTACTGTGACGTCCAGTTTGAGCACGACGCGCTCTCCTGCCATGCATGCAAGAAGTGGCCTTGGCCTCTCGACACCTGTGGCAGTGGACCGGGTGCTTGGAAATCCGTCTTTACGTGCGTGTCCGGGGACAAGTACACGTTCAAGGAGCGATGTGATACATGTGAGGCAGGAAAATGTTTAGGCAATTAGACTGGTGCAAAGGGCGAAGCATCGAAGAGGACTTCGCAACCAAGGGAGGTGGCGCGAAATGAAGAAAGGGCGTTACGCGCTTAAGGTTGTTGATGGACGTGCATCACACAGGGGAGTTCTCTTGACGCAATATATAGCGTTTACATTTGACTTCTGTTACTTGTTTCAGCTCTTGCTTGGGATCGTCGATGAACATGGAGGATGCGAGGTGCATCCCAGTGCGGCAATCGGCGTCGCTCACGTGCTCACACGCCCACGCGAGCCACTAGCGCAATCCTAATCGAACTCCACCAAGCTGTGCCTTACGGTCCCATACGACATTGCAACCTTTACCTACCGATTCATCGTGTTCCAAGTGTGACAAGTTTGCCTACAATGGCGGAAGATAGTACAGCCTTGCGCTCGAATTGGGTCGAGGCAGAGACGACCACGCATCACCCGACGCGTGTATACATACCGCCAGAGATACATCGCGTCATTGCGCATCATCAACGGGGAAATATCGCACACTCGTCGAGGCGGCGAGAAGATGTCGGATTCGCTGCGTCCCCCAGGATCACCCGTGGTTTACTACAGAGTAGAGAGTCTGTACAACGCCTGCTATGGTATAGGTCCACGGCCTGGTGCGCAAGCATTCGACATGATTCGAAATCTTCGAGCTGTAAAATGGCATTTGACGAAGCTGAGGATGGATGCCATATGCTGGATCGCGGAACTGGGAATATTAGACAGGGACCTAGGCCGTGACCTTGCTCATTACCTCGTGCATGGCGGGAGAAGCCCGTTGAGTAAGACAAAAGAAAGTACTTAGGTCACGTCATCACAACGGCTTCAGCGGGCTACGAGTTCTCAAAATGAGTTGTTCGATTGGGCGGGCTGCAATGCATTGCTAAGCTCAAAACTATGCTACCGCTAAACTGGGACAAACAGAGACAAACATCCAACTAGTAGTTGTACTTGTAGCACAGGGTGGTGCTGGTGGTGTCGAGGATGTCCCTGATGCGGACGGTGGGACGGATGTCGTAGACGTTGATGGTGGTGTCAAGAGTCAATGGGTTTCCGGCCTTGTCGTTGCCGTTGATGGTGGTTGTGCGGGTGTTGGGGTCCTTGTTTTGCCAGATGCGGAAGTTGCGGTCGATGAAGGCGTGGTGCAGGAAGAAGAAGGCGTCCGCAGGCGATGCCCAGGTGTCCTGCATGACGGCGCCGACACCGTTGTGTCCCCAGGCGTGTACACTACCCTCGGAGCAGCTAGCCATGCTGGCATAGTCGTTCTGGTTGTTGCAGCCGTCTACCATTTGCTGGTTGCAGTTGGCAGTCTTGGAGTCATCGTTGTTACGGGCAAGGCAATGGAGGCTGTTACCCTGGCCGGGACCGACGTTGATGGCTTGGTTGGCAAATTGCTATGTCGTGTTAGTCATACGTCTTAAAGCAAAGCTTAGTACCACTTACACCGTTGGTGATACACCTTCCGCCGGCGTTGATTCCACCGTACCACTGGTCGGAAAAGATGGATGACTCGGCAAACCTTCCGGCGTACCGAGTCTCGTCGAACCATGGCAGGTTGCGATCGAAGCCACACTCGCTGCGGAGTATATCCTCAAACGTGAACAAGTAGTACCTGTGCCAGAGAAGGAACTTGGAGCTTCCGTGAACATTGGGTGTCAATGTCTGGTGGAGAGCAACCAGATCCTCGTATCGGCTCTTGGACTGGGAAAACTGGCCGTTGGCAGGCCTGCTCATCAAACACTTGATCGCGTCGATGTACGCCTGTCGGTCGCTGTTGCTGTATGAATCCCATTCCTGTCGGACGCGGGGGTTGGAGCATGTCGCCTGTGTGCTGACTGTGTCAGACTGCGACAAGCTCTGGGACGAAGACTCATCAGCTCCCTCGAATGACTCCGCCTTGGAGGTACCGAAAGACTGCGTCTGAGGCTTAGGTTGGTCAACCGACTCCTCCTCGGGCTGGCTGACCGACTCCTCTTTGGATTCGCCAAACAAATTGCCGAGAAATTTATCTGGCTTTGGGAGGTTCTCGAGGTCCTTGATGATGTCGCCTGGTTTTGGGAAATCGCCCTTGAGAATAGAATCGAGCGAAAGAGGAGTAACGAATTTTTCGGTGTCGAAGAGGTTCAATGGAAGAGCGGGGGCAAGCGGCGTGTTAGGGGTAATCTGGGGTAAGGCAGAAACGCCGACCGAAATGGCCAATGTGGCGGAGAAGACTGAAGTCCTCATGATTAAGTATTATTAAATGGTATATGCAAACGACCGTGATAGAAAAAGCGAATGTATGGGAGCCAACAACGTGGATGCTGCAGGGCCTTATACATGCAGCGATCACCGTGGTAAGCATAAGCCAACATGATTTAGGCCCACCAGCGACACGACGGTCACCTGTCGGTGGACCACCAATATGACGCGGGCTGGCAAGGAACAGCGCACGTTCAGTCCTGGTAATTTCATCGTACCTGCAAGGTTGTATTGGACGAAGGGGCTGAGAGCTTGTCAATGCTTGATTCCCCGAGAACCAATAAAAAGCGTCGTTCTAAGCCACTTTGAGCGTGGCGGCTGAAATTGCGGCAACGAGCTGCCCGGTAGGGGACAAGCTCCACGAGCCGCTGGGAGGGGCTGGCTGCAGCGCCTAGGGCAAATCTAGCGATGGCATGGCTTTTGTTGTTTTCCGAGCAGACTTGGTGCCGAGAGTCCGGATTGACGAGGCTGGGATTGGCTGGAAAGTCGTGTTTTCGTCGTGTTCTCAAAATAGAAGGCTGATCCCCAGCTTGCCTAGAGGATAGCGGCTGCGCAGTGCCGTTCCATGGACCGCAAGTTTCTTTGAAGAAATAATCGGTGGCTGCACGTCAGCGTCATACCGCAATCCGACTGTCATCGCGCTGCATCATGCGAGCCTTCAGTGCTACCTACTACGAAAGATACGAGGTTGAGGTTGCAGGACGAACAAGGTGGGGCAGGATAAAGCGGAAACAAATCTAAGTAGGATCTGCAAGCTCCAACGTTAGTCGACCCAAAGCGGCCAACGCCATTGCGCACACTTTCGATCAGGTGGAGTTTGTGGCCCCTGGAAGATCATCCTCAGGCTACGATCACAATCACCTCATCGGCGGGTGCATGTAGATTCTCACCGCCCATGGCGCGAACAATCCAGCCTGTGAAAGCTGGATTGTCGCAAAATATGAATTGAGGAGGTACAGTGTAGAGCACGAACCGCGGGTGCTGTTACACGACACCGGCGATAACGGCGCCCATGCCACAGATGACTTGTTCCTACGCCACGGTACAAGTGGAGTATGTTTGATAGCGACACCAAGTCCTCCTCAGGCATGCTCAAGGCATGTTCGCCACCAGGTCCCTGGATGTACACAGTACGGCACGCCAACTTAGATGAAACAACCTGCTTCTTCGCATATGGATCTCTAGCACTATCTTGAGCAGTCAAGTCCGAACTCCGACATGGAAAACAACCAATGCGCGATTTAAACAGAATGCGCACAAACTTTTGCAGCCAGAGAGCCCGGCAGACACACTTTGACCGACAGTGCAGGCGCCTGTGCGATGCCACTCCATGTGCACAACGTTCTCCTATTATCACTACAGATCCCACACCGCATGGTCCGATCATGCCCTCTTTTGCGCCGCACCACCTTTCGGGAATCCCCATCCAGCAACGAATCCAATTCTGATCAGCAAAATAGCGAGGAGCAACAGCACATTGCTGCTCTCCTCGAACCTCAATTTCCCAAAACCTAATCGCCCCTGCGCCTCAAGTGCCTTCCAGTGGCTAAACAATACCGCCACATCGGTAATAGCCAGCGCACTCTGAAATCTAGTCCAGACTTTCATATCATTGGTTTCGCGCAGCATCGTGAGCATAAGGAATATCCAAGCCGCGAACGCTCCGCCGAATTGGTGCAGCAGGAATTGGTGACTTGGCGTAATCTTTGCATACGGCGAGTCTCGCGCAAAGCCGGCATCCATGAAGGTTGGCGGATTGAAGTAGGTGAGAATGACAGCAGAAAGCGACAGAAGCGGGTCGACGACCGTGCAAAAGTACCAGTATCCGCTGGGTATCTTTGCACGGAGGGCCATTCTTGCGACACGGGCGAAACCGCTTGCTTATTGGCGCGTGTAGTGTTTTTCCTGTTATGTAATATACTTGAGATGGTAGGATCCTTGGCAGAATAGCTGGGGAGGATGCAGGTGCAGCGAGATGAAAGCACGGTGTGAGTGGGTAGGTATATGTAGACCTCGGTACCTAGTGCTTACACCAAGCCACTGCTGATGCTGCCGCTGCAGACGCGACTTATCGCTTGCCCTTTCCCCCAACGATACCTATGCCTCGAACAAAGAATACTACGACTGCTGTCGAAGCGAGACTGATGGCAAAATTAAACCACGCAGCGCCTCGGATGCTGAGTTTGAGTCCTTCGTCCCAATGCTGTGAACTGTACCCCTCACTCCCAACATCCGTAACACTGGCCCCCTTCTCGTTTGCGAGAATCGCGGTCTGGACTGCAGTCGCGATGGCAAGACCAATGGAACGTCCAATTTGTCCTACAGCCATGATGAGTGCGCCGCCAAGTGATGCATCTTCAGGTGGGAGTGATTTAGCCACGAATAGAGTAAGTACAGGGAACAGAGTATCAGCACCGCATACGCTGAGGACCATAGCCGGGAAGCCGTAAGCCCAGTACGTAGTATCATCCGGAATCGGTATGGCGAACAACAACGACGCTACGCTGACACAGGTCGTGCTGAAGGTGAGAATGTAGTCGCCACGAACGGACGAAAGAATGTATCCAGTGACAAGCGCAACGAGAATACCGGTCACGCCAGTCGGTATGAAGCGCAGCGTTGTCTGGATGACAGACAAGCCTTGGTAGTCCTGGAACCAGTATGTCGCATACACGAGAAAATTGTTGAAGGACGCAAAGAATAGCGCCATGATCACGTTGGCCCACAGAAAGTTCCGATTCTTGAAGATGGATGTCTTCATCAACGGCCGCTTCTCTGTCTTGGTCTCAAGGTAGTGTTGCCAGACGCCGAACACAACGACGATGAGCAGGGAAACGACAATAAGTGTGGGTACCCATGGTGTGCTCCAGCCGACGTCGTTGCCCTCGGAAAGCGCGAAGAGCAGGATGATCAGCCCGACTGTGATCAATGTCCCACCTACCCAGTCCACCGTGTTACGCATGCTCGGCTCAGCTTGTGCTGGGGGGAGTGGGATGACGAAGAAACCCGCAATTGTGGCTGCGGCAGCTATGATGCCAAAGATCCAGAAGACCCATTTCCAGCTGAGATATTCACTGACAACACCGCCCTTCACGATGTTAGTTCATTTTCGTTTGAAGAGACTTGCTATACATACGAAGATGTTTCCTACCACACCTCCCAAAGGCGCCCCGGCCCCAAAGCAGCCAAATGCAAGATCCTTCGCCTTGCCTGGTGGGAAAGTCGTTCCAAGGATGCCCAATGCTGTGGGAAACATAGCTGCTGCTGCCAGTCCGGCCAAACCTCGTAGGACATCGAAGCCTATCTCGTTCGGTATGAATGGCGTCACGATTGCAAAGATTGTGAAGCATGATGAACCCCAGAGGAAAATCAGTCGCCGTCCGTAGATGTCGGCCAAGCGACCCCAGAGTAGCTGCGTTCGGGTGAGTTGAGATTGGAAAACCTGCGCAGTACACTTACGAGGAAACAGCCAAACGTCAGATTGTAAGCTGAGACGATCCATTGTTGACGACTTGTGGGAATGTTCAATGCTTCACCGATGGTAGGCAGTGTGATAATACTCGCTTGCGTATTGAATGTCTGTGTTTGTGAGTCAGTGTTTCGCATTCAATCTTTGCATGTTCTCCTTACAGTCAGGAAAGGTGCAGCAGAAACGGCCGCAACAAGCGCGATACTCCTCATTTTGGAGAAGGGTAATCGCTCGGATGCTGTTGTTGTCACCGCCACCAGCTCGTTGTCCTTTCCAGCAGGATCTCGTGGCGCGAACACTGCCTGTTCGATATCGCGGTCATCCTTCTGGCCTGCAAGGACATCATGCGACCCTTTGGAAATGTCACCCATCTTTTTCTACCACGGAGCAATCTTTACAGCTACGCGGGTCTTTACAGCACATTCTGTGGGGTTACGCTTCTTTTCAACGTTCTAGGCGCCAGAGACGGCACGCTTGCCGATAACGCCTCGCTTGCTATGGCTTGCCACGATGGGTAAAGCTTTATCCAAGTTCAGTTCCCGTCGGAGTAAATGACTCCGCAGACATTAAATGACTTCGTAGTAGCCGATGTCGTTGTTCCGGAAATATTTCCATGAAGGTTCATGGTATGGTAAAGTCTGCGGAATGTGTCATAGTCCCTGACTCGAGCACGACTCCTACACGTCAGTGAACCTTCCGTGCTTTCCCATGGGGGTCACACCGTCGAATTGATCATGCATCTCGCAGATACACGATCATGGCAGCATATCATAATGCCAGTATACTGCTGGCGAGCCTGTTTGAGAATTCAGAAGTCTTTATTTCTGTTATTTCGGGAGACAGATCGTTTGGTGACAACAGGTCATCAGGTTGAATTGCTCCCGAATATGTGATACCACATATTCACCGTCTTGCAGTCACTCCCCGAAGTGTCACAGTCCTGCGCTGCGGCAACGTCGAGTATGAAGTGCGCGATACACTCGCCTGCTTGCTTCAGTATTTTACTATTTCGCATTCTCATAATCCCCGCAACTCTTCATTCTTTTAGGGCAGGCCTCTACCGAGTACCGACTTCAAATACAGCATCCTTAGCTATACACTTCAGCACATCCACCATCTCATCACCACAATCAGGGTTGGTCCAATCTCATATTGCTATCGCGCGAGTCGTCACTGCAACGATCGAGTGGACATCTGAACGGTCGACAACGATCAATTAACAAAAGAGCTGAGCCCAAGAGTTCACAAGGTCTGCGATTCTAGACAGAGTCTTAACTGGCCCAAAGCGACCCTCTTCAAGGAGCTGGAGGTAGGATTCTGCGACAGACCGATTGAAGCTGAGAATCCGCTACAAACTCAGGCGTTTGCGTAAACGACACTGTAAGGAGTGTGAGGAGGAACGTGCAGAAAGCATGGCGGTAGATCAAGCGAAGATGGCGGCAAACAAAGCGAGGAAAGCGACAAATCAAAGAAACGCGGCGGCAAGGAAAGCAGAGAAAGAAAAGGTAGTTGGGAAAAGAACGTCGCTACATGAGGATGTTTGGGGGGTAAAGAAAGCCGCAAAGGCCAAAAGGGGAATGACAACCACCGAAAAGCAAGATTGGACGGTGCAGCAGGCCTTGCTAGACGCAAGGAAGTATCGATAGCTTCTTTGGAGTGGTCGGGGTGCTTCGAAAGTAGTGTTAGAGATATCTACAATACGTGTTTCCTTCTCCTGGAATCCATATTGATTCGTGTGAAACTGTAATGTGTGGAACCAGGTCATCGCGCACTCATCACTAGAATTTGTTCCGATCACTTAGAGCCCCTAAATTTTAGAACTCTGCACAACCGTTTATCGTGAATAAGAGAAGTACGTGATGAATTAGGGCACTCGGATTTAATGACGGCATTAGAAGTCACGTAAAACATTGACAGCGACGGTGACGGCTCAGTGCTCGGAGTCACTGTCGCAATCGTCCCTCGAGCCGCTGCAGTATAAAGCATGTTGCTCGCCCACCTTTTATTCTCCACCAACTCGCAGTACTACAATTTCAGATCCCACCAATACTTGTAAAGGCAGGCCTTTACTATCGTCAAGATTACTCACATCACCACGAACCCTTCATAACAGCTAAAGCCTTGGTAACAATCACAACGATGTGTCGCCCAGACTGGCTTTATTGCAGGACAAAGGACTGTAACAACCATATCATCAGGGGCGGTATCAAGTTTGAGGCCTATTGTTACTCGCTCGAGAATCCCAATCGACTACAAGGCGGTCTACGACCAAATGATGATTGGTTTTGCAACAATATAGATTGGCTGTACAGTCCTCCACCTGACCAGCGCGTTCGGTCAATGATACATTGCCATGTACACCTCGAAGCGGCAAACAAGAAGAGGCTGAAGGAAGAAGAGGAGAAAAACATCAAACGACAGGCAACTGAGAGGAAACTGAAGGAAAGAAGAGAGAAGAGGTTGAATGACGGAAATGAGGGGCACGCCAAACCATTAGAGCCACTGCGCGTCGACCAACAAACACATAGGCTCACCGGGGTAGCCAAGGCACAAAACAGCGCGGTGAGGTTCGGATTACGCCATATAGATACTCCACTGGTTCCTAGAAAGCGACCTACTACTAAGAGACCATCCGTTGCTAAGAAGAGCACGGATAAGCCAGTTGTCCAACGCGGCAAACCTTGACTCGCCGAAGATCAGAGAATCGCAAGCATGCACCAAACAAGAATCACATATGGGTCTGGTGACGCTGTAACGAGACCAAAATTGGAGGGCGGAAAGATGGGGAAAGAGAGATAGGCAGTCGGGAGTGATGAAGTAGGATGTTGCGAGGGTTGAACTTTGTAAAAATTCTCATTGGCGCTCATTATCTGACATATGCCCACGTACGTCTTGAAAGTGCTGTTCTATGAACTAAAAGAAACATGTCTCTTGTTTCACATGTACTCCCGTGAGACAGACCTGCGATGGATCATCACAGTATATACGGCGCCTTGCAATAACGAAAAGTCATTACGATCTACAACCTAACCTTTCGCTCAGAAAACCTGAAACAATCTTGTCTCTTCCTACATATCAGATGACTCGTACCTTGCCGTGAATGACAACGGTATGTGATGAGTCGAGGCAATTGGATTCAATTACGGCATCAGTCACGTAATAAATTGACAACGAGATTGACTGCGCAGTGCTTGCCTTGTCACTGTCACATTCCTGGCTTATATTTTATTGTGTGCCAATGAGGTGCATATTGCCAAATCGATAGACGAAATCACCATGCTCCTGGACGTGTTTATCGAAGAAGCACATAACATTTGCCCTTACAGTTTGAATTTTGAACTGTTTGGCCCGCGGCAGACATGTAAAATCCCGCTACAGCTTTCGGGAAAGACGATTAATGTACAGATGTATGATCGCCGCGGCGGCAGAGGAGAGAGATATACATAATTCTCAGTAGCTTTGGTGAAAAAGACATGTTGTTACGCTGTTGTTGTTTTTGATAGTAGAAGCACAACAAGACATGTTGCTAAGCTGCTGGCGTTTTGGGAAGTCTGAGAGAAGCAGTGTGTGATTTGGAACAAAAGTAGAGCGCCGCGCGAGGCGAGCCTTTATGTTTCAATCCCTCCACTCCCGTCATCCAATCTGCAGCCCCACACACCTCCTTCCTCTCTTCACAACTTCGCCTTGCCCACCCCATTCTCCAGCCTAAAAACCTTCCCAGGATTCAATATCCCTCTCGGATCCAGCGCCTCTTTGATCCCCCTCATAATCTCCACTCCCGTCTTCCCCACCTCTTCCTCCAACACATCCCTCAACTTCATCCCAACGCCATGTTCGCCCGTTACCGTACCCTCCAAACTCAACGCTAGCCTGCAAATCCGCTTAATCACTGCCTCAGCCAACTCTTTATCTTCGGCGGGACAGATAATCGAGCTGTGTACGTTCCCATCACCTGCGTGTCCGACATTCGCGCAGAACCAGCGTGAGTTTGGAGGCGTCGCGGCGGTGATGAGATCATGCGTGCCGGCGATGAGCGCAGGGAGTTTTGATATTGGAACCGCGCAGTCTGAATGAATGAACAGGTCCGTGGGGGATTGTTTCATAGCAACAAGCGCCGTGCCCATGGCTTTTCTTGCGCCCCAAAGCGTCGCGATCCTGCTCTCATCGTCCGTGATCTCGAGAGAAGTGGCTTTGTGCCGTGCGCACAAGGTCTTCATGATATTGATCTGATCGGCTACCATCTGCTTGCTCGGTCCCGCGATTTTGAAGAACAAGGTGGGTGTTTCGGTGAAGTTGACTGGAGAGAGTTTCGACCGATTCAAACACTCCATCTGCTTCCCATCCGCCACCTCCAACGCCTCGAACACATGGCCGCTCTTCTGCACTTCCAGCACAACATCCACGCCGCCCTCCAACGCTCCAAACGTCGCGATACCCACGTGCAAATTTCGCGGCAGCGGCACGAGCCTGAGCGTCGCCTCAGTGACCAACCCAAGTGTGCCCTCACTCCCAACAATCAAATGCGTAAGATCATACCCAGCACTACTCTTCCTGGGCCGTTGTTTCGTCTTGACCACCCTCCCATCCGCCAGAACAACCGTCACCCCAACAACACACTCCCTCATCGTGCCGTATCGATACGCATTCGTCCCGCTACACGACATGGCTATCATACCGCCAACACTCGCCTGGGGACTGGGATCTACAGGGAAAAACAATCCTGTACCCTTTTCACTTTTCTGTAACAAGGCGTTGAGGTGCATCCAGTTGAGACCGGGCTGAACGACGCAATCCCCGTCATCCGCGTTGATATGGAGTAATTGGGCCATGCGCTCGAAACTCACGCATACGCCCCCGGAGTTGCTTAGCGCGCCGCCGAAACTCGTGCCGCCGCCATATGCAGTGACGGCGATGCGGCGCTCATGGCATTCTTTGAGAAGAATCGATACATCCTGTGTCGTGGACGGGTAGAATACTACGGCGGGATATTCACGGCTTTCCGCGGGGGAGTGCGGCGTGTGTGCTTTGGATGCGAGGGTAGAGGGGGACGTAGAGTGCGGGATGCAGAGGGATGAGATAAGGAGGGATAGGGATTGGGGAGAGTGGTTGTATGTGTATTTGGGAGACATTGGGTATGGTGTTGGGTTGATGTTGTGGTTGGAGTTGGGGATGGATAATGGATGTAAGCGAATAATGGGGTCGGAATTGTTCCGCTATGGTTTGCATGACTGCATGAAGAGGTGGGTGAGGTGCCATACGTGCAATGTGCGGGAAGCTGGAGACGTTCACATACTTGACGGAAGTTGTCACGGTGCGCAAGTCTATGCACGACTCGTATCGATACGTCTGATCTGCTCACAATCAATAAGCATCCCAAACGTTGACATCAGCATACAAAAATCCATAGTATTGTACAGCATACCCAAAACATACTCATAACATATAAGAATATGATACATAAGAAAAGCAACACCCCATAACCAGAAGTCAGAAGACGAAAAAGAAAAGATAAAATGGGTATTGAGAAAGTAAACCTCCCAGCGATCAATCTCCAAACCGACATCTTCCATCGAAGAACGTCCCGTTCAATCAAATGCTCATGCTCATTAAGCGGCCCAATAAAGATACAAAGTAAGAACGTAGCTCAAAACAAAGACATAGTGCGTGAACCATTACATCTCAAGGCAAATCCCCATACGTCTTCTCCCTCCTCCAAAACTTCCTACTCTTCTTCTTCTCCTCGACCGGCTGGCTGGGCACCACATGCTCCGGCGGCCCAGAGTTGCGCAAAAAGTCCGCGAGATCGCTAGTCGCTGTCTTGGAAGTGCGTACCTCACTCACCGCAGGCGCCCTAGCCTGGAGTCGTGGCTTGTACGCGCGATGAGCATCCGACGCGACTGACGTGGAAGAAATAGCGCCGTAATTTTGGGGCCCGTTGCGAGGACCGGTGGTGGTGGAGGATAAGGACGAGCTGGAGGTGTTTGCGCGTGCTTTGGCTGCGGCGATGGTTTCGGGGCTGAGGACGAATGGCTCGGGCTTGCTGGTGGATGGGGGATCCATACCGTTTAGGAAGTCCATCAAGCTCTCTTGTCGCACGCCTGGAGGTTGGGTGGATGGTGGGAGGGCGGTGAGCTGGTCTTCGTCCTCGTCGTCGTCTTCTTCGTCTGAGATATCGATTGCGTAGGGATCCTTCACGCGACGGCGGGTTCGGGTAATGACAGGCTCCTGGTTGTTTGAAGCCATGTTGCCCGAAAGCTTTTGAGGCTGGTTCGAGTAGGCGGGCTGCACTACCTTTGGCTCTGGAATAAGACCGGTCCGTGAGTTGATAGTCTGGGTAGAGTGCTTTGAGTCAAGAGTAGACGCTGTTGATCCATACGCAGATTCCACATTATTACCGCCAAGCATCTGATCAAACTGGTCAGAGTCTACCGTGGTCCTGAAGGGTGCGACGTTGCGCGGGATCCTAGGCTGTCCGTTTGGCGCATTGGGTGGTCCTTGGCGGATGAAGTCGATCAAATCGTCATTGCCAGTGCTGAGTCCTGCAGGACTGCGAGGCTCCATGTTGACACGCGGTTTGCCAGATGCGGATGGGCCTTCTGTACCACGAGTACTGTTCTGTCGGGTAGAAGTTTTGCGGCCAAGCGAGGAGGATGAAGCGTTCGTCGATCGTGGTCCGTTGCCACTGATGTTGACAAACGGTTGCACTGGCTTGTCTTGTCCTGGCGAGGGCCCAGTCGAACGAATGAAGTCTGCAAAGTCGCGCATCGATTCTTGCTCAATGCGCGGCTCTCTAGCAAGTTGCCTGCCAACGACCTTCCTGCTTGGCGATGACTTCTGTGGAGCAGCGACAGGGCCTTTGCTTCTAGACGACGACCGTGATGGAAGATGTCCAGTGCCGAAAGAGTTGTCCTTGTCGGCGTTTACACGCGGGTGGACTGTAACGCTGGATTTCGATGTGGTAGGTCTGTGAGTCTCGATCTTTCTTTGAAGAGGCGGTTGCGAGTCCTAGTGAAGTTAGCTATGGAACACGGTGAAGCGAACGGTGAGTGAAGGTGAGCTTGCCTCGAAGTCGCGCACAGTTTGTGGAGTCAGGGTGAACTTTACCGTCTCTTCTGCATTCACCAACGATTCGAACTGGCGCTCTCGGTCCTCCTCAGACATGCGACTGCGCACGGCTGAGCGCTGGCTTGCCTCGGAATCTCTACCGTTGTTCCGGGCATGGATGCTAGACTTCTTCGACGATGTCGAGGAGACTCGTTGTACAGCAGACTTTTCGCTAGATGGGGAGCCGTCTAAGGTAGCGTGAGGCGTGCGCTTGGTCTCCTCCGCGGACTTGTTCTGCGCTTGTCGTTCGAGGGTGTTGGCTCGAGCATCACGACCAGCCTGAACAGGCTTGCGCTGAGTGGCTGTTTGCGTTGGGCTAGCTTCAGAGGTAGTCTTGTTCCTACGTGCATTTGGGCTTTCGGCCTCTTGCAGTGAAGGTAGTGAAGCCCCCCTTGACTTTGGTGGCGCCTGCTGTCGTGGCGCGCTAGTGATGTTTCCAAGCTGGCTTGCGCCGGCAGCAGCATAAGCTCCGCCTGATAACTCACGTTTGTGTAGGTCCTTTCGTGCAACAGAGCGATCTGGTGTGATAGGCTTCGCGTCGGGGGAGGGGGTATTGCGCGCCGAGATCGACGAGATCGAAGTCTGTCGAGGCTGAACTTCGACATATCCTCCATGTGCAGCCATGTCAGGGGTAGGCGTAGATCGAATGGGGATATCGGATGTGCGTGCAACACCTATTGCCGTGCGTTCAGGCTCGTCATCTGTCGTCTCAGCGTCATCGAGGTAGGATCGGGCGTCAGCTTGCTGTGGCAGCATCGGGCTTGCTACGGGTGTGTGTTGGGCGGAGCGACTGGAGCTTCGCGTGGAGAAGGTGCGCACGATGCCTGGAGGACCCGTCTTCTCGACTGACATCCTCTTGGACTGCATAATCTTGGGCTCGCTTTCATAGCCTCCCGCGCTTGGAATCTCTGGCTCGTCCTCGGTCTTTGCTGGCACTTCTGTCTTGATCGGGTTCACGGTGCTCATCCTGAAGCCCAGGCCCGTATTGGCAGCGAAGGCCAACATTTCCGCATCTGCGGTTTGTGGTGACTCGAGTGCTTCGCGTTCCTCGTGATGTGTGTGTTGAGGGACAGCTGCTGGCTGCTCGTGCGCCATGTATGAGGTACGCTTGGTAGCATATTCCATGGGCGTCTCGAAGGGTGTCTCGGGCGGGTCGGAGGCTCGTTCGGAGAAGACGGGGACCGTGAACTCTGATGCAGGTGGGTGAGGCATGGAAACCGGGCGTGGCTTCGTGGCTCTTCGCCGGAAGGTCTCTACTGGGGCTAGCATGATGACGCTCGATGGGCGCTGGTTTCGCGGCACTGGTGTTTGTGTGCCTGTACTCTCGCTATCGGCTTCGAATGTATTTGCCAGTCCTGGTACTTCGATCTCGTTGACATCATTGTCGCCCACGGGCAGAGGGATGTTTGCCGCAATCTCGGTTTCTGTGGGGATGCGCTCAGGAATGGGCTCTTGCTCGCCGCGGAGGGAACCATCTATCGTGTCGTGGCTCATCTTTCGGCGATGCAGGCTTCCCCAGCTCGCGACAGAACGGATACCACGGCCTGGGGAGATGGGCGAGAGCGGTGACCGAACGCGCTTCCGCCAGGTCCTCCACAGCCTGCCGAGCGCCGAATTGAGCGCAATCTTCTCCGCGTCGGGCTCTTCAACCACGATCCGCTCGAAGCTGGCTTCTTCCGTGTCTTGCACCTGCTGCTGGACCTTCTTGAGCTTGGCGGCCATGCGCGCGTACGCAGCTGAGCCGGACACCAGCAGTGTTTGCTCTGCGATGTATTCAATGACCGAGGTCAGGAATATGGCAGACGCCCACGAAACTAGCCCCGCTTCGTCATCCTCGTCTTCGTCCATGCTGAGACCGCGCTCCTGCTGGACGTACTTCTCCTCGTCTTCATCCTCGAGCTCGCCCAGGCGCGTGTATACCATGATACGCAGTCGCGTGCGCTTCCACACCTTCTCCACATCCCACTTGTCCACCGGCTGGCCGTCGTTTGCAGAGATCTCATCGTCTTCCCCAGCGAGCAGCCCCTGGAGCTCCTCATCGGCGGATTCGGTCGCCTCGCGGGCCAGTCGCGGCTTGAGCACGTCTGATATGGCCGGTCGGACGGCGGTAAGCGACGGGGAGCGCGCCGAGGAGAGAAAAGCGAACAGCAGGTGGTCTAGAAAGGCATTGAGTAGCGAAAGTGCCTGCTCCGAGAAGATGGCGTTCTCGAGCTCATCCGCATCGTCGTCTTCCTCGCGCAGCTGTGCGTTGTGGTGATCGGTAACAATCTGCGAGGCCACCGACGCAGCAATGTACGCGGGCGCTGGTCGCACCGTGGTGGGCATCTGGAAAGTGATTGAACTGGCGGCGGACGGCCTGTCGCTGCTGAAGGACGGCGCCCGGGAGCTGCGCGACGAGGCCATCTCGCCTGTGTCTGAAAGGGTATGCCGATGCATGGCGAGCGAGTGCCCCTCTCTCTAAATTGTGAATATCAGTATCAGTTATGCTGTAGATCCACAGGGCCTCAATGCCTGTTACGACAATATGAACACTGGCTGCGCATACCCCGGGCGTACCTCGAGCTGGGCACTGGACGTCGGGCTTAGGAGAGCCCTGCAGGTGGAGCGGAACGAATGGATGCAGTACGCGAACGCTAACCGGACAGTGCAGCACGGCTCCGACGCAGCCTAGTAATCACAGGTACGAGCGAAAGACAACATTGCCGGATAATGGTCGTGATACAGAACAGAACAAATCTGGATAGGAGAGCAGAGGACACGCAAGCTGAGACGCTGGCCCCCGTCGACGTTTGGAGAGCAACAGGGTCAGAGAGGAAGGGCCGCTATCCTTGACGGCGATCGAAAAATCGTGGTCACTAGCCCTCCCATCGACGCCTCTACTGCTTCCGACCACCAAATCGCTGGTGCTAGAGACATTTCTGCAAATAGACTTTGCTCGCGACGCCCTGAGTCGCCAGCCTACACTGCGAGTACGGGTGCACGGTGGCTGGGAGAAGAAGCAAGTCGTCCAGTGTGATGGACTTATTACCTGGTGTCACGGTACACCAGCTTGTACGCTTCACCGTCCCATCATTGCCGTTGCAATGTCGGCATGTATGCACGCGTGGACTGATCTCCGCTAAACTTCACGTGGACCCAGTGCAGCGGTGCTCGTTCTCCCCGACTCGCGCGGAATGCCGTCTCCTGAGTCGAACCATGGTCGAGGTCGACACTTGTCATGGCTTGGGTTGTCATGGCTTGGGTTGCCATGGCGTCACAGCGTGAACGACAGGGAGTTGGCGTTGCACTACAGCGCGACTAGCACAACAACACGTTCTGCGTGTTTTCGAGCCGTGTTTACGTATTGTCGCTTACATGTATACTTATGCTCATGCTGGACTATGCAATTGTGACTATGCATCATGGTAATTTCTCGCTGGGTGCCAGACTGCAATTCTTCCTATTGGTGCGGGTCAACCCATCCGACCACGGTTGATCTTCGCTAATCTCAGGGGCTGGGCTCTGCGAATCTGCCATGTCGACATGCGGAACGCATGTTCGCTCGCGGCGATCTTGTTGGAGGTCCAAGATGCGCGTAGAAGACGGTTCGCTAGCACGAGCAGCTTAAGAAGAGCTTTGACAGCCAGGCAGAGTTTGGTACTGAGGTTTTGGTAGACCATCAGGTCTCGACCGGAGCGCACCTCCGTCTGGACAAATAATTGCATTCCTGACAATTTCGGATCATACCGAAAGGTGGTTCCTAGATCTTCATTGCTTGCAGTGCACATGACAAGGGCCGCTGCCGAATGGTATTTTCCGCTGTACACAACGGGAATGCTGTGGCCAGAATCAGCGAAGCGAGTTGCCACGAGGATTTTTCCGAAATCAAAGGCCGCAAACTGCTCGAGCCGCAGGTCCACTGCCTTCAAACTGCCTAATGAGGCAAGTCTCTGAGAAGCATCGATTGCGGCGATTTGGAGACCCAGGTACAAGATGTGTGTGCGACGGCTGTGATTGGACGAAATGCTACACCGACAATCGACATCCTGTATGATTTCATGCATAGTCGATATGCTGAGCTATAGCACGTATCGACGAACGATAGCTGAAGGAGTGAGATTCTATACGATCCACTTTCCTGGTACTGCAACCTTGGAACGTTTTGAACGAAAAAGTGCACGTGATGTGCAATGTTGTCGGAAAAGTTGTTCGTTGTGCGGGATTCCGAGGGCGCGAGGCACATTTTGCACCTCTGTGATACAACGAAAGCTCTACGATACTGCAGATAGTTGAGAAAAGGAAGCAGATAGTCGTTGGAGGGAGTGAACTCAAGAGCATCTTGAGATAGAAGGAGCGATAGTTCCTGTTTGTCATGCCAAGGCTGTCCGTGCGTCTCCCCTCACACCTCACTTTCCTCTTGCTGCGACGACATATATCAATATTTTGACTGTTGGTCTGTTGTGCGCACCATTGATCAGTCGAGGAGGAACTCCGATTTTCCGAGAATACGTTTCGCGAAGGCATAGGCTGGCCCCGGTAAGGTTCATGAGGCACTCGCTGTAGGAAGACCACGTGAGCAAACACTGACTTTTTAAGAATGAAGACATCGGAACGCAACATAACTACCTGTTAGAAAGCGTAGAGAGGGATATTCGACTGTGCTGAGCGCGGACCAGCTGATGCCATGAGGTTTTACGAACCACGCTGAATCTCGACGGACGGCTCGAGCCGACTATCGCTAGACGCCATGCACCACCATGATCATAAATAAAAAACCAGGGCATATATTGCGAAGATTTGCACCAGTCCGATCCATTTACTGAAGAGTCGGAGATGCGCCGTACGATGGCCAGCAATTTGCGAAGGTAGTCGCTGTCTGTTCTCGTTCGAGCACCAACCACTAGACAACTCAGCAAGGGCCGCACCTTGCAATCGTGGTTGGATCGGGATTGTAACCCATCTGGAGTTCCTCGGCAACTGGAAAAGTCTTTCTCTGGCTTCTCGCAAGCGTTGCGTAGCTTTCAACGCGGGTTGATTGCGTGTCGCAAAATGGTTGCCAAAGTCTTTACCAGCGAGAAAGCGTCGAACCAGAGCCGTACATCAGCCTGGTTCGGCCTAGTCTTTCTCATGCCATGTAAGAACAGGTTAAGACGTAAGGAGTAGGACGGGGGGTCTTACAATAAGCCAAAACGCTGAGTGGTGGCCAGCGGATGACTAACGCGGCCAGAGTGTTTCGCAGAACGACTCCCAACAAGCCCAGGCTTTTGATAAGCTACCCCAGATTCCACACCGCTGGCACTCAGACCCAGCAGAGTTAGCTCCCGACGAGGTGGCCATGTCCCCAGCTCTCTCCGAATCGCTCCGGGCTCATCGTTGCGCAAGTCCCTCCTCCTGCAGGTACAACCGCACTCGCCACCCACCGAGATCGCCCGGGCCTGCATGACATCTCTTGTGTCGAAGACGTCAAGGAGGGATGTGCAATGATGACCCAATAAGGCTGGAGCGTGGACCAGGAGATATCCATCGCTGGGCGTCGGCGGAGAACAGTGCTAGGGGTTGAGTTCATATTAGACCCGCCACGTCCACGGACGCGCTGCACACAATCTTCCGACGCTCAGAAGCTCAATGTACGCGAACACCACTCGACGGGAGTTTCGTAGTGTAGGAGTTCGACCAGTCTTTGTTCAACGCGCCTTCCAGCGCAGACGGGCCTATCCACCAGCACCAAGCGGCTCAATCAGCTCTACCCATCGAAAGGAGGTTCCTTGATCAGCAAGCCTGAATCTGGGGAAGGTTAAGCATATCTCGCGCCCTTACCACACGTGGAACAGTCCTCTGGCTATGCCGGAAGCGGGAGATGACACCGCCACGTGCACGGATACCAGCCTGGACGTCATATTCTACATGTCAGAGACTACTCTCACCATTCTGCACGTTGCAGACGTATTTTGCGGAATTTTGTGAATTTTCGACGCGGGTTGTGAAGGGGCACACGACAGTATCGCAGCGGAGGCCCAGCGGCGGCCGACGTTACGTTTGCGAATCGAGTAACGGCCAGTGGCTTATCTTTGGTAACAAGGTTCCCACTCTTGGCCGATCTACTGCAGGCCCGCATCCTCCGCCAAAGCCCCAACGTCTGATGCGCGATATTGTACCGTGCCGACATCGCGCTGCGGCTTTTTTGACTGTGTCGGGTTGTGCCTGGAGTCGGGCGCATGTGTTACCCAAACCCGTGGGGTTTGGCGGTGTGGAGATGCCTGGAGAAGCGATTTGCAGCATTTGATTAATGTGCTGTTTTACATATACACCCTCTGCGATTCGCTGCGAATGCTCGACGATAGCCTCAGACTCCTTTGGCCGTCTTGCATGTGGGCGCTGCGGGCGCTGCAGGAGAAATGTGGAGCAGCCGTGCCGGGTTGGGACCTCAGGCTGAAGATGTCAGACTGAATGCTTCTGGAAGGTCGCGAGAGCCGAACTTTGCGGCCGCACGCCCTTCGACCAGAAGACACGATGCTCAAGACCTCGGCACGGTTGCTTCAAGGCATCGGATGCGATTGACTTGACTACAAAAAACGTTGCTCGAGCGTCACACAGGCTCGGGTGACAGGCGCCGAGTCACTGGCGGTGCTGCCATTGGCCGGTCTGAGCTTTATCGCGTCAGCGCGGCAATTCAGAATGTGTCGTATGCAGGTGGTATGCAACGCCTTTGGATCCCAGGATTCACTTTCTTCCATCACAGGGGAGCCATCTGCTGTTAGCGAAGCAATCTGCGTTTGTTGTCTGATAGCGGCAAACCAGCAGCAGTCACGGGCAGATGGGGCATGGAGACGGTCGCAGTATCGAAAGCCATGACCACAATGTAGCGTAACAGTACGAGTAGAGTTGGGTAATTTTAGCAACGTTGCACCCACCTGGCGACGGTTTCCAGCGACAGAGCGGTCAAAGTCGGAACGAAATGAGGCTGTGCGGTTGCGAGCCGCGACCAACCGCATGCGTTGCTTTCTGTGGAACGTCAGCAACGAGCCACGCCGGGCTGTTCAGAGACAAAGAAGAGCAACCATGGAGCACAACAGCGTGGCCGGGGACTGCAGGCCACAGATGGTCAGCATTTCCAAACAGCCGGTTCAGCAGCAATAGCGGAGGCTAAAACATGTGGGTTGGCCGTCGGAACCAACCCCCAGCACTCTAGAGCCTAATGATTGCTCTGCGTTACTTCTTCATCCCACGGAATCAGTTCGGCGACGCCTCTTGGCCAGGGCGAGCCTAGTTATTTATCTTACCAGACTTGGCCCCGCCACAGACCGAGACAGTCAAGTGAACCCAGTCGGCTACTCTTATAAGATAGCCTGCTCCATCCTTATCTTGCTCCACACTCATCAACGTTTCCTCCCCTCTTCGTATATCTACCCCTCCTAGAGGCCTCAGTTTGTCGTCAGACACCAATACTCTTCCTCTACCTAATACCACACACACACCGCAGTCATGGTATGTTGACATTCAGTTGCGGTAGCACTGGCCACTCAAGACAGTCATACTCACAGACACCACAGGCTTCCTCCACGATTGTTTCCAACACTGCCAACGTAAGTTGCTCGTGCTCGCGTGCTTCGGCCAAGATCGCTAATGCGCCATTTACAGCTGCAAAAATACCTCTCGCTCCCTCAGAGCGGTAAGGTCATCGCCGAATACGTGTGGATCGACGGCTCGAACGGTATCCGCTCAAAATCAAAGGTGAGCATTCCCCCCGGTCGGGTCTTTTCTCCACGAAGCACCGCGGCGGCATCTGCGCCGGCAACCAGATTGGCTTGCTGCGTTATTTCCCAGGCCGCGAGCTTGCGAACCAACACGGCTGCCATCTGCGCCGAGATACACATCTTGGTGTGCATACAGCAATTGGGGGTCGCACGCGTTGTTGGTCGCCTTGTGTGACCTCATGCGCTGCCGATCGCGTTCGTTCGCTACCGTGGCGTGGCTGTCTCCTTATCTCGATAAGCGTCAGCCACGGGTAGAAGGAGCGCCCCGCATATGCAGCCCCTCAGTCCACCCACGCATCACCACCCGCGCCATGAACGCATACTAACACCCACCACAGACTCTAGACAAGAAGGTCGAGAAGGTCGAGGAGCTCCCAGAATGGAACTTTGACGGTTCGTCAACGGGCCAGGCGCCCGGCGACAACTCGGATGTTTACCTCCGCCCCGTCTCCTTTTACCCTGACCCCTTCCGTCTGGGCGACAACATCCTCGTCATGTGCGAGACGTACATGTCAGACGGCAAGCCCAACGCATACAACTTCCGCCACGACGCCGCCATCATCTTCAAGCAGCACTCGGCCGCCGAGTTCTGGTTCGGTCTCGAGCAAGAATACACGCTTCTCGACGAGTTTGGCTGGCCATACGGCTGGCCCAAGAACGGCTTCCCTGCGCCCCAGGGCCCGTACTACTGCGGTGTGGGCACTGGCAAGGTCTTCTGCCGTGACATTGTCGAGGCTCACTACAAGGCATGCCTGTACGCCAACATCAACATCTCCGGCACCAACGCCGAGGTCATGCCCGCGCAATGGGAGTACCAAGTCGGCCCCTGCCCAGACATCTCGCTCGGTGACCAGCTCTGGATGTCGCGCTTCCTCCTGCACCGCGTTGCAGAGGAGTTCGGCGCCAAGGTGACGTTTGCGCCCAAGCCCATCCCCGGCGACTGGAACGGCGCTGGTCTGCACACCAACGTGTCCACCAAGGACACCCGTGCTGACGGCGGCATGAAGGCCATTGAGGCCGCCATGGAGAAGCTCTCCACCCGCCAGGCCGAGCACATGGCCGTGTACGGTTCCGACAACCAGCTACGCATGACGGGCAAGCACGAGACTGCCTCATACGACAAGTTCACCTGGGGCGTGGCCAACCGCGGCTCCTCGGTGCGCATCCCCCGCGCCGTCGCCTCGGAAAACAAGGGCTACTTCGAGGACCGCCGCCCAGCGTCCAACGGTGACCCATACCAGATCACGGGCATAATCGCAGAGACCATGTACGGCAAGGTCGACGGCGCGGATATTGCGCGCTTCGCGGCCAAGGCCGAGTCGGTTGAGCAGGAGATGGTTGTCGAAGTGCCCAAGCCGTAGATGGAGTTGTTTGCTGCGTTCGCTCATACCCTTTTGCGCTTAGACCGTTGACCTCTCTCTCTCTTCCTTGAATACTACACATAGCTTCCTTGTCTGCACTGCGCAGTGAGGAGTTGGCATGGATGGAACGAATGCGATGTTATATCACGCAATTGCAATGGAATCAAGATAGTATACTTCAACCTTCCTTTCTCGTGCAGACCCGTGATGCTCTGACACGCTGATCCTCGAGCCAATCATGAATCTTGAACTCCTTCCTTGTAACACCGCACACTAACTTCTGTTCTCCAAATAGTTGACAAGTCCCACCAACTTCTGACGTCGGACCTCATGCATAACCCACGCTTATCTACATAACCCCCATGGTCACACACACACACCCACATCGCTTCAACGATCGCACACCACGCCAGCAATCTCACCCGAACAAACGATCGATCGACATCTCACTGTACCGTGCAGCATACCCCTCGATTCCGCATCATCCTATCTCCGCCATATTTGCTTTTCCCCCCTCCGTCTCCGCGAGTTCTACGCGACCATGTTGGTCTACGCCACTGATGCCATTGCGCATGCGCATCGCTCTAGATGGCTACATGCGATAACGGGTATCCAGATAATACCACGCGCACGCGCACGCGCAGGACAGGGACAGGGACAGGGACACGAAGTGCTTAGCATAGCTTATCTCCCGAATCGCGCCTGTGGCGAGGCGATACCATGTCACTGCTGCCGTGCAGCCTCCCGCCTCAACCACTCCCCCCAAACCCCCAGATCCCCGCACACATCTAGTCCCTTGCCTAGTCTCTTGACGCGTAACTCGCCTTCCTCGGCTTTGTCCATGTCCACCTCGCGCGCGACGTGTACGATGTTCTGCTCGCGCACCATGATCTCCGCGTTGGCGTGGATGTCGAGCGTGACTGCGAGGGGCGGAGCGCTGGGGGAGTCGGCGAGGAGGGATTGCAGGAGGTTTGTAGTGTTGAAGGGGGGATTTTGAGCTGGGGATAGAGAGGTGGAAGAGGGGTGAGGGATGATGAAAGTCAAGCGCGGGGCGGGAGGAGTGTATGTGAGATTAACATCGATTTGCACCTCGCCTTCCCCTTCCTCGCTCAGTGTAGATGGCGCAAACGCATCGCGCAGCAAACTCGTCGTGAATGCGTATTGCCGCAGCACCGGCAGGATGGCGACGAGTTGCTTCGGATGCGCAAACGGGAGACTCTCCAGCGTGCGCGAGTACTCGATTTTCGGCAGGTAGAGGCTCATGGCGTGTTTGCGCGACTTCCCACTGCTGTCGAGGACGGACCGCGTGCTACGGATCTCGTGCGTCGACCCTGCGGCGCCCATCATGCCCGGGTCAATCTCGCCGGGCCGCAGCGCGAGGCCGACGAAGGTCGTTGCGCGGAAGTCCTCTGGTCGTTCGGACAGACCTACGCTCTGGTAGAGCTGCATGTGCACGGCAAGCGGGACGACAAGCGGGGGGTTGAATCTTGCGACGAAGCGGATATTCGGGAGGCGGCCGGGGGTGGAGTTGATGTCCATGGACTCCGCGGTGGGCTCGAGGTAAGTGGGTTTAGGATCCTGCCAGTCGATAGACGGGGCGTTGTCGAGGATGTTGTCAATGGTGACGTTTGCGTCGGAGACATCTGTGGGTTTTTCGATGGCATCGCTTATCCAGGCGTTGGAGATGCGGATGGGGTTGTAGAGCGTGGACGGGGAGGATTCACACTCGATGGTGAGGGAGTACATTCTGTTGGTCTCGGGTTCGTTGTCTTCGGGGTATGGGGGGATGTGCTCCGAGTCGATGTCCATCTTCTCTTTGCCTTTTTCTGACTGTGGTGCCTTCTTCTTTGGTGATATCAGATGCCGCCTGTCCATCCAGTATTCCAGACTCAAGCCCAGGCATGACCCGCCATTGAGCCTCGGTCTTCCACTCTTCTTGCACAGCACCTCTCGCTCCGCTTTGTGGCTGCGATACGGCGTGTTCGCGTCCATGACCGCGAGCGCCATCTTCTTCTCGTGCTCAAATAGCTTCTTCAGACTGGTGTACACACCCGCAATCGCATTGTAGCAGCTCACGCCCCCATTCTGCGGCGAGCTCAGCTTATCCAGCGTCAACAGCTTCTCCAGATTGCCCGCGAACCGCTCAAGCGTAACATTGATCTTGCTCTGTCCCGGCAGAGGCTTCAAGCTGCGCACCAAAATCTCCGACCCCGTCGGTCCAAACTGCAAATCCTCCTGCTCTCCATCCAGATTCGTCTGCAGATTGACAGTCGCAATCTCATCATTATTGAACGTGATATCGCACACCGCCTCGTCTCCAATAAGCAGCATCCAGCCATGCGCAATATCGGGATTCTTCTCCGCCGACACGCCTAGCTTCTTGCACAGCGCAAGCAGGCCCTCTTCGCTCACACGGCCCGGTTTGCCTCCGACGAGCTCGAGTATGTTTTGCAGTCTTCTACTCCTTTCCGCTTCGTCTGCGCGACCTATTGCGCTCGAGCTCATGCCCAGGCTGGACATGCCGAGCCCGCTCATGCTGATGCCCATGCCCACGCCTCCCATGCCTGAGCTGGGGTCGTGGAGCATGTTGAGCACCGCGGGCGAGTCATATGAAAGCATGTTTGTGTTGCCGGTATGTGGAACACTACGCGGCGCGGGTGACGAGAAGGTGGGGAGGTGCTTCGAGGGCGTGTTCGTGGAGGCCGTAGGTGTCGCCATGATTGCGGCAGGCTCGGGTGATTTTTTTTGCGCGCGTAGTTCAGGCTACCGGCGATCCGTTCGCCGAATTGTGAGCGTGGTCATGTTGAGTGTGGATGTGAGTGAAAGAAGAGTAAGGGCGGGACGATACCGCGAAGCTCACGCGAGTCAAGTCTTGGCACGACGATATAACATGGCCAAAATCGACAGGCAAGAATGAGACACAGTAAACATATGATACTTATTCAAGTTTGGAGTTACAGCGGATTTTTTGTTGTGCTTCTTCATCATATTGATATAGATATCTTGGCAGTATTCACAGCTACCTTTCAACATGCACCCCTCTTCGCATCGCCAAATTCATCCTCTATCCCAAACGTCCTCCTCATCCTAACCTCCCCATCAACCCTCGTACTCACCTCCCCATATCCAATCCTCATCTCCCTCACGCTCTTCGGCACATCCCACGCCCCCTCCCTACACCCCGCCAGCACGCTTCTCAACCGCTCACTCCCCGCCGCCGCCACGAGCGCTTGCATGAAACTCGCCGTATCCGTGCCAGGCTCTCCATTCGCTCTCATCGCCATGAGGCCCATGCACAAGAAAGGCAGGGATAGTACGAGCGACGCCACATAGGGGATGATCAGGCGTCGACGCGAGGAGAAGGAGAATATGTTGTATTCGCTTGATTGCGTTATGTTGGTCGTGGTGTGCCACCTGTCGAAGGCGTACATGACAGACAGCGTGATGTTTTGAAGTGCGGAATTGAGTCGGGCTTCGGTGAGGTCGAGGATGAGGTCTGAGGCGGTGGGGTGGAAGCCGGGATCAGCGGGCTTGAGAGCGAAGCGCGCGAGGTTGAAGACTGAGTCTGCGATCATGGTCTGGTTTGAGCCTGGATTGCGGATTAGTTTGAGTCTGTGGGATCGGATAGTGTGAGGCTTACGCGAACGTCCGTTCCGGATTTTGGTGGAGGTGGAAGGTCGTGAGCCTGGTACATCGATGCCAGTGGTGTTGTAGTATTCTCCGGACAGTGCTTGTACAAGGCCGTCTACGAGAGCGAAGAGGTTGATGACTTGAATGGTAGAGTTGAGCTCTTTAGGAATCACAGCAGTGCTGAGACTGGCATTGGGATAGTATTTCCATGAGTCCCTGCCCCAGAGGGCTTCCAAGGATTCAGTAAATGTGGAGACTACGTATACTTTGCGCAATCCATCGACATACTTTGTTGTAACTGTGTAGTTGCTTCGGTAAAGCTGACACTCCAACTTTTCGGTGGCGCGCTGGTAACTGAGCCTCTCTCCGCTAAGGCGAGGGCGAGCATTTGTCAAGCTGTGTTGACTGACGAAAAAAGTGTCTGGGCGCGTTCGAGCTTGGTAGAGCATGCCTTCGTTGGTTGCTTGGCTAGGCGCAGTATCATTCTCGTGCGGGTTGTACCATCCAGGAGTGGAAGACGACGAGTTTCGTGCGGAGGTCCATCCTCCAGAGTACACCGGGGGAAAGTATACGCCGTCACCACGGAGGTTGGCCTGAACGATCTCATTAAAGGCGAGGGTCTTACACTTGACAGACGGTCCCTGGAAATCAGTAACAAACGAGCAATTCTGCCTACACGCACGCGTAGAAGCAACAATGTCTCCTGATAACAGAGCAGCTTTGGCGGTGGCTAGGACGGGTTGTCTCGTAGATCTGACAGTTACCACGTGGTCAGTCATCGTGTAGACAATTCGGAAACAAAAACTTACAAGTACTGCCATGATTCCTGTGTAGCTAGCATGTTGTCAAGTGCGCTACTAAATGTCCCGTTGCCAAAGGAACTGCCGTTAAAGACCTGTACCCTCTGCTCAGCCAAGTCATCGAAGCTTTCGCGTACAATATCGATCGATCCAGGCGGCAATATCATGCCTGCAGTGATGAGCCAGCCCAGTAGAGCAATCATGCTCAAAGTAGGCACCACGCGGAATATACCAAGATGAAATATTATGCTAAAGTCATGCTTGAGACGTGGAAGGCGGTCGATATTTTCTAAAGTCATCGAGGCGCTTCGTATACGGCGCCATAAGATTTGCGTGAAAGCGAGACCGAGGGAAGACAAAAGAGCTAAGCGAAAGATAGTGACGAGCACGAGGGCAATGGCAGACACCCCAGCTTGAGGCAGAGACGTTTCCAAGTTGACCTTTTTTCTATGGAGGTGATCGTAGAGTGCGAAGTGTGCGACGGCAGCGAAGTAACCTGATGACTTATCAGTGTGTTTGTGATCAGACGGAGCGATTGTCGAACCTAGTAAGTAAGGTGCGAATATCAGAGCGACAGTACTTGGATACCTCTTCCACACATCGACGAACGAGGTCTTGTTAGTTACCGAGTTCTGACTGTCAACTCCGGTCCCTCGAGAATCTACAACTTGTTCGATCCCTTGATACGCTGTCCTTACACGGTCAATTGAAGCTCGATGTTCGAGCGCAGTGAAGGACATGGCAGATAAAGTTGAAAGCTGGCGCAACCAGAGTCCTACGGCCGGAAGAATATCATAACGACGATTGGGGGAGTGGGCCTATTTCAGTATTTCTAAAGAAGAGGCTGAGACGACATGTAAGCCGCGTAATACTTCTACCGTGTGTCTACTGGCTGGCTGCAGGCTTGGTGGCGTTGTGGCCCCCAAACTCAAGGCTGAAGTGCTGGCCTAAGCAATCGAGATTGAATCATCCCGCAGCCACATCTCCAGTGTCTAGGTTTCAGGATCTCAAAGCGAGTGAGACGGACGCGTCAGATCCATCAAGCATTGTATCGAGGTTGGGAAGGATGAATTAGGGAAGTGTCGTGATGAAGCCAAAAAGCGGGGCACTTCCGCGGTCACACCCCAGCCCACGTGACCACGAGCCGCGCTCGCGTTCACGCTAAGTATTTGCTCCGACATCTTCACAAACACCTACACTCGCACACTATGTAAACGCACCTCCACATACGCTCGACGCGCCCACCGCCCAAAATGTCCACAAACGTCTGGACACAGATGAACTACATCCCCCCGCGCGGCCCCTGCAACCACAAACCCTCCATGCTCTCCCCCAAATGCCCGTGTCTACGCTTCATGCTGCATCCGCTCAAAGTACGTCCCACGCCAACCCCTCCCCTCTCCACTTCATTTCACCCGCTAACCAACGCTACAGTCCACATCCTCCTACGAATGCGACGGCTGCGCGCACCACGCGTCCTTCCACAGCATGGAGAACAAGGCCGAGGACGAAGTGCGCAAGCAATGGGAGAAGGAGGCAGCGGAGAGGGAAGAGGAAGACTCGCAGCAGTGTTCGAAGAAGAGGCCTAGGCTGCTGCTCAAAGAGAAGGCGTCTAGCGAAACGATGGATAGCGTGTTCGGTCAGGCGAGGGGGCGCGCGGCGGCGACAACGACGAAGACGCGGAGAGTTGCTGCGACGAAGGGGAGGGCGAGGGGGAAGGGGAGAGTGGAGGGGGAAGAAGAGGCGGTTATTGAGTTGGATTGAGAAGGAGACGATGGTGCGTGTGGTGGGCGTTGGGCGGAGAGCATTGTGATACCTATGATACCCTAGAGCATTTGATTTTTTTGGTTTACTGAATTGCTATTGTGTCGATTTTGGCTTTGTCAATTTAAACACAGCACTCGCAGTGCATCATTCTTTGTTTGAGATTTTTCTTAGGCTATGGTTGGTAAAGTGTGCTTGCAGTCACCGTGACACATGTTGATTCTATTTGAGATTTTATAGACATGTTGCTTCTTCAATACGTGCTCCCAAAACAACTTCGGTCTCATTGTAGCATGTCCTCTCAAAAGTGGTATGCAGTCACGTGCACCACGTCCGGCCGCGGAAGTGCCCCGCTTTCATATGCATGTGCGTCACACAGCGGCTCTCCTATTGAGCCTCATCGCACCTCAGGCCACCATTGCTGAGTAATTTACGCAAGGGCGTGCATTGCTTGATCCTCTGCCAGGTGCCTGCATTCGTGCAGCAGGGCTGGCTGTATGCACTCGCCGCGTCTCTGGCGTGTGTATGTCGATGATTTGGAATGAAGTATCTTGGCAAGCCCAATTGCCTACCATCACTTATGTAACCACGGCAGGAGTAGCAAGAAAGTTCTCGGGCCCTCGCACAGCCGTTGCCCTGCCATTTGCCCGTGGCACACAAGTGGACCAAATACGTGTCGGATGTATGGGGCTGGGCGGCTAGTTGGTGAGGGGACCAGGGAGTAGCGCGGCGATGCAATCGGTTTCGGGGATCATCAAATGGCGGGGTAGGGTATAAAGGCTTCGAACTGAGGAAGGACGAGTTGCATCTGCAACTGAACTGAACAATTGTACATCTGTCTTTCAAATAACGTCCTTTCCAAACTCTTTTATACCCAATCCGTCAATATGGTTTCCGGAAGCTGCATGTGCGGTAACGTCGCGTACGAGGCGGCGGGCAACAGCGAGGGCAGCGTGGGTACTTCGAATTCAGGATGTGGGTAGTTGCTGATGATGGGATGTAGATTCTCTGCCATTGCGCCGACTGCCGCAAGATTGGCGGAAGCGCGTTCTCCAGCAACGGCATATTCTCCGAGGACGGCTTCAAGGTCACCAAGGGCACGCCTAAGCAGCACAAGAAGGTGGCAGACTCTGGCAAGGAGATCATCTCCAACTTCTGGTATGTATTGTGGTAGACCACTTGTGTATGGTGCTAATTCGTCCAGCGGTGACTGCGGCTCTACCATGTGGCGTGAAGGAGGCGCGTTCCCCGGCAAGCGCATTGTCAAGGTATGTGATGAGCGCATTCGAAGTGATTGATGGATGCTGACAAGTCTAGGTGGGAACGCTCGACGACAAGAGTATCCTCGACAACTTCAAGGCGGACGCCGAGCTCTACACCGACATCCGACCCAAGTGGGTTGGAGCTCAGCCCGGCGCGGCGCAGAAGGCTACCATGTCGTAGGCGAAAGACGTCCGGGTAGGCATCGAAATGATACAACGTCTTATTCTGAATCCGAGCTTTCGGGCTCCTTCAATCGCTGTCGCATCATCTGCGTGAAGTTAGCCAGTGAACTTGATGGCGTCACGGCCATGCTTACCTCGTTCAAGCGCGCCTTGAGCTCGTTGATCTTGGTCTCTTTCACGAGAATGTGCTCCTCATCCAGCTCCTCGATGATGAACTCGTTGTTGTTCTTGCTGTCAATGTCGACTAACATGGCTTTGATGGACGCGTCGCACTTGACGAGCGAGCCTGGGGACGTCAGCCGGGTGAGAGAAGACGGTGTGATACTGACGTACCTCGGATTGCTTTGACCATGTTGGAGGGGGTAGTGGTGTACTGCGGGGGTCGTGTGAGTTAACTAAGGCTGACCATCAGGGTGTCGCGGAATTTGGCAGTTCTGCGCGCTGATGGCGCAATGACAGATGCCGCTTGGCGCCGATCACCTGCGCGTTCCGAGTGGGCGGCTGCCTTTCCGAACGACTCCGGTCACCATTACACTGCATCACTCAGATGTAATCATGCAGACTACTTGAGCACCTTGTCTCATACCATTTCTTCCGTCTTCATCATGGGCTGAACACTGACCCAGGCTCGCGACTGCCTATTGCTAACGTCCGCTCCTTCCTTTCCGAAAGTACTCTCGCCTGTCACCTGTCAAGCAGCTTACAGCGAACCGAACCGTGAAGATGAGACTTGCAGGAAGACAGCATGGCTTCAAAAGCTTCAACTCTCCCATATGGTCCTTCGCGACATGTCTGTATCTGACTCCGTTTCTGCCATTCTCGCGTGCGCAAGATGTCGCCATCAGCACCTCAAGTCCAGGCATCGCTGTGCCTTCCACCACAGTCTCACCAGATGCCTCACCACCAACGACCCTTACCACTACATCTCCTCCTACTTCCACCGACCCCGCACCTCCCGAACTCTTCCCCACCCACCCCTCCTCACACGTCCAACCCGTCCGCGACGCCTCCGTCTTCAACTACTACTTCCTCTTCCTCTTCATATTCGCCGTCATCATCGCCATCCTCCTCCTCTGGTTCCACCGCAGGCGACAACAGCGCAAACAGCAGCTGCGTCAGAATGGGCAGCACGCGCTGGCGAGGGATCTAGAGGGATGGGCGGGAACGCGACGATTCATGCATGAGCGGCAAGGGATTCGGCCTTCTGCGGCGACGAGGGAGGAGGGGTTGAATGAGGCTGGGGAGGCGCCGCCGCCTTATGACGGGAAGGGTACGGAGACAGTTTCGGTTGGAGCGGCGAGCGAGACGGGTGAGGTTGGTGTACCGTTGCGGGCGCTCGTACGGGATGAGCGGGCTCAGGAACCACCGGGATACGATGCCACTGATCATGAGGATACATCATACAACGTGGGGCGGAGGCCGGTGGTTACTTGAACAAGGACAATCATATTCGTCTGGCTAGACTAGACGTTTCATGCCTACGACGATCCAACGGTACGGCAGTATGTTCTGGACACACAATAGCGCCGATCAGATCATCAATGCGGAGCGTGTAGTGATGGCAGCGGCTGAAAGCCTCACCGGATGGCGCTGCTCACGAAGCAGCAACAACACCTCCACAGTGCCATGCGGAGATCAAATTGCACCAACTGAACAGTGGGAACACTGGAACGAGCTGGATAAGAGCCTGGTAAATTCCAGGTTGTTAAGGATGCTGACGGCCAGCCAGTGCCGGTCAGATTGTTCAGTAAAGGGTCCGCGAGCTTGTCCGACGCTTGGGCAGGCTTTTGTGTCCGTCCTGTGGTATGTACGACGCAGCGGAAGCCGATGCGCGCTTTCAAGTCTACGCAGATGATGAGCGTGGTGGATCGCACGCTGCAGAAATCCTGCACGGGGCTACAGGTACTCTTTTTTTGTGGACGCAGATGAACATGAGAACCAGATAGCAGACCACATAGAACCTGGAATGACAAGACTTTTATCGAAAATCACAAATAGTCATCAACGTGTAAACATGACGTCTCTGCGCAATCTACTATCCGAAGAGACATGAGCATGGACTTGGGTATATGAACTCCGATGTCTCTCTCCATGCTAGCTTCGTCTTCTGCATCGCACTTTACAATCGAGCCTTGCGTCAAAATGGAAAGAATATCAACCAATGTTCCTTTCCTCTTCTGCTGCACCAAAAAGGACCTTCCCATGTTCAATGATTCGTTTTCTCGGACTTTTTCGAGTCTTACCAAAAGACATGACTGAAAGGAAGAACGTCGTTGAGTCTTTCGCTAATTTAAAAAAAAACGTGTATGGCAATCTATGTCTGCCGCAATTTTTCAAACAAACGATTATATTCTGGGCCGTGGATGTCTTCCAAAAGCACCAGGAAAGACGTATGTGGTCCTCTCCCTAAACTCGTGTATCAATGGATCATGTCCGACACTTCAAAGCCTCCCCTCGCTGTACTCATGCTTGCGACGAGATGGCTGAGGGTTATAAAAGCTCGCATTCTCTTCTCTCCACTATTCTTCATCAACACACAAGACTTCCTAATAACCAAAAATAACTTGCCTTCACATACATGTTCTTTGCTTCCCGCCCTCTCCAAAATCAGAACGCGAACCGTGTTATGATCTCTTCTCTTCTCCCGCTCTCTCCAACGAATTCCAAAAGCAAGCAGAACGCGATGTGTTTTCGACGCATGCGTCTTTTTGTCGAAAATGAGGATTTCAAACTCGTAGGTGTGTTGCAAGGCTGCTCGAAAAACGCAAATGTCGACGCGCATGTCCTTCCTGCACCACTTCAAAATCTCCAAAATTGTCACGCAGTGACTATATGACGTCCCGAAGTATCCACAGTTCTTCGCGATGCGAAAAAAAGGCCATTTGAAATCCACAATGGTCGAACACATGTTCCGCCTCTCTCCGCTGCTCTTCAACGGTAGGGTATAAATATCTCCCCTCACCCAGCTATTTTTACAACATTTCTCCTCGGCAAGCCTTTCTTTCCAAAACACAGAACCGGTCTGCTGATGTTCTGGAACAAGATTAATTCACGATGCCCGAATGGCGGAAGTTTAAGATGGCTCAATTGACGAGCTATGCTGTTGTGTGCGTCTCTTCTGCGCTTCAAAAACGCTATGCCAACTTGCATGTTCGTCGGAAGTGAGAGAGAACTTCACAAAGGCAGTGAATTCCGAGTCCATGTGCATTTTCTGCACTTGCCTCTCTTCTGCGCTGAAAACTCGCTGTATACCGCCTCATGTTCGGGTGACGAGGAGTTTTCCTAAAGACATCATTCGTTATCTCATGTGCATCCTTTGCGACCCTGCGGCTCTCTCGCGTCCCAGGGTGTACATAAAAGCCTTGTGCATCGCGTTCACTTCTTCCTACATTTATGTTCTACTCTCGATCTTCAAATGAAGGCAGAGGCGTGGCATGCCCAAAACAATGTACTCATTGTGTCTCGATCTCCATACCAGAAAAACAGAGTTCAACGTCATATGTCTTTTCTCTTCTGCGATTGAGCAGAAGCGGTTCTACCAGAAACCAAAAGTCAAAAAGCATGTAGATTTTGCGATATGGTCCGGAAAAAGACAGCGTCGACAGTCCCTTATGTGTGAGCAGTCTAAAATCAGGGAAAACGTCTCATCATGCTGTTCTCCGACGCTCAAGCATGCGCACGCACATGCTTTACGTTTGAGCTGAAAATGGAAAAGGGAGGCTCTCATGTCCTAAAACCACATAGCTGAGAATTTATGTCGAGACTGTGTCTTTCAGCTCTCAACAGAGATTAGCGTCTCAGCTGTACATAAAAGCCCCCAGACCTCGACACCCTCGTCTTCTTCATACACAGAATCTCTACTGTATATCTCCGAAACACGGCTGCACAGGGTATATGACCGATTTCTCTGCTCTCGTAAATTGAAGTAAAAGTCGATGAGCGACTGCGTAATGAGCAGAGGCAGTAGGGGTTGCTTCAAATTTCCAATAAAACACCAGTTCAAGAACGAATGTCGCCTCTGAGCACCAACAGAAAAATGTATGTATTACAAATGACTTCAGGTTCCATTGCATGATCTCAAAACGGAAATGAAAGAATGAGATTTCTCGAACATGTGGAGCTCTAGCTCGTGTTTGAATTGAAAGGTCTGCCCGCGCTGAGCCTGACCGCATATACATACTTTCAACTTGACTGCCCTATTCTTCTATCCAAATGATCTTTTTACAATCGATCTTCAAAAAGACAGGTCGAGCTCCTGATGACCAGAGAAGAAGTGACTGACCCCTGTAACAAAACCGCAAAACCAAATCGCCATGTCTTTTCTCTGCTCTGGCAGTAGTCAAAGTTGTGTCTCTATGAAATAAGAAAAGATGAACTAGCAGCAACGGTGAGCAAGCTTCTGAGTGGTTTGAAAACACATGCTCATCGAGACATGGGAAGACGGGAAAGCAAAAAGAATTTCCGCCTATAGGTTATGAGAATTCTATGAGATAACTGAGCAGTCAAAGATGTCTGTTTGCAGCCCGCAAGGTCGACCAAAATGGCGGAAGTCTGATTTCCCGGGAACGTCCAGTGTAGGTCGATTTATCACGCCGTCATGACACCCATACCATATACACCGGGGTGAGCCAACGCCGCGAAAAATAGTATGATCGTCGCCACTTCGACAGCCTTCGTGCACCGTATCGAATGAACTCAGCTCGCCATGATTCCTCGGCAATCGGTGCTGCTCGTTAGCACATCTTCTACTTGTTAGCGACAGACTTCGGGGTCAGCTTGATCATATTTAGCGCGAAGTGCTCGTACGCGGGTCGAATCAGATGCACTGAACTTGTGGCCAGACAAGATGTAGTGATGGGGTGCATGCGGTCACAATTCCCGGCTTCGTGGCGCCCCTCAATAGCGCGGCAGACGCAACCCAGACCCTGCGCAGATCCCGAACGACGCGGTCCCCATCTGCCGTCCAGTCCCATCGTTCTTCAACACCATGCCTTTTCCACGATGGTCGCTCTTCCAGGACCGGTTATTCTCAAACCTTAATCACAAGCCGACATGATGAGCGCCATCTCGTCCCAAGTGGCAGGATGACATTTACCTGCCAATGCCTTCATTGGAGACCGATAGAAGGCATGTCACGGACTGTCGCTCATGTCATCATATGAATGCTTCATCTTACTCTGCATGCATGTGTGGAGAGGCGCCACGTCTGACTGACAATCAGGGGCGATTCCTGTGCGCGCGAAATGAGCGGACTGCGCCCACATCTCTGTCTCCACCAAGTCGAACACAAATCGCAAACTTGTGGCAAGCTATGTACAACGATAGCACGCAGCTATTTGGCTACTGCTTGACGAGCCGCTCTCCCTAGGAGGAGGCTGACCCAAAGTTCAATCGATTGTCTCATAGGACCGCGAAATCCTCTTCCTAGGCTGCACAAGCTTGAGGTGCGACAGATGTGGTTGAGAGTTGTGCGCCACTTAAGGAGCCTGCTCCGTGAATAAGGTTCACAGTCGGGCCTAGCCAGAGACTTATCCCTGGATGTCGTGGATCCCGTCCTTTTCAGCGAATAAGCAGCAACTGCCGGCAGCCATGGACCAATGCTCAAACGCAAGATGTTCGGTGGGCCAACCGCATGTTCGCGGTCGAGCTGCGCGATCTTCAATTTTGCGTACCAAGTACCGTCTTTCGGCACACACCAATGACGGTTCTCCGGGCGAGATGCTATGTTGGCTTCGCATATGCCCGAGGTTTATTCTCCAGTCGCCGAAATCCTTGGTTCGACATGTCGATCCAGAGCGTCTTCATTATACGAGTACTGTGACATTGTCCAAGCAACAAACCTCATGCCTGGTTGACACCTAACGACATTGACTCCATCGCGGCGGGTAGACATCAACATGGACGACCGACACCACGAAGTATTAGCTGTGGCAATTGGCTTCCTCGTGTTGACATGGGCAACTGTTAGTATGCGATGTTATGTTCGCGGAGTCATGACAAACACCTGGGGCTTGGATGACTTTTGTATGATTGCCAGCTTGGTGAGTTTGTGAGGCCTACTCCGTTACATGCGATGCTGATCAAACATGGTAGCTCGTGTTCACAGTATACATCGCGTGCCAGATTACCGCTGCTGTCCACGGAACTGGAAGGCATAGAGACACATTATCTGACCAGGATGCGAGGACTGCGCTCATGGCATGTTTACTCGCATGATCATATTCTGTCGCCACTAACCTTCAAATAGTTCTGGTATCTTTGCGAACTCCTCTACGTGATCTCCAACTGCCTCCTCAAGTTCTCGGTCGGTTACTTTTATCTACGCGTCGCCGTCCAAAGGTGGCACATTTGGTGCATTCGGCTGCTGATGCTGGGCACTATCCTCTTTGGATTGATATACTTCTTCCTCGTCATGCTACAATGCTTGCCAAGTAAGTACCTTCAAACTCTGTATGAAATCTGCTGATGAGTGAAGTCAACACCTTTTGGAACGTCCATCCCGCATCCGCAAAGTGCCTACCCGAAGGCCCGACGCTCGGAATCACATACGCTCTTGCAGCAGTCAATGCTGCAGCCGACTGGGCATTCGGCACCCTTCCAATCTTCATTGTCTGGGACCTGAAGATGAAGCTCAAGACCAAGTTTCTCGTCGCTGGTGTCCTCGCCTTCGCTGCAATCGGCAGTGTAGGAACGATCGTGCGCATGTTCTACCTGCACACTCTTATGAACGGACCCGACTTCCTATATGCGACAACGGATGTCGCTCTGTGGAGCACAATTGAACCTGGCATAGGCATAGCTGCAGGAAGTATAGCATGCTTGCGCCCCCTGGCGCGACTATGGCTGTGGCATCTGGGTCTTGCGGAAGCGCCCCACGACCGTCGCTCTCGCAGCTACTATCAATCTAACAGCGACCAGAAGCGCAAAGACCGCCGCGGCTATAGAAGAAATTTGAGCCCTTCTGATTTGGTATCTACGGAAGCTGTAGGCACCACATCTTTCGAAATATTCGGAACCAGGAAAGGACCAGAGACAAGGGATTTGTCGCTGCCAGAGATCACGATTACGGCACCAGAACCTGAGCTGACACCTAGCGGACAAATTCGTCAGACTGTGACGGTTGAGCAGGATTACGAGAGCGCTCCCCGTCTCCAACTTCGCGAAAGCTTCCGCCATAGCTTCACGAGAGGAACTATTCTCAGTCTTGGGAAGTTCCGAGTTCCGGTCACCCCAGCTCCAGCTCAACAGGACCACCAAGCTAGCCAGTGACAGAGCAGCCCCAGATGACCTGTCGCCAGCTACGTGCTGCTATCAGTATAGAAAACATATGCCAAATATCGCATATCATCACTTCTAAGACAGTGGTCTCCTAGGGAACCACGCAGTCAGCACTAGACCGCGTGGTAGCAAACTTGCACCTTTCACCCGGCGGTCATTCTCCACCACAGTGATGCGCGTCACAATTCACGGACGTTCTTATCGCGATGGAACAATCACAGTGGATAATCCCTGTTATCGCGACCTAACTATCGCAGCAGATGTTTCTTGTTATTGCGACCGCATAACACTCACTCATCAACCAAAAGTTGTTATTGACATCCGTTCCCCAAGAATAGCTGCGACAGAGATCGCAAACCTCCCCGACTTCAATCATGGGGCCTCCAAAAGGATCGCAAGCAAGATTTGTCTTTCCAGCGCGGGAAATGACGCCCGACCACACACCCGAATACACATCCGGCAACCTTACACCTGAGACATCACACACCAAACTCACGGAGCTCGAAAAGGCTACAGCGACTCCTGACTCAACCGCTTACCTGCAGATCGGGGAAACCACCAGCTCAACAGCGGACGATGAGCGCCTATTACCACGATTCTTTCGCCTCCTGGACCAAAGCAAAGCCCTTGTCAATACTCATGGGCCGCATACAACCTACGCTGGCACGAACGTATTTGCGCGAGCGCCCATAGTGCGAAACGAGACGGAACAGGCCTCTATCAAAGACTTTGCAACTTCACTGGCCGCCGCACAGGACTGCATTGAGAGCGCTCAGCTCGATGGAGCCGCTAGAGAGGACCTCGCGACCTTCCTACGCTTGTCACGGACTACAAGCGAAGTTCTCGAAGGCATACTTGACAGCAGCGATCTAGACTTCGAAACGCTCGGCTGGGGTGTGTACGGGCTCTGCGCAGGATACATGGTCAGCACAGCACGGCGCGAAGCCTCACCAATTCTCGCGTACAAGAAGCGCCTACACGACGCGCTGCAGAAAATGCCCTCCATCAATTCAACAGTTCGGAAGAACCTAGACAGCGTTGCGTGCTGTGGCGGGAAGATCGATGTGCTGGCGAAGGCGAACAGGGAGATTCATATTTGCGCAAATCTGCTACTTCAGCAGTTCCGGAGGGAGGAGTGGCGGCGCGTTCGCTGGTATCATGCGGTTGCGGTTGCGAAGAGATGGGCTGATCATTTGGACCTTTGGAATGAGGGCTCGTAGCTCGATGGAATCTAAGCAAGTGGAAGGGTTAAAAGTTTTGGCAAGTTGTCAGTGAAAAGGTTCAAGGAGTAGTACACGATGCAGCAACGATTTATGACAGACATGATTACAAGTAATATCATAATAACGACTGTACCATCAACAACTCCACGAAGCTCATTGCAAGTCATCTCCGTTTTCCTCTACGCACAATCCCTAAGCTGGAAAGGAAAACACACATACAAGAAAACATCTTGTCAACGAGATACCTCGTTGCGTTCCTTCTAGGGGGTGTTTAAGGAACGTAGCTTTGCGCTAGTACACCCACTCTCTTTGCTTTTCAGTCTCCAATCGATTCTAACTCCCACATTCAGACATCATATATCTGGAGGAACTGCCATGAAGTCGCAGGACTCGTGCCGAATGAACATGCATCTTCCCACCTCCTAACCCCACCAAGCTAGCGCACTTCCCTCCATGCAGATCCGAATCACGACATTTCACCCCACGATTTCGAATCCAACCGCGACCATCAGCAATCGCACCCAATCTCTGCTCCATGCCGAGGAGAACGACTTAACCCGACAAGCATCAACACTCGGCTCGGACAGAGCTTACTTATAACCCAATGGCAGCGCACACAGCCAGCCAGGGCGCCATGCATCCCTGACAATGACGGTTGACCTGTCGCAGCCATGTTCTTGCATCATTTGGAGCTAGGATCTAGATGCCTTTAAAGGCGTTTGGTGCGCTGCTGACTGCAGTTGCTCGCATCCTCGTCTCTCTTCACGTCTGATTGACAGGTACCGCGACCATGGCGCTGGAATCAGAAAAGAACGTACCGCCCACGGCGTCGAATTCGAGCGAGTCGGACGTCGAGATACCACATGGCGCCATCGATGAGAAAAAGCTGATGAGGAGGCTGGATTTGAGGTTACTTCCGGCGGTGTCTATTTTGTACCTTTTGTCGTTTTTGGATCGCAGTAATGGTGTGTGCAACGCTTGGCTTGGATGAGATGAGCGAGTGCTGATGATCGCAGTTGCAAATGCGCGTATCGAAGGACTAACGGCCGATCTGGGCATGACCGGAAACCAATACCTCACTGGCCTGACGCTGTACTTCATTGGCTACGTGCTGTTCGAACTGCCGTGCAACATTATTCTCAAGCGGACGACGCCTAGGTTTTGGCTTCCAACGTTAACGATTGCGTGGGGCGTTGTGGCGACACTCATGGGTGTGACGCAGAATCTTGCCGGGTTCTTTGTTGTGCGCTTCTTGTGGGTATTCCATCTTGTTATAAGGTGCTGAACTGACTTAAGATAGCCTTGGTGTCACGGAAAGTGGCCTGTTTCCGGGCGTTGTGTATTACCTTTCAATGTGGTACAAGCGCGATGAACGTCAGTATCGTATCTCGCTGTTCTTCAGCGCGGCATCCTTGGCTGGAGCTTTTGGAGGAATCCTGGCTTGGGGTATCGCGCATATGAGAAACGTCGGGGGATATGCAGGTTGGAGATGGATTTTCATTCTTGAAGGTCTTCTCACAATTGTGATTGCTATCGCCGCGTACTGGTTCATTTCGAATTATCCAGATACCGTTTCGTGGCTTTCCAAGGACGAACGCGCTTTCATCCAGGCTCGATTGAGGGCCGATAGCGACAACACCAACGACGAGCAATTTCGATGGGCTGATGTTTTGCTCGCGTGCAAGGATATCAAGATCTGGCTCTATGGTTTAGCGTTCCATACCATGTCTCTGCCGTTATACACATTGTCTCTTTTCCTGGTAAGTCGAAATGCTGCGAATATGTATGAACTCTTCACTTACAAGCGAACAGCCGACGATCATCAAAGACATGGGCTACACCAATGCTCAGTCTCAGCTCCTTACCATTCCACCATATGCTGTCGCGACCCTATTCACCATATTCTGGGCTATCTTATCGGAGCGCTACAAGCAGCGTGGGCTTTTCATCGTCACAACGTCGGCAGTCGCCATCATCGGGTACATCATTCTCCTCGCCAACACGGATCCCAAAGCGCGACCTGGCCTATCCTACGCAGGCACATTCTTCGCTGCCATCGGTATTTATCCCTCCGTTGCACTGGTACTCTGCTGGCCAGCCATCAACGTCTCCGGACAAACAAAACGCGCCACCGCCAACGCGATGCAAATCTCAATCGGTAATCTAGGTGCTGTTCTTGGTACGCAACTATATCGACCTAAGACGTCGCCGAGATATGTCCTGGGGCATTCATTCGCGCTGGGATATCTGTGCATGAACATTGTGGTGGTCACTGCGCTGATGTTGACTCTCAAGAAGGAGAACAGGCAGAAGGAGCAGTATCTGATCGAGCATCCCGAGACGGCGGGCTTCCACGACAGCGATGAGGATTTGAGACAGGGAGATCGTCATCCAAGGTGGGTGTTCCAGGCATGAGTGGGTCCTTGGAAAATGAGGTATCTCGTAGAAGGTTCTCCACATTTGGATGTGCGACCATCTTTTCCGAAGTCAACTTTGCACCACGAAGAGAGCTGCGCCAGCCTCACTTGTGCGTAAGCAAAGACTCTAGGCAGTCAGATGCGAGAAGAATCTATCAGACGTTACTTTTCGATCTCCTCACAACTGCCAAGAGCTATAATGTCTAAGTTGGCATCCAGGGCTGTCAGAAACTTTAACTAATGATAGTGTCGCGTGGCCAAGCACGTGCGTTTAATTGAGTTGCGCTCACCGCCTTGACGTCCACCCGCACTTCAACGGCGATCTGCGATACTCGCGAACGTCGCTCTGGCCTCAGATCTCAACGTGAAAGACGCTGATGTCGTCCAAGCCTGTCCTGTAGATCGAACGGCACTAAGCGACTACAAGCGCGTTGTTCATCGTCACCGACCAATGCGCCACGCGCGCGTCATGCACTCTGGGGCATGTTGACCCCGCTCCCGCCACGCTAGCCGAGACTGAACGCTTCATCCAAGACTCCCAAGATATTTGCACAGCCTACGGTGCGCCACTACTAGGTATAGTGCAATAATTATTTTTCTCTACTAAAAGTTACCTTATATACTAAAAACTTTAAAAACTTTAACTTTATAACTATATTTATATACTATTATATAAATAATATATATTCTAACTTAGATACTATGCATATAATATCTCTATATAATAGTTATAATATACTAACTTATTTAAAGCTATAAGAAGACTAAAAGTTAATATTAATCTATACTAGCTAAAGCTATTCTAATAATTCTATAAAAAGCACTCTTACTTAAGCCTTATATAATAGCTATATAATAAGTATAAAGTCTTAATTAGTCTTTATATGCTTAAAATATAGCTTAAAGAATAGTAGCTATTAAGAAGACTAACTAAGAAAGATAAGATTAAGCTTATATATTATATTAAGCTACTCTACTTCTAAGTTAGACTAGATAATAAGAATATATTAATAGATCTAAAGAACTATAGCTACTTAATTAGCTCTTATATACTTATATAACTTAGATTTAAGACTAAACTGCGTTATAAGATTTATAATGCAGATAAAGTAAAATAGGCTAAGAGAGTTATATAAGAGCTTATTTAAGAAGGACTTTAGTTAAGAGCTATTAATAGCTATAGAAGATAGTTTATTTATCTTTATTTTCGTTAAATAAGTATAAATATTATAAGAGATTAGCTTTTTAGAGCTTATTATATAATAAATTCTAGTAGTATTATATAAAGAGATTAAGAGCTATAGAGTTAGTAAGGTAAATATACTATAAAAGGCTTAAATATAGTATAGTCTATTAATAGGCATAATAAGTTTAAGCTATATAGTATTAAGATCTATGCCTATATTAATGCATATTCTAGATATATTATCTAGATATATATAGGTATCTTAAATAGTACTACTATTAGTATTAGATAGTAATTTCTTAAAGCTATATAATAAGCTAGAGTTATTCTAAAGTATATATAATTAGATTATAAGTTAGAGACTTCTTAGATTACGTATACGCAGTTTATGCTATATATATATAATAATTCTAATTTAGCACTATAAGATTACTATATTTTTTAGCAAAAGTACTATAAATTAGAAAATTAAGTTATAGTAGCAGCTACTTTAAAAGAGTCTGCTTTTTTACTAGAGAGTAAGTAGTTATATAATAGCTAAGAAATTACTAACTCTTTATAGAATTACTTTAGAGCACTTCTTAAAGTAAGCGAATTTTCTTCTAATTAGCTTATAGACTAGATTACCTTATACGCTATATACTTTCTAATTCTATAGAAGAAGATATACTTATACGTAAATATCTAGAACTTATATAAGATTTAATTTTAGCCTAAGTAACTATATATTACTGCTAGATAACCTTTTATACTTTATAATAACTTACTTATTAGAAAAAAAGACTTTAGCATACTATATAATACTGCTATACTTTAAGATCTCTTTAACTACTTATCTAAATAGAATTTTTTAGCATATTTACTAGATAATATATAGCATTAGTATAATTATATAATAGTAGACTTAGAATTTAATCTTTTATCGCAGTATTAATATATAAGAATAGTAAAGTACTAATCTACGTAACTAAGCTAACTAAGCTTAGAAAGTAGACTAACGTTTCTCTATAATCTATTTATATATTTAAGCTAGCTCTTCTAATATATTAGAAGAGCAGTAATTAATATAATCTTTTCTCTTAAGTTTGCTTAGCTATAATAGTTATAAGCCTAGCGCTATAAGATTATAGAGTTAATTCTCTACTATATATCTTATATTTGCTAAGTACTTAAATTAATTATTCTACTACTCTTATTTCTCTTAAACCTCTTAAATTATTCTAATAATATTAGTCTAAATAGACTAAATAGACTAGATAAAACTTCTTTCTATAGTTACTCTTTAAGCTTATAAAGACTAGCTAGCATAGTATATTTAGCTTAAAGTTTACGCTATTAGAAAGTAAGTATAGAACTATATTAATTTAGATAGCTTATTGCAACCTAATCTTCTTAATAACGCTTCTCTATACCTAGAATTATCTACTAAGCTAGTTAAGCTAAAAGAATCCTTCTTGCTAGAGCTACTAATAAAGTAAAAGCTAATTATAAAAAGTCTTTATAAGAGATATATTAAAGATATTAAAGCTTATAAAGTTTTATTAGCTAACTATAATAAGAAGAGTCTAATAATAGAAAGTTCTTACTGCTAAATAGTCTTAAAAAGCTACTGCACTTATAAATCTTTAAGACTAGATTATAAAAATAGTCTTACTAGACCTTTCTTAAGTCTATATAGATTAGACTTTCCTTAAATAGATAACTTAAGCCTCTAATTATAACTTAAACTGCCTTAAAGATTAGCTAGCTCTAAGTAAGGCTATAACTTAGAATTAAATTAGATAGAAGTACTAAGCTTACCTAGATAAAGCTAAGCATAGCAGAATTAAGCTAGAGAAGTAGTTTAATAAATAGCAAACTCTCTATGCCTAAGCTTAGATATATAATATTTTAGAGATTAAAGAGACTATTACTCTTACTAACTTTCTTAAGGCAATTATAGCAAAATACGCCTTAGAATAGGCTTAATAGAAATAAGCAGAAGTTATAGAAAGAGTATCTCTAGGAAAGAATAATCTAATATTAGATAATATTGCTATAGTATTTAACGCTATACTAAGTAAGTAATCTAGAAATACTAAAAAAAAAAAGAGACTATTAATCTTTATAGTACTAACTCTAAATAAGTAAACTGCTTAAAATAGCTTAACTAGAAAAACTAAAAAAAGCCTAAAAGTATACTTATATATTAGGTCTTACCTGCAAAAGCTCTAATTAGATAAGTTTTATTATTAGAAACTAATTACTTATCTTAAGCTTTAAATAGTAGTAATAGAATTAGCCTCTAGTAATCTAATTAAGCTTAATAATATAGATAAGAAAAAAATCTTAGAATAGTATAATAAGCCTAAATAGCAAGATCTCTATAAATAGATTAAAAAGTTAGGTTAATCTACTACTCTAAGAAAGAAAAGATTAGATAAAGATTACTCTATTGCTATTTAAGTAAGCTTAATTAATCTAACTCTCTTTATAAAAGAGTTACTAGAAGTCTATAGCACTACTTTTAATTAGCATCTACTATACTAATCTATAATTCTTAATAGTAAAGTATGCGTCTACTTAGTAAATAATTATAGTCTAATTAAAAAGAGAATATTTATTAAAGCTATAAATAGAGAGTATATTAAGGTAAGAACCCTAATACTTACTTATTAATAGTATTAGTACTTAGAATTATAAGAAAACCTAATAATTAGACTAAATAAGCTATATATAATAGACTTTATACTTACTAATATAAAGGTTATTAAAAGTTTCTACCTTAATATTATCTTAGAAGTAAGACTTTAAGATTAGAGAAACATCTAGTATACTAGTTAGAATTAAACTCTCTAATATAGTAACTTATCTAAGAATAAGTTACTCTATACGCTTATTAGAAAGTATAACCTTAACTTCTTAGAATTAATTAAGTCTTCTTATTCTCTAGTCTCTACTATTATAAAAGCTATACTAAGATTATATTATTTATAAAATAGAAGTAATAATAAATAAATATAGTACTAATAATTAGGTTATCTTAGATAGAAAGTACTATAGGCTCTAACTAAATATATATAAAATATTAAAATTACTAGTATTAGAAAGATTAATTATAAATATTATATAATAGCATACGCCTTATAGGTAATCTTAAGAAAACTAAAAGAGAAATTATCTTAACTCTTCTATTAGATCTTATAGAACCTATTTAATATATATTTAGAATAATTAGAAGAATAATAGTTATTACTAATAAAGAATAATTATTCTAGAAAGATTAAGAATAATAATCTTCTATTAAAGTTACTGCTTAAGATTATAAAAGTTATTAAAAGATACTACTAAAGAGTAAGAATAAAATATAACCTTTTAATTATAGAGATATACTAAGATAGTAATTAAGTAATATAACTATAGAGAAGATAATTAAGATTTAAGAAATAGGCTAGATCAAAAATAAGATTACTATTAAAGCTACTCTATCTTATACTTATAAGCTAAATAGCTTAGCTAAGTATATAGAATAGAAAATAATTATAAAGGTAATAAAGATATGCATAAGCGTAAATCTGCCTAATAAGCTTTAGCTAGAGATACTAGATATAGCTACTTAGCTTTATAAGATAAGCTTAATAGCATTGCATAGATATTAATTACTAAATAAGGTTCTTAATTTCTAGTTTTAATAATACTTTAGATACTATAAACTAGCTATTATTTAATTAAGAATAGCTAATCTATGCTTAGATTAGAGTAGTATATATATATATAGCTATTAAGCTTATCTATTAAATTTAGATTAAATAGCTAATATAAAATATTAGTTT